CCGCATGACAAGTTTGCCCTCGTAGTGTAATCCAGTTTAGCTAGTTCCGAAGCATCACAGATCTAGCACATCATGCCGATTCTAGCATCACAAATTCCAAAACACGACTAGAAAACGGCTCTCATGGGGCTCCGCAAGAGAAACTTTTTTGGCATGCAGATTTACATGACAACTCTGGGGTGGGGACGTTTTTCCTCAAAATAACAAGGTCGCCGACTTCAAGATCTCCAGCCGTTCGTTCTGGTTCGATATCAAATGCAAATATCCCTGGATGTCTGGAAGTAGGATGCAAGGTTTGTCATGCACAGTTTGCATGACTCCTGACGTCTGTGATGCATGCCCTTCTAGCATCACAGATTTTGTGAGGGCTTCCTCATGCCTATACCGCATGAGAACAAATGCCCTCTACTCGCCGTGGCAAAAACTGCACCTCTTTTGTTGTTCATGCAATACAGATTTTGGTAGTATCCAAATGCAGCATCACAAGTTGCAACCTTCCAGACCTAGACATTTTTGCAATGCATATTCAACCGCTTGGCGTTGTGGTTGTACCCGATCCCGGCGTCGAAAAAGTCCTTCTGCAGGTACTTCACCAAGTTCTCAATCGGTAAGGGTTTGGAATAGTTCATCACGTGGGGGACGATCGGTCTTTTATCCAAGTCGTTGTGGTAGAACGCACAGAAGGGCTCGCGCGTGCACTCCGCCCGGTCCTCGCCCGGCCCAATGTCCTGACACGTGGAGACCTTGAAGTTCAGGGGGTGGTACGCCCGCTCCTTCGAGCCGTGGGAAAAAGGGCACTGCGCGCCGAACTTACACCGGTCGTTGTAGCTGGATTTCGCCGTGTCGCGGGGATCCCAAAACGGGCAGGGCACGGGGCCGTAGCCGACCTGCGGGTTCCGCCGGTAGTCCTGGTAGTTGTGCGCGTACACACAGTAGGTCCAGTTGTGCTGGTAGAGGTGGGGGCACCATTTGGTCTTGTACTTCAGAATTAAGAATTCATCCGTAATCTCCTGGACATTCTCCTCACTCGGGCGGAAAAGGAGGTTCCCAAGCTCCTGGCGCCGGTGCGCGAACCGGCACCGGGTGCCGTAGGGGCAGTTGGAGGGGTTCGGGTACGAACCACAGAGCTTGCCGCCTGATAAAGTTAAAGAGTAAGAGTTTGATTTGTGATATAATTTCATTGGCATTTATTGTTGTTCCATAGAGAAGCACAGGATTTTTAATGCACATTTGTGATTGTGTTTTAGAATTAAAGACCACGTAGACACATGCTAGACATTTGTGAACCACAAGATGAACGTCAACTTCGATGAAGATAATTCAACCAGTAAATAAAAAGATCATACCCCTCGGCTTGACGTAATTCTCATTCCCCGGGATGCAGGTCAATGGCTGGAAGTCATCTGGGTGCGCCTCCGTGACAAACGAGTAGTGCACGGCGAATTCCCGCCGGTCCCGGTCCCCCTCGTGGACGAAGCAGCAGTTGTCGTCGAAGCACTTGAAGCTGTCGCAGCACCGCGTCTTGAACTTCGCCGGGTGGACCAACAATTCCGTTTTCGAGTGCGCAAAGGGGCAGTCCATCATCAACGGACAGTTGTCGCCGAATCGACACAGCATGTCGAAGTACGCCAGCGTCTCCCCGTTATCAAATGCAAAAGTGTCTGGGTCTGGAAGGATGCGAACTTGTGATGCGTGTTGCGGATCATACAAAAATCTGTGTTGCATGACTTGCAAAAGGTCCCCATTTCTCGCCATGCTGAGATGGCATTTCTCATGCATAATGGGCATCACCAAGGGGCTGCAAAACCTGTGATGCTAGGCCCTGCATTCCAGACTTGGTGGAGCTTGGAAAAACTCCATGACAAATCGCGCATTCTTCCAGACCCAGACATTTTTGCATTTGATACCCATCCTCCTGCAGCAACGGGCGGCGGAAGTGCTGGGAGTTGTGGTACTTGAGACACCCCTTGCCCCGTTTCTGCAAGCACTGCCTCAGCGGCAAGTCACACGGCTCGGTCCGGAAATCGCGGAGCATCTGGATGTGCTATGAGAGTGCACAACCCCCCCTCGTTCTCATTTCTCATGCAAAATACCAAATCCACGCTTTGTCCTTGTCACTATTATGCATGACAACTTCTGGTAGTGCCCAAATCGCGCTACACAACTCCAGTGCAGATTTGTCATGCAAAACCGGCATTATTGCGGATGCTTGTATTGCCGTTCATGCTATACAATAGAGGGGGAGGGGGAGTTGTGCACTGTCATATGTGCTCCGGGGTCTCCAGTTCGAATTTCAGCTTGGGAAGGCGCATCTTGATGCGGTTCAGTTCCTCCCGGACCTCATCCGCGGAAATGGTGGAGATGTTTTGGTCGCCGGAGCCGTCCCCGACCAGGTCTTCGTCCCGAACTTGCGCCACACCGTTGATCAACGGGATGTTGCGCATACCTGAAGAGTGATGTCGTGTAGCACGTTGCTGAAGATTTAGATTTCCTTTCAGTTCGGTTCCAAATAAAGATCTACTAACTTTTCCGGTGTCTGTAAATGTCTTGTTCCGCGGGTCTTGGGGATATAGGATTTAGGAAAAATGTAGTGTGAAGATTTTCATGCTCCAAGGTATCACCTTGTCGTTGTTGGCAAAATGAAACAGCACGTAATTCAAGAAGCGGATTATAGCACCTCAAAAATTTCAATACCTGGTTCCGGAATTTCTTCGCACACCAAGAATTCCTCCTCCTCCTCCTCTTCCGCCTTCTTCCCCTGCTCTGCCTTCGGCGCGGGTGTAACGGGCGTGATGTCACCAGCACCCGCAACATCCCCATGAGCGACCGTCGTCGGGGTCAGATCAGAAGTGTCGGCTTGCAGCTTCATGGCTGCCGGGGTGGAGCCGGCGGCGGTCGCGGAGGACATGGAATCCTCGGCTCCGGAGTTCGTGGACGAGCTCTGCTGCTCGCGAGACAGCAAAATGTCGTTGCCAACCGTGCTGGGGGTACCAGTGGTGGGCTCCGAACTGCGCTGAGAAAGCTTGTTTTCCTGGGCGATAGATTTAGAGACGTAGAGAGCGCTAGATTGATCTACTGGTAGTTCTTGCTCGGTGTTGTTGTTCCTTGTACTATCAGCGGCCTCAACAGAAGTTGTCATGGCCGGAAGTAGGGGGCAGAATCCGAGCGGTAGGAAGACCACGAGAAGATGTTACAAGTACAACAGAGCGTGCGCGTGCGAGCCGAGAAAAAGTGATATTATAACTCTTTCTTGTGCTGCTTGTTCTTTCCATTGAACGAGTAGCTGCACTCTTGCTTTTCAACTAACAAGAAAATTTCGTATGAATCTTAAAGGCACAGGTCGCTGTAAATATCAAACAGTGAATATTTTCTCTTGACCGAGCGGTGGTCTTGCTCTTGGCGATTCGTAGTTTATCAAATGTAAAAATGTCTGGGTCTGGAAGGTTGGAACTTGTGATGCTAGTTCTGGACTCTAAAAAAATCTGTATTGCATGACCAGCAATAGGAGCCCGGTTTGTGCTACGCGGGGAGGGCATTTGTCATGGGGAATAGGCATCAGGAAGGCCTCTGAAAATATGTGATGCCAGATCGTGCATTACAGACATCCTGAGTCATGTAAAATATGCATGACAAACCTGGTAACCTTCCAGACCCAGACATTTTTACATTTGATATAGTTTAAGAAAATACAAAACTCAGAATATGAAATTCTGCCGGTGCTAGTGGTTTTGAGAATATCAATATTACAGTAAGAATTATGGATAATACAAACTCTTTTCTACTTGTAAAATCCAAAAGTTTCTGCTTCAATTATCGAACGAAAAGCTCGTAAAAGTAGCGCGGTTTTCTCTTAGTAATACTGTAATTTCAAATAGCACGATTGGTAGTTATTCTGTGATTTTGTATTTGAGAAAATAAGCTTTTTGGTGTTGAAAAAGATTGGTTTGAGAACTCTTCGATTTGGGTTCTAGTTGATGTTCTTAGCGATAAAAAGCAAGCTTGTGAATAAGTAACGCGACTGTTTGTGCCTATTAGCTTGATTTATGTCTTTCGTTTTTTCAAGTTCTACTTGTACTTTCACGCCTCAAATTCTTTTGAGACTTTTGACCAGCGAAAATTCTGTCAGCCTCGAAAACAAGCTCTATCGGAGTAAGTTAGAACTGCTTCGAAACTTTCAAAAAGCCGCTTTTTATTGGTCACTGTAAGGAGTTTTATTGGTAATTTTTGTGTTGTTGTGTACTCAAAAGAAATTTATGCTCCTTCCCAAGAACTGCGATGTTTATTTCAAAACACGCCGCTGCTCGCAGATCTTGTGAGATTTTTTTCGAATGTAGATTTGTTGTATTTTTTCGGATTTTATAGTGCGATCCTTTTGTCCTGAATTTATTCTTGGAATTTAAATTTTTGGATCCTACCAACCGTGATGTCAATTGTGTTTGCTCAGACAAAATTTATTTCTTGTCGCAATCTATGATTTTTTGGTGTGTACGATTTATTCAAAAAAGATTTACATCAAAATTGTCTTCCAGCTCTAAGAACTTCAACAAACTACAGAGCTACGGGGTGCGCGTGAACTGAGTTTGTGAAGCTGCAAAAGAGTTGTACACACCTTTATGATAATGGAGTTTTGATAGTATTGTTACAACAAGTGAAGCGCAGTAAAAGATTTTTTGAAAATGCAAATTGAGGCACAAAACTGTTGGGTATAGATAGGAGGTAAAAGATTGATTTTTAAAGAACAGGATGGAGGTACAACTTACGTAGAGATTTCAAGCTAAAGACAGTTCGGGGTTTGACGTCGGGCGGGTCTCAGCTCACTGATTTATACCTGCGGGAGGGAATGCCGATATAAATGAAATCAGTACAACTTCTGAACACGCTTCCGGAGGTGGCGGATTGCGTATATTACGAATGCGAACTCCTATCTAAAATGATCTGAATAATACTGCTTCTCCTTTTGCTATCCTGCTAGCAATTCAACCGCGATTACTTATCTAACGAGGCGCAGGCGCTTCTTGGTCGAGCTTTTATTTAGCGTTTGAAGATTTTATTCGGTCGCAAGGGGCGCGGGCGCGGCGGGCTGCACGGGCGATAATTTTCTTGGGATCAAAATAACTACCGTCCATGAGCTCCAGGGTCAAGAAACACCCAGCAAGTTATCGCGAGCAGGGCAGCATTGTGCTTGTGCAGTAAGGAGAGGCATCTCACTTACTCCTGTGGGCGCGCGTTTTTTTTGTTGCAACAGAGAAAGTTAAAGTAGTGTCAGTGGACTAATATAGATCCCTTTGGCGGCCAAGTCTGCACGATTGCGATCCCGATCGCGTTGTTCTGTACGAAAGTTCTTCTATTTCCTTTTCTCTAGTACGAAATTATTGTAGTAGAACGAAAACCGAAATAAGGCTGATGCTGCGAAAGACAAAAGTTTCGCTTCCTTCTTGTACGAACCGACGTCATTTTGCAAAATTTTTGGCACAATGCCATCCTTCATCTCGTTGTTGGTTGTACTAGTTGTAGGCACATGAAAAAACCGCACGAAAAACCGAAAATCAAATGTCGCAGCAGCGATTCAGAAATAAACGGAAACCGAATGCAGTTGCTTTTGCGCTTTTTTCTATTCAAGGCCAGAAGATGTACAACTACCGAATTAGGTGCGACAAAATGTCATATTGTTCTTGATACATGAGACCAATGCCAATCAAAATGAACATCATCAACTTGTTCGGACAAGTGATCAAAAAATGGCTCAGTACCACCTCGTGCTAGTTTGCAGTGGTCGCACTGAAATCGATTGAGGTCCGACGCAAACTTGTGGTGCGAAAGCCTACTTCTATTCTATGTGTGTCGCTTCGAAAGTACTTAAATCATTTATCGTCCAGCATGACGCTCGCGCAGGCTAGGGCTCTCCTTTTATCAAAAAAACACACATTCCAGCAGTATAAACACCAAATTTCCCAGTATCAATGGGTACTTCATGAACGTCCGCATTGCGTGCAGGAATGTTGCCACTTGATTCTGCAAACTTGTCGCGTTCCCCCCCACCATTGCTTGATCCAGCCCGAATTGCCGGAGAAACCGCTTCTCGTTTAGTATCGCCATGGCGTTCGCAAACAGCAGCGCCGCTTCCACGAGATGCGCGAGGGAAAAACCCATCTTTAGTTTTGGGTCGTTGTTGGTGAAACTCCTTGTAGAAAGCGCGTTCTTTCCGTCTTACAGATAGGAAAAACTTATAGGCTTTTTACAACTGCAGATCGAGATGGTTGTTGAAGTACGTAGAGGGTCGTCGTGCGTGGTAAACGCAATTATAAACTCAAACTTCCTTGAAAACGAGATCTTCACAGTAGAGCACTACTGGTGCAGCTCCTCCTCGTGTAAAAAATGATCTAGCATGTCGTCTATGTTGTGTGTCGCTGTGTTTGTGTGGTACTGACTTGGCAGCATCAGTTGAGATGTTGAAATGGAACACAGATCTATCTCGGATCGGCAAATCATATTTGCTAGCGCAGCAGGAAGCGCTGCAAGAACGGGATGCGTTGTAGTAGTAACACCCTTATTTGCTGCGATGAAGATCCTTGTGGTTGTACTACATGTTTCATAATTCTCGTTCCCAGCAATGTTAGAGTTGGTCAGCCTGAGGCTATAATCAGGACAACTTCCTTGAGTTGTAGCGTAAAGGTCCGACGTCGTGTAGCCCTCGCAGGTATAAGGATAGGATTTTTTCTTCTTTCTTCTGCTCCAAGTCCAATTTTATTTTTTTTAATAGCAACATACTACAGACTTCGAAATCTTATACAATCTGATATCAATCCTCCTCTTCTATGCTGTCGAAGGCTTTGCTAAACAAGTCGTCGATCTTCTTCGTGATTCTTTGCGAGGTTTCTACCAGATGCGTATTGGAATTCACAACCGCGTACTTCTGCTTAAACAAAGCCTTGAAATTTTCCTCCTCCTCCCGGAACTTGTCACTGTTGATCCTCTATGCCTCGCAAAAGCGTGATCGCACGCAGTAGGTAAAAACCGCAATACAACTTTACTGAAAGGGAAAAATCGACTTCTGTCTCTTTGTAATGCAGATTCAGGCATAGAAAAAAGGTACTGTCATGCGAGACTGCATATCAAAATTTGTTTGTTCCAGTGCGATACACCTTTTGCAGCAAATGGATATCCTTTCCTCCATTTGCAGCTTCTCTTCGTGCTTCTTCTTTATCTTCAACCGTTCTCTCTCGTCTTTAGTCAAAGCTCCTAGCTTACCGTCCGGACTGCTGGTCGTGCTGGAAATAGTAGAGTTGCGACGCGACTGCTTCAACCCACTAGCCTGGAGCTCTTCATCCAACAGTTTCGCACTTCGCAACTGTTCGGGGGAAAGCTTTTTCGGCGAGTGCGGTTGGAATTTGTTTGCAGTTGGGCTTTGCGGGGGATCAAGGAGGTCATTTTTACTAGCCCGAAGAATATCGCCCAGCGTAGTTTCCGCTTCGTCAGACCAATCCTGCCCTTCAGCTCCGTCGACGTTATACCCGCCCTCTTCTTCTGCCTCATTCATCTCCTGCCTCGATCTATCGTACGAAAACAGTGCTTCACTGTAAGGATTTTGCACGTTTTGCATCACAAGTTTGTTCTGCATGACAGAGAAAATTTGCCATGCAAGGCTCGTAAGGGAACGCACAGCGAAAAATCTACTGTCTTGCATGAGTAGCATGACAAACACTTTTGAGATACATATTCTGCATTACAAGTTTACAGTGAAACAGTTTTTTCTGGCGATACGATCTGTGATGCGGGTCGTAGATCGCAGCGAGGATGTCGTCGTCCTCATCCTCGTCGTGGTCGTCACCACCTAACAGCTTCAATATGAAAGTGCACAACTCCCCGTCCACCTCGCTCTGTATTGCATGGACAGCAACACAAGCGTCAGCAAGAATACAGGTTTTGCATGACAAATCTGGACAGGAGTGTAGTGCTATTTGGGCACCAGCTGCCAGAAGAACTTGTCATGCATGATAGTGACAGGAGGCAAAGCGTAGATTGGGTATTTTGCACGAGAAATGAGAACGAGGAGGAGCTGTTGTGTACCCTCATATTGAAGATCCCGCCGACGGAAGACCCGTCCGTTTTGGAAAACTGAGTTCCGATCGATTGGTCCAATTTGTCTTGCATAGTAGCAGCAGACTTCGTTGTCCCCGGCCGAGAGGAATTTCTTGACTTTCGCTCCTCATATCGCATGAAAAAACTGTTTCACTGTGATAATTTTGCAAGGTCTGCATCACAAGTTTGTCTTTGTTTACACAAGAAGAGATGAATTTGCCATGCGTGCTTCCAACCAAGAACGGAAAACATGCTATAGAGCTCCGGTGTAGTCCTCTTGCAGGTGTAGCAAGACGACTAAGTAGCTCTGTGCTCCATTCATTCTATGCATCACAAGTTCACCGTGAAACAATCTTTTCTCGCGATACCTCATTTTCAAACGCTAATGCTGTCCCCACCGTCATCCCCGAGCTCTGCTGACTTTGCTATCCTGTGCAAAAGTATCGCACTCGTAGTGATTGCAGTCATGCATTACAAATCTTTCTCTTGAAGGTAAATCCGCATTGCAAATTTCATTTCTCATGCTTAGGAAATAATTTGTAATGCATTTATACGACGAGTAGGATACTTTTGCACCTGATATTTGCTCGAACGGGTTAAAATTGGAACTCGTCATGGTGTTTGGCGAAGGCTTATTCTGTGCAAAAGTATCGTACTCGTACTAATCGCATTCATGCATTACAAGTTTCTTTCTCAGGTTAAATCCGCATTACAAATGTTCTTTCTCATGCTGAGGAAATTTTTCATGCGATTTATACTAGTACGATGCTTTTGCATTTCATAAGGCTGCGGAGAATTGGAAGACGAGGGATTGCGGCCCAGTAGAATTGCTTGTTCATTACTGTTATTGGAAGAAGATTTTGACCCAGCGCCTTCCGTATGAACTGCAAAAATGTCTGGATGTCTGGAAACTTGTGATGCTGAGTGGCGTAGCATGAGGGGGCCACAAGTGCTGGCTCTGCATGACAAATTTCTGAGCTTGTAGGTGTTGCCTATTCTGCATGACAAACTGCGTCTCCGCATGACAGAAAAATGCGGCTCTTGGGTAACGTGTATGACAGATTTAAGAGTCATGCCAGACAAGCATGACAAACATGCATTCTTCCAGACCCAGACATTTCTACATTTGATATTCCGCGGTCGTCGTACTCGAAGTGTTCGCATCCGTCGGGCTTATCGTGAGAAAAAAGAAAAACTCGTGTCTCAGTCTCAACTTGTATTATAAATGCGGAACGTCCTTGTTGAGACAGTCTTTTGTCATGCTCGAGGACATCATGCAGGAAAAGGCCGGCGCTTCATGCCTGTTCATTTCTCTCGCAGCATCATGTGACGCATCACAAATTTTTTTGCGTGTCATCGTAAAAGTGCAGCGATTGCAAGGGTTTGAGAAGCAAAGACAGTTTTTTCCTTCCTGCGATAGCGCTTATGCAGGAAAAAAACTGTGTAAGTGTAACTTTCTTGGAGGAACAGCATCACAAGTCTGCCCTGCATGACAGAGAAAACCTGTCATGCGTAGCTAGTACGTGAAAACACGTACGAAAAGTGCCTCTGTTGCATGTCCAGCATGACAGTTGTGACTGTCTTGCATCGTCTGCAACACAAAGTTACACTTACACAGTTTTTTTCTTGGATAGCGCTCGATCCCTCGTTACTCGGGGAGACAATCGCGACCGCCGCCCCGGTATCAAATGCAAAAATGTCTGGGTCTGGAAGAATGCAACTTGTCATGCTAAATCCGGAGCAGGCAAAAAACTGTGTTGCATGCTTGCCAAAAGTTGTACACTTTTGACCTAATCGAGAGGCAGTTTCTCATGCAGGATAGGCATGAGAGAGATCGCACAGAATCTGTCATGCTAGGTCCTGCATTCCGGGCTTCCTGGATCATGAAAAAACTGCATGACAAATCTGGCAATCTTCCAGACCCAGACATTTTTACATTTGATACCCGGGCAGCAAAGTCAAACTTGTCCCATGGTCGTCCAACGTGCCAGCGCGAGCATCCTGGTCAACTGTAACAGCCAGCCCCATTGTCCCCAAAGCGGTCGTATCAAATGTAAAAGTGTCTGGGTCTGGAAGATTCTGACACTTGTCATGCACGTTTTGCATGAGCCATGATGTCTGTGTTGCATACCCTAGGAATACAGATTTTTTGAGGGCTTCTTAATGCATATTCCGCATGACAAGTGCCTTCTCAGCGTAGCAAAAATTGCACTCCCTTTGGTACTCATGCAATACAGATTTTTTTGGGAATCCAAATGCAGCATCACAAGTTGCATTCTTCCAGACCCAGACATTTTTACAGTTGATAGGTCGTGTTGGGGGAAAAGCAAACCCCCGTTTCCTCGTCATAGTCCAGAACCGATTCATCGTCGTCGTCCAGCTCTAGCAGCGCAGCCTCGGAATTGATCGTTGGCAAGGATTGGTCAAAGAAATCCGTTTGCTCAAACACGTCCGTTTGGTCAAACAAATCAAAGGCTTTTTTCGCCGCGTCCCGTCGCAACAATTCGGTATCAAATGTAAAAGTGTCTGGGTCTGGCAACCTGTGATGCGAAAATGTGCATGATGGAAACACTTCCGAATGCAGTCCGGCATGACAACTTCCCGAAACGCTTTCTCATAGGCAATCCGCGTGAGAAACTGCGTTTTTGCATGACAAAAGAGGCTGCGACTTTTGTTGGTTATGCAATACAGATTTTCTAGGTATGGAAAGCTAGCATTACAAGTTCCAACCTTCCAGACCCAGACATTTTTACGAATCCATATTCAGATTGCTCTTCCAACTCGTGAAGTTTGCTGGCCTGTTTTGTCTATCCTGTGCAAAAGTATCGTACTCGTTCGTAGTAAAATAAATTGCAGTCATGCATTACCAATCTTTTTCTTATAGATAAATCCGCATTACAAATTTTATTTCTCATGCTGAAGAAATTTGTAAATGCATATTTATACGAATACGATACTTTTGCAGTTCATATTTTCACCGACTGCTCGATATTTTCGATCGAGCTGTCGTGACCTACTGCATCATTAATAAAGCTGCTTCCGGGGGAGGACAGAGACGACAAGTGGATGTTCGTTTTCAACAATCTACCGGTCACAGGGTCGATTTCCGGAGAAGTTGGAGAACTTCTAGAGATCATATCACCAGCCACAGCTGCACTGTCGTGTGAAATGATTGGTGTGTCATATCCCATGTAAAAACGTCCCCACCCGCCCATAGAAATGCAAATCCGCATGCTGGAAATGTTTCTCATGCGGAGTCCCATGAGAAGCGTATTCTAGTCGCGTTTCGGAATTTGCGATGCTCTAATCAGCTCGATGCGTTAGCTCTGTGATGCTGCTCGACTAGTTCAACAGGATAACACTACGAGGCCAAACTTGTCATGCACAACAGCCAAAGTTTGCTGATTTGTTTAAGTAGCAGATTTCCACCCATCTTGACTATGGGGTGGAGCCGTTTTTACACGGGATATGTCCGACGTTTTGTTTAGTTGATCGGCGCCTACTTGTCCGAAGTTGATATTTTCTGGAATGATGTCCAAATTGCAGCTCTGCGAGTTCTTCATCAATTGAGAAGAAATCGCGGCAATAGCCGCCTTCTCCTCCTGCTTTGCAGTAGGGGAGCTCGTCAGGTAGTCGTAGGATGCGGATGCCGCCGAGGCTGTGGCAGGAATCAAACCGGGAACAACAGCTGTTGCCGGTTTTTGCACCGACTCCATAGAAGTTGCGGAAGTAGTGCTATGAAGTAGCCCTTTGTTCGCTTTGGCCAAGTTTGTGGTATCCACCGACTTGTCTTTCTCTGCAACTGGGTCAAGTTCGAAAGTTTCCTCGTATGTTTTCGCACTTGTTTTATTTTCACCAACATGATCATCCTGATTCGCGGATTGGTGTTCCAAAACAGGTGACAGCGGAGACAAATTTGAAGATTTTGTATTTGCCAGCTGCGCCCCCCCGGTATTAGTACTACTTCCTCCCCCCGTCCGCTCCAAAACCAGCTGTTTCCGTCTTTCCTCCATCTTCTTCAACTCTAACGCGATGTTGTCCCGGATCTGCTTCCGTTCCGCTTCGAGTTTTTTCTCCTGTTCTTCGTGCTCCTTGAGCAGCTGCTTTTCCATTTCCTTTCTCCTTTTCATCTCTTGCTGCTCCTTCAACTTTCGCCGCTCCATTTCCTTTGCCAGTAGCTGCTGGTCAGCCTTGACGTACTGCATCCTCTCCCAGAAATTGGACTGTGCCTGCGCCGCGATTGACAAACCAGTGGCGTTCATCATACTCGTACCAATATCCCCACCGGCCTCGCTGAGTTGGGACTGAAGTTGGAGCTGCTGCTCCAGTATGAATTGCAAAAGTTGTATCGCACTCGCAGATATGTTGCCAGACTTGCATGACAAATCTGGTTTCTTAAGTAATTTTAGCATGACAAGCGCCACTTGTCACGTTGATCAAATTTGTAATGCGATTCTTCATGCTAAAAGTACCGTACGGTAGGATTTTGCAATGCATATCCAGCACGTTCACGTTGTGGCTCGCGTTCAACCTCCTTTGCGTGCTCTGCACCGAGGCTGATAACGGGTCTGCTCCACCTGCCGTCCTGGGCGAATAGTCCTGCGTTTTTGCTTCCAAAAACGCGGCCCCAGTTCTCGGGGACAGTTTCGTCGTTTGCGCAACGTTCGGTGGTGGCTTCGCGGGTAGTTTCGGAACAGTTGTAGGGCCTGTAGATTGCGGAGGCTGCGGCCCAGCAGAACTTGCTCGCTGGTCGTGGTCTTGCTGCTTCTTCTGGTTCTGTAAGAAGGTTGGCAGCAAATCCATCAGATTCCCGCCGTCCGACTGTGATTTCACCGACTGGTCAAACCGATCGTCGACATGCGAGGAGCTTGTGTAGCTCCCCGACAAAAACACGCCGCCGCCTTGGCTCGAGGACGCAGATGCGGACACCGACAGAACCGAAGCGGAGAGCAGATCTTTCGAAGTGGAACTACTTGTCCCCTTACTCGAAGACGAACCGCGAATCCAGTCTATAACACGCTCAGCTGTTACAATCTCAAAGGTTACAGTACAATATGGAGGAAATCTGTGATGCAAGAAGTGCATGATCTACATCTATCCTACTCCCACAGGATTGCGCATGACAACTTCTGGCGTCCCGATCCGCACTAGAATCTGGCGAATTTGTATTGCACAAAGTGGAACGCTGGGCGAGTCTGCCATGCTCATCATGCAAGAATACAAAATCCAGATTCTATTCGTAACGTTTGAGATTGTAACGATAAAGCAGGTCATACAGTCGGCGCCGAATTTCAACCCGCTCAACCGCATGTTTTCCTTCCCGGACTCGATCCGTTTCAGAAGTTCCTCCAGTCTCTTCTTCTCCAGCTTCAAATTTTCCCTCTGCTCTTCCTCCTGTTTCTTTAGCAAAACCGCTTTCTGCCTCTCCTGTTCCAGCTCCTGCTGCCAAATCGTCTGGGCCTTCACCGTATCAACTGCAAAAATGTCTGGGTCTGGAAGGATGCCAGACTTGTCATGCAGGTTTTCCATGACCCATGAGGTCTGGTATGTAGGACAGAGCATGACAGATTCTGTGAGAGTTCTATCATGCCTATCCTGCATGAGAAACTGCCCCTCGATTAGGTCGAAAGTGGACAGCTTTTGGTAATCATGCAACACAGATTTTTACATGATTCAGCTTTAGCATGCCAAGTTGCTTTGTTCCAGACCCAGACACTTTTGCATTTGATACACCGCGGACAGCTTGTGCTGGTCGCGTCTCCGGTATGAGAGAGCACAAACCCCCCTCGCCTCCCGCTTGGTTCTTTGGCAGAAACAGCAATACAAACACCAGCACACGTGTATGCTGTGCATTATAACAAGTTCCTTTACAACGCGCCGATTGTAGTGCTGTTTGGGCCGCCGGCGCTTTCCGTGTTTGTCATGCAAACGGTGCGACAAGGCCGCACCTGGATTTGGCGTTTTGCATGACAAAGGAGGGGGACCACGAGGGGGAATGGTGTACTCATCTCGTATCCGCTTCTTCAGCTCGGACTGCTTCAGAAGCTGCTCGTCAAACCGCTCAGCGAAGGTCGGTTGGAACTCGATTGGAATTTTGGAAGTCGGAGACAGCAGCGGCGACGAGACGTCGGCTGGTTAGAGGTGAATATTAAAAATTCAAATTATGAATTTTCTACTTTTTCCATATTTTTCGCTTTTATTTTTCGTAGGCTTCTGCTGACAAAATGAATCAAACTAACTTGAACTTGTACAAAAGGATCCAGAAGGCATCATGTAGACAAGAACAGCACGCCCACGCGCACGCAAGACGAAATCGTACTAAGTCAGTACCTTCGCCAAGCCCAGTTCTGTTTTTCTCTTCCAAATCTTTCTGCCTTTTCAATTTTCGTTCCTCCCTCCGCTTTATCAACTGCAAAATTGTCTGGGTCTGGAAGGATGCAACTTGTGATGCGTCCTGTGGATCACACAAAAATCTATCTTGCGTGATTGCCAAAAGTTGCCCTTTTCTGACCACCATCATGAGAAGGAGTTTCTCATGCAGGACAGGCACGATAGGGACCACTTCGCAGAATCTGTCATGCTAGGCCCTGCATTCCAGACCTCACGGGGCATGGAAATTCTGCATGCCAAGTTTGGCATTCTTCCAGACCCAGACATTTTTACAGTTGACACGCTTCATCCATTCTTCGTCCGACTCCACATCGGAATCAGACTGATTCGCCCTCTTCTCCTTTTCCCGCCGGATCCGGGCCAAATTTCTTGTCAACTCCGCCTCGTTGATTATGTCGTCGTCCTTCTTGCTCCCCACGCGAGGTTTATCCAGCGGGTGTTCGGCGTACTCCTGTTGGTTACTGTCGTATCGCAAGAAAAAACTGCTTCACTGTAAACTTGTAATGCAGAGAATGTATCTGAGAAGTATTTGTCTTTCTCCACATGCAAGACCATGGATTTCTAGCTGTCTTTTCCTTAAGGAAACTCGCATGGCAAATTTTCTCTGTCATGCAGAACAAACTTGTGATGCAAAACTTGCAAAATCCTTACAGTGAAACACTTTTTTCGTACGATATGTCGACAGAATAAAACTCCATCTGGTTATGCTCATTCAACACCCGTTTGGCCGCGTCGTGGTGTCCCAGCAAGTCGAACCGCGGGTCCTCCCCGTGATTTAACTTGTACGTGTATTTTGAGGAAAAAGGCCCCCACCCAAGAGCTGTCATGGAAATCTGCATGCCAGAAAAGGTTCTCATGCGGAGCACCATGAGAAGCATTTTCTAGTCGTGTTTTGGAAGTTGTGATGTTAGAACCAGCACGATATGCTAGATCTGTGATGCTTCTGAACTAAAGCTAAACAGGATCACAGTACGAGGGCAGACTTGTCATGCGAAACAACCAAAGCGAGTTGATTTGTGTAGCAGATTTCCCTTCTTGACTCCGATGTGGGGACAATTTTACTCAGGATAACGTGACTCGTTCCAAATGCGACTTGATCAGCTTCACTGGATCCGCCATGGCGAGTCTGTCTATCGACTGTAAATATGTCTGGGTCTGGAAGCATGGAACTTGTAATGGTAGTCCTCCATTCCTGTAAAATCTGTGTTGCATGACTAGCAAAAAGATGCCGTCTTTTGTCATACAAAAGCGCAGTTTCTCGTGCCGACTGCGCATGAGAAAGTGTGCGGCAAACTTGTCATGCTTGGCTGCATGGGGAAGTATTTCAGTCATCCACAATTCAGCATCACAAGTTTCCAGACCCATAGATACATATTTGCAGTGGATACTGTCCAACTCCTCCCAATCATCCAGATACCGGTCGATGCGAAGGAGCTTCCGCCGCTTTGCTGGCTTAAATTTTGACGGCTTGTAGTTGGCAGTCTCATTTTCCTCTGGTCCCCCAGCACCTCCTGCTCCCTTCGCAGCCGATGTAATACTAGAAGAAGTTCCGGCGTTTTTCTCGCGTAATTGTTGCTGTTTCCGCTCCAGTTTGGTTATTCTCTTCTGCGCAAGCGCGATCTCTTCCGTTCGCCTGGCGTGCCGTCGCGTTCTTTTCAGCCACGCAAACAATACCTATCAAATGCAACTATGACTGGGTCTGGGAAGTTGTGATGCAAGTCAGCCAAGAGCAAGCGCACTGTAAAGCGCCGCCAAGCATGACAAGTTTTTTCGTGCTTCAACTTCTGTGCTGCGTATTCCGCATGAGAAACTGCCTTATTTTTGCATGACAGTCAAGAGAGGCTGCTTGTGGCCACGCAATATACAAAGTTCAGAGCCGTGCCGGACTAGCACGACAAACCTTGCATCTTTCCAGACATCCAGGGATATTTGCACTTGATAATACCCGTCTGGCGTTAATGGAGATCTTGGACGGGTTGCTGTGAAACAGGTGCTGATTGTTCGATATCAAAGAAAAAAAGTTCGTCACGATCACTCATGCGCATTTTTGCAATACAAAATTGTTTGTCATGCGTAAAAATGCATCACAGCCAAACTTCATTAGGGATTTCCCTAGTGTTTCTGCAATACAAGGAAAGTTTGTGATGCTGAGAAAATTTGTAATGCAAAGCCTGCAAGTTAGTGACTGTGACAAACTTTTTTCTCTCCATATTCGACGTCCCGGTTGTAGTACTAGAAGCTGCCCCATCAGCAGCACCGCTTTCAGAAAATGATCCTCTCATCTGTTGCTGTAGTTTATTCTTCTCAGGCGACAAAATGTCTCCCCCGGTGCCAAACCGTCCGGCTCGGGCGTTCCTCGTTCGGTTGTAAACGGAGGAAGCGGGGGAAAATTCCTCGTTATTCGACTCATCAAAGGAAACGCGCTTGCTCGGGTCCGCTTTCGACGATCCGTCCTTCTCTTTCTTTTTTCCACTCGGGCTTCGCGCCTTTGTCGTCCGTGCACCATCCGGTGACGCAGTAGAGTCGACTGCTTTTTGCCGCAGAATCGACGATGAGGGCGCTTCGGATTTCCTTGCAGCGGATGCGAACTGCGGGAAACCCTGGTAATTCGCGCTGTTTCCAGAGGAAGGCGCTCCTGTTGTCACATTAGCGGCGGTTGGCGCAGCTCCACCTCCCTGCATGTTCTGCGCACCGCCGACTATGGCGTTCTCAAACGTTACATTCTCAACTGTTACATGAATTTGTGATGCTAAAACAACCGCACCGACATTGCCATTGTCCATTATCGCTGGGGAGGCAAGCCTCCGCAGGCGCTGGAGCGGCATAGGGTCAGAACCGCAACAGTGAAAGGGGCAAGCTTGCAACTCTCGCATCACAAATCCGGCACAGATTTAGGTGCTGTTTAGCCCTTCGGGGATTTGTCATGCGAGGCGGCTTGATTGTCTGGCGGCTCATGGTAGTTTTGCATGACAAATCATGTAACAGTTGAGAATGTAACGTTTGAGAATCCCATACCGACCTGCCCCGTGTTGTACACCGTTCGAAGTGTCTTCTATCAAAAGGAAAAATCCCCCCTCCCCATATTGAAATGGAAACTTCTGTTGCTGGATTTGTGTACACAAATCAGGTTTGTCTTGCTGGAGAGGACTGCAGACACGTATCTAGTCCGAGTGGTGAGGCTTTGGCCTAGGCGCTTAGCATGCCAGACGTTTACGCCGTAGGAGCAAGAGCATGACAAACCGCCTGTAGAATGCGGCGGAGCCTGTGGGGTTGCCTTCATGCAACACAGCGACCATTTGTGGTCACAAATCAGCAACACAGATTTTCGAAAACGCACCTTGTTAATATGGGAGGGGGGATTTTCCTTACGATATCTTCGCCTCCTTATTCCCAATGGTCTGCGGGAACGACGGCAGAGGGGGCGGCGCGGCGAGATTTGTTCGCAACGCTCCTGACTTTTCCAAATTCAAAGTCGGTTCCTCAGTTTCGGAGTCTGACTTGTCCTCAGAACTATCAGTGCCCGGATCAAGCGGGCGCCGCTTGTTGTTCATAACCCTCTGCTTTGCGCTTGTGCTGGTTTTACTATTCGGTTGGTTCTTCGGGCTTTTTTTGGCGTAAACCTTGTTCAAAATGTCGTCCGCTGAGGGCACTTTCGACTGGGGAGATGGCTCATCAGCGTCAATGTGGAGGTTGGTTTTTGGTTTTGGTTTTATTTTCCCTTTATCAAAAGTAAAAATGTCTGGGTCTGGGAACTTGAGATGCTGGGTAGCGTCTCATGATGAGGCTACAAATGGTGGCTCAGCATGACAAGTTTCTGAGCTCCTAGGTGTTGCCTATTCTGCATGACAAACGGCGCTTCTGCATCACAGAAAAGCGGAGCTCTTGGGTAACGTGCATGACAGATTTAAGAGTCATGCCAGACAAGCATGACAAACAGACCCAGACATTTTTAGTTGATACCGTTGTCGTGGTGACAAATCCTCGTCCTCGTAAATGCCGGCGTCTATGGCGTTCTCAACTGTTACATTCTCAGCTGTTACATGGGTTTGCGATGCAAGAATGGGAAAAGTGAAAGGGGGGAGATTGCGCCTGTAGCATTACAAATTGCGCACCGATTTAGGCGCTGTTGAGCCCTAGGCAAGTTTGTCATGCGAAGCAGCTTGGTCTCGTGGATAATTGATGATGGTGTTTTTGCATGACAAATTCATGTAACAGTTGAGAATGTAACATTTGAGACCCTCATAGCGTCTAGGTCCTCGTTGTCTTCTTTCGTGAACAGTTTTATCAGAGGCTCGTTGCCTTCAATTATATCCTGTGCAAAAGTATCGCACACGTACCCGTAGTAATCGCAGTCATTGTCATGCATTACACATCCATTTTAATAACGTAAATCCGCATTACAAATTCCATTTCCAATGCTGAGATAATTTGTAATGCGATTTCTACTACTGAGTACGATGCTTAACGATGCTTTTGCATTGCATAAATCAATTCCTCTGGCAAATTCACATTCTTCCAATGGTTCTCCAGCCATTGTTATGGATTGCAAATATGTCTGGGTCTGGAAGAGTGGAACTTGTAATGCAGCTCTCACATTCCTGTAAAATTTGTATTGCATGACCACCAAAATCCGCAGCCTCTTTTGTCTAGACGAAAACGCAGTTTCTCATGCGGGCTGTGCATCAGAAAGCGTTCTGGAAAGTTGTCATGCTTGGCTGCATTCGGAATTGCTTCCATCATTCACACTTTAGCATCACAAGTTTCCAGACCCAGACATTTTTGCAGTTGATAATTGTTGCTTGATGCTATCTTTCTGCTCCTGTGCAACCTGCTCCGCTTTTAGCCGGGCTTCCAGCATCTTGTGCTTTTTCTGCTAGTATCCAATGCAAACACGATATGTCTGGGACGAGGTATGGAACGCAGATTTTCGCTAGATTTGTCACGCATGTCGGACATGACTCGAGAGGACTCTGTAATGCAGATCAGCATCCGATGTTGTTGAAAGGGTCTGCCCAGTACTTCTAGTACCTGTCATGCAAAAACGCAGCTACAGCTTGCCATGCGGAAAACGCAATGAGTACAGAGCAGCCCAAAATAAACTTGTCATGCTTGGCCACGTATTGCAGTGCTTCATCTGTTGTTCACTTTTAGCATCACAACTTCTTTCCAGACCCAGACATACTATTTCAATCCATAGTTGGTCCTCGATCAGCACTCGTTCCCGAAACTGCTGCTCCAGTTGCGCTATGAATTGCAAAAGTATAATCGTAGGCTAGTAGAATTCCAACACAAATTTTTGTTCTCTAAGAGAAGAAATGCAATTTGTAATGCTGATTTGGACTGCAGCTATTACTAGTGTGAATATGATACTTTTGCAATGTATATGCGTCGGTGGCACAGGCTGGGAGCCGAACTTGTTCGGTTTCAGTGGAGACGGTGAATTTGTTCCGTCGCTAGACTTGTCAGGCGAGCCGGCATATGGTTGACGCCTGATAGTGGTTGTTTATTGCTTGGAGGTTTTCAATTCTATCCGCTTCCGCATAAGATAATTGACTCGAAAATAAAATCTCCGATGCGAAAATCAACTTCAAGAAGCGCAGCCGGGTCTGTCATGCACAAACAAGGACGACCCATAGGTGGGTAGAATAAAAGTGCGACGCAACTATCATATTCATACCCATCCAGCTCCGCGAGCGATTTTCCCGCCTTTTTCGCCAGGAACTTCTCCACCTGCTCGTACTCTTCAACTTATCAATTGCAACCCAAGCATCGTACTAGCAGCATAAATTGCAGATTTTGTTTTTGCAAAGATTGCATTAAAATGTTGGTGCGAGATGAAAAAAACGAGTCAGTGTGTGATGCACATGCAGCCAGGGAACAATAAAGGAAGACGTTCTACTGTACTGTCATGCTGAAATGCAATTACAGCAAATTATACGGCTACGATACTTCTACAAGGGATACAACTTTCTGTTTCACGACGTCTTTCTGCTCTTCGGACACTAACCCCGGATTTTTCACGACCGAGTAGGTTTGTGACAGCATGGACCGGTCTTTTTTAAACTTCCTCCTGCTCCTATCCAGGAAAAAAAGTGTGGAAGTGTAAACTTTCTTGGAGGAACAGCATCAGAAATTTGCTCTGCAAGACAGAAAAATTTTCTCATGCGTGGGTAGCACGGCAAAACCCTTAGGAGAAGGGTTTCTGACGCATGTCCAGCACGACAAGTGTAGAAGATGTCTTGCATCCTCTGCAACACAAATTTACACTTACTTACACAGTTTTTTTCTTGCATAGCTCTCCGCCTGCGGGTCGTTCGGGTCATAATCGGCGTTTTTGTCCTCCTATCCGAGAAAAAAAGGTTGTTAGTGTAAATTTGTGATGCGCAACATGCAAATCGATTGCGCCTGTCATGCTGCGCCTGCATTGTAGGGTCCATTCAACGGCGTTTTCCCGTACTATCTGCGCACGACAGGTTCTTGCTGTCATGCGAGAGATATTTGTCATGCTAATCCTCCAAGAAAGTTACACCTACAATCTTTTTTCCCTGGATACCTCTAACTCCGCGTAAGTTAGCTGCGTCTGTTCGTTGGGAGAAATTTCGTACCTGTCTTTTCTCGGGCCGATGTTCACGGGTCGGGTGGAGGTCATCGTCTTCGTGGGTTCTACTTTGGTTCCTATTTTTGTTTTATTTGGTGCGGTTGCAGCTCCCTCCTGCTCGTGTGGTCCCGAGGCAGCTGACACCGAAAAATCCTCTATCACGTGCGGGGAAGATGCCGTGCTAGCCGTGCTGTTAGTCTGCTTACTCGCGCTGTCCGGTTGTGGCTGCTGCTTTGTCTTCACGCCACCAGCGGTCAACTCGACCGGCTTGTTCAGAACGTGTCCTGGCTCCAATGGTGGGTATCGCAAAAAAAAACTGTTTCACTGTAAACTTGTAATGCGGAAAATGCATCTGAGAAATATTTGCTTTGCTGCACATGCAAGACAGTGGATTTTTAGCTGTGTTTTCCGTTAGGAATCTCGCATGGCAAATTTTCTCTGTGATATAGAACAAACTTGTGATGCAAAACTTGCAAAATCCTTACAGTGAAACACTTTTTTCATACGATAGTGGGGGCGCAGTTTTTAATACAGCAGCGCCCGCAGTAGTGTCGTTCTTGTCGTCGTCTAGCATGGAAGTCTATCACCTGCAAACATGTCTCGAGGGTCTGGAAAGTTGTAGTGCGAGGCTGTCAATGATTGGTAAACACCGCAACACACAGCCCAGCATGGCAAGTTTCTCCGGCTGCTATCTGTTGCGTATTCTGCATGGCAGACTGCGTAGTATTTGCAAACAAGTCTCATCGTCCCCATGCATTACAGAACTCAGAGTCATGTCCGACCCGCATGCCAAATCTTCAAATCTTCCCGACCCAGACGTGTTCGCCGTGCATAAAGTGGCCTATTGAGAGGAAAAATCCCCCCTCCCCATATTGAAAAGGTATGTTTCCGGAAATTTGTGTTGCTGATTTGAGGTCACAAATCACATTTGTGCTGCAAGAAGACAAGGGCAGAAGCTTTCGGCCCATTATGGGAGCCGTTTGTCATGCTGTTTGGCCTACAGGGGAACTGTTTGCCATGCTGAACAACTAGACCCAGACGCCTCTGTCTCAGCTGAGTATGTGGCCGCAATGCCTTCCTGCAACACAAAGCCCATTTGTGTACACAAATCCAGCATCAGAAGTTCCGTTTTGATATGGGGAAGGGGGATTTTTCCTTTTGATATCGCCAGGTTGACCCCCTTCGGGCTTTTCATCGGCGCGATCGCACGACCACTATCCTGAGCAAAAATGTCCCCACCCCATAGTCAAGATGTGGATTTCGCTACACAATCACAAAGCAACAAAAGTTGCTTCCATTGCAAATAATCGATCATCTGATCCTGATTGTCGCATGATAAGCTGCCAGACAGCATTGGAAAATGCTTGTCGTGAGGTTGCGCATGAGAGACATTGATTTTAGGTGGCGCGCCGTTATTTAGCATGACAACTTCTCTGGACGTTTTCGCTCAGGATAACCGCGGTCGTGCGCTTTGCGCTCGCCGGTCGAAACTTTGGCACCCATAGTCGTAAAATAGCAATGTAGTACTTGTAGTACAGGAATTTGGGGGTAAATTGTCAACTTCGCAACATGATGTGGGCAAAAGCAAAAGGGGTAGAAGTGGAACAAAATATTTCATACAGGAAAGGGGATGAACAATTGGTACATTATTTCATAGTACACGAACAGCGGTACGACGTTTTCACATTTTTACTAGATATAGTTGGGTAGCGAGGACGACACAAATATTAAAATCCTACGCGCGAAATAAGAAGAACTTGAATTTCTAAAAATGGGTAGTGCCATCAATGCTAAAATGGTATTGAGTGGTGTCCTGATAATTCAGAATCCACAAAAAAAGAATTTCTCGTTAAAACGCAAGACACGACCTCCTGACCACCTAAGCGTAAGCCTACTACATCAAGCGACAGCATTGCAGTTATTCTCACCGCTCTGACTGCTCGGCTTTCATTGATACACCTGGCTGACTTGGAGATTTTTGTTTGACAGACTTCCACGGAATCAACATCCGAGAGGGACCACAGACATGATTTTTTTACAATTGACAGACTCGACCACAAGGACACAGACTCGACCATAAGCTGGACACAGACTCGCTTTTTTAGCCGGTGACAACAGGCTCGCTTAGATCGTGACCACATAGACTGGTTTCCATAATGACACAGACTCGCCCAGCGCAAGGTAACACGGTACTAGAATGACTCGCTGTTTCTCGAGTACTTTTTCGACGGTAAATTCTGAGTTCTCGCGACTTTTTTACCGACAAGCAGGATTCACATTCATGCGAACTCGATTATATTAGACAGAAGGATGTTCGTCCTGCAGGTACGTCATCACATCCTTCAATCCTCGTCTGTCCACTGTTCTCTTTACCTGTAGTGGTACTGTGGTGGACGAGAGCAGTGCTTTCGACTTTTTCTATTTGAAGGGGAAAAATAATGTCCGAGTTGTTGGCTTTATTTCCACCTGTTCGCACCACTTGGTGTTCTTGTTGATTTGCATTTGATGACTCGTGGTGCCGAACTACACGTATAGAACGCTACTAGAGTACGTGGAAGTAGTGGTTGTTCCGCTCCTCCCTGGCTGCACTATCGTCATCAAAAAGTTCATAGATGGCTGCACATCAAAAACGTTTTCTAAACATCAAAAACTTCTAAAGCATCATCAACTAAGCCGGGGAATGGATTTTCAGCCACACAATGCCACTCGCACGGTACATTGGTCCCATCAGCGGCCGTGCACCTCCCTGCGTACGGACTCACGCAGCCTTGCTGCTGACGACAGTCGTCCTGCGTGCACCGACCGTCATCATTTCCCGGGCAGCCATCAGCCCCACGACCCGTATGGGAGTGTCAGGATTGAAATCGTCAAAGTTGAAATTATTTGTAATGCATAAAATCGATACCAGCTGGAAGCCCAATTTCCCAGCGGCGCATGACAAATTTCGGCACCGTCTAAAGCCAGTTTGTCATGCTGTTTAGGGTCAGAAGGCGCCTTTTGTCATGCTACTTTAGCAGCTCTATTCCAAACCCGAAACAGGCTTACAATCGGCCTCATTTGCAATCCCTGCAAGAGAGGCACTTCATGCCTTGCAATTTCTGCATGAGAAATTATTTCAACTTTGAGGATTTCAATCCTGACGCTTCCATAACCCGGGTCGGGGCCGTACTTCGCGCAGTCGGATCGCGGAGGTGCTTGTACGTCGAGGTCCTGGTCTTTCGCGGTCCTGGTTTGTCGCGGACGAGGAGCAGGCAAACGCTCCACGTGATGGTACATTTTTTCCTTCTGACTTTTCTCCCACTTTGCATCTTCGTCCGCCATGGCGAAAGCACGGGCATTGGCAGCTGCTTCTACCGGAAAACAATGCGACTGCTCCCACCGGTTATGCGAATGACGGAACCCCGGCTCCGACGAAAACCAAGTGCACGGGCGTTTGTACATGGACATATAGGATTCGCACGCTTCTTTGGTTCCCTGATGCATGCAGGGCTCCTCATCAAGAATTATATTCGGCTTCACAACACTGCCTGCGCCCACTTGCGAGAAGGATGACACCCCACTCGCTCCGTTCGCGACACCAGCCTCGTGGCCCGCACCCAACGGACGAAAGAACGCCGCCCAAGAACCGACCCGTTCACCGGCCGACACCAGCAACAGAACGCGCAAACCCAACCCGGCGGTGGCGGTCACCAGGACGAAGAGCAGGACACGAGAAAGAAGCTGACGCAATAACGTTTTGATCGCGGTAGTGTCGGAGTCTCCGGCCATCTTGCCGGCAGCCAGAGTCTTTTTCGCCGGTTTATGCTTGGCGTCAGCGGGAGAGGACATGGTCCCGTACGCATCGACATTCACCAAACGCTGCGACTCCTGCTGCTTCGCGGCCAACCTGCAGGAGATTTTTTTTCCGATTTTTATTGTCTGTCATTCACGACCGCGTGGCACTGCTAAGAAGATATCTTCTTGATGAACAGTTTGCATCCAAGGCACCAGTAAGAACGAGTATTATCGTGTCGCAGCAGTAAACCGGATATTTATTGTAGCGAAATAAGGTAAAAAACGTCGCGCACTTTATCCACCAGCAAGTTGAAAAAACAATGTACAAGCTCATCGCCTCCGATCCTTTGCACGTCGAACCTCCGGCCACGGAATCGACCGCCAGATCCGTCATTTTCGTCTTGCTTGAGTATACTTGTATTGCAGAACTACACAGCAATCAAATGCTATTTCTATTTTGGTCTTCTCGAAGCGGTCCGAAGCTGCACGAGACTTAAGCTTTTTTCTTTAATGCTCAAAATATTCGAGGGAAAAACTAACTACTCTGCAGTTCCTGTACGTACCGCCTTCCTGTTGAGTTTGATGAGAAATAACGAAAGACTGCTGCATCTATCACACCACGTTCGTGCCAACAACAAGCAGAGGAAAACGAAAAGACTGATAAATGCTTTCCATTGCAGCTTGGGAAGATGTTGAACTAAGTACTGTTCGTATAATTGACGAGAATAGTAGAAACCGCACAAATTATACACATCACGACGAAATAAAAGAAGCACGACAGAGTAGTAGAGTGGTAATCTGTGGACGAACGGAAACAAAAACGAGAGCTCTAAGTACTGTCGGGAGAACGATGAAGGGCACGTATCAAATGTAAAAGTGTCTGGGTCTGGAAGAGTGCATGTTTGTGATGCTTGTCTGGCAGGAGCAGGACTCTTAAATCTGTCATGCGCATTACCCTAGAGCCCCATTTTTCTGTCATGCAGAAAAGCAGTTTGTCATGCAGATCAGGCAACACCTAAAAGCTCAGAAACTTGTCATGCTGAGCCAGCAGTTGTGGCCTCCTGATAATACGTCACCCAGCACCACAAGCTTCCAGACCCAGACATATTTGCAATGCATAGCACGATAATGCGCACGATAAGAACGACGTCCTACGAGGAAGGAGAGGTCATGTGTTTGTTTGCTCCATTAAGACGTGCTCGTCGACAGGGACGATCCATGAAATCATCCGACAGGGACCACAGACAAGAGATTTTTACATGCGACAGACTCGTCGACCACAAGCTGGACACAGACTCGACCACCAGGATGGCCCCAGACTCGCTTTTTTAGACGATGGCAACAGGCTCGCTTAGATCGTGACTACATGCACTGGCTTCGATAAAAATGACACAGACTCGCCCGACACAACGTGACACAGTAGACTGACTCGTTGATTCCTCTCGAGGACTTCTGTTTATTTTTGCGCGGTTTTCATTACAAAACTTTGAGTTATCGCAGCTTTTTTACCGACAAACAGGATTCACATTCATACGAACTCGATAGTATGGACAGAAGGATGCTGCAGGTACGTCATCACATCCTTCCGTCCTCGTCCGCCCACACGGTTCTGTTCATCTGTCGTGGCGTTGTGGTGGACGAGAAAAATGGTTTTGAATATTTTCTCTTTGGGAATTTTTAGTTCCATTTGGAGGGGGGAAAAATAATGGGCGGGTTGTTGGGTTTTCCTGTTCGCACCACTTGGTGTTCTTTCTTGTGTTGATCTTGATAAAGTACAAGTAGTAGTAGATTGAGATTCGCACCGAACTACAAATCAACAACGCTGTAAGACTATTTCTTTTCGTGCGTTCTAGCGGTAGTTCATCTACTGCTCCTACCTTTTCGTATCGGAACAACTCCTCCTTTGTTGCTGTGCCAACATACTTGTACTCTCCAGCGGTTTACTGCTACTTCAGTTCGGCGTCATTTTCTACGGGAAGGTGAGCTTAGGGCTACTAGGGATGAGTGACTAGGGTTACTAGGTTGTGGGGTTACGTTAGGAGAATGGAAGCGCTAAATTACTGTTGCCGAAAAAAGATTTATTAGGGCTGAAAACTTGCAAAATTATCTAGGGTGATTAGGATAGGCATGTTCTCCAGGGATTCTTGTTAGAGATGTTTTTTCAGGTTGTGGTCGAAAACTTGGGTTTTGTGGGGTTCTTGCAGGTGGCTTTAGCTTTAGCTTTAGGGCACGCTCGAAAAGTTGCATTTATAATTACGAAATTAAAGATTTTGAAAATATGTAATGACAAACGATAAAAAAAGAAGAGGCTATCTCGAGTAGGGGGCGAACAAGGGCTACTAACTAACTAGGGAGGAGACGTTCGCTCGCTCCTCGTTGAATATGGTCGGGATAAGCTTCGTTCCTTACCCACAGCATCATGTTAGGCCCAGTTACTACAAAACGCGGCTCGGGGAAGTCGAAATAATCCTCCGAGAACAATTGAAACGTCCTCCCAAGCGCGAACGCGAAGTAATAACCAGGGCCACACATCAGGAGAAAACGAAACTGTTGTCGCTCGGGGGCTACACTCATGGATTGATATAATCATTCTGGGGAATAGCAATTCAGAAGATTTCCTTTTAAAAGATAAACGAGAGAAGTAGGGCTTTTTTCGTGCGAAGAATGGAGCTGTAGTAAATGCAAGTGGGGGATGAAGAAAAAAAAAAGTGCGTGGGCAAAAAGAAACGTAAATTCAGAGATGAACATTCAAGAACTCGACATCTATCTGCATGTGCTTAAGAACTAGAACAAACTACGTAAAAAGAAAACTTAGTATTTGCCTGTGGATGAACAATACAAAACACTCTCGAGGACGTCGACTTCGTAGCTTGGTTTGATTTTGAAGACAGGTGTCAGCTACCAGAACTGGAGTTGGTCAAAAAATATTACTAGGAGCCGTGGTCGTGGTGGACTGCTTGTTCTCCTCCGCTCGCTTCTGAGTGACTTGTATGACCATTTCATCTTCTTGTTCTTTCGAGAAATAGACACAGCGATCATACCATGGTCCATTCGGCCCCATCGCATACTTGTGCTCTAGAATCAACACGCATTCGCCCCCGATGCATTGGTCTCTCAGAGGCTCGTTCGGCTGGTTCAGCATGCTGCCCCGAGCAGCGATCCTGTTGTCCAGGTCGATTTGGTAGCAGCGCTTACAATCTGCCTCCTTTTTAACGTCGTTAGGAGTAGCACCGCTTCCCATCAACTCTACATATGCACACGCGACCTTCATATCATCCTTGGCCCACATGTCCCACTGGGAGAGTTCAGGGTCACCAAGTCTTCGAGCTTGCACGAAGGAGGACGCTCCGCTCGCTCCGTCCGCGCCACCAGCCCCCGCACCCAACGGACGAAAGAACGCCGTCCAAGAACTGGCCCCCTCGCCAGCCGACGCCAGAAACAACACCCGTAAACCCACCCCGGCAGTGGCGGTCACCACGACGAAGAACAAGACGCGGAAGAGAAACTGGCGCAAGAACATTTTAATCGCGGCGGTTGTGCCAGAGTCCTTGGAGGTCATCTCGACGGCGGCCGGAGTCTTTCTCCCCGGGTGGTGCTTGGCGTCAGCGAGGTGAGGCGACATGGTCCCGTACGCAACGACATTCACCAAACGCTGCGACTCCTGCTGCTTCGCGCACAACCTGCAGGGGATTTTTTTTCCGATTTTTATCGTCTTTCATTCACGACCGTGTGGCACGGCTAAGGAGATATCTTCTTGATGAACAGTTTGCATCCAAGGCACCAGTAAGAACGAGTATTATCGTGTGGCAGTAGCAGCTAAACCGGATACTAATTTTTATTTTTGAAGATAGCGAAAGAAGGTAAAAAACGTCGCGCACTTTACCCAGAACTCTGAAAAAACAATGTACAAGCTCATCGCCTCCGATCCTTTGCACGTCGAACCTCCGGCCACCGAGTCGACCACGCGCTGCGCTTCCTCCGGCTTCGCGAACGAACTGGAATTTATGATTTTTTTTCATTCTTTGGAAAAATCCGCCATGGGTGTGTCACTGTCTCTGTCATAACAAAACCAGACGCCTTGTTGTTATTTGCGAAAACATTCCAGAAGGAAAATCAACCAACCCACAGGAGAAAAAGTGAAATACACGCCCATGGCTGCCGCTCCGCCAGACGGCAAAACTCCGGCCACCGGATCGACCACACGCTGCGCGTCCTGCTGCTTCGCAGACGAGCTGGAATTAGTATTTTTTCTCGGTCATTTAATTATCTTTTCTTCAAAGTTGCGCTTCGTTGCAATCATCATCATCATCATCATCTAAAATGATTCGCTTTTATGATCGAACCCTGTCTACCAATGGCAACTTCCAAATGACCGTGGAGAGAATTCCAAGGCCTCAAGTCACAACTTTAACTTTTGAAAAAGAAAGAATAATTCCTGGAAAAAAAAGGTACAAGCTCATGTCCTCCGCCTCCTGGGACGGCGAAACTCTGGGCACCGGAAGATGCGAATCCCCATCAGCCTGACCCGCGTTGGCACCACCAGCCTTCGTCGACATCGAAACAACATCGGCCGTGTCGATGGATGGATGGATGGATGGATGGATGGACGGCTCGTCCATCATGATCTGCTTTTCACCGCCCACAGCAGCGCCGATTTCAACCCCGGCTTTCACGTCTTCCTGGTGCACGAAAAGATCCGTCATTTTCGTCTTGCTTTGTCCCTCTTGTAAGTCCGCTGTCTGAGACTTTGTTCTTTGTACTAGCAGTGGCTTCTGCAAAAGAAGTACTTACTTACGAAAAAAAACTTGGCTCCAGAAGGAAGTTGGAGGCGCAGCTGCTGTTCTTATTCTTTCTTACAGTGCAAAAAACGCAAGGAGTTTTGCAATGCGACTGATTTCCTGTGTGTTGGGTTTGGACTTGGTGACAATGGATAATGCGGTGACGTTCGTTACGACCACGGCATGACATTTGTTACGACCACGACAAAGAAAGAAACTTTCGAACGACAGAAAAAGAAACTTTGGAACCAGGACCACTACAGCCGGCGCCTCCCTTTGCCTTTGCACGATGTTCTTATAGTACTACATTTAAGTATTTACCATCATGAAATCACGCGACCCAAAGACGGTTGTATCTTTGACGACTGCTGGCACGAACAAAGACGACATATTGATTGATAGTACGAGATCAAAAATCGGAGTGACAGTCCATGAACCGCTCGACAAACAGAGCGCACGACCACGATCGGGGGGCTAGATTTGATTTTCAAGGACGAGGACGACGACGGGCGGCATAAAGTTGTGAGATAAAAACGATTCTGATATCAGAGAAGACCACGACTGTCAGAACGGCAGCAGCCCTAGCTAGTTACACACCAAGAGCACGATGAAGTAGAGATCAGAATACGCTTTAATATTGATCAAGCCTTTCTAGTGGTGTACTACGTATCGTCAACGATGGGGTCGTTATGAATCCAAATCGTGAGAAAGAACATCAGTAGAAGTAGTACTTGTTTACGATATTGAAGGAACACGGAAAGCTATCTCGAACACCAGTACTATTCGCATGCCAACCCAGCTAAACATGCAACAACCGGCTGCGAATTATAAAGTTGGCTGGTGCCCGCACAACAGAAGTTCAAGTTGTAAGGGCATTGTAATCCGATGACATTTGGCCTGGGCACATCAGAAGAGCTTCTTCCATGCGTCGTGGGGAGAAGTCGACGCTGTAGATCAAACTCAAAGACGAGGTTTGTGTTGTTCATTATGATTAAATACCGGTTCCTTGGGGGAAAAACTTTGCACGTGGACCACCTCCGCTAGGGGTAGAAGTGAAAAGAAAAAGCAGTAGTTTAATCAAGTGGTTTACAACTTGAGTCGTGTGCATTTTGCTCTATGTCTACTTTCGCTGCGACATGTCGTGTCGTCCCTCCTCGTCGTTGTAGTTGTTTTTGCTAATACAATCATACAGTGAAGTAGCTACTTTTTGTACTTGTTCTTCTTCTTCTACTTCTTGACGTGTATAATAACATCAGTTCTTGCGACGTTTCCTTCTGCTTTAATCAATACGGGAACAAACTTATGAAAGTGCACAACTCCCCCTCCCCCTCATTTGTATTGCATGAACAGCAATACAAACACCCACACATGTGTAGCTGTGCATGACAAGTTCATGCGCGTAATCTAGTAGTGTCTGGGCTTCCGGAATGATCTGTCATGCAAACAGTACCACAGGGCAGCGCTTGGATTTGGTATTTTGCATGACAAATGAGGGGGAGGGGGGGTTGTGCACTGTCATAAAACTGACCCGGCCCTCCTCCGCGGTCAAACAAAGGCTCATTTCTTTCAGCAGCGCGTCCCTTTGCCACGGCAAGATAACCCCCTTCTCTATCCCGGACTGCAAAGTTTTCACGAACGCCTTTTCGCCCAGCCCATGCTCGATCTTCTTCAGCATCACCACCTGCTGTATCCTGAGTAAAAGCGTCCCCATACCAGAGTCAAGATGGGAAATCTGCTAGACAAATCAACAAGCTTTGCTTGTTGCGCATGACAACTTTGGCCTCGTAGTGTAATCCTGTTGAGCTAGCTCCAGATCTAGCGCATCATGCTATTTCTAGCATCACAAACCCCACAACACGACTAGAAAAAGCTTCTCATAGGGCTCCGCACGAGAAACTTTTTTGGCATGCAGATTTGCATGACAACTCTGGGGTGGGGATGTTTTTACTCAGAATATGCTGCCTCGGTTGTTTCAACTCGATCGTCATCTTACTGATCCCCGGCTGCGACCACGGTTCGCCGTCGATTTGCAGGGGAATCGGCTTCGTGGAATTGATGTCGATTTCGATCTTTTTGCACTGACACAGTATGAATTGCAAAAGTTGATCGCACTAGTGGTAATTGCAATAAAAATTGCCTCAGGATACTACAAATTGAATTTGTAATGCGGATTTGCCTGTGGGAACTAGAGGATTTGTATATGCATATAAATGGAATTAGTACGATTACGATACTTTTGCACAGGATACACAGCCGGATCGCCCGATCCATGCCAATCGAGATGAGCGCTAGGTGTTCTGCGCCCCGGATCAAGACCACGTCGAGTAAATTATCGTGGAAGCTGGACGGGTTGTGGATCGAGCTCGCTGCGCTGAAGGTCGGGGAACTGGTTGCCGTGTTCGTCGCGTGTCTGGCAGCTGCTCCTGGCATCTTGCTTTTTGTAGTTTTTTGCACAGAGTCCTCGTTCAATATCTTTTCATCCGCGCCGGGGCTTATTTTTTGAAAGCAGGACGAAAGTTCTTCCTTTGTCGGAGAGGTAGAAGAAGTTCCGGATCTGTTTTTGCCCACCGACCCAGATGGGGAGTTGTCCGAGTCAGTCTGCGTGCCTGGACTGCTGCCTGCACGACCAGGGTAGAAGTTCTTCATATGATCACGATAATGGTCGTCACTACTTGTTGTCGAGAGTGGTCCCCCGACAGTACCACCAGCACCTACTTCCGAATCAGGATCCGGATCCTCACCTTTCGTACTGCGGACAAACAGTCGGGAGCTTCCGATCGCCATCGGGCCCGAGATCGGACTGCTATCCCGGCTCGTCATGCGGCTCTGCGGGGGGGAAAAATCCGGTGCGGCAGATGATTTTGCGCCCAGCAACTCGTTGTTTTCCAACAAAATCTCCCGGAAATCAGCGGTGCCGTCCCACAGACGGGACCCTCCCGCGTAGCTACCGATGTTGGAAATGATGAGGCATCGTGAGGAAAAATCCCCCCTCCCCATATCGAAAAGGAAATCTGTGATGCTGATTTGTGAGCACAAATCAGCTTTGTCTTGCGTACAAGGCAAATGGCACCCATGTGGCGCATTGTGCAGTAAGTCTGTCATGCGTTTTCGCCTATGTCAGACATGTTTCTCATGCTCAGCTGCTAGCCCGATGCGTAGTACCCAAACGGCCCTAGAATTATATGCCGACAAGCTCTACTTGCTGCAATAAAAAGTTCCTTTGTCTACACAAATCCAGCAACACAAATTGTCTTCGTGAGTATTGGGTGGGGGCTTTTATTTTCACTTTGATATAATCCCTTCGATGTTTCCGTCTTCCAAAACGTATTCGCGGTTGTCGCACGTGATCTTCACTCGCTTCGGCATATGTATTGCAAAAGTGTCTGGGTCTGGAAAGTTGGAACTTGTGATGCTACGTTTGGACTCTACATAAAATCTGTATTGCATGAACAGCATAAGAGGTGCACTTTGCGCGACGCGGAGACGGCGTTTCTCATGCGGTATGAGCATCAGAAAGATCTCGCAGAGTCTCTGATGCTACGGCATGCATCACAGTCCTCATGGGTCATGGAAAATCTGCATGACAAACTTCTGCATTCTTCCAGACCCAGACATTTTTACATTTGATATGGCAAGTCGTTACACGACCGCAGAATAACTTCGATCAACCCGAGCGCCATGTAGTACCAGACGTTGAGCTTCTGCCATACGAAAAATCCGGGTAGTTCTTCCCGGAAATCGTATCCTATGCAAAAACGGCCCCACCCCCTAGCCAAGATGGCGAATCGGCTAGACAAATCCACAAGCTTTGGCTGTCTTGCATGACAAATTTGGATTCGTAGTGTAGTTCTGTTTGAGCTAGCGCAGCAGCATCACAGATCTAGCACATCATGCTGATTGGAGCATGACAAATGGCAAAACACGGCCGGAAAACGAAAATGCTTCTCATGGGGCTACGCATGAGAAACATTTTCAGCATGCAGATTTGCATTACAACTACTGGGTGGGGACGTTTGTAAATACGATAAATCGTGAAAATTGGTGATCACCGCCCCGTCCGCCCCGATGCCGATGTAGTTTGACGCGACGCGCTGCTGGTGAACGGTGTACTGCTCGTATTCACTAGATATCGTGAGAAAAAAGTGTTACAGTTACACACTCTCATGCAAGACAAGCAAGACAGACAACCTCTGTCATGCAGGAAACGCTTGCCAGCGTCATTTCATATTCATTAGTATTTTCCCTTATAGTCTACTGCGCATTACAAGTTTTCTTTGCCATGCAGAGCAAATTTGTGATGCTGAAATTACAGCAAATGTGTAACTGTAACACTTTTTTCCTGTGATAGTAGATTTGTTAGTGTTGATATCATTTTCCGCTCCACCTCGCATCGAGCTGTCGGAGGCTATGCATTGCAAATAGGTCTGGGGTAGAAGTTCTGGCAGGATGCAAGGTTTGTTGTCATGCTTGTGTGGCATGACTGCACAGTTTGTGATGCGCGTCCAAGAAGCGACCCTGTTGCTGACGCAGTTAGTGGTCATGAGGAAAACGCAATTACACTCAGCCGCGCCACTATTTCTACTCATGCTTGGCTGTGCATTAGAGGAGAGCTGCACTCACTATTCACAACTCGAACTCAGCACTTTATACAAGTTTCCAGACAAGAACCAGATGACATATTTGCAGTGGATAGAGTCAGCGGGGATGATATTATTCTGCAGGTATCCACCGTCGGAACTCGCGGAGCTGGTTTGGCTGATGGGCTGATGGGACGTCCAAGGAATCAAGTTGATCAAATTGTTGGAATCGAGTTGGTATCTGGAATCAAGTTAAAGGGAATCAAGTTGGGTTCTGGAATCAAGTTGACTGGAATCAAGTTGGGTCCCGGAATCCCGTTGCGTGGAATCAAGTTGATCCCTGGAATCCCGTTAGTACGTGGAATGGCGTTGCATGTCCCGCTTCCCGTTTCCGTCAAAAGCTCCCCGCAGTTCCCATTACCTCCGCAACCGCGAAGAGCTCTCATAGATACGTACCTCCGGATCGGCAGGCATCTGCTCCCCCGGAAGTAAATTGTAGCCCTGCCGGCAGCGGAATGCAATTCCTGGCTTCACAGAAGGCAACGCCCTGGGTCTCCCCCGGAAGGGAAAGCCGCATGATCCGGGCACCTCGCCTACCTTCACCGAAGGCGGGGTGGCCCGCCTTCCGACGGGCCATGCTCCGGGCCCCCGGGGCGAGCGAGCGTGGATGTGACGAGGCCCCGAGACACAAAAGAAAAAACCAACCCGGGGACCCCAGCGCAAAAGTAAGCTGTAAGCACACACGCGCAGCCCCGGACAGCGGCAAATTTGCGCGCTCCGAAACCGAATCCAAAAGGCCTCGGCGAGCACGGGCACAGAAAAACCCCGAAAAGCCCCCGTCGCGCAGGAGGTGTAAATAAGCTCGGGCCATTCAATCGGGAGTCGGTGGCGAAAGCTTCGCGCCGGCCAGGAAGTAAACAACTCCGACACCCCCGAGAGGAAATCAAGCTGCGGACCTTACGCCGGGGAGAGACCCGCCAGAGCTTCCGAAGGCGAGACGCCCGGGGCTGCCGAAGCCAGAGAAGCTTCGAAGCCTCCGAAGGTGAAAGCTTCGGCGCTTCCGAAGGTAAAAAGCCCGGATCTCCCCAAGGCGAAGGCAAACGCCAAACGCCTGAGGTAAAGCTTCGGCCCCTTAGTGCCGCAGGCGGAAACCCCGAAAATCGGGAAGACAAGATGGAACTCCCAGAGAGGAGAGCCCTGCCAATCCCCAAAGACACCTTCCGAAAGAGGCGAAATAGAATCCCCGGAAAGACCTGCCGAAGGACAAGGAAGGCGAAATGGAGCCCCCCGAGACACCTTCCACAGGAGGGCGAAATGGAGTCCCCTGAGACACCTTCCGCTGGAAGGCGAAACGGAATCCCCCGAGACTGACACCATCCCCAGGAAGGCGAAGTGGAGGCGGAATCCCGAGAGCAATGACTCTTCCGAGAGAAGGCGAAACGGGCATGGAACTCCGAGAGGGACGGATGGATCTTCCGAGGGACGGCGAAATGAAAAGGGAATCCCCAGAGACACACACCTTGCGAAGGAAGGAGAAACACATGGAACGAATCCCGGGAACTTCGGAAGGCGAAAGCCCCGACAACATTCGAAAGAGGGCCGCAAAACACGACGGGCGCGCGAAGGAGCTTAGCTCTAACATTATTCGCCACGTCTCTATCCACCAGAGCAAGAAAAACCAGACATGTTTGATAAACGTGGCCGCGTTTGAAAAACAGTTAGGAGAACTTTAGGCACGAGGGTATGCCCATCACAAAGCACAAAAAGAGCAGCAGATTCTTCCAAGGTCGGCGAGGCATTGCGAGGCGAAGGATTGATGGGGGTGAAGTTGTGGCGGTTTACTTGATTCCATTCAACTTGATTCCAGAGAGTAACTTGATTCCATATAACTTGACTCCAGGTTTAACTTGATTCCATATAACCTGATTCCAGGTTTAACTTGATTCCAATTAACTTGATTCCATGAACTTAACTTGATTCCTTGTTTTACCATTATTCTGCAGGTATCCACCGTCCGAACTCGCAGAGCTGGTTTGGCTGATGGGCTGTGCAAATGTCGCATCGTGATGACCTCCCTCCTCGTATTCAGTAGATTTGCATGCAGCATGCAGATTTGCATTACTCATCCTCGTATTCAGCAGTGCATGCAGATTTGCATTACAACTACTGGGTGGGGACGTTTGTAAATACGATAAATCGTGAAAATTGGTGATCACCGCCCCGTCCGCCCCGATGCCGATGTAGTTTGACGCGACGCGCTGCTGGTGAACGGTGTACTGCTCGTATTCAGTAGATTTGTTAGTGTTAATATCATTTTCCGATCCACCTCGCATCGAGCTATCGGAGGCTATGCCATGCAAATAGGTCTGGGGTAGTTCTGGCAGGATGCAAGGTTTGTCATGCTGGTGTGGCATGACTAAACAGTTTGTGATGCGCGTCCAAGAAGTGACCCTGTAGTTGCTGACGCAGTTAGTCATGAGGAAAACGCAATTACACTCAGCCGCGCCACTATTTCTACTCATGCTTGGCTGTGCATTAGAGGAGAGCTGCACTCACTATTCACAACTCAGCACTTTTACAAGTTTCCAGACAAGAACCAGACATACTTGCCTGGGATAGAGTCAGCAGGGATGATCATATTGTTCTGCAGGTCGTGTGGTCCACCGTCCGAACTCGCGGAGCTGGTTTGGCTGATGGGCTGTGCACACTCCACCGAAGATGACCCGTTTGCCATCGAGTTGGTTCGTTTCAACGAAACTAACTCATCCACCGGGATTCTATCGTCCATTATTTTCATCTTCGCTGTATCCTCACTGGAACCGCCACCTCCAGATTTACCATTACTCGTCGAAACAGGCGCGAGGTACTTACTGGACAGAAACACCGGGTTTTGCCGCTGTAACGCACGGGCTTTCTTATCCAAGGCAAGACCGCTTGGTGTGGTATTGATGATGTTGTCGCCGCTAGAACTGGTCGTGCCGCTACTGCTAGCACTGTCTCCGGTTGGAGGTTTGGAACCTGATACATAGGTTTTGTTTATTTGTGACTTCTTCTTCTCGGGAAGAGAGGATGTTTTTATACTGGATGCATAGTCCCGAGTTCATCTTTCGGGTGGTTCTTGCGTATGAGAATTGTGTGGTATTCAAACGTTCCAATAGAGTCTGGAATTTGTGTTGCATGAAGAGCATGAGGAACGCAGAGAGAATTGAGCTTTTCGCAATACAAATTTTGCCGGATTTCAGGTGGGTTTGGGACTCCGAAACCTGTCATGCGCAATCCTATGGGAGTAGGCTAGATCATGCAGTTCTTGCATCACAGATTTCCAGATTCTATTGTAACAGTTGAGATTGTAACACCTGAGCGGGTTATATGCTGCTCCTTGATTTTCTTGATTTTGTCCTCGTCCTGGATCTATGGATTGTAAAAATCCCTGGATGTCTGGAAACTTGTGATGCTGGGTGGCGTATCATGAAGAGGCCACAAGTGCTGGCTCAGCATGACAAGCTTTTGAGCTTCTAGGTGTTGCCTATTCTGCATGACAAACTGCGTTTCTGCATGACAGCAATTTGGGGCTCTTGGGTAACGTGCATGACAGATTTAAGAGTCATGCCAGACAAGCATGACAAACATGCACTCTTCCAGACCCAGACACTTTTGCATTTGATAGGATCTGGGTTAAAAATTCCTGCAAAACGGCGACAGACTCGTCTTTCGTCGAGGTTCTGCTGGGCGGGGGCTTCACCGTTTGAGTATTTTGGCGATCCGAACTCGCGGAGCTGGTTTGGCTGATGGGCTGTGCAAATCCCCAAAACCCACTACAATCTGGCGAAATTTGTATTGCAGAAAGTGGAACGCTCTGCGAGGTTGTCATGCTCAACATGCAACACAAATCTCAGATTCTATTGTAACGTTTGAGATTGTAACATCTGAGCGGGTTATAGAAAGAAGCCGGATGCGGAAACAGCAGTTGAATTTGTCGAAGAACTTTCAAACCGGGACGGGCTTTCACTTCGTTGACCGGGGTTATTTCAAGCACTTTTCAACTAGAACATCGGCGGAAGAGGGGGATGTTGAGGGTGAAGATGAAGACGGTCAGCCTGCTGCAAGTGGAATTACGGAGCGTTTGCATGACAAAAAAGATCACGACTACCTGGAACAGGAAGCGAACCGAGTAGCGGAGCTAGCACAGAGAGAAGTCAACAAGCAGTTTGAAAAACAGTACCGACACCCGATCTATGGGGTAGTAAAGATGACAGCCACTGCTGCTGAAGAGTCGGAATTCGACAAACCAGTTTTCCCATTGAGGCACGGGATGGTGCACAGCGGAGAAGCAGGAGCTCCTGCGGAAAAACAACAACAAGACGAAGAGGACGACGAATTCGCAATTCCAGTCAGTACCGTCAAGCAGTGGAAGTTACGCCGGGCAGACATCGAAACCTTGCTAATCCCGCCGCAATACCCGCCCACGACTGGTGCTGCGGTTGTTTCCGTGACAAAAAGAGATGATCATACTAAAAGTCTTTCCCCAGACCGCATCCGGCTTGCCAACTGCGATCCGAAAACCCTGGCGATTCACGATATCATATGTAAAAATGTTCCCGCCCCATAGTCAAGTACAAGTTCGGAACTTTGCAACACAAATCCAGAAGTTTTGGGAGCCACGCATGACAGATTGCAGTCCGTAGTGTAGGGCATGTTAGCAAGGACAGCCGCCGAACTCGCGGAGCTGGTTTGGCTGATGGGCTGTGCATATCAAATGTAAAAATGTCTGGGTCTGGAAGATCGGAACTTGTGATGCTAACTTCGGATGCTAAAAAAATCTGTATTGCATGACCAGCAAGGGGAGCCCAGTTTGTGCTACGGGGGGAGGGCATTTGTCATGCGAGATAGGCATCAGGAAGGCCTCTAAAAATATGCGATGCTAGACCATGCATTACAGACATCCTGAGTCATGCAAAATATGCATGACAAACCTGGCGACCTTCCAGACCCAGACATTTTTACAGTTGATAGTGCAAATGTCGCATCGTGATGACCTCCCTCCTCGTCTGCCAGGCTGGTGAGGGGGGTTGATGCGGGAAAGGGAATATTACCTCCTGCTGGCGTTTCTTCACCCGCGGAGCTTCCCTCCTGTACCGACGGTATCAAAGTGAAAAAAGCCCCCTCACCATATTGAACAAGCGGAAATTTCTGTTGCTGGACATGCGTACACAAATCAGCGTTGTATTGCAGTAAGCGCTCGCAGGTACAACATACTCAGCCTGATTAGGTATGCAAAAGGCTAGCACTCAGACATGGCAGACAGCTTTGCAGTAGGAAAAAGCGCATGACAGCTTGGCCGCGGAATGCGCCACACGGCTCCCATTTGCCTCATGTGCAAGCTGAGTGATTTGTGGCCACAAATCAGCATCACAAATAATTTCCACTGTGAGTATGGGGAGGGACGATGTTTTCTCACGATAGACGGCCCTCGGTCCTCGGTCGGAGAAGAACTTGACGACTTTCCGCTGCCACTGCGACCGCGGAGACTGGTTTGTAGTTTCGTTTATATTGTACTCGCATCGAATGGAAAATAGTGACAGTGACTTGCCATGCGGAAAGGGGAACAGAATAAAGAAAGGTAGAAACAATAAATCTGTCATGCAGAAGAACAACGAGAGACATATACACACTTGTTGTACTTAAATGAGTACCTTGCCATATCCTGAGTAAAAACGTACCCGCACTAGAGTCAGGATGGGGATTTTGCAAGACAAACCTAGGAGTTTTGTGAGTCACGCATGACAAGTTGCACTCTGCAGTGTAGTGCAGGTTAGCAAGTGCAGCCGCATCACAGATTCATCTGCTCATCCTGTTCACAGCATCACAAATTCCAAAACACGACTGAAAATTGCTCTCTTGCGGATGCGCATTACAAGTCTTCCTGTCTTTGCAAATCTGCATTACAACTCTGGTGTGGGTACGTTTTTACTCAGGATATGCCACCACTCTCTGTTCGAGCGCAAACCCGGTATTCCTGATGGTCTATCCAAGAAAAAAACTGTGTTAGTGTATGTAACCTTCTTGGAGGAATAGCATCACAAGTTTGCTCTGCATGACACAGAAAACCTGTCATGCGTAGGTAGTATGTGAAAACACTTACGAAAAGAGCCTCTGATGCATGACCAGCATGACAGGGGATAAGTGTTTTACATACGTCTGCAACACAAAGTTACATTTACACAGTTTTTTTCTTGGATATGGTCTCCGCAAGGTTCATTTTTGCCCCTGTCGTCTTCCGTGGCTTGGCTGGCTTCTTCTTCACGTAAGTCGTTACCTGCCAGCGATCGAGGAAGCAAACCTATCTTGTGTAAAAACGTCCCCACACCATAGTTGTCATGCAATTCTGCATGCTTAAAATGTTTCTCATGCGGAGCCCCATGAGAAGCATTTTCCAATGCGGTTTGGAAATCTGTAATGCGCCAATCAACAATGAGATACTAGATCTGTAATGCTGCTTAGCTAGCTCAAACAGCACTACACTACGCGTCCAAATTTGTCATGCGAAACAGCCAAAGCTTATGGATTTGTCTAGCGGATTTCCCATCTTGACTCTGGTGTGGGGACATTTTTGCTCAGGATAAAGCCCGCGCGGTCACTAACTCCGTCAAGTACTCGCGGATTGGGTCGTTCCTCGGCAGCACGTTCAGACCGTTATGAAAGTGCACAACTCCCCCTCCCCCTCATTTATCATGCAAAATACCAAGTCCGTGCTTTGGTTGCCTCGTGGCATTGTTTGCATGACAAGTTCTGGCAGCCCAAGTGGCACTACAATGCTGCGCAGATTTGTCATGCAAAACCTGCATTCCTGCTGACGCTTGTATAATTGCTGCTCATGCAATACAAATGACAGGGGGGAGCGGGCTGTGCACTCTCATAGCCGTGCTTTTCACTGGAAAAGAGTTTCGTCGTTCTCAGCAGGTAATTTGCGAACAGCGACCGGGCGGAAGAGAACTGGTTCTGCACCAGACTCCCCGATCCCGAGGAAGACGTCGGCCGGTAGGCAAAAGGGGAGTCGTTGGTCCAACCAAACACCCGCGCTAGGTCATTTCCCGTCCCGAGCGGGTAGATCCCCACCGGCGGGTAGTTCTCGTCCGGCTGAAAGAGTTCTGGGCCGTACTTGCTGTCCAGCTGGTCGAGCATGTCTAGCACCCAGTCGCAGGTTCCGTCCCCGCCGCAGATCAGAATCCGGACCCGGGACGCGCCAAAGGTTTGTATGAACCACTTCAGAACGTCAATGGGCTCGTAGATTTCGACCTTCTCCTTCAAGTTAATCACCTGCAGAGGATGCAGGATCGAGCGCAACTTTCGTAAAACGTTGTACCCCTCCTGTCCCCCAGACTTCGGGTTCACAAAGCACAGCAGCGGCGTCTGCCCAAGTTCGTAGGTGTTGCTGTTGGAAGATGTTTATGCATTGCAAAAGTAACGTACTAGTACAAATTGCATTACAAACTTTGGCAAGAAGAAAAATGGAATTTGTAATGCTGTTTTACCTCAGGAGAAAGATGTGTCATGCGTATTTGCAATATAGAGTTGTACGATACTTTTGCACAGCATAATGTTCCCATGCCGACGTTGGAAGTCGTGGTAACTTTCGACGTCGTCGGTCTCGCACTACTTGTCGCGGCTTTATTTTTCACCGATAATTGCTCCTCCTGGTGCTGTTGCCCCCGTTGGTAGTCTTTGTAGTGCTCGTATAAGTGCATCGCGGAGTAGCTTCGGGACACTGGTCTAGTACTCGGCGAGAACGAAGAACTTGCAGCGGTTCTTACTGTACTAGCAGCGGGAACATTATTATTAAACTCGGGTTGTAGTTGTTTATTACTGCTCAGCGAAGCCACGACCGCAGAAGATTTCATCGGAGTCAGTAAGGGAAGTTCGGTGGAGAAGTCAATGTCCTTGTCCTCCCGGTTAAGCGAAAAATCGAGCGCCCCGTCCGCGGTCAGCGTGCTATTCAACGGGGATTTCATCCCCTCATTGCTGTCGTCCTCGCTGACATCGCTCTGCTCGCTGTCTTTCTCTTTCTCTACTAGGTTTTTGGTTGGTATTGATGGAGTTATCTGCAGCTGCTTCAGCGCAGGGCCGACGTAGGAATACGGTATCAGCATCGTCGGCTGCGCCAAGGGTTTCTTCGATTGCAGCAAGGGGCTGCCGGTCGTCTTGGCTACTAGGGATCTTCTTGTAGGCGTGGAAGAAGTCGCGGCAGTGATCACCTGTGCGATGGTAGTTTGCGTCTCTGTTTGACTCGGTCGTTGAGAGTTTGCTCTTTCACCACTGCCCTGCTGCATACCGATACTTGTACTACTATCTCCCTTGTTTAAATGATTCCGCAGGCGCAAATCGCCGCCAGAAGGAGTAGTTCCTGTAGTCACCAGCTGCAGCCCGTCCTCGACAGGAACAGACGGCGAAAACAATGGCGTGACCGCGGGCAAGCTCAGGGGCGATCCTGGTGGGGAGAGGCGGTCGTGACCTACCATCTCTATTTCTGACATTATTTTTTCACCGGAAGGACTTGTTGTTGTTTTCCTCCACCCCGGGCTGCTACTCGTCCCTGGTGCAGCTGCCACGACGCCCTGGGAACTTGATTCCGAAACGCGTTTTTCCATTTATCCTGTGCACAAGTATCGTATTCGTATATTAAATGCAAGTCGTGCATTATACAAAAATTTTTCTTTACGTGAATCAGCATGACAAATTTGATTTCTCATGCTGAGACAATTTGTAATGCTTTTATACGAGTACGATACATTTGCAGTTCATACCACTTCCTCCTTCACGATTTCCTTCACCTTTTCCTCGTAATCCCACTTCAGGTTATGGATTGCAAAAGCATCGCACTAGTAGTGTAAATTGCAATACAAATTCGCCCAGCATTACAAATTGAATTTGTAATGCGGATTCAGTTCAACACTTAAATTTGTAGTGCACATATCTGCAATTACTACGACTAGTACGATACTTTTGCACTGGATACAGGTAGAAGCTCGGCAAAACCAGCGGCGCGAACTCCTCTTTTTGCAAATCTGCTTGCAGTATGGATTGCAAATATGTCTGGGTCTGGAAACTTGTAATGCTGCGTTGGGAATAGTGAATGCTCTGTAATGCACAGGCAAGCATGAGAAATAGGCGCGCTTCTTTGTGTTGCGTTTTTCGCATGACAAACTGCGTTTTTGCATGACAGGCAAAACGATCTCTTCGCGGACACGCATCACAAACTTTTTAGTCATGCCAGACAAGCATGACAAATCTCAAAATCTTCCAGACCCAGACATTGTTGCATTTGATATGCAGAAACTCAGGGGTCACGTTCTTCTCGTGCGTGTCGTTCCTTTTCCGCAGGGTCTATGAACTGCAAAAGCATCGCACTCGTAGTAATTGCAGTCATGCATTACAAATCTTTTGCTTAAGGTAAATCTAAATCCGCAATTTGTAATGCAACTCAATTTGTAATGCATTCATACGAATACGATACTTTTGCAGTACATAGCGTCTTCACGTTCACGATCTCCGGTCCGAACAACCGCTGGAGAAACCGTTTTCCGAAAACGTAGGAGATCAGCAAGACGACCCAGGTAAGCCAGTTCTCGAGGAACACACCGGAAATGAGAGTGACGTAGAGGAAGTCGTAGAACAGGAATTTCACCGTATGGAAGTGTCAGAATCGAAATCGACAAAATCGAAAAACTTGTGATGCACAAAATCGATGCCAGTCGGAGCCTCAGTTTCCAAGTGGCGCATGACAAGTTTCGGGACCACCAAAATCCAGTCTGTCATGCTGTTTGGGCAAAGCAGACTGCTCCTGTCATGCTACTCTGGCAACACATTGTATACCCCTAAACAGGCTTACAATCGGTCTCATTTGCCTGCTCCCCAATACAGGCGTCGCGTGCCCTACATTTTATGCATCACAAATTTTTCGATTTTGTCGATTTCGATCCTGACACTCCCATACACCGGGTAAATCAAATACGTTTCGAGAAATTCGACCGGTAAGAGGGCGCGGAAGATCAGGGAAAAAACGTTAGAGAGGGAGCGGAGAAACCGGTAGAAGTACTGGTAGAATATGAATTCGAAGAACGAATCCACCTCTTCTTCGGGTATCACAGGTAGTTCCGACTCGTCATCTACTGCAGCTCCTTGAACTTCTTCTACTTCTTCGCGCGGCTCTTTCTCGTCGTGAAGATGTTGTCGTTGTCCTCCTCCTTGCGGCTCTACTAGTACTCCTGCCTTGGTATTGCGTCTCGTATTACTACTATCTCGATCCTCACTCCTGCCACAGAGTCGGACCCGGCAGCAGTAGGACGACGGGGAGGAGGACGGCGCATTTGGTACAATTTTGCCAGAATCTACTACTTCGGACGACGGGGACATCAAGTTTGCTGTTTTTATCTCCGCATAGGGTGCGCGGCAGGAGGTGGTAGATGAAGCAGCCACGTCCAAATCCGCGGAAGTACTAGTAGACCCAGTATACTTTTTATCGTCAGTGGTCTTGTCCAACATGGGATGCACACCGTACTCGTTCAGCTGTCTTTTCTATCCCACGAAAAAAGTGTTACAGTTACACATTTCTTGTAGTGAATTCAGCAACGCAAATTTCTCTGCATGAGCGAGAAAACTTGTAATGCAGAAATCCTACGGGGAACAAACACCTATGAAACGAGGCTCCTATGCATATCCGGCATGACAGAGCTCGTCTGTCTTGCTTGGCCTGCAACACAATGTGTAACTGTAACACTTTTCTCTTCCGGTATTTTCTGTGTCGCCGGGTCGTAGCACTCCGCGCATTCGGTCTCTTTCAGTTCCGGGAAAGCGGACGTTTCGGAGAAACCAAATCGTATCCTCGTCTTCCTTGCAATAGCGTCCCCCGTTGTTGTAGGTGCGAAGTGCGCCGCCCCACACTTGGTCGTGCAGGCTTTGTGGGGTGCCAGGATGGCGTTTGGAGGTCGCGAAGGGGCGCTGGAGGCGGGGGTGGACGAAGCTGCGGCGGCGGCCACGGCCATGGGGCCGGCGAAATAGAAAAGTGTTTGCAGCACCACACGCAACATGGCTTTTTCGTAGACGAGCAAGGAAAAATGATACTCAAATGTCTACCTAATGTAATCAAGCGAAGTTCTGGTACAAATAATCATACAGGGAAAGTGTCTAATAAATAAATCTCAATCTGGGGCGCAGAATGTAGTAATGTAAATGCAGTCGTTGGAAAGTGGTCCTGCAGTAGAGTACAGAAGAGAAGAAAAACTTCCACATGCGGCACTCAGAGGCTCTTGCTGCATACTTCTTACCCCTCAACATTTCAAACTCGCTGGCAAGGGCAACTCATTTCCATCCAAAAAACATCAAAGCCCGCATCAACTCCACCAAACTCTCGAGGGGGTCCAATGAAGATCTACTTTCTTCAGGCTCTTTTTTTTAAACGTATCGATATCTGTGGCCGGCGCTGGGCAGCGGCAGCGCACGCGCAAGTTGTACCACTGCGGTGCAGTGTACAAACCGGAGACGAGTCGTCTCCTACTACTAGTGCGAACAGAAGATCTTCTCTGTGCGTCGACCACTGTCGAGACACAAGGACAAGTAGAGGCTTTGTTACAACATCCCAAGCGTTTCTGCGTGGAGGCGTAGTTTGTGTTTTTGTCACTACCAGCAATATTTATGGAAAGCAAGTAAGTACTAAAAATCTGCAGCAGTTTCGTATGCATTCAAGAATTATTCGGCGTCCACGGCCGCGGCCGCGACGACAGCATGTAGTAGTCGTTGTAGCATTTTTTACAATCAAATTGAATTAAATTGTACAAGAAGCGCAACTGCTCAAATGGTAATTTACATGGTTCTATTCAATGTTGTTTTTCATAATTTTTCAGTAAATCTCGTCCTTCGGCAGACACAATAACAGTCGTCGCATGTTGACGAATAAAACTATGACATTCATGTCTATCCTACATTGAATTCAAAAAGTATACTGATTGACCCGACCCTGCATGAACCTGCTGAAACATCGTATCATGCATTTTTTTTATACTGGAAGGACACTCCTGCTCCTGCACAAGCAAGTGCAAGAACTCCTTAGTTTGATGAAAGCGAAACTGAAATAGACTCGGCGAAACAAAAAATGTTGTCAAAAAACCATGAAGAGGTGGGTACTTCGATGGTGCGAGAAAAAAACTCAATGTAGCGGTGGAACAAAGTGGTAAATTAATGATCGATCATCGGAGTAGAGTAGGCATAATTGCGTTATGAGGTAAATAAGTACGACGATCACATGCATGGAGGTGAAAAAATTCAACAATTATCGTGTTCTTGCATTTGGAAACAATAGGAATAGCACAAGCAATACCAATCGAAAAAAAAAACTGAAAAAAAAATAAAAACCCTGGAGCACCAGCTGCGTCATCTTCTTTCACCCAAACGGATTGAAATTCTTCGCGGGCGATCCGAGTCGCTGCACCTTCGTGGGTGGCCCAAGAACGCCCCGATTTTTCGCCTTGTTCGCGACTTTCTCCTCCCGGCTTGGATTGTTTTTGTTCCGGCCTGTAATGCTTCCTGCAGCTGCACTGAGGACACTGCCTGCGGCGCTACTGCTCGCAGAGGATGGTACTTTTTCGTTTTCCGCCCCGGTGGATTTCTTATTGTTGTCGTCCTCCTGCTCAGAGTTGTTGCTCCTGTTGGTCCCCTTGTTACTCGTTGACGTTCCCGGAAGGAGCAGAAGTAGGGTCGTCGTGTTTGTATCCCCTACTTCCAACCTGCTTCCCGAAGTAGGACACTCCGCCAACGAAGATGACCCGTTTGCCATCGAGTTGGTTCGTTTCAACGAAACTAACTCATCCACCGGAATTCTGTCGTCCATTATTTTCATCTTCGCTGTATCCTCATCGGAACCACCGCATGCTCCGGATTTACCATTACTCGTCGAAACAGGCGCGAGGTACTTACTGGACAAAAAAACCGGGTTTTGCCGCTGTAACGCACGGGCTTTCTTATCCAAGGCAAGCCCGCTTGGTGTGGTATTGATGGCAGTGTCGCCGCTAGAACTGGTCGTGCCGCTACTGCTAGTACTGTCACCGGTTGGAGGTTTGGAACCTGATAGGTTTTGTTTATTTGTGACGTCTTCTTCTCGGAAAGAGAAGATGTTGTTGTTATACTGGATGCATAGTACCGAGTTCATCTTTCGGGTAGTTCTTGCGTATAAGAATGACATCTGCCAAGGTCGTCCTGGAGTGGATCCGTATGCATGCCAAGCACGACAGCAACAAAGATCACCTCCCGATGTAGTTTAGTTCTTGAAATATGAAGATAGAACAACAGACTATACTTACTACACCGTATCAATTTATAAATACCTGCAGCCGGCACGGGTACCGGGACTGGTTTTTCCATTTCCGAAGCCGTTTCCTCGTATTCCTTCTTCTGCAGCAACAAAAAAGGTTGCGCGTTCAGCTGCTTGTTGCGTTGAAAGGTATCCTCAGCAAAAACGTCGTCCCCAACCCAGAGTTGTAATGCAAATGCGCAATGACAGGAACATTTGTAATGCGCATACCCATGCGAGGCATTTCCAATCACGATTTGGCATTTTTAATGCTGTAAAACAGGACGAGAAATTGGCTTTCTCATGCGGCTTGCCTTGCTAAGCACCACTATGTATACTACAGACGGAAACTTGTCATGCACAACTCCCAAAGCTTGGCGATTTGTGTTGCAGATTTACAAACTTGACTATGGGGCGGGGACGTTTTTGCTCAGGATAAAAGGGCGTCAGCGCTTTTGGGGTTTGCTGCTCCTTGATTTTCTTGATTTTGTCCTCGTCCTGAATCTGGGTTAAAAATTCCTGCAAAACGGCGACAGATTCGTCTTTCGTCGAGGTGGTTGTGGGCGGGGGCTTTACCGTTTGAATATTCTGTGCTTGTTCAATAGCGGCCGCAACGGTATTAGATTTCGCACTTGTTGCCGCAGTCAGCAGCGCCTCCGCCGCCGCAGCGGCCTCGGCAACAGAAGGACCAGCGCAGGAAGATAACGCTGTTGCGATTTTTGAGCTGTCCGTCGTCGTCGTGTCTTCTGCCCCCAGAATCTGCTCCCACCACTATCAAAAGGAAAAATCCCCCCTCCCCATATCGAAATGGAAATCCGTGACGCAGGATTTGGGTACACAAATCGGATTTGTCTTGCAGTAAGGCATCGCAGCCAGATCCCCGGCCTAGGTAGGGGTGTATAGGTCTGGTTGCTTAGCATTGCAAACGGGTGTCCCCTTGGCGCAACAGCATGCCAAATCGATTCCATAATGGTGCGGAAGCCTTTGCGCTTGTCTTCTTGCAAGACAGACGTGATTTGTGACCTCAAATCAGCAACACAATTTTTCGGAAACACACCTTTTCGATATGGGGAGGGGGGATTTGTCCTCAGAATAACCACTTGCTATTGTTTGTCTGCTCTAAATTCTCCGTCTCCACAGCGAGAGAAGCGCTCCTCGGCGGTACTACTACTTTTGGCACCGGGTCGTGGGTTGCCTCGTTGTTGAACAAGAGCAATTATGAACTGCAGAAGTATCGTACTAGTATAAATGGCATGACAAATTAGCTCAGCATGAAAAATGGAATTTGTCATGCTGTTTTACCTTGGGATGAAGATTTGTAATGCATGACTGCGATTACTACGAGTGCGATACTTTTGCACAGGATAGCATTTGCTGGAGAAAGTTGTAGTCCGCTGGAGGTGCGGAAGAAGAGGCGGGTGCTGTTCTACCATTAGAAGGTGTTTTTGTTATACCCCCCGCGGCCTTGTGAAGATGCAGCTTTTGCTCAGGTTGACCGCCCCAGTGACTGTCCAGTAGTCCTAGTTGCTGCTGCAGATCCTCGCCGGAGAGGTTGTTCAAGTTTTTTTCCTATGAATTGCAAAAATGTCTGGATCTGGAAGATTGCGACTTGTCATGGTAAATCTGAAGCATGCAAAAATCTGTGCCGCATGAGTGCCAAAAGCTGTCCACTTTTGACCAAGTTGGAAGGGAGTTCCTCACGCAGGATAGGCATGGCAGAGACCTCGCAGAGTCTGTCATGCTAAGTTCCGCATTCCAGACCTCATGGGTCATGGAAAATCTGCATGACAAGTCTACACTTTTCCAGACCCAGACATTTTTGCATTTGATATTTCCGGTGATAAGCTGTGGCTGCTGCTGTTCAACAGGTCCTCTACCGACATCATAGAGACATCGGTGGTGGGAATCGGGATCTGCAAGCCAGTGGAGGAAGATGCGTTGTTGTTCGTGTTCATCCCCAATGGACGATCATCAGATGCAGGTGCAGCATGATCAAACTTGTTCCAATAATTCGCCTCGGACTTGTTGAGCCCTCCTGTAGTATTAAAACTACCCGCATGTTGAGCTGCTGCACCAGCTGCCCCGCCGCCATAAAAACCCGTCAAATCATCCGCAAACAGCGGCGAGTTCTGCGCAAAGACGGAGTTATTTACAGCGGCAACCAAGCTCGGCGTCGGTGTGCTACTCGTTCCAGGAACACCAGCCCCGCCCAACTGGTCCAAAAAATACGTCAAATCATCGTCTTCACCGGTCGTGCCGAACATTGGGGTCGAAACGTTCACGCGCATGCTCATCGTGCTCGGAATATCAAAAGGAAAAACCCCCTCTCCCTATATCAAAACGAAACTTCTGATGCTGGATTTGGATACACAAATCAAATTTGTGTTGCTGTACAGAAATGCCCGCAGATCTTGCGCCTAGGTGGTGGCCTTTTGGTGTAGGCGCCTAGCATGGTAGACGGCTACCCTGTAGGCCTTACAGCATGACAAACCGCCTGCATAACGTGGCGGACAGCCTGAGTGTGCCTCCTTGCAAGATAGACCCGATTTGTGGTCACAAATCAGCAACGCAAATTTTCGAGGACATACCTTTTCGATATGGTGAGGAGGGATTTTTCCTTTTGATACGGAACCGCCCCAACCTGTGGGTGTCCGAGGGCGGGAGAGTATGGATTGTAAAAATGTCTGGGTCTGGAAATTTGTGATGCTGGGTGGCGTCTCATGATGAGGCCACAAGTGCTGGCGCAGCATGACAAGTTTCTGAGCTTCTAGGTGTTGCCTATTCTGCATGACAAACTGCGTTTCTGCATCACAGAAAAGTGGGGCTCTTGGGTAACGCGCATGCCAGATTTAGGCGTCATGCCAGACAAGCATGACAAACATGCATTCTTCCAGACCCAGACATTTTTACAGTTGATAGAGAGTTAGTGCTACTGATAGCACCTCCTCCCGCGTAGTGCTGCGCTGTAGTATGCTGCCCGTTGTAGAAATGTTGGTAAGAAGAAGAGGAAGATGCTAACCCGCCTGCCATGCTGAAATCGAAGCTGCCACTTCCTGGTTGTTGTTCGAAACTATTGCTCGGGTAGTCGTAGTTCAACTTTCCAGTGTTCGGACTGGTGCCATAATTGTAATTCCAACTACTGCTATTATACGGACTGTTGCTGTAAAAATCTTTTTCCTTCGACTTTGATGAAAAGAACTTCCCCTTTCCACCGCCCTTGTGAAACTTGCTACTTCCGCTGGATTTGTTGTGCGACATCATCATCGGCGGGCCCATGATATGACCCATAGAAGTACTACCCTTCTTGTACCCCGCAGCTCCGCTTTTATCCACGTTTTCGTAGTCGTCCTTTTTCCACGTTTGCCGATGCACGCCGGTAAGGGGGGAGGAGTGATTCACTTTCGATGGAGCGGCAGGATGAACTGCAGCGGTTGACGTTGTTCCCGGAGAAGTTTGCATCGCGTCCAGTCTGGCTTGGTGGAGCTGCTGTTGGGAAGAAGTTGAAGTTGAACCAGCTCCAGCACCACAACTGGAAACTGGAATTGTATTGCCGCTTGTGCTGTTGTTCTTGTCCGTGTTGATGTCAACATTAGTTGTACTCGATGTTGGTCCTTCTACGCCTAACACTGGTATCCAGAAAAAAAACTGTGTAAGTGTAACTCTGTAGGAAGAGCAGGATCACAAATTCGTTCTGCATTACAGGGAAAACTTGTCATGCGCAGCTAGTACGTGGAAACACGTATGGAAGTAGCCTATGACGCACATCCAGCATGACAAGTGTGACAGTTTTGTATTTTCTGCATCACAGACTTACAGCCACACAGTTTTATTCTTGCATAACTGGGGAGTTACTGCGACTGTTCCCCTGGTCAATCTCGAGGGATTTGTCCAAATCCTGATTATAATTTTTCCCGTCGCTTGTTACTTTATTCCCAGCTGTAGTTCCACCGCTCCGTCTGGGTGGCGGGGGGAGCACGCCTCGTGGGTTTGGTGGTGGGGATAAAGATAAAGAACCTCCTGCTCCACGGTTGTTTTTTTGTTCTACTACTTCGCCCGTTTTTGGCCTAGTAGCTGCTGTGTTTGTTGTCGGTTCCAAGTCCATCGAGCTGGTCATATTTATCCTGTTGTTCTCGACCGAATCCACCACCAAAGACGGTTCCACCTGCATGTTGATCACACTGTCATTCCGGGAACTGTCCAAGTCGAACGCGTCCAACCCCTTCAACCCCGCCAGGTGGAGGACGTTGCTGTTCATCGTGATCACATTGTTCGTGTGGCTGAAGGGCTGTTCTAGGCCGAGTACAGAGTCTTCCTGTCCAATCATTACAAAAGAGGTATTGTTGTCGTTTTCGATGATACTGGTTTGTTGTAGTTCATCCGTTGCAGTCGGGGAAGTGGTTCTTGCGATGTTGATGTTTGCATTTGCTGTTGCTCCACCTTCTCGTAATCCTTTGTCATGATTCCCGTTGGTATCTTTTTTATCCCCGTTGTTGTCTACTTCTATGGGCGAATCCAAATCCATGATCCCCGATTCCATGGAGGAAAACAAACCGTCGTCTAGATTGTTGTTGTTAAGGTTCTATCAAACGCAAATATGTCTTTCTAGGTCTGGAAGAATGCAAGATTTGTCGTGGTTGCCTGGTCTGTCCCTGATGAACTCTGTCATGCTAGCCAGCGAATGGGTCCGCTTGCTTGTCATGTGAATGAAACGCACTTTGTCACGCACAATTATATGCAGCACACAGGTATGACAAAAACTTCTCATGATGCTTGGCTGCGCATGGTGAGCGTTCGCTGCGTGGCTCCTTCCAAAGCTGACGCATGACAACTGTTGTCATAACATATTTCCAGACCACCGAGACATATTTGCATTTGATAGGCCACCGGCAGATTCTGTCACTTCCATCCCCACCGCGCCATCTTCCACCTTCTCGTGCTCGTCATCCGCATCGTTTTCGGAACTATGCACTGCAAATATGTCTGGGTCTGGAAGAGTGCGCGATTTGTAATGCAGGTTTTCTATGACCCATGAGGTCTGGAATGCAGGACCTAGCATGACAGATTCTGTGAGATCTCTGCCATGCCTATTCTGCATGAGAACAAACTCCCTGTCGCCTTGGTCAAAAATGGTTGGCTTTTGGTACTCATGCAACACAGATTCTTGCATGATTCTGATGTCGCATGACAAGTTGCCATGTTCTAGACCCATGGAAAGTTGCATTTGATACGAGCTGTGGTCGAGCAATTCGTTCGATTCCGCCGATCTTAGTTTTGGTGCGAGGTCGAAAATGTGCCGGGCGTAGGAGTCGTTGTTTCCGTTTCGTGAGCCGCCGGCGCGGCAAAGCTTATCCCTTTTTGGGGCGTCGGGCGCGGTGGGGGATTTCACTGTTTCGCCGTATTTCTCCTTTCGCAGCGTCGGAGAGATGTGCTGCTTGTTAATCTGCTCCACCGGGGTAGTCACCACGACGGCCTCGGAGGAAGTCGGGGTCGTGGCTGGCTGAAGAAGGAGGCTCTGGTTTGCATCGCCGACCTGGAGGGCGGGCTGCATCTTCGATACGATAGTATGATGGTCTGCTTGGGTAGAAGTTGTGCGTGTTTTGCTTAGTCAGTCCACATGCAAGAATCCGTTCTGCGGGAGGACGCGACCGGGTATTAGTGCTCAGGGTTTAATATCTTTGGCGGGCCAAAAGTACTACTTTGGCGATGAATGTTGTGTGAAAAAAACGCTAGAATTTTGTTGAAAATTTTCATTATTGGAAGTGGATTTGATTTGGGAAAAGTTGCAAAATTGTGCCTCCTGTGCTCCCAGACGAGATAGTTTTAGTTATTGGAAATCTAATGGTTTGCTACCCTGCTGGCCAATTATGGTTTGCGTTTGCTAGAAGAAATGAAATATCTCTTTCGCTCGACCACCCCAATGAATCATGATGAAAAAACGCTTTTGACAGAAGCAACAACAAAGAAACCACAACCACACACTTTTCCCTCGGTTCTAGAACTACGCAGGGGCTTCAATGAAGCCCCTCGAAGAAAGTAGATGCGTACCAGAAACAAAAGACAAACCGACGCGAATTGAATGGAAAAAACACGACTGTGAGAACTACTTGATACGGATGAGAGTGAAACATCTCTACTGCCTCGAAAAAAAGCAATAAGTAGTCGCAGCGGTGGCACAGTCGCCCTTCTCGCACCAACTGTTTTTTACCAAAGAAATCAAGTTGACGTGCTGGTCGCAGATTTGATTTTTAGTACATTTTTGTTTTTCAAGTAACGGTCTTTCAGCACGGACTTATCTACACAACTGCCGGCATGATATGATGCTGCTGTCAAGTTGTCAACAACTGCAGCAGCTCCACTGTAGTATAGTAGCAGTTTCGAATAAGCCCTAGTGCGCATTCAGCGCCAATCCTCTATGCGGAAAATGTTGCATTATTGGTTTATATTCGCCCCCACATCAAACACTTCTATGGTAGCTGCAACAATATCAATAAACTCCACCTCTACAAAACTCGGACTTGCTTAGGCCGCAAGAGCTGAGCCGCAAGAGGTGGAGGAGCCCATAATCGAGGTCTGACAAAATCTTACAACTAGAAATGCATCGAATAGAATTGTCGCTGAGAGTGTAAATGAAGTACGAAATTTCCCATTTTGTATTGAATTCCCATTTTATTATTATTATCGAAGCCACAGGCAAGAACGATCGCTGTGCACAAACACCGTACGTACAAGGGTCCCAATGGATCTCAGTGCATTGTGGGATCTGTCTCGCCAGGATCTCCCGCACCCGGAGCAGGTGCACTCTCGGTCCCTCTCTCCTATCCCTAGGGCCGCCCCCACGGCTCGGAGGCGCGTCGGACGTAGTGCCTCGCGAACACCAACACCTCCCCACGACTGCCGTTGATTTTCGTCCGATTTGGAATTGCACTGCGCAGCCACAGCAAGCACTTGCATGTCTGGGGGCGCTCAACTCGTGGGCGGTTGTGCGCCGTCAGTGTGTTGCTGTGTGGCCGTTTCAGTGGTGCCACAGGGCTCGCCTGTCGTGGCGCGCTCTTCATAGTACCGACCAACCGGGTGGCCGCGCACTATCAACGGTCGGCGCTATACTTCTCGGTATGGGCTTGGCCGAGCTCGGATAAGGGGCGGCATCCGAGAGGGTGGGGTGGCCAGCCATCTGGGTGGCTGCGCTCCCCTAACGGTAGCGCAGCTGCGCTCGTCGGCGGTGCCACTCGGCTTGCTGCCCGGTCGCGTCCCGCGGACGCGCGAGGTGCAGCCGCGGCACCTGAGTGGCAGGCAACAAACAGCACAGCGGCGGCCTGCCTTTTTGTTGCGAGCCTGCGCAGCAGCGCAAGCGCATGGGCCAGGGAGCTGCTTGCTGCTCTCCGCAGAACAACAGGGCCTGTGCGTAAATATGGTCTACGTACTAGGTGACATCATGAGAGGCGGCGGCCCTCATTCACTGGGGTCACTCTTTCAACCTACCAGATCTACTAACCGCTTCCCTGATAAGCATGCGGCCTGCTTCTCCCCACGTTACGACCGGGAGATCTCCTCAGGCGACGGCCTTCACAGGAGGTTGAATTCCCATTTTAGAAGTATAGTATAGTATTCTCGTGTGGTTTCATCAAAGTGCACTAAAGCATGCACCCTGACCGTCGAGACGAACTCTTCTTCTTCACACCGTATGAATTTTCCTATTTTCCTACTTCTACTACTCTAGGTTAATGGTGTACAGTATGGATGCTGCCGGACCAAGATCCCTTAGGCGTTTCCCCAGTTGCCGCACCAGGATCACCAGGCATGGGACCTGCATACACGGGGGGGGTGCAGGACAACACTGCAGTGCTGTATCCTATCCTGCCGTCGTGGCCTTACTCGCCGGGGCTCAGTGATATGTCCTGCTTGACTACTGAAGACCCCCCACACCCATGGCGAGGTGCTGGACCGGGCGGCCCGCTCGCACTGGCTTTGCAATGGGGCCCGGTATTGTGGCTCGGTTATTGCGTGCTTTAACAAGCGCCCGGGGGTTTGGGCTATGCTTGTCCCGGGTCCTGTGTTGCCGGGGCTCCGCTCTCTTCCGTTACGCCTTGGTGTGGCGGCTAGGGCTGTGGCCTATGGCGTGGCACTACCTAGCAAAGCGGGCGACGGGGATTGCCACCCTTTTTTGCCCCGCCGCGTTGGATACCAGCTTCCCACCCGACTTCGCTGCTGGCGTTCTTGCTGCCTTGGTCGATCCTTCAGGCCCGCCGGCGCTACCTGCTACACCCGCCCGCCTTCCTTGCAACACATCAACACACCCTCTGCGCCCTAGCGACTACCTCACCCCCTGGGCGGGCCCGGATGCTTTTCTCGATCCCCCGCGGGTCTCGTCCCGGTCCGACCTTGGACGGGGGGCTTGAGACACTGACGGCGCGCGGGCTTCTCGGATCTTCTCAAGCTGGGCCGTAGTGCTACGGCTTTCGGGCGTACCGGCGTGACAGGGGGAAGGCAAGCGCAGCAGGTGCGGCACCCGCTCTGTCTTAGTGCAATCTCCGGCGGCTTCCTCAGTTGCCTAGGCTCCTTGCGCTGAGGCGCCGGCTCCTGCTCCGCTGCGTGCCCGTGAGTGGGCACGCTAGTGCCTATGATGGGGCATCTGTGTGAAGTGCGTGCCCTATGACTTGGGCACCACCGCACGGACATCCACGCCGTAGCCGATGTCACTCCTGCACGCCTGTGGTATGGCCGTGCGTGCCTATGGTTTGGCCGGAGGTCTATTTTCCTACTTGAGTAAATAGTGGGTGTACATTTTCTCATGTAGAAGGCATAGGCAAACGCCGCGTAGAGCAACTCATATGGTGTACAGGATTGGTAAGTACTTCGGCGTGTTTGTACTACTTAAGTTTAAGGCATTTATTCTGCTTCACACGAATCAAAAAAGTTTGAGTTCTCTCTGCTCATAATCCCGTTGAGAAAACAAGATGAAAAATATTAATATGGTAAAATGATATATCGCTGTATCCTGTGCAAAAGTATCGTACTCGTATAAATGCATTACAAATTTCCCCAGCATGAGAAATAAAATTTGTCATGCGGATTTAGCTGAGAAAAAAAATTTGTAATGCATGACTGCAATTACTACGAGTACGATACTTTTGCAATGCATACGCTGGACCCACCTACAACTACACGCAGCACCGGTTCCGCCCATTCGGCGAGAAAGTCCTCTTATCTTCACCAGCACCATCCTTTCTCACCTCCGGACTTGGCGTCGAATCCCGACTTCCGCTGCTCTGCCCACTCTCCGTCGGCTCCCTAAAAAACTATTGAGAGGAAAAATCCCCCCTCCCCATATCGAAAAGGTATGTTTCCGAAAATTTGTCTTGCTGATTTGAGACCACAAATCACGTCTGTCTTGCAAGAAGACAACTCCATAGGCTCTGCCGCATTATGCAGGCGGTTTGTGATGCTGTTGGGCCTACAGCGTGGACGTTTCTCATTCTAAGCGCCTAGGCCAAAAGCTCTCTACTCAGGCTCGGCAGGAGACTGCTGTCCTCTACTGCATGACAAACCTGATTTGTATACGCAAATCCAGCATCAGAAACTTCCTTTTGATATGGGGAGGGGGGATTTTTCCTCGTGATAAAAACTCCCCGCTCTTCACCGAGGGCAGCATGGATCGTGGCTGTTTCGCTGGGTTTTTCCCATCCCGGGGCTGTATCAAATGCAAAAACGTTTGGGTCTGGAAACTTGTGATGCTGGGTGGCGTATCATGAGGAGACCAGAAGTGCTGGCTCAGCATGACAAGTTTCTGAGCTTCTAGGTGTTGCCTATTCTGCATGACAAACTGCGTTTCTGCATGACAGAAAAATGGGGCTCTTGGGCAATGTGCATGACAAATTCAAGAGTCATGTGAGACAAGCATGACAAACTTGCATTCTTCAAGACCCAGACATTTTTGCACTTGATAGGCTGGCTCTTCGGGGTTCCGGAGGGGGAGTTGGGGTGACTGGTGTGCCCCACGGCCTCCAACTCCCTGGAGAACATCCTGGAGACGCGAACGACCTTGGTACTGTTGATGACCGTGTGCTCCTGGCACTCGGAGTACAGTTTTTCCGAGTAGTCCTTCGCTTTTTCATTGGCGGACTCCAACGCGGACATCAAAGCGACTGGCCGCGTATCCAAGGAAAAAATTGTGTTAGTGTAACTTTCTTGGAGGAATAGCATCACAAGTTTGCTCTGCATGAAAGAGAGAGCCTGGCATGCGCGGCTAGCACGTGAAAACACGTACGGAAAGAGCCTCTGATGCATGTCCAGCATGACAAGTGCAACTGTTTTGCATTTTCTGCATCACAGACTTACACTTACACAGTTTTTTTCTTGCATACCGCTTGTGACACCAGGAGTAATCCGGATCCGCCAACGCCTCCAGAATTGCGGGCGCGAACTTCGTGTGCATTGCAAAAGTTATGCGTACTCGTAGCAATTGCTGTTTATGCATGACAAATCTCTTTCCTAAGGTCCAACAGCATTACAAATTTTATTTGTGATGCTGAGCTAATTTGTGATGCGATTTATACAACTAGTACGATACCTTTGCAATGCATACTGCGCTTTTCTGGACACCATCTTGTGTTTCATGGTCATCAAGGTCTCCTCTTCGTTGATGGTTTTTCCCGGGGGCGGAATCCCTTTCACTGCTGCGCCGAGGGAGGGGGCTGTGTGATAAAGGTCAAGGATTCAAGAAGGATTTGTATAGTGTGTTTGCATCAGAAATTACGAAAGTTACGGACAGCATGCATGACAAAATACATCAAAAACCATTAATATACCATCCGGAAACGCCTTTTTGGCCAACACCAATTCCCGACCACCCGCGATAATCAGGTAACTCTTCTCGTTCAGAATATCCACGACGAACAAATACGCGAAATCCAATTCCCTCTTGTAGTCCCTTGTTCTGGAAATTTCACTCCCATCCTCCGCCGTTTCTACGACCTCCCCCTTTTCCTTTTTCAACATCCTCAACTCCAGCATGATCTCCGGCGCTACTTTCAAAACCGGCTCGACGTCCGTCACTTCCAATACGGAAATCCCCACCTTCCAGTTGTTCATGGAAAAATCCTTCTGATCCCCCCGAATCATCTCGTACGCCCCGAGATTCACGATGAAATCCGTTTTTTTCTGGAACTGCTGCCGTGCGAGTTTGTCCGGATCGGGGACTTTTCCGTAACTGGAGAGTAGCGCAACAACCTGCCGGTCCGGCTCGGTGGTGGTTATTGATTGGAGGTTCAAGGTGTCCGACAAGACCGCCATCAACAGCAATTTCGCGATTTTCGGGGGCAGAAACTTCTTGTGCGACAAAAACAGCACGGTGACAATCGTGGACATCGAGCCCCAGGGCCTGAGATCCATGAACAGCGGTTTTGAAGTCGAGAACGACTCCGCCAGCGCGTGGTGGTCGATGATCCCGACGATCCGGCTGCCCCGGTTTTTGTCCTTTTTCAGAAAAGGCGTCATCTGCTTTTCCTCGCTGTGATCTACGAGACAGACCTTCGCCGTGGTTTTTGCGTTGGGGATGTTTTCGAACAACTCCGGGGTTTGAATTTTGCACTCCTCCAAAGCGAATAGAATCTCCCCGTTCAATTTGTTCTCGCTGATCGCTATCCTGTGCAAAAGTATCGTACTACGTATGAATTGCATTACAAATTCTAATTCATTTAGCATTACAAAATAAATTTGTAATGCGGATTTGCCTCAATAGAGAGATTTGTAATGCATAAACGCGATCAGTACTAGCACGATGCTTTTGCAATGCATAATCGCCGGAATCCCATCGAACAAAGCCGCGGCGCCGATCGCACCCGCAACGGAATCTAAATCCGTGTTGATGTGCCCGACGAAGATGCTATGGATTGCAAATATGTCTGGGTCTGGAAGAATGCGAGATTTGTCATGCTAGTCTGGCATGATGAGACTAAGTTCTGTATTGCGTAGCCAGCAAGAGCTCGTCTGGTCTGTCATGCAAAACCGCTGTTTCTCATGCGCCGGAATACGCAACACAAAGCCACGGAACAATCTGTCATGCTTGGCGGCGCATTACAGTGATGTGCTTCCTATGCACTAATATGCATCACAAGTTTCCAGACCCAGATGACATATTTGCAGTGGATAGATGCAGCCTTTTAACGAGTCCCGGATGTGTGCGTAGAAAATCTCCCGGCAAACGCCGCCGTGCTCGTCGGCTTCCTGCGCGTGCTGGATCAATTGGTCGAGCTTTTCGTTGTGCGCGGTGCTGGCCCGGATGTGATTCAAGTGCTTGTTGGTATCCGACTCTTTGAAGCGGGTCGTGGTGCCGGGGGAATTGTGGCCACCAGTCGTGGTGCCGGGGGGATGCTGCCCGCCGTGGTTCTTCTTGTTGTTGGGAGCCATTTTATTTTAGGGGTTGACGTCGGTACTTTTTTCTTGCGAGAATGGATAAAATCTGCGGTTCAAATAAACTTGAGATTAGGGGCAAATGTTACGTCGCAAAATAAGAAGAACCTGGCATTTGCGATACCAGTGTATCTTTACGTATAGTGGTTCAGGTTCTCAAACTTTTATGTTTGCTACTAGTCAACAGAACAGCTATATGACAAGCGAATGGGAACAATCTTTTTGAGTCTTGGGTAAGAACGCACAGCTGCTCAACAACTTACACTTAAGATGTCGCTTGGGATAAAAAAACTCTTGCGGAGGTCTCTTCTTCCTTTCCTCACTGTTTATCTTGTATACTTACAGGCAACAAAAATCACGTCAACAACCACGTTGTATGTAGTAGCCACTTTCACATCCAAGACGCGAGGATCTCGTCACAACTTTGGCTCGAGTGTAGTGATTCATCTTCTCGTCATGATCTCTACTACTAGTCAAGTCATACAAAACTCAACCACGCAACTCAGGGTCAGCTTCATCTTCATCTCGTGGGTATCAACATATAGGTGAAGAAGAAAACAATCATGAACCGAATTGGCAGGAGGAGCGTTGAAGACGCAGCTGCAACCGAGTTGATTCTTGAATCGAATGACTTCGTCAACCGAGAGGAGCAGAAATTTTTGTCATGCACAGGCCGATAGGTGGAATCAATTCACTTTCACGTTTTGCTTTTGTTGTTGGAAAATTTCCGACTGAACTCCTAGTGTAATTGTACAACGGGGCGATAGAAAAATGAGATTGCACTCTCGCCTGTGAGAGTTCTACGCATTGCATTTGCTTACTGATATTGCTTTTTTTTGCGTTGTACATTCATTCATTTGGGAATACAAATTTATTGTTGAGCGAAAGCTAGAACCAACGTCTGTGAAGGCGAAAAACAACATCATAGTAGGGAGGCTACAGCGAAAATCACGAATTAAGAGGGGTAAGTAGCACAGGAGGTATCGGTCTTTACATACGGGGGTTATAGGTAGTTCAAGTGCATGAAGAATTAAAATGGGACAGCACATGTGAAGTTGTAGAAATTTGATGCTGATACTTATCATCAGGAAAAGGCATTAACGGGTCCAGTAATAAAGAACGGAGTTACTAGTAATACAGCCAGTTTCGGCTGGTGATAGAAACAAGTCGTTGAAAAAAGATTTGTACTCCATAGTACGAGTTTTTGAGGATAAAAACAGCACGTTCGTAGAAAACAGGCGTACGGGCAATCACGGTGAAAAAAAGACGTGGCGGCAAAGAACTTCTTATTTCGCATGATGTCATCTGGCATATTGAAGTCAATATTCTGACGACGCCTTCGCCATAAAAACAACTTCAACAATTCTCACTAAAATTCATCCGATAATGTCAACGATAATTTCAACAATTCTGCGTACATTTCAGCATGCGGTAAAAAGATGAACGCATGGGATAACGAGTAAAAGAAGCTAAAGTAGTTCTTGTCCTGATAAAGAAAGTATCTATATCATACTTCAAGTTCAATCAAAGTCGATTCATTTCAAGAATTCACAAGAAATAAGGCACAGCAGGACGTTTATTGATCTAATTCAAGAAGTAGTTCATTCTCCACGAGTTGTCAGTATAGATACACATACATGGGAACAATAAACCACTCAAGACGGCACCGCATTCGGATCCGACGCGTTCTTGTTCTGCTGCTTCAACCAAAGCGGTGTGGTCGGAATCGAATCTCGAATCTCCTGCCCAGACGGACGGGTGTCCTGTTGCGCCGCAGGAGTGGTCGTGTTGGTCGCAATTTGCAAGGGCGGCCATTGGCGACCGCCGGGGAGCTGGGGTAGTTTGTAAAGGTTTTTCTCTTTCTACGCATAGTACAACCAAGCATATCTTCACGTCATCATCATACATCAAGTACGTCAAATACTACGCGTGACAAGACCTGAAATCGAATCGATTCCGTTTCGAATAGACATACTTACTTAAGTACCTTGTTCTGCCCCACCACTTTCTGCTGCTGCTGCCCAAACGCAGCAGTAGTAGTCATCATCCCCGCGGCTCCACCAGCCGCCGGATTTTGCATCATCATCCATTTCGCAGCCTCACTTTCCGTCGGGCTCGCTCGGTAACAGGCGTTCGATGCCGAATCTTCCGGAAAAATCGAGTCGTTATCCAACGGAACGGAAAACGAGCACTGCTGAAACAAACCACCCGGGCTCACCAGCGACTGGGACAAGCCAAATTGCCCGGAGTTCTGCGAACTCAGCTGGAACTGCCGGTGGGCTGGGGGTGGCGGCCAGATGCTGGAGTTGTTCTGGTTTTGCGGCAGCAGGTTCACTCCCGTGATGATGGAGTTTTTCAGCGGGGCGGATGTGGAATTTCCCGCGGGACCAGTACGGGGATCTTGTTGTTCTGTAGTCACGCGGCCAGGAGCTGCATTCATCCCGAGCATGGCGCCTCTGGTATCTTCATCTTGACCTGGTGTTGGGGATAATTTTTAGGGGGTAGTTCCTCTGAACATGCATGGTCACGGATGTATTCAAGTACAACCCGAGGAGGGTCAGCACGCCGTAGTTCTGAGTTTACCGAAAAAGGCATCGCTTCGTAAAAATGCAAAACAAAAACAGCATGAAACAAAAGAATACGCGTCATCCTGCTAGGGTTGATGTGCTCCGATGACCTGGGTTCCTCCTCCACCGAATTCGTCGTCACGATCATCTTATTGGCCGTGTCTTCCTGCAATAAATCCTTGTTCGCAAAAGAAGAACCTTCCGCCGCTTCGTCCTCATGATCTACCGTGGTTCTGGTTTCGGGGTGGAATACTAGAGCCTCTTTATTCATCATCTTCGCGCTCTTCTTTCCGCTCGAGTTGTTGCTGTTTTGCATCAATAGCTGTGGTTTATTATTCCGCCCCACCGTCGGGGAAATTTTTTTCGTGTTCCCGATGCCACCGTGGTAGTTCTTGACATTCGATTTGACGATCGCGTTCCCCCCGAATTTGGCCCGCAACGCCGCAACCCCCTCGGCCCGTCCCTTCGTGGCGGACGCGCGAGCTGTTGTTCCGTATTGCTGCAGATTGCTGTTTTTGTGCGTCACGTCGGATTGCTGATCCGCGTCAGACTGATCTTTCACTGCCTGCTGCTTCGGCGTCTGCCGGTTGGATCTGTTTATTGCACCGGAGCTCTTCGATGAAATTGCGGGGGAGGGTTTCGCACTTGATGTTGTCGTGTAGTTGTTGTTTCGATTCGACCTGGCAGACATCGGCGGCTGCTGCTGCTGTGCACCAGAAGAAACAGAGTTTGCTTGTTGAGCAGTAGACTCGCTCACCGTGACTGCGTATTTTGATGAACTACTATTGCAGCTCTGGCTATTCGCAGATGCTGAACCAGAGGCGGCGGAACTCGAAGCGGAGCTGGCGGAAGCCGATGAGATGTTTTGTTGACTCTCGTCAACCGGCAACACCCGATTCTGCACCGCGGCAGAGGAAGCCGAGCTGTGGGACTGGGGGCTGGACTTGTAAGAGGAACTTGAAGAACTTATCCGGAAAAAAAAGATTGTCGGTGTAACTTTTTTGGAGGAACAGCATCACATCAAATCTGTCTGGCATGGAAGCAAAAACCTCTCATGCGCAGATTGTACGTGAAAACGCACTTGCAATGCATGCCCGGCATGACAGTCGCAATCATTTTGCAGATTGCGGTTGCGCATCACAAACTTACACTAACAATGTAGTTCTTTCCTTGGATAGAACTGTGACTGGTTCCACTACCCGAGTTCGATCCAGAATTCTGCGACGCCGAACTACTAGAAGAGGAACTGTTGGTTAAATTGTTGCGATTACTGTTGTTGTTCACCATCGAATTCGAGCAACTCGACCCCGAACCCGAACCGGACGAAGAGTCACCAGCATGATTTGAACCGCTATTCGCCAGAGACGCCGTGTTTTGCGCGGACGTGGAGTCTTGGGTGCTGTTTCGAACCATGGAATTTGTAGATAAAGACCCTATCCGCCCCGGACTAGATCTGCTCTTCTCCAGCGCCTTGCGCATCTGCGCTTGCAACCGCAGCGCCATCGCCATATTTGCGTCTTCATCCATCTTTTTCATCGCACTAGTTGTAGAACTCTCGGTTTTGTCAATCACTTCGACCTTCTCGATCTGCTTGACAGGTTCTTCCGGCTCTATCGGCCGGTTGTACTCAACCACATGATCGGGACTCGCAGCCGTTTCTACGATGCTTGTCACCTTCACCTCCTTCGGTACTACTGCCCGGTTGGTCGCTGTCCCCCCACCTCGTGCAGACATTGGTGGTGGACCAGCAGGACCACCACATGCGACACGTCCCCCAGTCGCCGGACTGGTCAGATTATGTTCACCCTGCTTCTTGCTAATCTCCTCCCGCGTCCTTAACCGTGCGGAGACCGGTATGGGGTTCTCAAGCGCTACATTCTCAACTGTTACATGATTTGCCATGCAAAATTGCCTTGACTATCGACGCCATCAAGCTGCTTCGCATAACAAATTTTCAGACGGCCAAAAAGGCTAAGACTCTGCGCCAAATCTGTCATGCAAGACGCGCAAGGTCCTTTCTTTCACTTTTGCCATTCTTGCATCACAAATTCGTGTAGCAGTTGAGAATGTAACAGTCGAGAACGCCATAACCGGCGGAGGGACGTTGGGGGAGTTCGACTGTCGGTTGTAGTGCTCTATCGCAAGAAAAAATTGTTTCACTGTGAACTTGTGATGCAGCAAATGGAACGCAGAACTATTTGTCTTGCTGCACCTGCAAGACGTTGGATTTTCAAGCGTGTTTTCCCTTGAGAAAATTATGCGCATGGCAAATTTTCTGTGTCATGTGTAACAAACTTGTGATGCGGATCTTGCAAAATCATCTTCACAGAGAAACCGTTTTTTCGTGGGATATGGTCTTCTGCGGTTCCTGTAATGTAATTCTCCTCATTTAAATCATCGTCGGCATGATCTTCCGAATCGTCACTGATGTTCTGATCATTTTCCTCTTCCTCTTCTTCCGCCCTGCTGTGGTCCACAATGTTCGGCGAAGACTTCTGCGAATTGGTAATGATTTTCTTCCCGGTGGAAAGCACCGCAACACCCCCGCCGGTCGTTCTCGCAGTCGTGCTGTGCTTCTGGGCGGTTGTGCGAGATGCATTGTAGTTCAGGGGCTTGGGCTGAGTTTAGAGATTTGATAAAAATGCGTTTGTCATGCAGGCACTTGCATTGTACAGATTGATACAGAGAAGTGAGTTTTTCAATTGTATCGTCAACAAAAAAAAACCTCTATTCAAATTATACCGGCGAAGAACTGGGTGCAGGAGAGGCGATTCTGACTCGGGTCTTGGTCAACTGCGGTGACACCACGCGCGCACGGGTCATGGTCTTGTTGCCGGCGATATCTGATTGAGATTGTTTGTGTAAATGGAAAATATAGTAATGCTCTTTCTGCATGACAAAGCACATCTCTCAGGCTGATCCTACATGTTGTGCATGCCAAACTATGATCTTCACCATGATGAATGGAATATAGTACCAGAGCTAGCCTGTCTTGTGGCTGGCGCCGTCCTTGCACCCCCAGCGACGGGAACGTCTCTCGCTCGCAGCGCCAAGTTTTTCGCTCGTTCTCTCGCGAGTAAGTCCTTCTGCCGGTCCACAGTGGTTTGTAAAATTTTGTTTTGCCGCTCGACCTGCCCGATTTTTTCCTGCGCAGAATTGTAGGCGACGGTTAGTTTGCCGATCCTGATAAAGATTTTTTCGTTTGTTTGTAAAAATTTAGGGTGGATCATGATCTCCTTGCAGCTGCAATTCTGCTCTACTGCTATCATGCAAGGAATCACATTGTTGTTGTTCACATCAATTCTTACACCGCAAGATGAAAACACGACAATGGTTCATCAGGTTCTTTCAACAAACCACTATCTCATCTACCGATCCTGCAATCTCCGGTGCCTCCCCTGCAACTCCTTGTAATCCCGTCTCAAGCTGTCGAAGGATTCCGGATTTAACGTTTCCACAATCGTCAAAGGCGACGAGATATCAAATGCAAAAATGTCTGGGTTTGGAAGGTTCTGAGACTTGTCATGCACGGTTTGCAGGAGCCATGATGTCTGTGATGCATGCCCTAGCATCACAATTTTTTTAAGGGGCTCTTGATGCCTATTCCGCATGGAAAATGCCCTCTCCGCTTAGCAATCCCTTTTGCTGCTCATGCAACACAAATTTTTTAGACATCCAAGCGCAGCATCACAAGTTCTTCCAGACCCAGACATTTTTGCATTTGATAAGAAATGATCGGCGAGCTGCTTCTTTCCTCCAACCTCTGTCGCGCCACTTCTTTCAGATTCGCCGCATTTGTACTTCTAGCAGTACCAGCGTTCGCCGTAATTCCGTTCCTCGTTTTGTTCGGACTCGAGCTCATGACCTTCTTCTTCGTCTGCACGCCGGATGATGAACCGCCAAGGACCTGCTCTCGGGTTAATTTCGTCGCCTGTAAAAAATGTTGTTTTTTCATCTCCTGCTCTTCCTTCGATTGCAGGAAATCTTCCGCGGCAGACGTTTGTTTCGACATTGGGGCGAGCGTTAGTACTTCTCCGCCCGCCGGTACGATCGTCGCGGAAACCACCTGCGTCGGACTGGACGGCCCGTGGCTGACCCTGTCCGGTCTGAGTTGCAGCCTCGAGTTGGTGGACGATGCTGCTCCTGCACAACCCGCTGCAGTGGGGATTTTCATGTTCCGGATCCAGCTGTTCTGGAAATTCAGAGTGAAACTGGACCGTTTTTTTGGCGGCGGGTTGGAGGAAGAATTTATTTGCTGCTGTACTATCCCAGAGCTGGTGCAATTTGGATCGAAGACCGCATTGTTCTGTGGTCCCGGGCTAGTGGTTCCGAAATTTACCAGGTTCAAACCAAACCCCCGACTACCGAACTGGAAACCTGATCGGGGGTTATTTGGCGGTGGATTTTCGACCACGATAGCCGGCGCAGTTGTTCCTGGATTTACTTGTGTGGCAGAAGTTTTGTCGTTCACGAACCTTGGCCCGACGGACAAACTCCGGACACTACTTGACCCCACCATGGAGTTTTTCGCACTGGATGAACTTGCTGCTACACCTGCTGCTGCACCGAGATGCGGCACAAACCCTCCCCCGAAAGTGAACTGCGGCTGCGGGCTGGTAAAGCGAGACTGAAATTTGCTGTTGTTCCCCAGAATTTTTGCTCCTTGTTGTGGACAGTTTGGTCCTCCGAGACTACTAGCACAAGCAGTTCCGGTGCCAAGAACGATCCCGCGACTGACACTGACGCTGCTGCTCCCGGCGCCGGCGTCTTTTGTTTGATCCCGGTTTATACCTTGGAAAGTATTATTAAAGTCGTGCTGTCGTGGGACAGTCATGGAGTGGTTTGTGTTGCTGTTATCCTCGTCGTAGGTAGTTGGGGAATTAGAAACCGGATTTTGTTGACTCGTCATCTGCTGTGGTTTGGGAACGGTGTGCGTACCCGAAGTAGATCCGGGTAGGTGTCCAAAGTCGTGTACTAGTCCGGTACTATTTCCTCGGAAATTATTAGCCGCGAAGTTCAAGCTGTTAAACCCGGAACGAGGTGCGCCAACATTGCTCGTCCCAGAAGCTCCTCTATGAAATGCAAATATGTCTGGGTCTGGAAGGTTACAACTTGTCATGCTAAATCTCAATGATGCAAAAATCTGTGTTGCGTGAGTACCAAAAGCTGTCCGCTTTTGACCAACTTGAGGGGGAGTTTCTCATGCAGGAAAGGCATGATAGAGACCTCAAGAAATCTGTCATGCTGGGTCTCGCATTCCCGACCTCATGGGTCATGGAAAACCTGCATCACAAATCTTGCATTCTTCCAGACCCAGACATTTTTACATTTGATATCCTCCGAACAGTTGAAAATGACTCCTGAAACTTGGCAAGGCCGGTGGCATGGACTGGTGGTTATGGAATGCAAATATCCCTGGATGTCTGGAAACCTGTCATGCAAGGAAGGGAATAGTGAGCACACTGTAATGCGCTGCCAAGCATGACAAATTTTTCAGTGCTTCTGAGTTGCGTACTCCGCATGAGAAACTACGTTTCTGCATGACAGCCAAGAGGAGCTCTTCGCGGCCACGCAATACAGAGTTCTGAGTCATGTCAGACTAGCATGACAAAACCCGCAGTCTCCCAGATCCAGACATATTTGCATTTGATAGTGGTTGTCACTTTGCGAAACACGTCTCGCGGTGCCGCCGGGAGAGACGATCACTTGTGGCTTGTTTTGTTGTTGTAATCCCTGGCTACTTCCTGCAAGCATTGCTGCTTTTTCCGGGGAAATCGTAACACTTGTCACGGATTGCCGTCTCGGATTGTTGTTATTCTTATTGTTGTTCTCCACGACCTGCGTCTCATCTTCCGCAGAATCGACCGGGTAGCCGCATCGAGAACGGGTGATATCTAACTCGTTTAATTCTTCTGACGTTTGCTCAGGCTCTTTGCAAGTTTCATGATCATGCTGTGTGGTTGTAATAGGTGGTTGGGTACTTTGCCGTTGTGGTTGCGGTTGTTGCGGTTTAATAATGTTCTGGTTGCTATTGTAAAGAAATTTCGCTGGTGAAGGCCCGGTTGTAGCACCACCAGCAAACCGGTTTTGCGCCGCAACTCCGATACCAAGACCAATACCAGAGCCCACAGCAGAAGACCCAGCTCCAGAAGGTCGCAATCCGTTCCCAGCAGAAGACGACCCCGGTGGGAACATCGGTGGAGGCCCAGAGACGCGGTAGTTATTTTGAAAAAGGTTCATGCCATGCTCGGAAGATCCGGCTGTGGGTAAGTGCGCTGGTGGCGGCGCGCGGCCGTAAGTTTTGGTTGGGGACGGCATCTTGGTATCTACAAATCGGAAAACTTGTTAACGACCTCTATGTCGCGCGACGTTTCAAAATTGTGCCGCAGCAAGAACATTATTGCGGTAGGGAGCAAGATCGTGGGAGAACTTGTATCGGATGCTACTAAATATTCCTGAACTTTCGGACCCCCGCGCCCCCTTTGAATCTTCTCAAAAAAAACGAAGGGCACGACGGACATTCTTATCGAGAGAAAAAGAGCGAGCGCGAGAAAGTTGCGGAATTATTAGCACGACCCACAGCATTTTGCGGATTCAACAAGGGGTCCGGGGACGGGCTCCCATTTGTTTAGTAATATTTATCAATATCCGATGGAAGGAGCCAATGGCCGCGTGAGACTGTCCTAATTTCCCTCAGTTCTTACTGTGAAGACCGCGCACCAAGACTGCAGACTCAAGAAGGTCGGGCAGAAAACCACGAAAACACAACTCACAATAAAACCGCGGGAACTACAACAAGCAGCTCCTGAAATCACGAAGGGAGGACGCAGTAAACTTCGCAATCACTTCTAGTTCTAATTTAATGCCTTCACTCAAGTACTTGTAGGTACTAAAGTTTTTTCAGGAAGGTGAAGAGACGTAACCACAACAACCACCAAGCCGAGAACACCGCTTCGGCCAGCCACGAAACCGTGTTCTCCGAGAACACCACAACAACCATCAAACAGCCCCTAAATATGACTCACGTTTCATCTCACCTTGAAATTAGAAGCCCGGTTTCGTTCCAGTTTTCCTTTCCAACTGCGGGGGAAGATTTTTGGCGTACTGGTACTTGTCCCTCAAAAAGCACGGCAATAGTTCTTCGTAGACTAGTTTCCGTCGTGCAAATCCTGTGAAGATCATGAGTGTCAATTCAAAAAGCCCTCTGCACAATGGGTCGTGGCAAAAAGCCTTTGGTGCTCTACGTAGTTTCTTTGGCATCACTTCGTACGTAGCTAGAGTTGTTAAGATTAAGAAGTTTGGCGTAAGTAGTAGACATCCACATCAAGTTGTGTCTTTACGGTATCTTCAAATGTTCAAGTTGCGGGGTAAAAGCGATCATTTCCTCAAATAAGCATAAGGTAGCTGACTCAGCGCGGCTTGAAGACCAACTGCCAGAAGATGGAGTTAATCTGTCGCAGGTCCAAATGCCGCTGCCGAGATGGAAAATTATGTTCAACGTGGTTGAAGAAGTGTCGCCTTGGTTAGTAGATAACAGTAGAGAAAGCAAAGAACTCGGTCCTTTCAAGATTTCTGCGCATTTTGGTAGTTTGGGTTGATGCGCAGCACGCGCTTGGCCTTAGTGTTTCGTTGAACATGTTGGACAACAACTTCACAAAATTGCATAACTTCAAGTGGTGGTGCTGCCCCTGCCTCAGTATGTTAACCGGGCAGCGAGAATAACGTAAGATCATTAGCAACACTAGCAACACAAATCCCTCTACTGATCTATCATTCCCCCTTCTTGTTCAAAAAGTCCTTCCTTTCCACCCCTCCGATCCGCAGTGCCACCTCCGGTCCGTGGTACTGTAACCTTCTCTTCAACAACTCCGCAATTTCGTCCCGCGACAAGTCCTGCTTGTTGAAGGGCTGGTAGAACAAATCCGCCAATTTCCCATACTCCTGCCCGACCATCATCCCGAAGATTTCGAAGAGATTTTGGTTGTGAAACCCGGTGGCGATAATCCTTTTGTTCGGGTTATTCTCGATAATTTGCTTCAACTCCTGTTCCTTCTCTGCCGGAGTTGTTGCCGGTTTTTGTGTTTTATTCCCACCACACTTCTCCTTGTACTCTTTCTCATGCTTCTCGTACATCTGCTCGTGCTTGGACCAGTGGATCCCGGGGTACTATGCATTGCAAATATCCCTGGATGTCTGGAAGAATGCAAGACTTGTCATGCTGAGTCTGGATCATGCAAACATTTGTGTTGCATGATTACCAAAAGATGTCCGCCTTTGACCAGGTTGACAGGAAGTTTCTCATGCAGGATAGGCATGATAGACACCTCACAGCATCTGTCATGCGAGGTGCTGCATGCCAAGCCTCATGGGTCATGGAAAACCTGCATCACAAATCTTGCATTCTTCCAGACCCAGACTACATATTTCCATTTCATAGGTACTGGTGGTGCACCACGTGATACTCTTCCTTCAACGTGAAGTTCAGCCCGTCCACAATTGTAGTGCTGTTCACGTTATCAAGTGCAAAAGTGTCTGGGTCTGGAAACTTGTGATGCTGGGTGGGGTATCATGAGAAGGCCGCAAGTGCTGGCTCAGCATGAGAAGTTTCTGAGCCTCTAGGTGTTGCCTATTCTGCATGACAAACTACGTCTCTGCATGACAGAAAAATGGCGCGCTTGGGTAACGCGCATGACAGATTTGAGAGTCATGCCGGACAAGCATGACAAACATGCACTCTTCCAGACCCAGACACTTTTGCATTTGATACACGTAGGCATTTGTCGGATCCTCCTCATCGATAAACCCGTGCCAGACCCAGTTCACCATCGCGAGCAAAATATTCGCCTCGAAGAACGCGAAAATTAAGGTTGCAGAGGTAAAAATCGCGGTTGATTTCGATAAGCTGAAGCACGCTAGGATGAAGAGGAAGTAGTACGTTGTCCAGAAGATGAGTTCAAAAGCTTTTTTCTGCTTCCGCTCCTTCTTGTTCTCCGCGGTTAAGAAGAACCAAATGGTCGATAAATTCGACGAGTAGCAGAACCAGGAGGGCTATCAAATGCAAATATCCCTGGATGTCTGGAAGGATGCAACTTGTGATGCTACCTTTGGACTCTACATAAAATCTGTGTTGCATGAATAGCAAAAGAGGCGCAATTTTTGCTACGCGGAGAGGGCATTTCTCATGCGGTATGAGCATCGGAACGCCCTCACACAATCTCTGACGCTCGGGCATGCATCACAGACTACATGGGCCATGGGAAATCTGCATGACAAACTTCTGCACTCTCCCAGACCCAGACATATTTGCAATGCATAAGGGCAGGTACTTGACGAAGTTCTTGAAGGAGTCCCGCGGCCGGTACGCCGTGCAATACACGTCCTGGTAGCTGTATGCAAGAAAAAAACTGTGTAAGTGCAACTTTCTTGGAGGAAAAGCATCACAAGTTTGCTCTGCATGACACAGAAAACCTGTTATGCGTAGCTAGTACGTGAAAACACGTAGGAAAAGAGCCTCTGATGCATGTCCAGCATGACAGGCGTAAGTGTCTTGGTCTTGCATCGTCTGCAACACAAAGTATACACTTACACAGTTTTTTTCTTCGATAAACTGTTTTCGTGTCGGTGGTGGTTGAAGATGTGGGAAATTGTGAAAGTCCCCGAGATATCAAATGCAAATATGTCTGGGTCTGGAAGGATGCAAGGTGTGTCATGCTTGTCTGGCATGACTGAAGAGTTTGTGATGCGCGTCCATGAAGAGACGCTCTTGCTTGTCATGCAAAGCGCAGTTTGTCATGCGGAAACCGCAACTACGTACACTAAGCAGCGCAAATACTTCTCATGCTTGCCTGTGCATTACAGAGAGTTCACTACTCGTCCCAGCTCAGCATTACAAGTTTCCAGACCCAGACATGTTTGCATCCGATACGGGACGACGCCGTGAAACATTCCGACCCAGTGGTTGAACGGGCATCCTGTGCAAAAGTAGTCGTAGTAATGTAATAGTAATTCTAATTGCAGTCATGCATTACAAATTTTTTTGAGGTAAATCCGCATGACAAATTTTATTTCTCATGCTGAGGAAATTTGTATTGCATTTATACGAGTACGATACTTTTGCAGTTCATAACGGGAACTGGAAATTGATCTCCTTTTTGCTACTGGCTTTATTCGATGATGTGGAAAAGGGATTCAAAATCGGAATGGAAAACTTCAAATTCAGCAGATTCCCGTTCAAGTGTCCCTTATTCTGTGCAAAAGTATCGCACTCGCAATCGTATTGCACTCATGCATTACAAATCTTTTTCTTAAGGTAAATCCGCACTACAGATTTTCTCTCTCATGCTGAGGAAATTTGTGCTGCATTTATACGAGTACGATACTTTTGCAGTTCATATCCCTCCTTGTGCGCCAAAACGTACACGTACATAAAGTTGCAGTACATGGGACCGAGGCGAACGGCGTTGTATCAAAGCGAAAAAAGCTCCCACCCCATAGAAAAAAGGAAGTTTCTATTGCTGGATTTCTGTACGCAAATCACCGCTGTATTGCAGAAGGTGCTTGGAGGCACTTCTTACGCCTGATTCGGTATGCAACAGGCTAGCAGTTAGGCATGGCAGACACCTTTACAGTATACAAAAGCGCATCACAGATTGGCTGTGGAATGCGCCAAACAGCTCCCATTAGCCTTATAGGCGAAGACAGAGCGGATTTGTGGTCACAAATCAGCATCACAAATTTCCATTTCGAAATGGGGAGGGGGGATTTTTCCTCACAATACGTTGTAGATGAAGATTCGAAAGGGGTAGACCATTTCCGTCGTGTAGGTCAACCACAGCTCGTAGAAAAACCAGGCCGGTAACACGAATATCCACTGCAAAAGTGTCGCACTCGTAGTAATTGCATTTATGCATTACAAATCTCTTTCTCAAGGTAAATCAGCATGACAAATTTGATTTGTAATGCTGAGCCAATTTGTAATGCAATTTATAGATACTAGTACCATACTTTTGCACTTCATAACGAACCCCAGCCAGAAAAAGGTCGGGACCATGAAGCTGTCCTCGTCGGGGTAGCGAACAAACCGCCTGCTGATGCGGGACTTTGACCCGAACGTCGTGTTGGCATGGTGCCCGATTTTCCCGACCAAATCGGATTTGAACAGCTTCTTGTCGCAGTATTCGGCGAACGTGGCATATCCTGTGCAAAAGTATCGCACTCGTAGTAATTGCAATCATGCATTACAAATCTCTCTCTTAAGGCAAATCAGCATCACAACTTTCATTTTTCATGCTGAGGGGAAATTTGTAATGCATTTAATATACGAGTACGATGCTTTTGCAATTCGTATGGTAACCGCGATGTTGATAGCGGTGTACCAGCCGAAGACCGCGAGTTGGGAGCAACCGATCGCGAACTTGAGCTTCTCCGCAAGTGGATGGGGGGTGAGTTGGTGCACGAGTTTGTCGTAGTCGGCTGTGGTTTTTTGGCTTTCTTTTTTGTTCCTCGTCCTCTCGTCCTCTTGGGCAGTAGAAGTGGGGACGACTGTGGTGGTTACGGTAGAGGTGGAGGAAGTTTCTCTCGCGCTGCGGTCCGTCATTGTGATCGCCATCGCGGGAGGTAGCGGGAATCAAAATCAATACTAATACATACGATGGAGTTGCTCTAAAGTCAGCTTGGTCTGAGTACGATAAGGTAGTTGTGAAGAAAGTGAGTAATTTAAAAACTTAAAGTGCAATGAATATGGATATCCCCAAATACCAAACTGGCTTCGCTGCTGCTCATGACGACGTCAAGCGTGTTTTATAAACGCCATGTCACCTCATTGATTGTAAGACTCGGAACGTCGCGCAAGTCGTCTACCACTGACAACTGTGACAGCAGGAGAAGTACATTTACGTTCACGTCACCCCAACCGAAGTTGTATTTTTCCCCCATCAAAGAACATGTGTTCTCTCAGAGACGCTCTTGAACTTGGTGTGAGATGAACTTCGTATTTCATTTGACAACAGCAAGAGCCCACAGCCAACAGGTGATTTACTCTGCGGCTTTTGCCAGTCCTAGTAACTTGGAGTCTCGATTTCGATCCTACTGGCATGGCAAGGTTACAAGGCATCTTTTCATCTCTTGCGACTCTTGCGAGACAGACGGAGCGTCGCTGCAGCATGGCTGTAAGCACAGCTCCGCAGGCCGGTCCAGATATCGTGGCGAAGGGCAACGCGTGCAGATGTCAGTCACGTTAACGAACGTGACGGGCTGGCGGCAGATCTCTGAGTTTGGTCCGGGCGCCACACAAGACCAAACCGAAACCCAAGGGCCGGCGCAAACGCCGGCAGGCGGGGGCGCAAACGAGCAACATCGCCCCCATGACTGCACAACACCGCCAGGGCAGCGCGCGCCGCTCTGTATGCTCCTTGGTGGGCGGCCGACCGGGCCCCCCGGCGGAAACCCCGGCAAGGGCGCACAAGACGCCCGACCGTCCCCCGCCCGCCCCCGCGGGGCTACTAGGTGGGGCACAACCAAACGAAGCGGCGCGGGCGAACGAACCACGCCGCGCCCGCCCGACCCAAAATCGCCACACGCGGGAGCTGCTCCACTCTTGCGATCGAGGACTGGCGGCGGTTTTGAGGTCGGAGGATGCCGCGGGCCCTTTCCGCGCCGTGACGCTGCTGGCGTGGCGCGTCTGAACGGTTCCTGCTGGTATTCGCAGCACCCACCGGCCCCAGCGCCGGCCCTGCTGAGGCTCTGGCACTGTACCCGATCGCCGGCCAGCCTTCGCCAGGGCCCCGCGCCGCTGGCTTTCTCGCTCGTGGCTGGCGAGAGCCAGGGGGCACCCAACCAAGCCACTACATGGCACGAGCGCAACACATCTGGCGCGCGGTTGCCAAGACGGCGCCCCGCGGCAGCGCAGCCTCCGCCACTTCGACGGGCGGAGATGGCGTCTCTATTATGGCTCCATTAGAAATAATGCAAAGAAACATCCAGGGCTCTCGCTTTCCTCTTACCGTCTCTTTCTAGGTCTCTTTGCCTCAAAGATGTTGACTTCCCTCTAGACGTGACTCGCGCGCGTACCCTCTCTCAAACCAACTCCCTCAACACTGTACCTGATGTATGATGATGAGTGAGTAATTTAAACTTAAAGTGCAATGAATACTTATCCCGAAATAGTAATCTGGCTTCGCTGCTGCTCATGACGTCGTCAAGCTTGTTTTATAAACGCCAACATAACAACTCATTGACTGTGAGACTCGGAACGTCGCGCAAGTCGTCTACCAGTGACAACTGCGACAGCAGGAGAAGTACATTTACGTTCTTTCACGTCACCCCAACCGAAGTTGTATTTTTACCCCATCAAAGAAACATGTGTTCTCTCGGAGACGCTCTTGATCTTGGTGTGAAGAGAACCTCGTATTTCATTTCGACCAGCACAGCAACCCACAGCTAATAGGTGATTTACTATACGGCTTTTGCCAGTCCTTCTAGTAACTTGGAGTCTCGATTTCGATCCTAGTGGCATGGCCAGGTTACAAGGCGTCTTGTCATCTCTTGCGAGACAGACGGAGCGTCGCTGCAGTATGGCTGTAAGCACAGCTCCGCCGGCCGGTCCGGACACGGCGAGGGCCAACAAGTGCGGGCATCAGTCACGTCAACGAACGAACGGGGCGGGCTGCCGACAGGTCTCTGACTTTGGTTCGGGCGCCACACAAGACCAAAGCCAAATCCATCGCGCGAGGCACAGGCTTCGCAGGCACGAAAGTGACACCGGCGCACACACCTGCTGGAGGTGGAGCAGGCCCGGGAACACTATGGACCCGAGCGCCCGGCCCATCGGCGGGCCGGCGGGCCCGGGCGCCCGCGAAAGTAGGCGGGGGCGCGGCCGAGCAACGTCGCCAAATTGGCCGCCGACGGTTCACAACGCCGCCCGGGGCCAACGAGCTAGCATAGGAGCCCAGAGGTAGGGCGCCGCTAGCTTTCTCGCATCCTTTAGCTCGGTTTGCAATCCCCAGCCCGCACCAGACCCCGCGCGGCGTGCTTCTTGCGTTCTTCCTGAAGCGCCAGCCTTTTCGCAGTCGGCCGCCGCCGCGCCCCACCCGCGCGCCAGTGTTCCTCGCGCAAGAACTTGAGCGCCAAGCCATGCTCTTTTCTTTTTCCCCCTTCGTGGTACAAGGCGTACTCCGGCCGCCAGTCGGGCGAAGTCTGTGGCTTTGGCCACGGCTTCGAGACAACCCTCCACACCGCCGGGCGAGCTGGATCGCCCCCCGCGCGCTGGCCTCGTCGCGTTGCATTTCGCGCGCCACCTCCACCGCTTGCTTCGGCCTACAAGGCGGCGGAACTTCCTCCAGGGCCGCCCGGCGCAGTGGGCCCCCCCGCGTCGAACAGACAACCCGCGGGCGCGCCCCTGCTATCACCAAGCGGCTGCCCTCTTCTTCCTTGTCCCGTTCCCCACTGGGCGCCGCCCGGTGTTCTGCGGCAAAGCGTACGTCTTCCAGAAGTGCGCCCGACCGCTTCCGGGCAGCGCCGGCCCTGCGCGCTGACGCTGCAAAAGAAAAAATCTAATCTCTTTGGGAAATCTCTAGGGGAGCTGTTGGGCAGGGTTCCTTGGTGTGCGGCCGGGCCCAACAACGGATGGCCCGGCCGAAGGGCACGGGGGGCCCGAAGGGGATGCGGACGCGGGCCCACGTCCACGCGTCTACCTTCTTGCTGTCCCTTTCCCGGGCCGGTGGCTGCGCGCCCTCCGTTCCGGGAAGGTCGCGCTCGCCATACGGGTGCAGGGCTAATGGGGGGGCCGGCAGCTGGCGACGCGGGCGAACCGCGCCGCGCCAAAGCTGCCCGAAATGGCCACACCGAAAGCAGGGACAAAAAGGCGCCAGAGGCCGGCCGCGTCCACATTGCCGAGCAGATGGCGACGCGGGGCCGGCTCGCTTGCCTTTTTTTCCCGTTGCCTTTCCCCATTTCGTAGCGCGCTTGGACAATGCGGGAGGGGATTACTGTGCGGGCCAGCGTTTTCGGAAGGATGCGCCTTTCTTCATCCGTCGGCTATTCGTGTTGGCGCTCGCGGGTAGCCACAGGGGGCACCAGTGCGCTGAACTCCAACGGGGCTGCAGGAGCAGCCGCCAGCTGGAAAGTTGCTTTGGTTGGATGCAGGGGCAGCCGCCAGCTGGAAAGTTACTTTGCGCCCTCCGCTCTTACACACTGGTGAACCAGATGTGCACATTGAAGAACACGACCACGACGCAGGGTTTTTATTTCCGACGCAAACCCAGAAAAAAAGAAACAGAGAGGTTTTTTCTACTTTTTTATGCAGTGAATTCATCGCTCATGACACCGTCCTGTAGTATTATTCCGCATCTGATCAAAAGCGGTTCTCATGATAGGACTCGAGCATCTCAAGACAACAAAGTCCGCATTGTTCCTTGTACTGAGTAGTCGAAGAATTGGTCACTTTGATCTTGATGTCTTTGCGAATACTACCTTCTATGTCTTTCTAGAATTAAAAAAATGACCAAGCACCTTTGCGGCGCCGGGTAGAAATAGAGCAGTCTATGTGCTGTAGCCTGAACTACGAAGAGAGAGAGAGAGACTAAGTACTTAAAAGCATGTGCACATGCAATGAAAATGAAAAAGAAAGCTGGGATGAAAACGTAAACATAGAAACGTTTCAGGTAGATGGATTCGATGGTAACTACAGACACTCAGTGTTCTTCTACACTTTCTGAAAACAACAAGAAGTCAATCCCTTTTTGTACTTTCGCCTTCGACAGGAACCATTCATGTTGGGCAATGCCAATGGCGAGGCATTGTACTAAACCCCCTCTTTTCACGCCGCCCGCAGCGCAGGTAAAACTTCTTCCGCGTCTGCCGGCGCCACTTCCACCCGCGTGTCTTCCCCCGTGATGACGATCAAATTTTGCTTTTGTTTCCGCGCCAACTCGATCGCCTCGGCGATGATCAGTTCACTGTCTTTCTGCAAATCAATCTGGACTTGCTGCACCGCAGCGGATATCAACTGCAAAAATGTCTGGGTCTGGAAGATTGCAACTTGTCATGCTGTTTTTGGAGTGTAAAAAAAATTATATTGCATGACCAGCAAGAGGGGTAGTGCAGTTTTTGCTACACGAACAACAGGGCATTTCTCATGCGGAAGGTGCATCAGGAAGTCCTCCAAAAGTCTACGATGCTAGGTCAAGCATTAGTTACAGGCATCATGTGTCATGAGAAATATGCATGACAAATCTTGCATTCTTCCAGACCCAGACATTTTTGCATTTGATAGCGGATTGTGGTTGAGGATTCATCGCATTGTTGGTGTTCCCGATCGGCTGCGACTGCTCCATAATCGTCACCATGGGAGCGGAGTGGGGACGGCCTAGTCGCTGCTGGTTGTTGTTATGGTTGTGTGGTCCAGGTGCTGGTCCCCGGGAATTCAAATTAGCATTTTGATTGTACCGCAAGCTCCCGGTGTTCGGGTTAATCTGGACCGGAATCGGGGCTTGCATCAAGTACATCCCCCCTGGGGGACCACCTGCAGCACCATTTGCTCCCGGTTGTACAACAGGAATGACGTTCGGGGCCGTATGAGCTGCAGTACCCCGGTTCCGGCCAACGAGAAAGGCCGGAGGGACTTGGCCCATCTATCAACTGTAAAAATGTCTGGGTCTGGAAGGTTGCCAGGTTTGTCATGCATATCTTCCATGACTCAGGATGTCTGTAATGCATGATCTGGCATCACATATTTTTAGAGGCCTTCCTGATGCCTATCCCGCATGACAAACGCCCTCCCCGCGTAGCACAAACTGGGCTCCTATTGCTGGTCATGCAATACAGATTTTTTTAGAGTCCAAAGTTAGCATCACAAGTTCCAACCTTCCAGACCCAGACATTTTTACATTTGGTACCATCATCCCGGAATCGAATCGGCGTTTATCAAATGCAAATATGTCTGGGTCTAGGTGAGTGCAGATGTTTGTCATGCTGCTCTTGCATGACCAAGGAGGTCTGTCATGCAAATCGTAGCATTACACGTCTTGAGAAGGTGTCCCGATGTTGCCTAATCCGCATGACAAATCCCCTATTGCGGTGCCAATTTTTGGGCCGCATTTGCTGTTCATGCATGACAGATCTTTGCGTTGTCTGAAATTTGCATCACAAGTTGCATTCTTCCCGACCCAGACATATTTGCAGTGCATAGCGTTGCGCTTCCACCAATTCCTGGTAAGAAGAGTTGCTGTTCCGGCGGATAGCGGAGGGGAGGCCGCGCGCGGCGTTGTTGTTCCGGGTCGCCGTAGGGGAAGTCACGGGGGCGGGCCTGATATGGTATAAGTATAGGTTTTTTGAGTTTTGTATTGCGCTTGCTGGAAAAAGACGAAGCAAAGCTGACGCTCTTCTACACGGATAACGAATTTTGATGAAAAGGAAAACACAAAAGTTAAAGTTGTAGTTAGTTTTGGAAAATACTTTTTCCCCTTCAGCCCGCACATCCGCCAGAGGCAATCGCAACAGCCGCAGCAGCACCGCCGGTAGCAATAGACCGTCATCCCGTCCTTTCCGCAGCGGTAGATTTCGTAGATCACCGCGACGCCGATCAAAATCAAGCACGCGATCACGATATGGATTGCAAAAATGTCTGGGTCTGGAAACTTGTGATGCAAGTCCGTGAACAATAAGCGCTCTGTACTGCGCCGCCAAGCATGACAAGTTTTTTCGTGCTTCTGTGATGCGTATTTCGCATGAGAAGCTGCGCTTTTGCATGACATGCAAGAGGACCTCTTGGTGGCCGCGCAATACAGAGTGCAGAGTCTTACCGGACTAGCATGACAATCTTCCAGACCCATACATTTTTGCATTTGATACACGAAAATCCTGGCGACCGCTCGTTTCGGCTGCTCGTATTCCAATGGTTGGGTGGAGAGGCTTATGGAATGCAAAAGTGTCTGGGTCTGGAAGATTGCCAGGCTTGTGATGCATATTTTGCATAACCCCTGACGCCTGTAATGCGTGGTCTAGCATCACAGATTTTTAGAGAGCTTCCTGATGCCTGTTCCGCATGAGAAATACCCTCTCCACGGAGCACAAAAACAAAATGGACTCCTCTTGCTGGTCACGCAATACAAATTTTTTATAGCATCCAAACACAGCATCACAAGTTTGCATTGTTCCGGACCCAGACATTTTTGCATTTCATAAGGCTTGCCTTTTCGTAGATCCAGCTCCTTGCGTAGAAGGTATCGGCAAACCAGGTTTCCAAGTCATGATCTTCGTTCGAAACGTCGCAATCCTGCAAGACCTCGCCCGACAGCGATCTCCCCTGCGAAACGATCCCGTATTGCACCCACTGGTCGGAATTCTTGTGTTTGCAAACCAGCGGGCCCCCGGAATCCCCGGCGCAGGACCCGGACCCCGTTATGGAACTGTCAGGATCGAAATTGACAAAATCGAAAAATTTGTGATGCATAAAATGCATAACGCGAAATACGTGTGTTGCAGAGCAGGCATGTGAGGCCGATTGCAAGCCTGTTTGGGGCTATACCTCGAGCTGCTAAAGCAGCATGAGAGAATCGGGCTTCTTTGCCTAAACAGCATTACAAACTGGATTTAGGCACCACCAGAATTTGTGATGCGCCACTTAGAAACTGGGTTCGAACTGGAATCCATTTCATGCATGACAAATCATTTCGATTTTGTCGATTTCGATTCTGACACTTCCATACCCGTGTGCTGCGGGTTGGAAGCGAGGTTCAGGCCGGAACCGCACAAGATTATCCTGTGTAATAAAGACGTCCCCAGCAGCCCAGAGGCAAGTTGGGATCTTGGCAAGACAAATCGGGCATGTTTGGGACTCACGCATGACAAGTTCTTTGGCTGCGCAGTGTAATATAGTCGTGCCTAGCTAGTGGTCCAAACGCATCACAGATCCAGTCTGTGATCCTGATTATCGCATGACAGACTCTCTGATGTGGGGGCGTTTTTACACAGGATAAAGATCGACGGGTAGTTGTCTCCCCGGATGTTCTGGAAAAATTGCTCAATCGCAGAGGAGGAGTCGGAGTTACTAGAACCTCCGGATGAAGTTGCTGATGCGTACACAGAGCAGTGTTGGTTTAATTCAATCTCCGTTTCTTGGAGAACATTGGGGATCAAATCAGACGTAGCGGAAGAAGACTGCTCGGACTGGCCCCAACCGGTGGTCACGCAGATGTAATCCTCCAAGTGGTTAGGGCCGTTGCCGGAAAAACTTCCTGTGGACCCGACGTTATCGGCATAGACCGTCAAATCGCCGATCACTCCCTTCTCCCCCTCGTACTTGCGTTTTATCGCCTCGGAGTCTAAGGGCGCGTTTGGGAGGCAGACGAAATTGATCCGCGGTTCGCCGTTGACTAGGCATTTTTTGCTCCGCATCAGCTCCGGGACGAAGTTTGCGTTCAGATTTGTATTAGAGTGCGCGTCGGTGTTGGATTGTAAGGCGAAGTTGCTTATGCAATGCAAATATGTCTGGGTCTGTAAGATTCCGAGACTTGTCATGCAGTTTTTCCAAGCTCCGCCAAGTCTGTAATGCAGGGCCGCATGGCGTCACACGTTTTGCAGCCCCTTGGTGATGCCTATTGTGCATGAGAAATGCAAATGCTCTCTCAGCATGGCCAGAAATGGACAGCTTTTGCAAGTCATGCAACACAGATTTTTGCATGATTCGCAACATGCATCACAAGTTCGCATCCTTCCAGACCCAGACATATTAGCAATGCATATTGCTGAAGGATTCGTCCGACAGAACCGGATCTCCGTCGAAAATGAAATCTGCAATGTCGTCGATGAAGTCGTTGTCGGATGTCGATTTGTCCTGCTGATTGGGTCCATTTGATGATGTTCCGGCCCCGTTCGGCGGCGCGACCAGGCCGAGGACCGCGTAGTCGTACAAGAGATTTCCGCTAGACCCCTCCGCTTTCACGTTGTTCTTGTTCCGGTTCTTCCGTCTTTGATTGTTGTTGTAATACCCGGGGTGGATGTGGACCACTTGCACCGCGACGACGTGCTTTTCAAGCTCGTGTTCCGACATCCTCTGCAAATCCAGTAAGGAGTGAAGCCCGACGAGCACGTGCAACGAGTCCGCGCTGGTCAAGTCGTCCACACAGTGCGCCGCGGTCAAGACGTGGGTTTCGGACAGCAGAGATCCGCCACACCGATACCGCCACCGAAGGGACTTCGTGGTTGTGGAAGAACCGTCCACATTTGTTACGGTCCTGACCGTGCGCTCAATCTGGACTAACGCCACATGCCAGGCCCACTCGCAGGGGTCGGAATCCTGACCGCCGACGAGGAGAGAACGGGGCTGGAACAAATCTACTTCTTCTGAAGGTCGTTCTTCATCGTTTTTATCCTCAGTTCGATCCTGATTTACCATGGTATTCAACTTTGACTCCAACTGCCGGATATTGCTTGTGTCCAAAACTTTCCCATTCGGGCTGACCCCGCATTGGCTATTCGCCTGCCCGCTCGGGGAAGAGATCTGCGCGGTGACTACAGTTCCTGTGAACAGCGGCGATAAGGACAACGCCGTTGCGGCAGCGGCGAGAAAGGCTTGAATCGTCTTGCGTGCCATTTTTCTACTCATATTTCTGTAGTAGTTTATTTTTTTCAGGAAAAAGTATTCGCTGGGGTAGGGATAGATCGCGAGATAACGAGCTAGAAACTGAGATTCACAGTAGCTTGAGCTTTACGGAATAAAATGATAAAAATGGGTAGAAAGAAAAACGGGCCCGGTCGATTTTTTCTTGCTCAGAAAAAAATCGACGGGTAAATCAGTGACTGCTACAAGAATTTCTAAAGACTCCAGTAAGCGGCTCGAAGATGTGCTGTCAGTAGAAGAGGTAGAAAATGAAATCTCAAAATCAACTACCTGCAATTCTACGTAAGTACAACAACGTGAACTTACTGGAAGAGGAAATAAAAAACGAAAAAAAATATACAGCTCAGCCTTTCGGTTGAGCGCAATATCGACAAAAAGGTGGGACAAACCGGGACCCTGGATTTTTCACAAAAAGTAAAGCGGTTCCGAAATAAAAGGTTGGCGAGATGTACCGTCAGTGCATCATCATCATCATCATTCTTGTGCTTGTCCGAAATAAATAGCCTCGTATCTATTTTCTTGTCTTTTTCTTGACTGGACGTGCACACAAACACTGTCTTTTAGCATCCCCCGGTCATTCTGTGCTCCACGTGTGGTCCTCCGGGTTTCGGTAGAAGGTCAAGCCGGCAACATACAGGATTTCTCTTCCCGTATTTTCACAAAAATCGTCCGTCGCGGTGAACAGCACCTGGGCGTCGTCTTCTGGGTGCCAGGCATCCCGTCGGCCGGGTAATCTCACCCAGCGTTTGCCGTCGATTTTCTGGACAAATTGCCGCCGTTCCTCTTCTTGTTCCGCTTTTTGCTGCGCTATTCTCTGCCGCTGCTCCTCTCGCATCTGCTCTGTGCGCTCTGTTTTCTGTCGTTTTTGCCTCGGCTTCTCCCCTCTCCCGGTCTGGTATGCTCTTTTTTCTTTTAGTGTGTTGCGCACTGTTTCTGCGTCTGGTGGCTGCTGCGTGAGTGCTTCTAGCGTGAATCCATAGCGCTCGAGATCGAGCGCCGCCTGCTTTCCCCAAATACTCTTTCTGCGTATCTCGGTGGCGATCCACATAAAAGAATTCTCTGACCTGTCTCGCGCTGCATGCGCGATCCAGGCCACCCGTTTCTCCCGCAGCATCGTTTCTATGTCCAAGACCCCTGCCTTCCGGCAGAGGTCCATCCGACTTGCGTATTCCGCTGCGTCGTCTAGCTCCTGCAGCTCTTCTTCTTCCTGCCCCTTCTCTGCCTCCTTCTGCCAGGCCCTCCACTCCCCCGTGAGCGTTCTCAGCGTCTGGTGCTGGTACTGTTTCAGAAGCTTCATGTCCTGCTCGCGCAGGGTCCACGTTTCGGAATTGTACAGCGCCACGGAGCTGCACAACGCCGAAAAAAGCTCCGCCTTTAGTTCTTCCGGGGTCGCTTTGTCTCTCCACACTCTTCGCAGTTGCTCCGCCGTTGCTTTTGCTATCCCTGTGCGCCTTTCCACTTCTTTTGTCGTGCTTGCGTTGTTCGCTACTGTTGTTCCCAGGTACTTGAAGCTTCCAGAGGTTGCAACTTCTTTGTCGTCGTATGTCCTCAGCCTCGCTGGGACGACTACTGCCGCCCGCTGCCTTTTTGTTTTTTCCTCTACGTACCGTCAGTGGACGAAGACACGAAAAGACGACCTTATGCTCGAACTTTATGCTCGAACTTATTTCTTCTATCCTCGATTTCCTTGGTCCTTTTGTCAAATTCGTTTTCGGATAAGAGTTCTTTCTCCTCGTATCAAAAGGAAAAATCCCCGCTCCCCAAATCGAAGACGACGTTTGTCGTGATGCTGCATTTGAGTAGACAAGTCGCCTTGTCTTGCTAGAAGGCCAAGAGCCGCAGTTGTGGCCTCGTTTGCAGGCAATTTGTCATGCTGTTTTTCACTTCCAGCTGCCTCCTCTCATGCTGAAGATGCAAGGCTTTCCCACGCAGCCCAGCACTACAGTCCGCATCTTTTCCCTTCTGGCATGACAAAGCTGATTTGTGGCCACAAATCTGCATCACAGATTTCCGTTTTGTTATGGGGCGGGGGCATTTTTCCTTGTGATACCTCGTCCAATTTCGCTTTCTCCTTGTCCTCGTCGAAGGACACTAGGGAATCGGAGTCACGATGTATCCTAAGTAAAAATGCCCCCACGCCAGAGAAGTTGTCATGCAAAGTGGCACACGACCTAAAATGTTTCTCATGCGCAGGCCCCTACAACTTGAGGACCATCTTCTAATGTTATCGTGGAAGTTTGTGATGCTGAAATCAGGATAGGGTAGGCAATTGGTGATGCATCTGCACTACCTGAAACAGCACTGCTCGACGAGTCCAATAAACTTGTCATGCGAAACAGCAAAAACTTGCTGACTTGTGTAGCAACCTCGCCATCTTGACTCTGGGGTGGGGACGTACGTTTCTACTCAGGATACGATTCAATTGGTCATCATCCGCCGAGTCCAAATCCGACGGGTCTGTGTCTGCGGCCTTATCCCCGTCGTCGTAAACATCCCCGGCGTACCGCATGAAGCCAATCAGCTCCTTGTCCACGATGGGAATGTAGGACCCATCCTCGTAAACAACCCCGGGTTCTATGCATTGCAAAACTGTCTGGGTCTGGAAACCTGTAATGCTGAATGGCCATGATGGACTGTGCCCTTTAGTGGAGTGCAGGATGACAAATTGTACCGTCAGTGGACGAAGACATGAAAACACGACCGATTTTATTTCGCGGTGCTGTTTTTTCTGTACGTTTCTCTCGTCAGCTCTCTCCCGTACTACTATCACGATACGTACTTACGTCGTGGAATATTAAGCAGAAATAAACGGACCGATTTCATCATCTCTTGTTGTGTCCTTCCTTTCTGTGCTCACGCAGAAGAGGAGGTGGACCTGATGAAAAATAATTCGTTGTTCTCTTCAACGTGCAACAACAGGAACAGATATGGTCATGCCAAGAAGAAAAACGAGCCACGACAAACTCCTATTTTAAAATCAGCCAATAAACAGCGCGGATTTCTTTGCTTTTTCCTTCGCCCTTAATCATTCGTTCCATACGGATACAAGAAGAAACAAAGACAAACACTTTTAAGTAGTACATGTATGAGAACACGGTAATAAATGTGCGACATTCCGTCCTGCCCACATCTTCTAAAACCACCGCAAAAGCTGCAGCAGGCGTACTTCCACAAGGAAGCAAGTTCTTTCTGATGTTGACTCCAATTCGTAGCTCGACAAAAAGTTCAGAAAAATCGCGTGGTCCATCGCAACGTCGTATTTGATTTGGCAAGAATGCCAGAAGGACGAGAGTGCCTTGCTCTAGTTGTTGTGGCCATGCTCTCCATTTTCTTTCCTTTCGCGGTTTCTATTTCTTGCTAAATTCGAATCAAAAAAATACTGCGCTGAAAGCTCTACGAAAGATAGCGAAACGCAAACGCATACGCAATATAGTACTTCACCGCAATATTCTTCACGAGCCCTTACTTTGGTCTTGAGTTCCAGCTGCACCACTCAAGATTCTGCGACTCACCAACAAAGAAGGAAAGAAAAAAAAAGGAGCACACTGCTCTTCATTAGCGAAATTCGAAACTTTTGTCTGAGTGGGGTTGAGAGTGAATCGGAGAACATTTTTTTCCATGTCGCAAAAATTAAAATGAAAAGGGTAGGCGTTTAACAATGCCAATGGGAATGGGCTTGGGAAAGTTGTGCTACTATACTGAAATACTTACTATGATGAAGCATTGAAATGAGCGCGATTTGCTACTTTTCTGGTATCCTAAAAATACATGTCGAAGTTTTGGAATTACTGAACTTTTTTCTACCTGAGTGTGAGTTGTGTAATTGTTGAAGGAGGATCGTACTTAATGCACACGCGTCGATCGTCGACAAAAGCCAACCAGAGGGGGGGGCAGGGGCATCAATTGTACTTAGCTTGCGTGTGCGCCTTCTGCACTAGCAGCTCCTGGTCTTGCGTGCATATCCTCTGTGTACAAAGTGTATGTCTGTGTACGAAATAAAAATAATGTTGTCTGTATACAAAATAATAATAAATCCAATGCTGTCTGTGTAGAAAGTGTAGTGTGCTTGATTGTTTGTAGATACGCGAGAAAGTGGCACACCTCTTGTCTGAATACGTATAGATACTTTGGAAAGCATTTTTCCAGTTGTTGAGGTCGAGCAAGAGTAAGTCATGCTGGTCCCATTTAAGTATTTATTGTTCAACTCGACATTCATCATACAGTTGTAGCGGATTCACGAGTAGGTTTCTTAAGTGGCTTTCATAAGCGGGTTTCCTCAAATTCATTGTGGAAATGCCAGTACCGATTCTGGCAGTTTGTTGACATCGATCGAACAGACGCACCGATTCCGTACACCTCTTGGATCCTTCGGGTCCTCAAGAGATGATTCGTAGCCGTGGATGGCCGTGCAGACAGATTGGCAACGCTGCCGATATTTATTTTCTGCATCTTCTACTTCTTGCGAAGAGCCGAGCGTTTTCTTCGCAAGCGGTTCCTGCTCTTTCGTCGACTGCTTCTTGTCGACGCGGTCTACTTCCATCAGCCCAGTCGGCTCGGATTCGCTTCCGGCCCAAAAATGAGTCGCCAGCTTCTTCTTCTGGGCCGCGAGAACCCCCCCCCCCATCAGAGGGAGAATGACAGCGCTGGCCGCTCCGATCTTCGCGATTTTTACCATGGTTCCGTTGTGGGTTTGACGACAGGTAAACAAGAAGGAAAACTAGTCGTAAAGACTTTCCGAAAAAACTCTGGCTGTAATTACTTACAAGTGGCGCTGCTTTCCGTAGTACACTATCTAAGGCACGAGCTAAGGCGAAGTTTGTGAAGTAGATATTTTGTCCCGGGAAAAAACACAAGTCCTGTTTTGCTGAATGATTGACGTAGCTAGTCGTGTTGAAAATTATCGTCGATCGACGAAATAGCAATTGGAAAACATCAACGAGACGATGAAAATGAAAGTGCTATATTTATCTTTTGCTCGTGCTGCATAAGAATGCAAGCGAGAAGGACGACCCAGATCAGCATGGAAGTATTTCACGAACGTAGGACTTGTGTCAAGGGGACACCTTTCCACGACAATTTTCTGTTCCTCAACTGCCGAATGCTGAAGGTTTTGGCTTTTCTGAAAACGAGTAAAAAGTACTTACTAAACGATCCCATGAAAAGAGGGAACGCGAAGTGCGACGAAACAACACGACATTGATTTTCAGGCCGATGAACATGAGAACACACGAGTATTAGTACTTGACATCCCTCCAGAGAAGACATCTACATAGGAATGAAAACGACGAGGGACGACGGAGGCCAACGTGCATCCAGCATGACAGTCTCCTTCTGTGGTTCATTCAACTATGTTGATTCTAGTTCTCTCTACACACAAGAAAATGCAATCGTGACAAGAACCTTTCGACCAGAACAGCGTGGGGATAAAGGTATAAGTAAGCGGCACACCGCAACTAACTCCTGCTCCTATCACCCAAACAGCGCGGATTTTTTCGCCTTTTCCTTCGCTCTCAATTCCATCCGACTGTAAACTTTCGTTTCCACATGTTCCGCCCGCGCCTTCGCTTTCTTATCCTCTTCCGCTTTGATTTCTTCGTAACCCCTCTCCGCGTATTTATCCTGGATCGCGAACCTCGCTTTCGTCATGTATCCCGTGTAGGAACGTCCCCAAAACCCAGCGTTGTCATGCAGCTTTGCAGTGACAGGAATCTTTTGTGATCCGCATCCGCATGACAGGCATTTTCAATTATCGTGTTTGGGACAACTAACTTTGTGTTGCTGTAAACAGGATAAGCAGATGGATTTGTAATGCAGCTGCTGTCCTTGCTAACTTGCCCTACCTTACGGACTGCAACTTGTCATGCGTAAATTCCAAAACTTCTAGGTTTGTGTTGCAAAGTCCCCATCTTGACTCTGCTGGGGTCGACGTGGGGACGTTTTCACTTTGGATATCATCAGCGCCTGTTTCTTATCCTGTGCAAAAGTATCGTACTCGTATAAATGCATGACAAATTCCCTCAGCACGAGAAATAAAATTTGTAATGCGGATCTGCCTTGAGAAAGACATTTGTAATGCATGAATGCGATTAGTACGACTACGATACTTTTGCACAGGATATTTCTCCTCATTGGTGATGTCCTGCGTGTACCCCTCCTTTAGCATCCGGGCGAATTCCGTATCCATTGCAAATACGTCTGAGTCTGGATACTTGTGATGCATGTCAGTGAAAAGAAAGCACACTGTAATGCAGCGCCAGGCATGACAGATTTATTCATCTTGGCTCCGTGTCCGTGTTCTTGCGTAATCCGCATGACAAACAGCGTTTTTGCATGACAGATAAGAGGAGCTCCTCTTGCTGGCCACGCAATACAGAGCTCAGTGTCATGCCCGACTAGCATGACAAATCCCGCACAGGGGACCCAGACATTTTTGCACTGGATATTCCGCTCTTTCTTCCAGTTTCACGCGTAATGCTTCCTCCTTCGTGTCCTCCTTGTTCTTCAAATACGAGTCCTCCAGCGGCATTTTCATGTGCATCTTCTTCTTCGGATTTTTCTCCGCCCACAAGGCCGCGTGCTGGTCTATCAACGAAAAAAGTGCTATACGTATAGCGGTTTTGGGGCGTTGCAGGCATGCATGACAAATTTTCGCTATCATGCATGCTATGCAATACAACTTGGGGCATCATTTCTCGTGCATTCCTGCATGCCAAATTCCGTTAACGTTAACACTTTTTGGTATGATATGGTCTTTGGATCTCTCATCGTCCGATTCATTCGCTTTTCTCGTCTATCCTGTGCAAAAGTATCGTAGGCAGTCGTATTGCAGCCATGCATTACAAATCTTTTTCTTGAGGTAAATCCGCATTACAAATTATTATTTCTCACGCTGGGGAAATTTGTAATGCATTTATACGAGTACGATGCTTTTGCACTGCATATCGTCACATCGGCTGCATCTTGCAAAACTTCATCCACCATCATCTCTTCCAACCAGTCGGAGGAAACCAGCCTTTTCGGCTTCAGTTTCGGCTTGTGATTTTTTCTTCTGATTTCCCCCTTCACAAACGTGTTCAACTCCTGCCAGCTCCAATCTTGCCCTTTGCAGGGCCCGTGTTTATTTTTCGTAATCCGCAGATCCGCTTGTATCCTTAGTAAAAACGTCCCCACACCAGAGTCAAAGTGGGAAATCTGCTAGACAAATCTGTCAGCTTTTGCTGCTGCGCATGACAAGTATGGCCTCGTAGTGTACTCCTGTTTAGCTTGTTCAGAAGCATCACAGATCTAGCATATCTATATCATGCTGATTCTAGCATCACAAATACCAAAAGACGACTACAGACTGCTTCGCATGGGTCTCCGCATGAGAAACACTTTCAGCATGCAGATGATTTGCATTACAACTCTGGGGTGGGGACGTTGTTACAAATGATAGCTTGGTCGAACCGTTTATGCGCCCGGATCGGCTCGTCCTTGATCTTCTTGTAGAACTTGCTCGCGGGGTGTCTTGTCAGATACCCAGCGGCGTGGCGCTGAAAATCCTCCGTGAAGCCAAATTTCTCATCCAAAACGGTCCGAATCGGAACGCGCTTGATCTCCTTATGCTCGAACTTTTCTCTTCGATCCTCGATTTCCTTGGTCCTTTTGTCAAACTCGTTCTCGGATAAGAGTTCTTTCTCCTCGTCCAATTTCGCTTTCTCCTTGTCCTCGTCGAAGGAAACGAGGGAATCGGAATCCCGATTCAATTGGTCATCATCCGCAGAATCCAAGTCCGACGGGTCTGTGTCCGCGGCCTTATCCCCGTCGTCGTAAACATCCCCGGCGTACCGCATGAAGCCGATGAGCTCCTTGTCCACGATGGGAATGTAGGACCCATCCTCGTACACAACCCCGGGTTCCTTTTTCTCGCCATTTTTCGGCAACGGTCTCCGGCCGTCGTCGTTCACTGCGTGGGGTTTGGTGGAAGCGTATGCATTGCAAATATGTCTGGGTCTGCAAACCTGTAATGCTGAATGGCCATGAGTGACTGCGCCTGTAAGAGCAGTGGAGCATGACAAATTTTTCAGACACTTTCTCATGCTTATTGCGCATTACAAACTGCGCTTTCTCACGATGAAAACGCGGCGCTCTTGGTGCTTTTATGCAATACAGATTTTTCTGGAATCCTGGACACGCAATACAAGTTCCACTTCATTTCCAGACCCAGACATATTTGCAATTGATACAGCGTTGGCTTTCGCGTTCTTCGGGGAGGAAGAGGAAGAGGTGGGGGAAGTAGAGGATTTCGGCATTTTTTTTTCGTAGTTTTTGGGATAATCAGTATCTGCAGAAAGATGAGATCATAGGAGAATAAGTACTTACAACTAGATCAAGACGAGAGGCCGATCACAATACAGGCCAGGAAAAATAAATGGTGAACAATTATACCGTTGGAGGTAAAACCAAATAGTTTTGGGTATGACGCAGGGGGTACTTGCAGCCGGGAATCACGTGGTCCTGCGTAAAATTCGAATTTGCAGTTGTGTTCGTGTTCCGTCATAACTACGATTTTAGACAAATTCAATATATAACACGCAAACAGAACGATGGCAGCGCAAAGATCGCGCACGAAGAATCAATCAAATTGCACGATAAAACGAAGAGAAAGAAGCACGACTGTGAATTCACGATAATAAGCGACCGACTTCTACAGTGGCAAGTGATTATTAGGTTCACGTACGAAAACCGATAATTTTCTACAACACTGAGATTTACCGAGCTACTGTCCACACGGAGACGGACTTATTTGAGAGCGAACAAAAACTGTTGTCCTCTTCGCTGCATGTGCAGCAAGAAGTGACGAGTCATCTCGTTCAATATTCAAAAATAAAAGTGGGGTGAAAGTACTTAAAAAAGAAGAAAAATCATTTCAACATTCGTATAAATTCAGTGTCACAAATTTTTTCAAAACAAGAATTCAGTAGAAATAAAGACGGTGTAAACAGAGTAAACAATCAAAGATCAAGTGTGGTTCGGATTTTTTTTGATTCCAGGCGCCAATGCATACCATGCATGGTGACCGGTCACCTTGCGTGCTATCCAGTGGTGTCTAGAATCTTGTTGTAATAGATACTGTGAAATGTCATAAAATTGTTGCTGTTATGGTGTAGTACTAAGACTTTGTTGAATCAAATAGAAATACCGTGATCAAAATAATGACTCTTCGTCGCCTCTTGAAAAAGTTCATTCATGAAAATGAAACCGCCTCGCGCACTGTCCCTCCTGCACACTCACCGCAGAGAAAATCGTAAAAAACCACCTCGTCTCCATGCATTTATTTTTTCGCTTTTGAATTTTGTGGCTAGAAAATTGGTTCTTCGATAAAGCTGATATAATAACGTTGTGACATATAGACATTTAGTGTGACACTACAAGATGAGCAGGAACTCTTGTACTACAAAAGAGAATCTCGAAGTAGTAATTATTTGTTGTCGAGAGTAGAAAACCTTCATCTTTTGCGAAGGCCTCTACTCCCACGGTCGAAAGTGAAAATACATAGAGATAGACGCAACGAGGACTTGGCACATAAATGCGCCAAATCAAAGCTCGCGCAAAATCTTTTAAAGCAACTTGGTTTTTCTACTTGATAAACGCAAATCCAAAATAATCCAAAACAAAGTTTAAGTACAAGGATCTTTCAACATTTTCTGTGCGGAAATAAAACTACCCAAAAAATAATTCTTCGAATTTTCCCTCAGCCATATTAAGCACCTTCACGACCCCCCACTGCTACTCGGTGTCGAGGGTAAGAGCTTTTTCAAGGCCAACTGAAACGTTTCCGACTCGTGCGCTCGCTTCAAATTCCGTAGATGCCCCACCGGGGTCGTCGTGGCAACATGATCCTCTCCTGGAGGATAACTTTGATATTTGTGAAGCTCCTGATGCTGTTGAACTACAGGAGTTCCACGTTGCGCCGCCGGGCCATTGATCGGCGGCGGGGGTGGAAGGACGCCCGTAGAGGAAAAAGAACTAGTTGCTCTGTTAATCGTCGCTGTCCTCGGAAAGGGCAGCGTCACCGGGTGCTGTGGTAGCGCCGGTGTAGGCCACTGTTGCGCGTGTAGCTGCAGACTGGAAGTGGTTAACACCGCTGCTGGTGTGCCGCCTGCTTTAGAAGAAGTTGTAGTACTGCTACTTGGGTGCTGAATAGTAACTGGACTCCCTCGCGGACGGTCGGAAGAGGAGGCGATCACCTTTATTCTGAGTAAAAACGTCCCCACCCCATAGTTGTCATGCAAATGCGCAATGACAGGAACGTTTGTAATGCGCAGCTCCATGAGAGACATTTCCATTCGTGCTTTGGAACTTGTAATGCTGTAAACAGGATGAGAAAATGGCTTTCTTATGCGGCTTCCCTTGCCAAGCAGCACTACAGTGCAGAGGCAAACTTGTCATGCACAGCTCCCAAAACTTGGAGATTTGTGTTGCTAGATTCCCAACTTGACTCTGGGGTGGGGACGTTTTTGCAAAGGATAACCTTGATCTGAATTTGGTTACTGTTTTGCGGGTCGTATGGATTGCAAAAATGTCTGGGTCTGGAAGAGTGGAACTTGTGATGCTGACTTTGGATTCCAAAAAAATCTGTATTGCATGAGCAGCAAAGGGAGTGCAATTTTTGCTACGCGGAGAGGGCATTTGTCATGCGGAATAGGCATCAAGACGCCCTCAAAAAATCTGTGATGCTAGGGCATGCATTACAGACATCATGGGTCATGGAAAATATGCATGACAAGTCTCAGAATCTTCCAGACCCAGACATTTTTACATTTGATAGGTCGCTGGTGTTGTGAAGATAATTGGACGCAGTTGTTGTACTAGTAGCAGTTACTGTTGCCGCAGCAGGTAAAACTGGTGGCGGAAAAACAGCACGAACTCCAGGAGCAAACCCTCCCTCCACGTTCTTCGGTTGTACTGCGCTTGAGGTGGAAGTAGAACTTGCGGGTGCCACGATAGGTGGTCGTGACACAACCTCTTCAACCTCTGCACTTTCAAAGTCGTAATCGTCCGAGCCGAGTGAGTCTCTTGCTGGCAACGTACGAGGAACTACGTCGAACCTATCGCCGTCCTTTTCAACAACCTTCTCACCGTGCTGTTTTTGCGCCGTGAGATTATTCTGCGGCTGATTCGCTGGTGCGGTGGTGGCACTGGGTGCTGAAAAAGTTTCAAGCTGCTGCTGCTTGCTGTCGTTTGTTTTTTCTTGTTTCATCTCCTTCTTATCTAGTACTTTACTGCCCGTGGCACTATAATCTTCCGCACTCGAAGAAGTTGTCCACCAGCTTTTCCAGTATTCTTCAGGAGAACTCGCCTCCTGCGGCTCGTTCTGTAGCCAGCTAGTTCCCGTGATCATGCTACCGGTGAGAGCTGCTGCACGGGGAAGAACATCATCTTCCCAAACTTTGTCGCTTTTGTAGGCTGTACTGTCGGTCGCAATTTTACTATTCCCAGTCGTGGGAGCTGCCCCACCACCTGCGGTCAACATGGTCATCTCAGTAGAAGTTTTCTTGTCGCCGGGAACAACTCCTCCTGGTGCACCTCTGGTAGTTGTTCCAAAAGGTTGGCTTTGCTTTGATGTCTGTGGAGGAGAGGCGAAGGCTGGAGTTTGTTGAAAACCTGCTGCAACACCGGGGTGTCGCTGTTCGACAACCATTGGGGCCAGTGGCTCGGTGGGTTTTACAGAAGTTGTGCCGGAGCTATCCCTTGCCGTAACTACAGCGGGTCCACCTCGTTGAGGATGTGAACTAGAAGCTGCAGCTGCTGGAGGTGCTGGCGCTGTTGTAAGTGCTGGCGCTGGTGGTTTTCTACCGAGGCTTTGTGCATCTTCACCTAAGGGAGACGAAAGTTGCGGCTGAAGATCCAGAGGCTGTTTCATCTCCGCAACTTTCCCCTCAGATGCTCCTGAGCCCGCCGCACTATTGGCTGTAGTAAAACTACGAAATGACTCTTGGAGGTTGTTCCTAGCACCTTCCGTGCCTCCTGCTGCCTGTTGCTGTCGCGGTTCCTCCTCCTCCTCTTCTGAGTCTGACAGTGAAACACTGCTGCTACTCGTCGAGCCCGCACGGTTTCGCCATCTCCGAAAATCTTTCTCCTCATACGCACTGACCTTAGACGAGTTCTTAGACTGATTTGACTTCGCACATGTCAAGAACCCGGCGCTCTGCTGTAGTACTTCATTATTTGGTCTTGCACTTGCTTGTTTCCCTTGCGCATTCAACTTCGTTTGCCCCGGGAGCGCTTTCGCCTTCGGCGATAGAGCTTTCGCTTGTTTTGGGTTGTTAACAGAAGGCTTGCTGTTTTTCGCTGCGGCAGGTCCAGCAGCAGTTTTGGAAGTAGATGAAGAAGACGAAGAGTTTCCGGCACCTGTTCTACTACTTGTCGGAGGTGCAGTAGACAAAAGTTCAGTCTGCTCCCCCTGCAATGCAGAAGCTGTGGCTGGTGTGTTCCTGCCGTCGTGGTTCTGCTGATGTTGCACCATCGCTAATCTAGACGCCAAAATCCCACCGAGCTGCAACGCCGGGGCCGGATTTTTGCTGCTGCTCGAAGATGATGATGATGAACCCCCACGACCACTAGTGTTACTATTATTTTGCTGTAGTCCACCTCCCCCAAGCGGTTTCCCGCTTTCCGGACTGCACTGCCGACTTTTGTTATTGACGGACACGTTGGTTTTCAACGACTGCGCCCTGCTTCGGTTATTCATTGCACCTGTACCTGTTTTATGGATTGTAAAAATGTCTGGGTCTGGAAGGTTGGAACTTGTAATGCTAGCTTTCCATACCTAGAAAATCTGTATTGCATAACCAACAAAAGTCGCAGCCTCTTTTGTCATGCAAAAACGCAGTTTCTCATGCGGATTGCCCATGAGAAAGCGTTTTGGGAATTTGTCATGCCGGACTGCATTCGGAAGTGTTTTCATCATGCACATTTTAGCATCACAAGTTTCGAGACCCAGACATTTTTACATTTGATATGTTTGTGCAGCACCAGAGGAGCTCGCGGCAGACGCTGAGTTCAAGCGGTCTCGGTTTTTGTTGTTGCTACTGTTGTTGTTTCTATCAAAAGAAAAAAGATCGTCACGATCACTCATGGGCATTTTTGCAATACAAAATTGTCTATCATGCGTAAAAATGCATCACAGCCACACTTCATAAGGGATTTCCCTAGTGTTTCTGCAATACAAGGAGAAGTTGTGATGCTAAAAAAATTTGTAATGCAAAACCTGCAACTTAGTGACTGTGACAAACTTTTTTCTCTCCATAGTTTCCGTGCCCGGAATTGGATTTTTGCGTTAGCTGGTCTAGCTCGTTTCTCTGCCCAAATTCCTCCATCAATGTTTTCACCGTGTTGACAAAATCGTCGTACTCCGGCTGATGGTCTTTCATGGACTCCTATCAAATGCAAAAATGTCTGGGTCTGGAAGAATGCAAGTTTGTCATGCTTGTCTGGCATGACTCGAGAATCTGTGTTGCATAGGCCCGAAGAAGCCCTCTCACCTGTCATGCAAAAACGCAGTTTGCTATGCGAAATACGTAAGACATGGCAGCCAAAAAATTTGTCATGCGTAGCTGCGTACCGCAGTGCGTTTATCATTCACTTTTAGCATTACAAGTTTCCAGACCCAGACATATTTGCAATCCATAACTCCTTAAACCGGTCGATATCCGTGAGCTTTTCGCCCAGTTCCCGTTTCCACCAACGGATGGAAGCGTTGTCGTAGGTGTAAAGGCCAGTTTCCCACTTTTTCGGTAACGTTAAGTATTGCCAAATACCCGAACGCGCACGGAGATCGCAGGTGGGTACCTGAAGATATTGTTTTTTTTTTTAGTTTGTTTCTCTAGTAAGTAACTTCCTTTTCGCTTGTTCAACAGGACTTTATCTCGTACTTGTTCATAGTGCAGCCCTCGTGTACGCATAATCTCATCTATCACACCCTCCTTTGTAAATGCTCCTATGCGCCGCGAAGATGCACCATGCCCTCGCACAGAGTACCTCCACGAGAAAAGACGAGCGTTCCGCCCGGGCAGAATCAAAAAAAAGTTTTCGTGCACGTTTAGACTTTCAAAGAGAATTTTCAAATTTTGACTTCGAAAGTTTTTGCATTTCTTCTTTTTGCTGATACATTCTACCTTCCCCGAGCGGTTTCTAATTTCATTAAAAGCGTCGAAGATGGTCAACAAGAAAAGAAACGGCACCCGTAGTGCCCAGAATGGGTTGTTGCGGAACATTCCTGTTGTACTGGAAAACTGTCATACCGCCGTAGTTACATAACCTCCCTTAAATAAAAACGCAGCGTACCATGCGGAATGAACGTTCCGCGGTAAAAACCTCACCATACCGTGCGAATTCGAAAAACATGAGACTGTTGCGGAAGCATCATACCATGCTGATTGACTTTTTTCCAAAAAATTAAAATCCACCATACCATGCATATTCAAAAAAATTGTTTACACTTCTCGATTTGTGCGTGTCATCCTTGCGCAGGGGCCATGCTAATCTTCTCTGTATCGTTCCAATTTTAACGGATGACTCCCGAAGGAGATCCAACCACTAGGAAAAATGGAAAACAGGGTAGCCAGAATACCCTATGCTAAATACTACAATTCGGGCAAAAAAACTTTTTTTTTGCATTTTTTGCCGTTCTTGAAGGAAACATAAGGCAATTTCGGGCGTAAATGAGAAACGCTTTGTTTTTTTACGTCATTTTCTAATCATCCCCTGTACCTGGATGCTACTCCCGAAGCGTTTTCACCTACTTACCGCGTACAACGCACAACGTTTCCCTCCTCATACAAGATTTTCCCGTGCAAACATGCGAGTTGTGCGGTAGCCAAGCATATTCCGAAAAAAGTCCCGCCTGCGTAGTGCAGGGCCTGTAAGGCCTATTCTAACCCGCAGTAACTATACCGGGCACTGCCCGCCCGCTCAACGAATCTAAAAACGAGCCGGCTGTCCTTCCACTGAGCGCAGCGCCTCCTTCTCCCTGCTCTGTTGCCAGCCTGAGGCGATGCGGAGATCATTATCGACCAGGGAGCCACCGCTTACGCAGTGTCCCCCTTGCCGACTGTACTCTTGGAGAGGACCGACTCTTACAACTTGCAGGAAAGCTTAAAGCAGGGTAGCCAGAATACCCTATGCTAAACACAGGGATTCGGGCAAAAATCGTATTTTTTTCATTTTCCGTGGCTCCCAGAAGCACTAAACGCGAGCGATTTCGTGTGTAACTGCGAAAAATACATCAAAACTCACCAAAATAAAAAAATATAAACGAATTACTTAAGTACCTCCTCCAAGTTGTAGGCTTTTCGTGTGTATTTGCTTCGTTTCGCAGCCGGGGCAGCACCATTGTTCCCCGTTGTTCCATTCACGCTTGCTTTTGAATTCGCCCGTGATCGCCCTTGAATCTCACTCGCACTGGCTTTCCGGCTGCTGGGGAGCGGTTTTTCCTTCGTATTTATTTGGGCTCCTGCTTCCAAACTCTGCTTCCGACTGCCCGCTGATGTTGCAGGGCGTTTGTTACTGGAAATAACAGCGGAGGAAGTAGATGTTGAGGGTTTGGTACTTTTAGTTGTAGTTTTGTCGCTGCTTTTCTCCTTGTCGGTAGTACTATTTTTCTCCAAAAATAGTTTCTCCATGTTTAACACACCCTTCCCGACAAAGGGATCTTCGTAATTCGCGTCCTTCCGGAAGTCAAAATCGCCCAAATTCTGTTCTTCTTCGTTCGTCGACCTCTCTTCCGGCACGGCGGAGAGCACGGACAAGGAATTCTTCCGCCTATTTGCGGTAGAACTGCTGTTCTTCCTAGTTGTAGGGTTTATCTTAATATTCGCCTGCTGCTGCGATTTGTTTTCTATTTCTTTTTCTTCTGTAGTTGCCCTTGCCGCAGGAATGGTTTTCCTCGAGATTTTTGGCAGAGGTTCGCTCTCATCCTTGTCAAGATTGGCGGAGCCGGATCTCTTCCTTCTGTTGTTCACTGTCGTTTGTTGTTCTGCTGCTGCACCTCCCAGCTTATTTGCCGCTGAGCTTGTTGCAGTCTTAATGCCGTCCTTGCTGCTGCCTCTGCCAGATGGATTTGCTTTGCTACGCTTGTTGTCGTGGTCGTTTTCCTGCTCCTGTTGCTGCTTTTTCGCAGCTTTGGAAGAAGCAGTGGCAGCAGCAGCAGTTGCCGCGCCTTTGCTGTTTTTGCTCAAACCGGCGACCACAAACTCGTCTTCGGAATCTACTGCACTCTTCACGACGACCGCGGACGAGGTTGATGAAACGTGTTTTGTCTCCTTATCAGTCGCTCTAGTTGTATTCTCTTTGTTCGATAAAGCAGGAGCGCCACCTCCTGTTGAAGTAGATGACGTCGCATTTTTCATCTTCGTAGTACCAGCTGCAGAAGTTGTACTACTCGATCCTGATTTATTATTCCCCATGACCTGCTGCTGTTGGCCCCCACCTTTCGAGGATGTTTTCGCCGCGGAAAGCTTCTTTTTTGAGTTCGCGATGATCGAAGTAGACTCTTGATCATGCGCCGCTTGTCCGCCTCCTCCTACTGTTTCAACGGAGGTTGCTGCTGGCCTAGAAGTGATGCTGCTGGTGCTCGTAGTGAATGTACTTCCGACGGTGAGATTCTTCGTTTTAGTGTTGTCAGCTTGATGTGACTCCACTTCCTCCGATTTCGAAGTACCTCTACCCGTACTGCTATCATGATTTTCTCTACTGCTCATATTAACCACAGGACCTGCACCTGCACTCCCCGGTCCTATCTGCTGCATCTGTTTTTCCTTTTCCCTTTGTTCCGCCAAGACGAGCTGCACCCGTTCTCTTTCCATCTTCTCCCGTTCCCGATTCCTCGCTTGCACCATTTTTTTCACACTCGCGTCCTGCCTCCGTAGTAACTCTTTGTCCGCCGGCGTCCCTTTGTACTGCATCGTTAATTATGCATTGCAAATATGTCTGGGTCTGGAAGGTTGGAACTTGTGATGCTCGCTTTGCATTCTAAAAAAATTTGTATTGCATGACCAGCAGGAGAGGCCCAGTGTGTGCTACGCGGGGAGAGCATTTGTCATGCGGAATAGGCATCAGGAACAAGGCCTCTGAAAATATGTGATGCTCAGTCATGCATTACAGACATCCTGGGTCATGCAAAATTTGCATGCCAAACCTGGTAACCTTCCAGACCCAGACATTTTTACATTTGATATTAATCGGTAGAAAAACAGCGTCTGCCGCTCGATTAGTTGCGCGTGCAGAAACAAACAGCGCTGCAACAGTAAGTCCTGCTCGTGCGTCGTGCCCGTCCCCAAGTCCACTAATCTTTCCTGCTGCTTCTTTTCGCGCTCCCGCTCCACGTCGGAGCTGGTTTCGTTGTCGGAAGAAAACCCATTTTGATGTTGCCCGTGATCTCGTTCACCTGTATCGTAGTTGTACAATCCTAAGGATGTTGAGGATACCCCCTCGAAGGGGATGTGCTGCTGCAAAAACTGCGCATTTTTCCTCTGGTTCGACCGGTCGTGGATGGTATTCGGGTAATAGCTGATAACCTCTTGAAAGAGCTTCGAGAACTCTACCGCTTCGTTGATTTCCTCGTCGCTCATGTCTTCCGCGTGTTCCTGTTGAAAGGACTCAACCATGCGCACAATGTCTGCCCTGCCTCTCCCCGAGGAAAAGGAATTACCGTTGATCTGGTGCCACACTTGCTTGAAGGTTTGGACGTCCACATTCGCATACAGGGAGGCGTACCTGTGGGATTTTTTCAAATTTAGGTTCGTTGTTTTTGGATCCTGTTAATGTTATGCTCAAGCTCTACACCAATGCACCATAGAAACGCACCACGGGAGGTAGTTTTAGTCGCACTTTTGCCATGTTGTCGATCATGACACAGAACTTCAGATGGAGTCGGGAAGAGCTGCACCACGCACAACTCTTCACTTTCATAAAAGAAATCGAAAAAACCCCTGATAATTCGGTAAGTACTTGCATCGCATCAGGTCCGCTTCCTTGACGCTGTGGTCCAGTGGTTTTTGCAACTCGTGCAAGTCCGGAAAATAGAACTCGACGTATCCTTTATGCCCCGAGATTTCCTGCATGTTTTTGTACACCACCCGCACAATGTCATCTTTTCCCCACAACGACTCCACCTCCGCCCACGGGGCCGCGTGCGCGGACTCCATCACCGTTCGCAAGGAAACCGAACGCACCATCGCGCAGGTCATCTGCGCCTGTTGGAAGGAAGCCGTCCCGTAGGCGGCGGCTCCGCCCGAACTTGATGCCCCTCCATTGCTGCGCAACGAGCGGGAAGTTGTTGTACTGCTCGAGGTCGTGGATAGCTGCGGCATCAAATGCAAAAATGTCTGGGTCTGGAAGAGTGCCACACTTGTCATGCAGATTTTACATGACCCATGACGTCTGTAATGCAGAACCTGGCATCACAGATTTTTAGCGGGCTTTCTGATGCCTATCCCGCATGAGAAATGCCCCCTCCATGTAGCACAAACTGGACCCCTCTTGATGGTCACGCAATACAGATTTTTTTAGAATGCAGAGACAGCATCACAAGTTGCGATCTTCCAGACCCAGACATTTTTGCAATCCATATGCGGCGGTGCGGTTCGATTGACGAACACCACATCAGACATTTGTTTCTCCTTCAAAAACGTTAAAATCTCCCCGCCGACCAGTTGCTCGAACCGTTTGGTCTCGTGGTAGATAAAATGCTCGTAGTGAAAGAGAAAGAGGCGCCTTTTCAACAGTTTCAGCTCCTGCACTTGCCCGCGCGTGCGACGGAGTTGCTGCTTATTTCGTAAATTGTTGTTCTGTTCGGAGGAATTGTCTCTCGTTCCGTCTAATTCGTTATCGGAATTCGCGTTGTTCCCCCGCCGGCTGCTGTTGCAGAAGGGCTTGCTGCTATTCGCAGAGGACTGTCTACTAGACCTGGGTCGAATGTTGTCATGGCTACCGCTGATCAAGCGGCTGGCGTTTTTCGCATCGCGAAGCTGGACCACTTTGGAGGAAGCGTTGGATTCTTTCCGGCTAGAGACGGATTTGTTGCAAGAATTAACATGATTCTGGTTGCTTTTACTACTGTTTGCTTCTTTGTTTGATATCCCTGTTTTCGCTTCCGACTTCAGTTTCTTTTTGTTGTTCTGCTGCAGGTCTGCGGCCGTTTTATTGCTCGCGGTCGCGAGCTGTAACTGCTTTGGGCTCCGGCTGCGCCCACGCTTGTTCTTTCCCGTTGCACCAGCTGTTCTTTTGCTTTTATTCTGCTTCTGCCTTGTTCTCGTTTTGTTTTTGATAAGGGCACTTTCACTGTCGCTGCTACTTGAAGAGGAGTTTTTAGAATTTGAGGAGCTGGAGGAAGAACCACTTTCTGCTGAATCACCGCGTAATCTACTGTTCTTCCGTTTGTCATGCTGCTTACAATCATCGACGTCGTGCTTCTCCTCTCTAGAAGCGCGCTCCTGCAAAAACGGCCTGTTTTTACCGCCTTCTTCTACTTTATTACTCGCTGGTATAATTTCCTGGCTATTTTGATTTTGTCCTGCTTGTTTGTGCGCCGTACTGGCTTCCTCGTCTCCATCATGTCTTCCTGAACGTTCCTGTAGTGCCTCCTGGTGGTTCGCCGCGAAAGCTGCGGCCGGTAGTTTCTTCTTCTTGCCCGGAGGAAATTGTGCTGCGATCGAACCATCTTGAACCTGTTGGTCCTGCCGGAGATTCCCCTCGTGAGTAAACAGCCCGGCAGTGTTTGTGTTCTGTCGCGGTTGTACTACATCCGACGTGCTTTCCATCGCACACGAACTACTGCTTGCCGAACTGGTTTCGTCCACACAGGACGAATTATTTTCCTCCGGCGGTTTGTAACTGCTTCCTTCGCTCGACTTCGAGGTCGACGCTTTGGTCATGGAGCACTGCGATTCTAACGAGGGCGAGTCCGGTTTGTCGTGGGTCTGCATCTGCTGTGCTTTTTGTTTCTCTTTTTCGCCCATTGAAGGAGGTCCTGCCGCAGGTTTATTTTCGCCCTGGGCCGCAGCCTTGTCGCCGGTCGTGGTCATGTGTTTTTTACTGGCCAGCCGGTCAGCCTGCTCAGATGTAGTAGTAGTATTACCAACGAAGGCCGCAGCGGGGGACTTCTTGCTTTTCGCACTTTGTCCCCCGGCTGGTGGAGGAGCCGATAGACCTCCTGAAGATAGACCAGTACTTCCTGCTTTCTTGTTCTTACTGCTAGACAAACCAGTGGCTACACCCTGCTGTTTATTGACATTCTGCACACCACCACGACCGGCTGCAATGTCCTGCGCACTTCTCCTGCCTCTTATGTTCTGGGCCACTTTCCGTGCGTTTTTCGCCTTTTCGCCCAGAGAAGTCCGAGTTGTAGTTGCCGCAGGTTGAGCTTGCCCCGCGGCTCCTCCGGGGGTGGTTGACTTCTTCTGCTTCAGACTGCTTTTGTTCGTCTTCTTGTTCCCGCTGCCCTGGGGAGCGTGAAGATCAGCGTGTCGGTTACTGTGGGCTAAACCAACAGCACGCGTTGCTCCAGATTGGTGCTGTTGATGTTCTTTCTCAGCTATCAAATGCAAATATGTCTGGGTCTGGAAACTTGTGATGCAAGGAAGGCAGTAGTGAGCTCACTGTAATGCGCTGCCAGGCATGACAATTTTTTTTTCATGGTTCTGAGTTGCGTACTCCGCATGAGAAACTGCGTTTTTGCATAACAGGAAGTAGGAGCTCTTCGCGGCCATGCAATACAGAGTTCAGAGTCATGCCAGACTAGCATGACAAGTTTCGGAATCTTCCAGAACAAGACATTTTTGCATTTGATATCAGCTGCAAGAGCGCAACTCGCCTGCCTCTCCCGTTCCGCAGCCTGCTCCTTTTCCCGCAGTTCCTTTTCCTTCTCCAACCGTTCGAAAGCACGCAATTGCTCCTGCCGAGCCTGGTTACGCAGCTGCTCCCCCGTCGGACGGTGGAACGAGCCGGCGGGCGGGTAGTTGTTATTTCCACCTCCCAACATGTTGTAGCCAGCCGCATTGGCAGGCATAAACCCGCCGCCATGGGCAGCACCAGCAGCACCAGCACCAGCAGCCGGAATAAAACTAGTACCATGCGCTGCAGCTGCTGCACCATTCCCACCAGCGCCAAACACCACTGCATGTGACTGTGCGGAGTTTTTCCGGCTGTTGTTCCCCGTGCTGCCCGCAGCGGAGGACTTGTGTGTGTTTCTGCCGCTGTTGGAAGCGCTTGCGACGCGTACGGCGCCTTGTTGCTGATTATACAACGACCCGGGAAGGACCGCATAATTGTTCTTACCGTGTTTCGAAGAACTGGGGTGCTGTCCTCGTTTGGAAGAGCTGTTTGTGTTCATACCCCCACCATTGCAGCTGCGAAGAGGAGGACCACCATTTTGATGATGATGAATTGGATTGTTCAGCAGGTTCTGGATTTGCAGGGGAAGGTGAACACCACTTGTACTAGAGGTTGTAGTACCATTTGCAGCGCCACCCGCGGCTGTTCTCCCTCTTGCAGTTGTTGTTCCATGAGAAGTAGATGAAAAACCATGCATTTGCTGGTGCGCCGCGGGATTTACAAACACCGCGGACGAGGTTGAGGTTGGCAACCGCAGCTGGTGCTGCGCGTCGCAAGAATAATTGCTGCTAGTGTTAGTACAACTACTTCCTGGAAGTAGATGTTGATCACGAGCGGTACAACTACCAAACTCGTCCGGCAACAGACAGACATCGTCTGCTTCCGGGATGATTTTTTCCCTATTCCCAGAGTACGGCTTATCCAGAATGGAAGTGCGCGGCGTCTGCTCAATGTGGCTCTCAATGGTGACCACCCGGTCGTCCCCCATCGGGTTGATTTCGAACTCCAACTGCACATCTTGCGCGGTTGATGTCGTGGTTCCGTCCGGCCCCGTAGTAATTAACGGGTGATCCGCGAGCTCGTGCTGCACCTCCTCGGTGATAAACCGGGACAAATCCTCGATGATACTCGGCACTATGTTCGCAGCCCGGTTGCTCCCCTGCAGTTCCGGGAAACAGGACTCAATCTCGTGCGCGAAGTGCGGGTAGTGAGGGCCCGTTTCGACTAAAGGTTCCTGCTGCTCGTGGGCCGTTGCGGTGGGCTGGAGAAAATGTGACGGTGGACCGGCCGAATTGGAGTTATTTGAAAGGCCAATGGAGTCTAGTTTACTTTCCGATGTAGTTGGTTGAATCACCACATCCGAAGACGTTGTCCGCGTAGAAGTATTCTCGCCGGGTAACCGGAGGTTGGTGCTGTGTAGGTCGCGAAGATGATTCGGTTTTGATGTTGTAGTTGCCATATTGTTTATCATCTGCTGTTGAATCATATTCCCTGTTCCGCTCGTAGTTGGCTCCGAACAGGCCGTCAACGGGCCGGAAGAAATCGACATGGTGGAGAATTCTGCGGTCTGGTTATTAAGTTGCTGACAGGAGAAGGATGAATCTTTGTCATGCATGCTCGCAACACCTTGCTGCTCGAATGCCAACAACTCGCGGTGTTGCAATTCCCGTTTCAGCAACGCGACTTGCATTTCTTCTTGCTGCTTGTCGTTTAGAACAATGGTTTGTTGCGCTGCAAGTTCCTGCTGGTGAATGTTTTGCTGGAGAGGAGCTGAGGCATTGCTAGTGGTCATCCCAGATGACTGAAGTGCTGCTGTCGACGGCCCAAGAAGAGCTGCAACTACAGTTGTCTCGGCAGAAGTTGCACCTGTGGTCGTTGTACAACTACTACCGGGTCGTGCACCAGCACCTGCGCCTTTCTTCAATCCTTGTTTGATTTTCTGCACTAGTTTAAAAGGGAATTTCCACTCCTTCAGTTGTTCGTCCGGAACTTCTTGTAAATCCTCCAATGTTTCGATCCAATTTTCCGCCAAAACCGCCGCGAATTTGTCCATCGGCTTTTTCAGCTCGAGCCCGATGGTTCTCAACAGTTTACTCACCTCGGTTTGGTCATCAGAATCGTCGTCGAGCTGGTGTTCCTCATCGGCTGATGGAGAAGCTGCAGTGGCTGGTGCAGCTTCGGTGCCGCTAATCGTGGAGCTCTGTGGTTGTTGTTGTAAAAATGACGAAGGAGCTGAGAGTACAGAAGATACCTGTTCCACTTCCTCCACTTTGCTGATGACAGAGGAACTGCTGTAGGAGTTATTTCCCTGCTTGCTCATCATGTTTTTGACGACAGAAGGTGCTGCTGCTTCTCCTTCTGCTGGCGCTTTATCCAAATGTTCAACTGCTGTAGCTGCCACTGGAGGTGACTGCAACACCGGCTCCGAGTGGTCTACTGGAAGTGGCTGTTCCGCCGGAGCAGCGGCCTGTCCCTCTTCTCTCAACATCGCTTGATTCTCATCTCCGGGTCGCAAGAGAGGGGCAGGTCTTGATCCTTTTCGTTTTCCTTCTACTTCTTGGAAGATGGTAGCACTACTATGAATGTAGTTGACGTCCGCACTACTACTAGAGGCAGCCGCTGTAGTGGTCAAATTTTCATTTGCCGAAGAGGAAGAAGCTGGTGCCGCACTACTACTACTGCTAGAAGTAGCCGCGGAAAGAGCGTGCATGTCCTCACCTTCTCGTGGAGGTGGTACTCCGGCTGTAAATCCGCTCGCCGCAGATGCCGCGACCGTCGTCACGTGCGACTGCGCTCCTACACCTCCTGTTCCTTCCTGGTCGTGTCTTACAACTTGGTTGTCAACATGTGCATTTCGGAAGTCCTCCACCTCCTGCTGCTCCTGTTCTTGCACCGTGACCAATTGCGTCTCCGGTGGTAGTTCTTGCTGGTCTCTCCTCATTACTACCATCGCGGACGAGGTACGTTCAAATAATTGTTCCGGGTCGGGTTCTTTCATCTTCGAAATTTAGTTTCTATCTGATGGGGTGCCACGGAAAAATCGAACATGGATTTGAAATTATGCTGAATGTTTTCCCATTTATGTTGACGATGAGATATTTTTTCCAAAATCGAGCCACTTGCTGTTTTTTGTCTACTTCGTTCGAACTAGTACGTTAAAGGGGAGTGATGAAAATGATGTGACTTAGGGTTGTGGTTGGAAGAGACTCCTTGATGGTTTGAGGTCTGTTTTCTACTACTAACTTTCAGTCCTAGAGGTACTTCTACTATCGCTATTCGCAATCGCTTCATAGGAATCTACATCTAAATCTACTTGGGTGGAAAAAATACTTTATCAATCACATTAATCTTCTCAGCCTGATTCAGCCTTTGCTGTTCGTTGGTCTGTTCCTGAAATTTTTGCAATTGTGAATTTCAATTTTCAAAATGAAATCGGAGAAAATAAGACCTGGCGTTGCAGCTGAAAAAACAGCGGATGTGGATCAGGAAAGTCAAGAACAGTGAATTGGAACGCGAACGCATCACAAATATGTCACTACTTTACTACTTTTCGACACCATACCTTTCGTTGTCGTAAAAATCTGAGACTGGCGTACAGTTTTCGCTAAAAGCGCAACGCAGGACCCAAGAAAATGGTAGGTGGATGCAGCGATAAGACCACAGTATATGTGGTTTTTAGAGGCAGTGAGCTTGGATCATCTGGTGCGTAAGCCAAGGTGAAAGCAGCACCGGCGGCAGCAAAATATGTGTCAAAAAATGAACCAGGACTATTTCTACATTTGCTATGCTGAGAAAAAATTGGATTGCAACTGGACGGTGATCGCGTGTCTCTTCTTGTGCAATCGGAATGATCGCTACGTGTTTGTCAACTTTTAGGCTTAGCATACAGGATTCCTCGCGCACCTTGTAGTCTAAGTAAGTACAAGAACGTCGCTTCCGGTGCAGCAGTTTTTTCGGACCAGAACCATCGCAGCGCACTACTTCTTGTGAACAGCAAAAATTTTACTTGCCACAGCCGCTACACTGGGAAGATTCTTTCTGTGCAGGTATCAACGCTGTTCTTGTTGATCCTTCATACCACAGGCATGACAGGTATGATGTACGGTACGGCGATCTAGCGAGGTCGAATGAGATTTTTATTTTTGCGTTCAAGTTCATCAATTGCTCCACCTTCTACTTCCTTTTGCACGAGGAGAGCGCCACGACCTAGAATCAGGTCGCGCACTGACTCTACTAGTAGCGAAAAAAAAGTTGATCAAGAATAGGTGGCGTTGTACTTCTTTTTTTATTGTGGAACTGATCTGAGCCGGTCTCAGTAATGAGTGTAATATTTCGCGTAGGGGAAGTCGTTTTCGTACAGTCCTAGAGATGAATTTGTTTTCCGAGAACCCTATACCGTGGCTCTTGTTTTTTTGGAACAAGTCTGCTGCACATCGAGATGTCTTCGTTCCGTCCTTCAAAAAGAGTTCAATAGGATGAGCATGGTGGATCTTTAAGTTTAGTATAGTTTGCTTGTCACGAGCAGAGAAAAAGCTTCTTCTGAGTTTCAGTCCTACTAACATACATAGTAGGTACCCACTTCTACGTGAAGGTCGTGAAAAACTACGTAGCAGCTACACTACTCAATCGTATTATCGTTGTGTTTAATATTTGTGATCGATATAAATTTTCCTCGGTAGTCATGTCGTTCTTCCGAAAAACGCATCTTCCACCCCGGTCTTGTAGAAGATTTACGGATTGCGCACGTCGACCACCTGATAGTAAATGTTACAAGCATGGTGTGCACATTTTTTGGATTTGTACTGAATTTCCATTTCGCATGATAAGATGATCACACAAAAGAAACAAGCACTTCACCACAAGCTCGCGTGCTTGTTGCTGTTTACTACGATGACATCAAGTACTAAATTGAAATTCACGATAGTACCATTTTTCCCCTCGTTCTCCTTTTTCCTACCGCCAGCTACGAAACGACCGTGGAACTACAAACGAATTTCCTCACGCCCCGGCCGCCGGAGCCGCCGCGACAGCTGCAGCCCCAGTAGAAGAAGAGGAAGACCCCGGTGCGGCACCTCCAGACTGGTTTTTCGTCGGTTGTTGTAGTTGGGGCTCTGCTTTCACAGAGCCAACCTGATCCTCCGCGTCCTGGTCCAAATTTTTCTCATCTTCATCCGCAGATTTTTGCGATTCCTCTTCATCAGGACCCAGGTCCTCGTCATCTTCATCATCGCCGCTCAACCCCTCCTATGAACTGCAAAAGTATCGTGCCCGTATAAATGCATATACAAATTTCCTCAGCATGAGAGAGAGAATTTGTAATGCGGATTTCCCTCAAGATAAAGATTTGTAATGCAAAACCTGCATTTATACGAATGCGATACTTTTGCACAGGATACCTCCTCGCTAGCGGCGCCATCACCCACCCGGCTTCCGCTGTGGTTCTGGTTCAAGTCTCGTATCCTGTGGAAAAACCGAACTATGACCCTCTCCATGCTTGTCATGCAAATCTGTCGTGATGACGTAGTTGCCGTGGTGTGTAAGTATAGTCAGGATTAGAAACTTGCATTCCCATAATTGTGCAAACGCGGTGGAAGTCGTGCGCTCAATGCACTCCGGGCACGATTCACGAACAAGTGGCTATGCAAGATTGCAGCAAGAACGCAAATCCTATTGGTAAGAGTATTGAACTCACTGAACTGTATAGAGAGAAGCATGGGGGCGATCATTTTTTCTACAAAGTTTTTACACAGCATATCGTCTTCGTCGCCACTTTCCAGTTTGCGGAGCTGCCTGTATGCACTTCAAAAAAGCATGTCTGGGAGGTCGAGTAAGAGTAAAAACGCGATTTGCATTTGTCATGCGCTCTACGCTGCACGAAGACATTATACTCGCTCAAAAACTTCTCATGCGCGCGTCCGTAAAAATACTCGTCGCTGTGTGTATGTCCACTCATCATCCACAGCAAATTCGCATGACAACTTTCCCGACCACCCAGACAAATTTTCATTTGATATCGCTTTGTGGCGTTCAATCTTCCGCCTCTTGCTCAGGATGTGCCGCTTCATCATTTTCACGTATCAAAGTGCGAAAAATACCCCAGCTTTCCCCTCTTTCAAAAATGCTAAATATCATACGTGTGCGTATGGGCTGATATTGTAACTAGGAAGAACGACTACAACTCGTTTACCTATTGTTTTTAAAGGCGTTGCTTTCCTGCCGAAAGGTTGTCGTCAGATCGACACCAGGAACAGCGACTGACATCAGATGGAACAGGAGGAGAGCTGCTACGGGTTAGGGCTAGGGGGATTGATTTTCATTTTTCGCTTGATACGCGAGATTTTAGCATGATTTTACAGTCGTCCTCGATGTTTTCCTGTGGGGTATTTTTGTGAGGCATGCCCATATTTATGCTTGTACACTATGGTTCTATTAATTGCATGCACGTCGTGGTTGAGAATAAAACGACTCGGGAGGAAAGTAAAAGCAGGAGCAGCTATCAGCATCTAGATGAAAAACAAATAATGTCTATAAAATAGTACAATCTGCCGCTTCAAAAACAGCTTCGCCTTTTCTTTGTCATCATCGCCCGGATACTTCGCAGGCGTCTCAGAGGGGGTCGGCGTCAGTGTCAGTGAGATTGTGCTGGACAACTCCATTTTACCACTTCACATCTTGCTCAAGATGCAAAAAATCAAAAAGTAGAATCAATGATGGGAAACCGTGTTATGAGCCTTGTCAAGTCTTGAGCTTGACGAGCCTGATAAAACGGTTTTCCATAATTCAGAAGTGGTAGCCGAGATGCATTTACAGCCAAGTCACGACAACTGTAGTCTCTACTGCGCTTCTGCAAGTGCAGAGGAGAAAGGTAAAACAGTCGCTACACACCATAACCGAGTGCTCCGAGTTGTTCGGGTCATATTCGCCTCCCACATTCATCTCATGTACTATCCTGTGTAAAATATTAAACAACGACGCTGCTCACCTACTATGCTCAGAATCAGCACGTGCCACAATATTTGGGCACCTCCACCTCTAGTACATGAAAATCACGAAAGAAATAGCTCGACAAGAAATAACTGAATGACGTAGTTGTAGTTCTACTGTGCGTCGTGACGGCGCATGATCAGCATGACAAACATAGTGCGTGGCTGAGAGCGTTTGATTTTTTTACACAGGATAACATCCAACTCAACCTCGTCGTCACTGGTGATCTATGCATCACAAAAGTATCACGACCTAATCTTTGCTATAATCGCTGCAAAATTGCATTACAAATTGAAATTTCCTCATCGGGAAAAAATAAATCAAAATTTGTCACGCTATGCAACTTATATAGTTGTACTTATGATCCCGATACTTGCCCATCGCATATCATCTGTTCGCTGTCCTCCAGCTCTTCTTCCTCGGAAGACGTCCCCTCATCGTCCTCCAACAAATTTTGCTTGCGCTTGTTGGAAGTAGTGCCCCTACCCGTCGAAGCTCGCGATTTATTTTTCGTCGTGTCGTTGAAAATATCCCCCACAACCGCTGCGGCGCCGGCTTTCGACGAACTGCTCGCGGAATTTCCAGCACCTTTCGACTTCGCTACGCCAGCGGCTGTTGCGAGCGAGGATTTGTTCTTTTTCATCTTCCCGATCGCGGAGGACGAGGAGGAGGCGGTGGCCTTGTTATTTTTCTTGCTCATCTTCTTCTTCTATCAAATGCAAAAATGTCTGGGTCTGGAATGTTGCCGGGTTTGTCATGCATATTTTGCCTGACCCAGAATGTCTGTAATGCACGACCTAGAATCACAGATTTTTAGAGGGCTTCCTGATGCATACTCCGCATGACAAATGCCCTCCCAGCGTAGCACAAATTAGACTCCCTTGCTGATCATGCAATGCAAATTTCTTTCGAGTCCAAAAACAGCATGACAAGTTGCAATCTTCCAGACCCAGACATTTTTGCATTTAATATCTTCACACTAGCAGCACCGCCGGTGGAAGTAGACTTGCTGGTCTGCTTCTGGTTTTTCTCCTTCTTTCCCTTCTTCTCCGCCTTCAAGACCGAGGCTGCGCCCGCAGCGGGAGTGTTATTTTTCGTTTTCTTGACGCTCTTCATACTACTCGCCGCACCTTTGTCAGCCTGCTGCTCAACACTGCCCTTGCCGCCGCGGCCAGCGGAATAGCCCCCAGCGTCCTGCTCCAAATTCTCGTGTATCAAATGCAAATATGTCTGGGTCTGGACGAATGCAGAAGTTTGTCATGCAGGTTTTGCGTGACCCAGAAGGTCTGGCACGTAAGCCCTAGCATGACAGGTCCTGAGAACGTGTGCGTGTCTCAAACTCAATGCCTAATCCGCATGACAAATCCCCTTTTTTGGTGCCAAGTTTTGGGCCGCGTGCGCGTTCGCTGTTCATGCGTGACAGATCTTTGTGTTGTGTGAAATGTGCATCACAAGTTGCATCCTTCCGGACCCAGACATATTTGAAATGCATATCGTCATCGATCTGCTTTTTCGCCGCCGGGCCATCGTCCTTCGGGAACCACTCCACGACCATCTTTTTCAGCGGGTTGATATCCGTGCCCGCTTCCCACACCCACTGCGTGCCGAGCCGCTTCGGGATGATCAAAGCCCCGGCCTCGTCCTTTTCTCCCTCGTGCTCTCGGAGCTTCTGGCGCAGCTTGTCCTTCATCGACACGCGGTTCATGTCGCGAAGCACATCCCGGAGGGTGATGTCCTTGTTCTCTCCGTCGTGGTCCGTGCCCATTTTGATCTAATGCTGGTGCGAAAAATACTGGGCGTGGCTCTGGTAAATCTAAATGATCTTTAACGAGTGCACATGTAGATCGTCCAGTCTTACTTGTTCTTTTGCGTTTTACTTCTCGTAAGTAGTCGTTGTTTTCCAGCAATACCTCGCGATAGAGAAGGAGCAAAGATGGAACCTTTTCAATTTCTCGGGCTGTTCGACTACGAATTTCGTATGCTAGATTGCTTAGTACCAAAACAGGCATTCCAATTACCCGTCAAGGGAATGTTCGTTGTAGTTCCGAAAAGCTGGTGTTTACTTGCTGCAAAAAGCACGCGAAATAAAAATAAAGCCACGATGATCAACTTGTAACTACAACAACAGTCAAAGCACTCCTCGCGGAAAGGTGGCTGCAAGGCGCACTATAAGTGGAAATGGGAATGGCGAGGGCAGAAGCCTTCCCGCTGTACTTCCGGAGAAAGCATGTCGAAGCGCGCGATCTTGGTCGTTGGTGCTTTCATCAACATCCTTCTTCAGCAACCGTCGGAGCTTGTAGTGTGATCAAGTGAAAGTAATTAAGTAAGAGCAAAGTTCTAGTACTAACGAGGTGGTGCATCTTCTGCATCGTCAACGACTGGCCGACAACACCAGAACTACAGAACAATATCTTCACCTAACGGGGGATCTTCGAGGCTGCAGGTGTCCGAAACGTCGTGTATCATGAGCTCACGAAAGCTATATGGATCTCGAAATCAGCATCAGCAAGGCCGCCACAGCTGCAACGATGAACTCTCGCTTGCCATCCACTACAGCATGGCTCTTTCCGCGATCATCAAGATCGCAGAACCTACAAGACGACGACCACAGTTGGGTTTCCTCCAGTGCTCGTGGTTACAATTTCTTGCGCTTGCAGTTCTTTCACATTCACAGTAAAACATAAAGAATAAAAGATCGTAGTACCTATTTATCTCCCGTTCGAATCTAGAGCTTTTTTTTGTGAACTTTAGGTGGTGCGCCCCGTTCTTCGTAGCTCGCACTTCTGATGGTGAGACACCGCAAAAAACGGCCAATACATAGCAGGTTCTGGCGCGACTTTGTCCACAGCGTCTCCTTGTCAAGTCTCTCAGAAGAGGGCACTCGAAAGTCTAAAAGGAACTGCGAAGCAAAGTAGAAGGGGGTAAACGTAAAACCGAGTAGACACTAAAAACTGAAAAAGGTTCTTGCTTTTTTATTTTTGTATGAAGATCTTGTTTATATCTTTTTTCTGCTGCATTTGAAAGACTAGAAATGAAGATTTGGAACATGGAAAAACTGGCATTTACGATCGAAACATTGACGATTTATGTAAGTGTAAGGAAACAACAAAGACTCGGGGTTCGAGATACTGGAGTGGTCACAATCAAATTTTCATACAATTTGGGTGGTGCGGTCATGTCACAGAAAGATCTCCTCCTGTTCGTCCTCTCTATCAGCGCAGAGTGGCCACTACTTACCTCTTTGACGAGCCAACTCGCACTTCTGACGTCATTTGCACCGACACTTCTCCGCTGTCGTAAAGACGAGGAGCAGCCGGAACTAAGTGCCAGAGAGTGCGAGTAAAGCTATGTCTCTTGCTTTAGCAGAATTCCCACTGCAGACAGCACGGCGTCGACGGTGAAAAGGGGCACACCAGATGCTGAGTTTGTTTCACACGATTCGCCAATCCATTTATTACATTGTTCTCTGAAAGTGCGTGCACATCCAATTCCACATCAGACGTTGACACAAACTGGTTTATCAAGTCGTTCACAAACATCTGGCAATCTAAAGTGCCGGCTTTGTAATCCCTACTCCGCCAGACTACTTGGAACCGATTTGGGTCTTCGGGATTGGATTCGTAACTTTGTGTTATAAATTGATACCATTTCATCTTGTGGACGATATCATAGATCCGAGTGAAAGTTAAGTCGCTAGCTTCCAATCTGTACTTCCCGCTCGGATCATTTGCGTGAGGTTCCTTCTCCGTTCCAAACCCATGTCATGTTCGTTGTTGACCACACGTCGCTGATAATCCCTCGCGGGAAGTTGGAGTCCCCCTATTCGTCCAAAGGTCGGGACGAACCCGACGCACACTGATCCCGCGGTCGTCGAACTCCGCCACAACGACCTGGAGCGGCGTTTCCTTCTGAACAGAGCACATATAGCCGCCGGGGCGGGGGTAGTGAGGTCGCGGGCGTTTTCTTGCCGACCGCCGCCTTGGCCGTGACTTTGCTTATGCTGGGATCGCCAAAGCCGGCGTGGGTAGCTTTAGGCCGCATGGTATGGCGGCCGCCTGATGAACGTCGCAAATTTTAGCAAATTTCCGAAATTCCTTTCCGAAACCCAGCCCCAACGCTATGAGGCCGATCCGGGCGCTGGGAGGGGCGCCCAAAAAGCGGAGAAAAAGCTTGGCTCTTGGCGTCTTGGCTTGATTCGTTGGCGAAGAAAAAGCTTGACTCATACGGACTGGCTTCGCGCGCCTGGCGCGCTTTTTCTTTTTTGCATTTTATTTTTTCACGCCGGCGTTTTTTGCAAAGCTTCCCAGGCTCTGGGGCCGGCGAAAAGGCAGCCGCCTTCGCGGCCGGCCAAAAGGCTCCGAAACCGCGGCCGCGCCATGGTGTTTCGCTGTTCTGATCTTGGGCGCGTTTTTTTTTGGGGGGCGCTCGTCTCTAGCGCGCCCCAAACCGCCAGAAACCAAGGCGGTGGGCGCGTCAGAAGAACGCCCCTTTTGCCGGCTCTCTTGCGTCGCTTTATCAAGCCGCAATCGATAGAATAGCGTCGGGCTTGGTTGACGGCAAAGCCCCAGCCGCTTGACAAGTGGAAACTTTTTATGTCAAACAACACTTCCGGCCGCTTGAAAACTGCCGTCCATTGTGGGCGGGAGGTGGCAAGAAAACTCCCCGGTTAGAACCGTTCGGTGACCTCACTACATATAATTGGCCGTTTCCGATATCGATCAACTCGTCCGTAAACAGGGAATGAGATACAAATACGACAAACCAGTGCTCAACGACGCCGGTTTGGTTGGTAACCCATACTGCAACGGAACTCACGAAAGACATGAGCTTGGGAAACATCGAATCAGCAAAATGATCTTCTGGTGGCGCGCTGGCCTCTATATTGCAGCTCAGCAAGTGAATTGACCATACGGAATTCTCGCCTTCGAGGACAGGTAGCGGCGGCTTAGGAGGTTCGTCACAGGAGATGAAGGCATCTGATCCACAGCCGCCGGCGTTGGGGTCACTGCGCTGGAGGTGCTTCTGCTGCCATTCGTGGTGCAGCGTCCAATAATTGCGTAACTCGAAGGATTGCTTTTGCAGTAGGTGCATTGCCCTTTGCGCCCCATTGTTCTCTCTCTTAATATCCGCCTTTAGACCATCCATCGCTGCTTTTGCAGTTTCGCGACTCTTGCACCACTCAGGCGATTCCGGGACCAGGGGCCTTCGAACAGCCGGTTGTAACCGTCCTCCCATCGTGCCCTGCGTTATTGTAGTAGCTGTAGTCTGCATCGGCTGCCGCTGTGTTGCCAACATCGGAGGACCTCTAACCCGTGCGGGATCGCCCTTGACGGAGACAGCGCCGAGCTGCAGCTGTGAAGCTTCTGCGATGAACAAGAAAGCGACTAGCATGCCACATTGTGTAAAAATCGAAATGCAAGAAGAAGTCTGTTAAAATGCTCACGCAAGAATCTATCTCGTCCGCGATGCTGTCTGACATTCAACTCAAACTCTATCCGAGATATATGCCATGACACGCTAGCCTCTTTGCATGTAATAACCTCCGTTGGCTCTGACCCTGACGTTACCGGAGTACAGGGATGATCCGTGGCCGAGCCACTGCCGGCGCCCTGTGATGTTGTGGAGGTCCCGTTTGATATGTTATTATAAATACGTACAAAGTCACTCCGCAACACAGCGGCGCACGACCCCGAAGCCGAACATCGTGTGGCAACATGATTTACGAAAAGAGAGCCAGAAAACCGGATTTCCGGGTCTCGCAGCTGCAGTCAAGGCTTCATCAAACTAGCGTAAAAACCCACGATCAAAGCTGCCGCTGCGCTCTTCGTTTCCACTCGCAAAGCGCAGGTCAAATAGGTGAAACCAAAGAGCAGCCGGGGGAACGAAGATGCGTCCCAAACTCTAGGCCGAATCAATATGGTGCCAATTGCCAAAAGCGCTTTCCTATACGTGAAATCTGGAAATCTCTAGCATGCAAAAGAATCAATCTACCGCCGCGTCGAGCGAAAAAGGCGCGCTCCTACTTTCTGCGTTTCCCATATATTCCCCGTCCTTCGATCCACCCGGGCCCCATTGGGGGTCGACGTTTTGGCTTGGCAAGCGTCCCCCGCAATCCGTAGCAAGCTCTCCACGTGCACTTCCCTCCGATGGGAACAGGTCGCGAAAGTCGCTCAGGTAAACCACGGAACACCCCAGTGCAATGTCGTGCGGAAAAAGTGCTTCACTTCATCCGCGCTGACCGTTTTTTCTGCCGTCTCATTGTCACAGCAATTTCTTTGCACATGCGAAAAAAAAATTTCTCTCCATGCGTGCAGCTTCCATGGAAAAAATACGGAAAGAGACGAATAGGCACAGTGAGGAAAATCAAAATTATGGCCAGCACTCATTATTTGCCGCCCTTTCTTCTAGCAAAAAACGCGCTTCTTGTTCTGCATTCTTTTGTACGTAGCACAAGGCGAGGGCAGTGAAGCAGTTTTTTCCTGCGATACACAACCGCACACAACACCACGACAGCCACAACCCCGAGGACGAAGCACAGTGGGGTTTTCTGGTACAAACTGCCGCACCTTGTCACTTTCGGTTTCTTGGCTTTTGTTTCACTTGCCGGGGGCGAGGAAGCAGCTGCCCCGTACTCGTACAGCCGTCTGCTTGCGCGCACAGGTGGCAGCAGGGGCGGGGACGCATGGGGTCCGTCCGGGTCGTCTTTCGGATCCTTCTCCGGCTGTGGCACATAAACAACTGCGACGGAAGATCCCTCCTGGCCCAATCCAGCGCGCGTGGCTTCTTATCGTTCTGGAAAATGCATTTGTCCGGCGTCCAGGCTGAAGAAAGGAAATACTTAACGCGATGATCTAGTACTCTTCAGAGCTGTGTAAACAAACGTCGATGAAATGGTGTGATCCGGGCGGCAGTTGTACTGCACCTGCAAATTTTTACGACTACCATACAACTACTGCCAGCACGAAGAGCTACATCATTTATACAGTTTTTCTTTCTCCCTGGACGCCAGAGGCGGCACATCGTTTCACGCGAATAGTTTTTCTTGCGCCTTCTTTTTCTTCCTCGTCTCCTTATGCAAGCGCCAACAGGTCGTGGGAATTTTCCAAAGTGGCGGTTGTAGAATGAGAGGTGGTAAATATACTGAAATGCATTTTGTGTGCCACCGCTGCAGAATACGAATAACCAAAGACCCAAAATTTGCACGAGTTCATGGCCCCGGGCCCGGGCTAAAATATTCACCACCGATAGATATTTGCTTCCATGCATGTGCTACTGGAAAACCAGATTGCCACAGCGGCCTCTTCTGTGATCTTCAACTTCATGCCCTGTGCCATGACAAACCAACGCCATTTTGAAAAGTCCCCCTGAACAAGAAAGAGCCCGTTCATACTTCTGACCAGATTTCTGGAGCTCTGCGTCTGCTTGGGCTTTCACGCGGTCATCGAAGCCAGCACCAACCGCCGTAGGGGGGTGCTATGGCGGGAAAAATAAAGTGCTTTTAGTGTAGGTTTGTTCTGTAGCAGACGCAACAGAGCACCAGCTTGTTGCTCGACCACTGAAGTACGCCGTAGTTGATGGTTGGCAAATTTTCATATTATGTTATGCGGTCGCGTAGAAGTTCTTCTACACTGTAATACACGTTTTTGCTGGTCGCTATGCATGACAAGTTTCCTCCGTTATTCCACCTTTGCCGAAGTTGTACAAAATGTTTAAATGAGGAGAAAGAAGACAGAGACATTTCCAAATTAATGCATGACAGACACCCTACTCCTCCCTCTAGCTCTACCACTGCATCGGCAAATAAATAAGCTTGCTACTGATGTAAGAAGTTCAACACGCAGATGTCATTAACTACACTACAACAGCACTTTCTTCCTTCGATACTTGGTCCTGCTCGGAGATGTGGAAGCCCTTTCTTTTCGGCCAGCGGCGGGCTGCGTTGTCCTCGTCCGGATCTGCTGCTTGTTCCGGAGGATCCCGGCAACAGGAACGTCGCGGCACACAGACCGAACAAAAAGGAGTTCCTGTGCCACGAGTTGAGCCCGCCGCACCGCTGGTTTGTTCTTCGTGCCCTCCATGGTCCTCCTTCTGAGTCTCTCGCCCCACTTGCTCCTCCTCCTCGGCATCTTCGAAACCGCTCCCCACGTCGCTGTCCTCATAGTCCTTCACTTTGTCTTTGAGCCAAACATCGACGCTATGGTGAGGAAAAATGATCCGTACGTCCTGTATTTGAAAAACTGGGATTTGTTAAATCACCCGCCAGAGTCAGACCGCTCCACATCTATTGCGTTCTGACATGACATAGACATTTCTTTGTGTGCACAAATCCAGCTCCAGCATGAACAGAGCTTTCCTTTTGCATAGGGGACGATCACGGAGGCTTTTTTTCCCTTTGATAGAAGCGGCCGACCAGGTAGCTCAGGGGATGGATGATCAAGGCCCACGCAACGAAGCCCAGCACGTATCAAATGTAAGAATGTCTGGGTCTGGAAGGATGTAACTTGTGATGCGCATTTCAGAACACACAAAAATCTCTGATGCATAGGCAGCAAAAGCTGCTCACTTTCTGTCACCAAAATGGCGGATTTGTCATGCGGATTCGGCATTGCGGAAGCTTCTCGAAACCTGTGATGCTAGAGCTTCCATGCCAGACCTTCTGTGTCATGCAGAAACAGCATGACTCTTCCAGACCCAGACATTTTTACATTTGATAGCACGTTGCGCAGGACTACAAGCAGCTTGCCGACTACCGCCATGTTCTTGGTGCGAATGTTTACGGTCCGCGCTGTGAAATGGAGTTCTTCGTACTTACAACTGTCGGGGGACGACAAAAAAGAAGAACGAAATGCGTTGGTTTTTACTTACTTAAAACAAGAAACTGCTGCAGGAACAACGAGGCCTCTGCAGCTGTGGATAGTCAAAGTTGGTTCTTCTCTTCCAGGTGATTTGAGAATTGTTAGCACAATGATATTGTGCTTTGGAACAAGATGATCGTAGAAGATGATTGTAGAATTAAAACGTTTTTACTTGTGCTGGAAAGCTGGTGAGCCGGGATGGCAAGAGAAAGGGGAAAAGCACACTGTCGCTGTGTAATTATGTGTTAGGAGAATCTTCAGAAAGGTGCCATGCTCTACGATGCAAAGAAAACCTTCCGGACGATCGTTCCACGCGACCACACGACCGACATTTATTCATCACGGATGAAAAGTAAAGTAAGAGCAACGGTGTGGAAGCAAGAAATAGATACGCTCTTCGTTGCATTTGTACTTGTACGAAAATCTTCTCGATTGAGCGCACGAAACGATTTTAGTTCGCCGACGGAATGGAAGGTTTGAACGAATAGAAGAATCGAAAACCGAGTGGTGGAAGCAGCGAGGAGGACCGACAAATGAATTCAATCTACGCACAGAGGATTAAGAAACCGAATCATCTCTCATATTTCACGAGAAAACATAGAATTTTCTTTCACGAGCCACAAGATGAAGATATACTTTTTCGCCTGTTGTAGTGCTACTATACGAGTTCACGACGAGTGTTGATGTAGTTTCCTCTGGTACAACTTCTTCCTTGTGGTCCTACACGACCTACTACTCCGGTAGTAGTTCTAGAAAGAAGTGCAACAAATTTGATGCCTGCTCGAAGATATCTAGCACTTCTGCACTTCTTCCCGACGTATCTTTAGAAGCACGCCGCGTTGACCGAATTGTTCTTGACGAGAAAACTTCTCGCTGAGTGCGGGGACCACCACTCAACATGCTCGGATGTTGAACAAAAACGAAAAGACACGAATGGAACACGCCAACACGACGAATCGACGTAGCGGGTTGGTGTAGAAGTAGAAGTGTTACCTTCCTCCGATATTATACTCCTTGCGTCCTACTCTGCTGCTAGTATTTAGGCAACAATACAGCCGTAGAATGTAGTTCCTCCAAAGGCGAAAACTATCGTTCCTCGGGGCGTTGTTTATTACCGCTGTGCCATCTATCCTTCTCGCTGCAGCGGAGCGGTTCTGGAAGGATGCAACTTGTGAGGCAAAATTTGAATGGTGCAAAAACCTGTGTTGCATGGACGGCAAACGTTATCTATCCTTCTCGCTGCAACGGAGTGGTTCTGGTTTTCAGCCCGAGGTGGAGGACGTCTTTGGGAGTAGTAAATGGACTATAGTTTTCTTTGAGAAGTTGGGGAAGTGGGGATCTTATTTTCTTTTTGGGCCTTATGATGCGGTATATGACTGCAATTTTTCCATTTTACACATGGGGGGACAACGACAACTGGTACTACTGCGCGCACAGGAACAAACTTCTACATCACAAGAACGAGTCGCACACGACAACACCGGGGGGGAGTGTCGCTGCGGTCATAGCGGTCACGTGATCCTGACGGAATTGTAGTGTGTCAAATGTGTGAAACGAAGAATTTTTATTGTAACAGTCGACAGGGAAGATGATAAATGTGATACGATGTTTGCAAGAATAATGGGACAAAATGATGTACTACGTTTGGGTGAAGGCAAATTTCTTAAATATTGTTTGTCCTCTTCGCGATCATCAACCGTGTGAAATACTTGTGATAGTGATAAAATCTTATGTTATAAATTCAAAACTCATGTGTGTGAAACGTGCGCAGACGATGAAATTTCATGTGAAGCGGACAATGATACGTATAAAAAAAGTTCTAGTACGGAGATGAACTTCAAGCTCGGTTTCCGAAAGTAAGAAATGGCATTCAAAAACAGTTCAAAAAGACAGAGCGCAAAAACAAGAAGTCCCTACGGACTTCTATAAAAAAAATACTATTTCACTCGTAAAGCAAAAATCGATGCGACACGCCGATGAGCGCGACGCTTGATGTGCAGACCGAGGAAACAAAAGAAAAAGGTCGAAGAGACGGAACTAGAACGCTGCGAATGGATAGAGAACTTCTCCAGATTGATGTTTATCAACTGCAGACATGTCGGGGTCGGGGAGGTCGTTATCACGTCAATTTGTGAAAAATTACATTGATTCAGGCACAAACTGCGATGCGCAGTCAAGCATGAGATGTTTCTGAGCGACCCCCCCGAGCGCATTAGTAAGCACAACGGGTGGGTGCCGTTCTCACCGTAACACAAGCCCAGAACAAGAACAAGAACATGCATCAAAAGCTGTTTTTTCGCCTGGCAAAAAAAAAAAACCTTTCGGACGACGTACATGACGCGTTCTCTTAGCGTCATGCTAGCCGGGCATGGTGTCACCACAGTACCACTCAATCCTCCAAACCCCGAATAGACATGCTGTTGATATCTCCTTTTTCAACTCTTCCGTAACGCAGCCGGTTCTCCATTTGAAGACTTGACCCGTCAGCAGCAATTGGCCGCTGGAACGTATGGAAAGGGAAAGCTCCCCCATCTCGTCCCCAAACACAGGAAAACTAAAACACGTCTGATGCGATTATATCCTTGTGCCGTAAGTTCAAGTACACGACAAAGCACTACATTCAAGTAAGCAGTTTGAGTTCAGTGTTGGATTGCTAGAAGGCAACGCGAGAAGAGCAGCCTTCTGCTATCTCTGGCGCTCCTCTTTGACCGTTGAAACAGCCGTCCTGCGTGCGGCCTATCAGCTCGACTATTACCAATTTGCCCAGGCGTAACATCTGCCTCTAAAAGCTCGCTCGGCGCAATGACGCGAAACAAATGTGCATGGAGCGGCCAGCGACGTAAAAATGCCAAGCTCTTTATTCCATGTGGGCTGGTGGAGAAAGGGGGAAGCTCCCTTCAATAGTGGGTCCAACAGAACGGGCGTGGCGTTCACCACGTTCTCGACAAGCGCGTGGCCCTGTCCCCCGTTTTGAGATTCGTCTTGCAGCTTTTCCTCTTGCTTTTCGTCCTGCTTCTCGTCCTGTTTTTCGTCTTGCTTTTCGCCGTGTTTTTCGTCTTCGTATTTCTCTCCAGTTTCAATGACAAACATCATTATGAAAAGCCCCCCCGTCCGATACATACTGAGTCAATACAGAAAAAACCCCCGCCGTTGTCGATGGGGTTTAGTGTAGATAAGTACTTACTGCAGGAAGATGTGTGATTGGCTTTGAGGGTGCAGTTGACCTTGCAAGCAATTTGTCATGTCCTTCGTTTCTTTGGATATGACAGCCGCCTCTTGTCATCATGCCAAACTGGCACAGTATCTAGCTGCGGGGGATGATGAACTTCGCACATTGATAACACAGTGACACTGCTCTGCGCAGCTCGAGGTTCCCAGTTTCTGGTGCCAATGACTCGGCACAACGAATCCGCGAAGGGCCATCATGTTCACCGTCGCAACCTCGGGAACCAGCCAATCGGGCAGAAACGAGCCGTCGTGCTGTGCCGCTGCCAGTGGCGTCCGGCAGCTTCGCTGGTGGTCAAACGCGTAGCACGTGGTTTTGTATTCCCCATCGAAATTGTACACGATATCGAGCTGCTGTCGGTTCGGATTTGTTTCGTACTTTTGCTGAAGCGCGTCGCGCGTAAAGCGGTAATCGCAGGGCAAGGTGAGCGCAGCGTCATCCGGGCATCGCCACTCCTCCCCCTCGCACATGGAGCTGTCGTTGCCTTGTTGGCACTGCGCGACACAGCTGCTCATCGCCGCGGCCCACGGTTTATGCATTGCAAAAGTATCGTATTCGTATAGATGCAATACAAATTTCTGCAGCATGAGAAATAAAATTTGTAATGCAGATTTAGCTCAAGAAAGGGATTTGTAATGCATGATTGCAATACGAGTACGATACTTTTGCACAGGATACGGTTTCTCGACACTCGTGCCGGCGCCGACGCCCCGGGTCAGCGCTATGGATGTGTCAGGATTGAAATCGACAAAGTTGTCATGCATAAAATGGATGCCAGTTGGAACCAAGTTTCCAAGTGGCGCATGACAAATTTTGGCGGTCCTTAAATCCAGTATGTCATGCTGTTTAGGCAAAGAAGACTGATTTTCTCATGCTACTGTAGCGGCTCGAGTTCTAACCTCAAACAGGCTTACAATCGGCCTCACTTGCCTGCTCTGCAACACACGTGCCTGGCGTCATGCATTTTCTGCATTACAAATTATTTCAACTTTGACGATTTCAAACCTGACGCTTCCATAAGCGCCGTTCGAAAGTTACCGACGCAGAAGCCCATGGACGACTCGGGTGCTGAGGTTTCCGTGGAGATCAGGAGCTGTCCGCAGTCAGCCTCGTTCCACTCTCCCTGATCGCACAGCTCGCCTCCCGCGCCCTTTCGCAACCATATCGAAATGAACAGCGCTCCCATCCCGGAGTTTTTGGAAATGCGATCTTGAAGAAATGAAGACTTTTTATCTTAGTAAGCACAGCTACAGTATCTTGGTCGTCGTGTGAAAAATTTTGTCGGAACCGTGACGCGTGGTGCGGCACTAGCAGCGCTACATAGCTCTAATGCGTAAAGTCAGAACGGTCTCACAGACGCCGTCTTCTTTGCCAGCGGGCTGGAAGAGCTGCAAGTGATGTAGCTAAGTATGTACAATGCGCATGAGGATGTCGCCCTTTGCTAACAAAACTCGAGGAAATATGCGCTCCCCTGTATCTAGCGTTCGGCCTGCTGGTACAACGTGCGAGGCAGTTCCTCGCCTTTTCAGCAAGAAAAAAACGCTTCGCGGGGAAAACACTGCTTCACCCGCGAACAACTTTTTGAGAAAAAGAGCGCGTTTCAATTTGATAAACCACAGTTTGCACACGCCGCCCCCATCAGCCCCGTCGTGCTGCCAGGCCACACAGTTTTCGTTGTCAAGACACGTGCTCTGGCATTGCGCTTGTGTGCCTGCAGCGGGCGAGCGGCGGTCCGTTGTTGTCGGCTCTGAGCCGCCGAACACCGGGCGCGCACCCGGAATGGGGTCCAGGCACTGCCGGCCGTGCTCTGGAAGATTCAGACGAGGCTCAAAGTCTTGCTTGTTTGGCTCCGACCTGCACTGGCAAGCGGTTCTGCAGTCGTTTTCCACCTTGTTGAAAATTCGGCTCACCTCTTCCCCCCGCCCCGTTCCATCGATTTTCCGGTAGCACGAAAGACCCGGGATATTCTCATTCTGTCCAGGACCGAGGTCAGTATCCAGATGGCCCCCGCCAAGATAAAGGGCGCACTGCGACGACAAGGTTTGGTTCTGCCGTACCTCGTCCGTGGCGCTAAACAGGAAGCCTGCGCAGGCGGCCCCGAGCGCGTCGCACTTTTTCCCGCATTTGCTGGCGGTCTTCTCATCTTTGTAGTCTGGGTAAATGGTCTTGGGGTCCGCTACATTGCGCTCCATGTGCATCATACTCGGGTTGCCATTCTGCCCATTGCAACCCATTCGACCCTCCCCACCGCAGGAGCAGAAGTTTTCTCCCAGGAGCTCATAGCCTTCAACGCCACCGGATCCCGCGTCAACGCCGGCCTGCTTCGGCGTTTCCCGCGATTTCAGTTCGCAGGAGCTCCACGGACTAAAAAACGGGCAGTCCTCTTGAATTCCGTATGCCCCTACAGACGCGGAGGTCCATCTGGAAATTTTTTTCCGGTCAAAAGTTACCGTCTCGAAAGCGTCATGATCCTCACCATTAAAACCGTGCCCCTGCAGACTTGTTTGCCGCCAGTCACAGGGCAGGTGGTCTGAAGGCATGGCGGTGGCGCTGGCACTCGAGGACGTAAGGTTGATGTATTGCCCGGGCCGTCTCATATGCGGTGTAAAAACAGAGCCCACACGCAGCATACTATGGCACTCGTTTCTGCTGTACATACAAATCAAGAAGCCCTACCCCTGCCTCTGAGAGCTGCGCAGCAAAATCTGGGCCTGGTAATGTAGCCTGGTGGTCGTTACCCACTGTGGCTACAGCATCACAGAGCAGTAACTTATTGCTGATCCTGATAGGAGAAACAAAGAGTTGAAAGAATATATACGGAGCAGGAGCACCAAGCACCTAGAAAGCGAAAACAAAAAGTTGTATTTTCTCGTTTTCTAAGGATAGGTAATAATGTGTGTACCCCTGAACAAGCACTACTGATGCCACTCACTTACATCAGATTTCCAATCACCAACGGAAGAATCGTCTCATGGTGAGGCGCATTGCTCACACACTGCGTCTCTCTGTCTTCCTCCACATTCAGTTTCACTTTGACGTGCGAAATTTGCATGACAAGACTCGGGTCTACTTCGTGCGCGCGTTTTCACACAGCTGGATACATTTGCTCCATTTTTCTTGTGGTCACGTTCCCGTCCGTGACACTCCATATAGACATGGTATCCAGTATTTCGGGTGACGAGTCGGTGAAAGCACAAAACCCTACAGCCGTGACCCCGTTGCGCTCTCCACCCTCCTCCCAGGTGTACAAGGGCGTCTGCGCTTCCGGAACGATACCTTGAAGGATGTCGTTTTGGTTCTGGGCGAGCCCGTCTTTCGTTGGAAAAAGGTCCTGGAAAGGTTGCCAGCCCCACCCTTCGGTGCTTGCGGTGTCGGTCCAATGCTGAAGGTCCTTGTACGTAAACAGGTAACACTTCACTTGCCGCGCTCCGGAGGCGTCCAGACCCTCTTCCGCTTCGTAAGCGGCACAGTTTTCCGTCCGATCAGCGCTAACTTCGAACTCGCACATACCCGAACACAGGTTCCGGCAGTCCTCCCACGTAACCGTGGGGAAGTGAAACAGGTTCCCCGTGACGATGCTCTGCATAGTGCCGGGTGAGGAGTCATTGGGGAAGTCCCCTAGGGTCTTGAAACTTCCCTCGTAAGCCGGCGCTTTTTTGACGATCTCATACGACAGAGTCGCTTCGCCTCCATTCCCATCGGAGGACACAACATGCAAGAGGGCGGTGTGCGGTAGCTTCTCCTTCCGGTTCGCGAACCGAAAGTGCGGGTACGCAGGAAAACAGCGAGCAGGTTTGACATGCCCCGGACCATAGGTGTAGGCAAAGGTGTTGAGCCCCAACTTTTCCCATTTCAAGTTGTCGTCCGCTGACAAGGTCGTCGTTGTCTTGCCGACTCCTTCCTTTTCTTGCATGTGAGAACTCTTCTGCTTGCTATTCGAGCGGAACAACAGCTGCGGAGGCTGGGACTCCGGAGGATGATCGGCCGCACGAAAGGTGGACCCAGCGGCCCGCTTTTTCTTCACCGCGAGCTGGCTCGCGGTCCGAGACCGTTTTTTCACCTCGGTCACCGTGATCGCGGCAGAGAATTGTGTCAGGTGTTGTAGTATCAAATGCAAAAATGTCTGGGTCTGGAAGATTGCGAGACTTGTCATGCTTGTCTGGCATGACCAAAAAGTTTGTGATGCGTGTCCAAGAAGAGACCCTTTTGCCTGTCATGCAGAAACGCAGTTTGTCATGCGAAAAACGCAACACAAGGAAGCGCAGATATTTCTCATGCTTGCTTATGCAGCATTACAGAGCATTCACTATTCCCAACGCAGCATTACAAGTTTCCAGACCCAGACATTTTTGCATTTGATATGTAGAATGACCGGGGCGAAAATCACTTTCTGCAACATCCCCACGGAGGAAATCTTGCCGGCGGTGCGACGACCCCCCACAGAGACGGTCGGCAAAACGACCGCGCGGCTGGGGGACGAATGAAGAACCACAGCTCCTCGCTTGTTATTTCGCACCATGTTTATTTGATAGTATCTCCGATATTGAAATTTGAAAAAAGGAAGAAAGCGAGCGGTAGCTAATGCTGATACGAAAATTATTACCGAAGTAGGTTTCGTGATTCAAATCTTGCAAGTGCAATGCGGGGTGGCAATTGTAGTTGCTCGATTAGTTGATTCACCTGTTTGGTTTAGATTTAGTCCACGAATGATGTTGGTCGTATGGAAGCTGATTCAGAACTTCGACTTGTTCTAAACAGGGCAAAAACATAACGACGGTCCGTAATGGGTGCAGTGCTCAAACAAAATGCACTCTCCGGCATAAAAATTGTCTCTTGTTTATTCGCATCGGAGGACGAGCGGTATTTTCCTGTATCGGACGAGTGAACGAGGGCGGGGGCGCACGAAGTATTGAACGGGTTTGACGAAGAAAACCGAGCTCGGGCACAGAAACAGTGACAAGCCCTAAGTGTTGAACGAAGCAAGAGAAAACAAGTCACGACATTTGAACAAGTAGGACAGAAGCTGTTCGCGTTTTTTTTTTTCTCGGACGAACGTAGTTAGTATGCGGCTCAATAAATCGAAATAAATCTGTCCTGCGTAGAATTGTGATACACGCCATCGGTAAGAACGATAAGACGAAGACGAGAACAAGGCAGCGACAAGCGGCAAATAAGTGCGCCTGTACGTTTGGGCTTCATCTACTCCTTTTATTCACGATAATTCTGTATCGTTTTCGTTCGCCGGTTCCTGTACTAACTATTTGAGCGTATTTTCTTCTTGTTTTCACGTTTTTCGATACTTGTTTTTGCGTGGAGTAACAGTTTCGAGTTGTTCCTGTAGTATTCGCCAAGTACTTTACAACGGAGATCGCAGATGGCGGTGGCGCTGGTGTGCTTTCAATCTGATAAACTGTGAAAATGCAATTTGTGAAAACAAAAGCTTTCATATCTGGAATTATCACAGCGCCTTGATGTGGTAGAAGGTTTCCGGCAGTTTCCCGAGATTCACCGCCCGCCTTACACTGTAGCCGGACAGGAGGATGCTGCTGAGGATCTTCAGCAAAACCGCGTTGACCCACCACAGCGCCAGCAGCAACAGCCGCGTGCGCACGTTCGGGTACCACTTGAGCAAGATCGGCAGGTGACACACGACCATGCTCGTCAACGGCAGGGCCACAAACCCGATCCGCCGCACGGGGATGTGGGCGTACCCGTACACACTATCAAATGCAAATATGTCTGGGTCCTCTGGAACGCTGCAACTTGTAATGCTAATTCTGGATCGTGCAAAAATCTGTGTTGCATGAATACCAAAAGTTGGCCACTTTTGACCAAGTTGAATGAGAGAAAGTTTCTCATGCAAGATGGGCATGATAGGGATCTGCTCACAGAATCTCTCATGCTAGGTCCTGCATTCTAGACAGCATGGGGTATGGAAAATCTGCATGACAAGTCTCGGAATCTTCCAGACCCAGACATATTTGCATTTGATACACGCCCCGAAACGGCGATTCGATCTGCGAGTTGCTGTTGCCCGCACTGGTGCCACCGCCACTGCTGCTCGAGGTGCTGCGGCTACCGAGCACGTCCATCACCAACACGTCCTTGTAGTAGTCGAACGTGGAGACGGGTAACGAGTTCGCTTTGGTGATAAAGGACAACTTAAACCAGTCCACTATGGAAGCGTCAGGATTGAAATCGACAGAGTTGAAATAATCTGCGATGCATAAAATGCAAGGCACGAGGTGACTGTCTTGCAGGGATTGCATGTGAGGCCGCTTGTGAGCCTGTTTCGGGTTTGGGATAGAGCTGCTGAAGTAGCATGACAAAGGACGCCTTCTTTCGCTAAACAGCATCACAAACTGGATTATGATGACGTCGAAATTTGTCATGCGCCGCTTGGAAATTGGGCTTCCAAGTGGTATCGGTTCTATGCATCACAAATTTTTCAACTTTGTCCATTTCAATCCTGACAGTTCCATATCCACCCCAATCTCCATGACGATCATGAGACTCAGCCAGAACGCGATCTCGCTGCTGCCCTGGGACGCGACGGTGGAGGAGCTCACGTTGGTGAAATTGTTTCGCGGCGAGAAGTAGAGTCGCGCCAGCACCAACAGAATATCCACCAGCAGGTAGGTCCGCTCCACCATGTCGCTGGCCATGATGACGAACAAACCCTTCCCGTCGTACCGCTTGAACACGGTGGATTTCAATTCCCCAAAGTTGTTGGTGACGATGAGCAAAAACATCGCGGAGGAGTCTCCCGGGGAATTGAGCGCAATGTTGAGTAGCAAAATGCGGACGATGTGCATTATCGTGTGCACAGCACAGTACAACACCGTGAAGAGTAGTCGAATGACGGAAAAGTAGTCACTCGAAAGGAGGAAATAGTAGAGTGGCGCGAAAATCGCCGCGGGTTGGTAGTGACTTGATGTTTTGTTCGAGCTGTTGTTGTAATTGATGCCAGAAGTAGATGACAGAAGTTGCGGCTGGTGTAACTGATTCGAGGAGGAAGAAGTTGGTGTTCCACCACTACTGCTATTGCCGCTCATTTTCATCTCCGTTGCCCGGTTTTGCTGTTGTAATTCCCTAGCGGTCGACGTTCCGGACGTCTTGCTGGCTGAGCTGTGCTTCGAGAGCCTTCGAAGACCACTGGTACTACTACTGCCTACCAGCTGGTGTTGTTCTCCTGGCAACATGTTATTAAACTGATGACCACTCATCTCCGACAGTTCAAACATACCTGTCGTCCCCTTGCTCCCCACTGGAGACGCCGGCACCGATTTGCTGCTCTGGCTGGAGATCGGACTCGAAATCGGAGACGTCGGCGCATTGGAAGAGCTCGCGGTGAGTTTACTTCGGTCTTGCGTGAGCTGATGCCCACCGGCGCTTACGCTGCCCAATTGCAAATTCACCAGCTGGATCTCCTTCTGTAATACGTTCGCGCCGGCCGACTGACTCAAGTAACTGCTGCCGTGGTTCGGGCGCTGTTGAGAAGTGTGAGCCGCGGCGTTGACCTGCATCTGCTGCTGACCAACACCAGTCGACTCGTACGACGAAGTGGATATCGTGCTGATTCTTTGCTGGTTCAAAGCGAAGTTTGAATTTGTACTACTGCCTGCCTGGTGCTCCTGTGAAGAGGTGGACTGGTGCTGCGCTAAAGCTGTGAAATTGTTGTTTGTTGTTCCCTGCTGCTTCAGTGGCGATCGTGTTGTTGAAGAAGGATTTCCACTACTTCTCTGCGAAACCCGCGGCTGAAACTGTTGGTGATCATGACTAGATATAGCTGTAACATTTTGCATCCCAAGAAACCCAGCGCCGCTCGACGTGGAGACCACACTCTGTTTTGGCGAGCTCCGGCCGCCCTGTTTTGGGCTTTGCGCGGTAAGGGTTCCGGAGGTCAATAGCCTACCTCTTGACGATATAACAGTGCACAACTCCCCCTCCCCCTCATTTGTATAGCATGAACAGCAATACAAGTGTCAACAAGAACGCAGGTTTTGCATGACAAATTTGCACAGAAATGTAGTGCTATTTGGGCTGCCAGAACTTGTCATGCAAAAAGTGCCAAGAGCCACAGGGTGGATTTGGTATTTTGCATTACAAATGAGGGGAAGGGGGAGTTGTGCAATCTCATACACGACGTTGTTCCGTGTTGAGCCCCTGCTCCGCCTTGGCTTAGTTGCCGTCTCAGTTGCGATATCCAGTGCAAATGTGTCTGGGTCTAGATGAGTGTAGATGTTTCTCATGCTGCTCTTGCATGACCCAGGAGGTCTGGCATGCAAGCCCTAGCATCACACGTCTTGAGAAGGTGTCTCAATACCTAATCCGCATGACAAACCCCCGCTTTTAGTGCCAAGTTCTGAGCCGCATTTGCTGTCTAGGCATGACAGATCTTTGTGTTATCTCAAATTTGCGTCACAAGTTGCATTCTTCCAGACCCAGACATATTTGCGAATGCATATGCGAATCCCGACCGGCCATTTCTCCAGACTTCTCCCTCTGCACCGCGCCTCCAGAAGTAGTAGTACCTGCTCCACTTGAAGAACTATCTGCCCCGCCGGTTGGTTCGAGCAAGACGTCGAAAAAATCGTTGCCGAGCGACCGCTATCAATTGCAAATATATCTGGGTCTGGAAGATTCCGAGACTTGTCATGCAGATTTTCCATGATCCATGTCGTCTGGAATGCAGCACCTAGCATGACAGATTCTGTGAGAGCCCTATCATGCCTATTCTGCATGAGAAACTTCCTCTCAACTTCGTCAAAAGTGGACAAGTTTTGGCATTCATGCAACAAAGATTTTTGGATGATCCAGAGTTAGCATTACAAGTTGCAACCTTCCAGACCCAGACATATTTGCAATGCATAACCGCAACAACCGCTCGATGATCTCCAACATGTTGAAGAAGACGTACAATTTCATGAACGACTGCGACCGAATGTAGTGGTAGAGAAAGGAGAAATCAATCAAGTAGAGCACCAGCAGCGAGTTGAGCAGGAGCAAAGTGAGCCGGAAAGTCTCGGACTTCTCTATGCTGGAAGTTGTGGAGCTAGTTGTAGTTGTGTTGCCTCCTCCTCCTGCTGCTGTTACCGAAGAAGTTGCTTTGTTGTTACTGGGCACGACCACAAGGGATGTTGATGACGAGGCGGGGTTATTTGTTGCTGTACTCGTCGTCCCAGTATGGGTTGTCCCGTGCACGAGGTTGTCTCCGGTCGGAGCACTGCTTTCACCTGGTGTACTAGCCCCACTTGTAACCCCGCCTGCTGTTGCACCGCCGTCCTTGACACTTGAAACTGCAGTACTTGTTCCCCCACCAATCTCCTGCTTGCTTCCACTTTTCTTGCTCTGGGTAGGGTTACTATTCGCCGTTCCTGTCGACGATTGTTTACTTTTGCTCTTAATACCAGCGCTCGTCGCCTCTGTTGACGGCGAGCTTGTTGACCCAAACAGTACGCTCCGCAACACGTTTATCGGCATAAACGTCAGTTCGTGCAAAAGCGCGTCGAGGCAGAGAAACATCCCGAAGAGCAGCGTCTTCTCCAACCGCCACGGGGTGCGCATCAAATCCTCCAAGTGCAGCGCCCGGCTGTACTTGTAGTAGGGCGAGGGAGCATCCGATTCCCCGGTCACTTCCCGGCCGAGCCAGTGGAAAAAGGACACCTGCGGAAGGTGGTGAGGATGATACGGCTGCTGCTCGAGGAGGACTTGCGGCGCCACGGAACTTGACGCTGCACCCGAGGACAGCTGTTCGTGCTGCAGTTGTTTCTGTGGCTGCAAACTCGGACTAGGTTCGAACTGACTCGAAGCACTTGCGCCACCTGATGCTGCCGGCAAGACGCCTTTCATATTTGGCTGCTGGTAAAGCACTTGTTGATGTTGCGTATCTACAACTCGCCCGGCATGCGGCGCCGTCAAGGGATGTTGCATGGGTGGGCTGGAAAACGACGTCGCTGATGTGGGTGGATTGTTGTTACTAGCAATAGCGGTTAGAATCGGAGACGGGCGGTGCGTTATTCTGCTGGAAGGACGCTTTGCAGTCTGATTCTGCAGTTGCATTTGTTCCTGTTGCGCAGCCGCAGCAGGAGAAACACTATTACCTGCCGGGCCAAGTCTTCCCTGTAGTCCTGCTTCTACAGTCGCTCGATACGAAAACTCGCTCATTTTTTCCACCGGAATCAGGTAGTGCTGCTCGTCGTTCAATGTCAAGGTCGCGTACTGAATGGCTGGCGAGGGAACTGGTATGATGCGGTTGTTGGTGGTGCTCATGTGAGAGGATTGAGGTCCTCCAAGAACTGCTGCAGCTGTCGTTCCTGATGTTCCTGGCTGTAGTTGAAACCCAGAAGGATGTTGATCCCGACTGGTCACCACCCCGGCGCTCTTGTGTTGATGATTACCCGAATAAATGTTCATCTCGACTTTCGTACTTCCATAGATCGACTGCTGACTCAGCCGCGGATCTATTACTACTGCGCCCGGCACAGAAGAAGTTCCGTAGCTGCTTGGCGGTGGACCCCCAGGCCCAGACGGTCCAGGATTATAGAACCCAGAAGTTGTAGAACTCTGCTTCGTGCCACCTACTAACACCTCCTCGACGTCCTCCTCCTCCTGCAATATGCCGCTTCTGGAAGTGGCCCGGTTTTTGGTCATCAGCAGCGTCGTGGTCCCAGTAGGAGGATGTTGATGGAAAACAGGACTTTGGTTTTCGTTTTCATCTCGCTGCTGCGCCGTTCTCATAATTCCACTCGGATCCACTGTTGTTGCGGTGGAGTAGTGACTCTGCACCGAATTGTTGGTACGCGTGGAGATCCTCGGGTCTACCACTCCTGCCGTGTGGTAAAAGTGCTGGTTTTGATGTACCAGTTGTCCTCCCGCTGGTGGTATAGAAGTTGCACTAGCAGATCCAGAGGACTGTTGTTGGACAATCAATCCCGAATGCTCCAAAGAGCGTATTCGTTCCTCTGTAGGGACGACGCCGGCCCCGCCCCCTATCACCAGCTGCATTTCGCTCCGTTGTTCGTGCTCGGCTAGCTGCATGCTGGTTTGCAATGGCGGGAACAAAGGTTCTATACCAGCGGGAGAAGGAGCGGGAGCCCCATCAATGCTGTCTATGAGCTGATGATGTTGTTCATCGCTATTCGTATTCACTCCCCCGCCAGGTGTTGAATTTGAAAACACTACCTGCATCATTCCCTGCTGGGAATGACTAGAACTTTTCGACAAGTCCCCCGGCATTTCCTCCGTCAGGGAATCCAATACCAGCGTTCTCGGTAAGGGGGCAGCGTCCGTGTCGTCTAGATCGCCCGTCGGTGCAATTCCGATCGTCCCTGCCAGACTGCTCGGATTCGCGTCGGAGTTATTCCGTTTCAAAGGTTTCTCCCCTAACACAGCTGTGAAATAGCTTCGTTGGTTGTAAAGCGAATCTGTCGGCGGCGAGATCGGCGTGGACCGGAGTTGCTGTTGGTCACCGGAGATGTAGAAAGATTTGTCCGGCGGGAGCGGTGTTTTGGTCGCTATGGGGGGAAGTTGATCCTCTACATCCGGGTCAAGAACGGGGTCGTAGGCGTAATTGTTATCGGCGTTGTTCATGATCGCATGCTGATCCTCGAAGGCATTATGATCTACTTGATGCGAAGTAGAATCTGGATATAATGGGTATTGCTGATCCTGCTCCTGTGTGACCGAATTATTACTCGTCGAAACCACGCCGTCCATGGAGTTCACACTGAACCGGCGATTTGACGCAGCTCGTGACCTTTGCGTCGAGACGTGGGAAGTCGAAGACCGTCGGGATTTGATGTCGTGCTGGCTCGTCGCTATGGTGATGTTACTGCTTAATACCGGTTGATGTCCTTCGTGTCGTAAGGTCGTAGTTCCCGTGTCTTCTGATGTGGAAATGTTCCTGCCAAACAGCGGCTGCTCGTGTTGCAGATGTGGTTGCCCGCTTCCGTTCATCAAAATCTCCTTTGACACTGTAGCAGAAGTCACTGCGGAACTGGAGTTATCGTTGTGCGTCGGAGGTATTATGCCTGACAAATTGTCGATCTCCCTGCTCCCACCTCTACTGCTTCCAACAACGGACGCCGCTGTGTTTTGGTCGTTACCACGATGATGATTATTATCGCTGTTCCTCAGTCTATCCACAACGTCATCCATATTCGGGAAAGACGAGAGGAACGCGTTGGGGTTATCCTCCGCAGAGTCCAGCCACCGTCCGGTGCCAAACATGTCATCGGCTGAAGAAGAGTTGGAAAAGGTATCTTCTTGCTGCTGCGGCTGTTGCTGTGGAAGAACTCCGTTGTGCAGGAACTGCTGTTGTGCCTGGAGGTGAGCATCTGTCTGTGCATCGGGAACCTCACCAGCAAAGTTGGCATGTGATGCTTGTTCTGTGAGTGCCACATGATCACCATCGTCTTCATCCCCCATAATAATTGCCGAAGAAGCGGAAGAGGTTGATTGTTCAGGCAGCGTGTTGGTAGAAGGCTCGTGTTCTTCTGTGTGCTCTAAATCTTGGGACAGGTCATGAAGATTTAATACTGCAACAGGAACAACGAGACCAGAGTTGTGTATGATTTCTCCACCCATTATCGGCTTTTGCAAGAGATCACCTCGGAGTTGCTGCCCGACCGGTAGCTGCTCTACCGGTGGCCCTTTTCTTGGAGTTGTTGTGGTCACAATCATTCCGTTCTGGTTATTAACAGTTCGATTATTTCTACCGCCACCCACCGCACCTCCGGAGGAGGAATTGTGCTGCTGCAGCAGCACATTTTCCGTGTTTGTGGACAGTACGTCGGAAAACAAGCTGGTGCTTTTCCGCCCTCGCTGCAATTCCTCCGGCTCCGAAAAGTAAGCCTGGTCCTCTTCCTCCTGCTCGAGCGCAGACAGATCCGCAACACTGTTCGCCGTGTGCTGGGCCTGCTGGGGGTGGTGCAGCTGCAGCTGGTGTCCGTTATTCGACGTCGGTGAAATAACTGCTTGATGTTGTCCCGCTCTAGAACTAGCTTTGTCCTTACTAGTCTGCAATAAGTGTTGGTGGAGCTTCTTGTCATTGCGGTCCGATCTTCTTCGTGGCTTGTGGTGCCGGTTGGAGTTTACTATCCGGCCTCCCGCGGGGAGATTGCTGTCAACCTGTTGCAGCTGGTCCTCTTGCGGCGGTAAAGAAGATTCCTGCGGAACAACACCGTTTGTGGCTGTGTTGTTTTCGGAAGTTGTACTACACACTGCGTTGCCAGGGCTGTTGCTTGGGGATCTGTCTCTGCCTTCTACCATGTTGGGGGAAATAGCGTCTGCGTCTTCTTTGTTCATACTTTGATGTTGCGCGTAAACTTACTGTACTCTACCAGTGAAAAATTCTTGGAATTTCACCTACCATGGAACAAGAGGGCAAGTACCCTCTAGGTAGCACAAACCTTGCGCTCCACCAGGGAGCGGTGATCCTGGAGAACTAAACCATGATCCACGATGGGAATTATGTCAGCGCGCGCGTAATCGTAATGCGAATGTCGAGAATTATGTTGAACTGTGATCATAAAAACTGGGGTACTTAAAGAAGTGCGCATATTACAGGAGAATGGGTACATGTTACATACAATATGGGTACAGTGAGGCTGTTGCGGATGAAGCAAGCGATGATGTTGCGAGATGGAGTAGGACTAGCGACGCAACCATGTAGCAACTTACATCATTTTCGTAGTTCATACTGCGTGTACTTCTAAGCGGACAGAAATCCTTCAAATAAATCTCGGTGCCGATCTGTGGAGAGAGACTTTCCTTTCTGTTTTGCTCGTTCGACACAGATTCTTCTTGTTGTTGAAAAAATAGACCGAAAGTTGCTGCAATCAAACGTTTTTAGGCTCTATTCGCCCTGCCATCGAGAGAGGAAGCATAGCTGGCTGTTGAACCGTTTTTCTTTTTTTCACAGAAGATGTTCAGACTGGGGACCACGCAGGTGAACATTAAAGACCACTTAACACCGCTCGCATTTTTGCCGCCACTGCGTTGGAAGGAACGCACGGATTTCAGATGAAGATGATTCAGGACTTGGGTTCTATAGAGCAGTACAGTTGTGAAGGCGAAATCGGTGAAAAACTGTGGGTTTTGGAAAACATTCATGAAAACATTCATTATCCGTTCATCGCGAGGAAACCACCATGTTCAACAAGTACTACAGGCTATCGAAAATTTACATTTCTCAGAATCAGGTTGTGAGACAGAACCGAATCCGTCCACCCCCTTTCCAATTATTGTGCAACAATGGTAAAAAAATCCTCTTGTACTCGCTTAATATTTTCTTAACGCTGATAGTGCCAGTCTGTGTCTGCTATGCCATCTTTACAAAAAATCTTGCATATGATCATGTCGCGAATCGGTGTGGTTATGTGGTGCCTCTCTGCTGTGCGTCGTGAAGGTGCTACTTGCTGTGCTGTAGCTGTTCCTGTTGGACTGGTATTTTTTACGAAGATTTAACCTTATTTATTTACAAAACAAAAACCGGAGAAGATTCAGCTCGCCACACAACATCGTCCCTGAGCAGGCCGAGCGTCTGCTGAGATCAAAAATCGCTGAGACCTTAACCACAAGCAGGAAGCCCTTGCGTGCTGCCAACAAGTAGATGCAGTGTACGGTTTTCTAGAACGAGCTGTCTCGACGTCAACGTCAAAGAGCTAGAGCTTATTGTACTGTACATGATTGATCTTGTTTCAAATTTTATATACCAAGAGGTGATGTGCTTTCCTGTTTATCTCAACCTCTTCAAACCTAGAACTTGCCCATAATCCCCTATCAACTGTAAAAATCCCTGGATGTCTGGAAGAATCCAACTTGTCATGCTGATTTTGGATTCTAAAAAAATCTGTATTGCATGAGCAGCAAAGAGAGTCCAAGTTTTGCTACACGGAAAGAGCATTTGTCATGCGGTATAGGCATCAGGAAGCCCTCACAAAATCTGTGATGCTAGGGCATGCATCACAGACATCAGGAGTCATGCAAAATGTGCATGACAAACCTGGTAATCTTCCAGACCCAGACATTTTTACATTTGATATCCCCGCAAACCGTTTCATGTCCCACCAATCTTTAAATTCCTTCTTCTTCTTCATGCCCACTTGGGCGAGTTGTGCCTTGTCCACCAGTTCTGGAGCGGCGTTTTCCAGGGCGGTGAAACTGTTTTTTGATGTGGTTTTCGATTTTGCATGCCAAATCGAATTCCATAGTTGAAGGGTACTTGAATGAAATTATGCATTGTCAAAATCATATCAAAATACGCTTCCTCCATTCCCTTCTGATCCCGGATCGCTTTCAACTTGATCATGGGCCCATCAAACGCTTCCACCCCCGACTTCCCCCCGTCGATCCCGAGAATGGCGGCATGTCCGTCCCCGTTCTTCAAGGTCTTGTCTGCGCCGTTCTCGAGCAGAAACAAATTCTGGTAGTAAAAATCGTACTCGACTGACATGTGTAACGCGGTCTGGCCCTTCTTGTTTTGTGCGTTGATGTTTGCGCCCTTCCCGACCAAAAACTTCGTCAACTCCTCGTGCCCGTTTTGCGCCGTGATGTGGAGTATCAAGTGCAAAAGTGTCTGGGTCTGGAAGAGTCTAAACTTGTCATGCAGATTTTCCATGACCCATGAGGTCTCTGCCATGCCTATCCTGCATGAGAAACTTCCTCCCAACTTGGTCGAAAGTGGACAGCTTCTGGAACTCATGCAACACAGACTTTTGTATGCTTCAGATTTACCATGACAAGTTACCACCTTCCAGACCCAGACATATTTGCAATTCATATGCAGTGCGTGGTTCCCATTCTTCGGGTCTTCGGCGTCAATCAGTGCGGGGTCTTCGTTGAGGAACGGTTCGATCTCGGCCGACGGCTTTCCCCAGCGCAATGCGCTGTGGAACTTTTGAATCGCTTCTTCCGCTGGCATAATTGCTCGTTTTGGGATTGGGTTTTTGACTTCGTTGCTTTTGCAAATAAGCAGACTCAGCCGGGGGGAAAAAAATTGATCTCTGCAAGACGGATCGATGGCGTTTCCAACAAAAGTAGTGAAAAATTGTGCGGGAGAAACTAACAAACAGATTCTAAACGCTTACGTTGTACTTAAACTTACTGGGGTTTGATGCGTATTTTTGAGGGAAAGAGTTCTCAACCAGGGAGAACTGTGATTTATTGACATTTGGATTCCAGTTGAGTAGAATGGGATATCTTCAAGCATGGGGCCGTATAAACTACAACCGTGTCAAGCAGCAGTTGCACTACTTGTACAGAAATCATGATGTAGTGTATGCACAAAAACAAAAGAAACCGAATCGTGTTTACGCATGTGGAGCTACCAGTGCGTCCTTTCATGGACCTCAATTCTGGTCGTGTGCACCTTCACCGAGTAGACGCAGGGAAAGGGTGAAAAAAAAAACCGACATTTATGCAGCACATGCCCAAGCAATGAACCTCTTCTAGACCGATTATTCAATGTTTTTGCACAATGCATGATTTTGACTCGTCCCTGCACATCGCGACTAAGCAGTCGAATATATTACGTGTGCTGTACTTGTTGAACACCGCAGATTCTACTTTTTCAAAGCATTGAAAACCAAACCTGCGCTTTGCCGCTCCCAAAATGGACGATACATGATGCGGACATACCTTGGAATTATGCACTTAGAGTCGTTGCTCAAAATATTGTACAGGCGTGAAGCTCAAGCAATGTGCAGGCGTAAAAAGTTGTATTCTCAAGTTCCTTCGTGGGTAGACGTAGTAGATCGGCGAGAATGAGTATCTTCTACTTCCTAAAATCATAGGTATCATAAATGGTCGCGAAATAACTACTTTCTAGAGTACTACTTAGTACTTTTAAGGTCTATGCCTTTTCCTGTTGAGAAGCAAGCTACTTGCCCCAGATAAAGTTTTCGGCCGGCGGATGATTGGTCAGAAATCGGATCTTCGTGGCTGCGCGCGACTAATGTGTTGTAACTACAGCACGTGCTATACTAGATGGTGCATTTTTTACAATTCATAAATAGTAACCCCCAGCAGAACTACAGGCTCCTGTAGATGTCTTGTCAAAACTCAAACGGTTTCATATGTCGTTTATCGATCCATTCCATTTGGTTTTTACTTTATCATCAAAACTTCGACATGATTTCCGTGAACCGTTTCACATCCCACCACTCCTTGTATTGCTTCTTTTTCTTCATCCCCGTCATGCCCAGCATGCCCTTGTCCAGTTCATCCGTGCACGCTTCCAGTGCCGCAAACGCGTCTTCCATACTCGCTTCATCCCGGACGGCCTTCAGCTTCTGCATGGCGTGATCCCAGGCCTCCACCCCGGATTTTTTCCTATCAAATGCAAATATGTCTGGGTCTGGAAATTTGTGATGCTGAAATGTGCATGACGAAAACGCTCCCTCATGCAGGAACGCATTACACGTTTGCAAAACGCTTCCTCATACGCGCTCCGCATGAGAAACTGCGTTTTTGTATGACAGTAGAGGCTGCGACTTTTGTGAGTCATGCAATACAGATCTGACAGGAATGCAAGACCAGCATTACAAGTTCCAACTTTCCAGACCCAGACATATTTGCAATGCATATTTCCCGTCGATGCCCAACATCGCCGGGTGCCCGTCCGCGTTGGTTAAGGTTTGGTCCGCGCCGGACGTCAGGAGAAAAACGTTTTGAAAGTAAAAGTCGTACTCGATAGACCTGATTTGCCATATAGATTTGTGATGCAGAGTGTACCATTCAGAACCGTGGTTTGTCATGCATAAAAAGGTGAAGCACGTTCATTCAACACAATTTTATACATGTGCAACGGCGTCTGCCCCTTCCGATTCTGCGCGTTCGCATCCGCACTCAGCGTGCCAATCAGCCACTTCGTGATCTCCTCATGCCCATTCTGCGCGGCGATGTGCACGGCCCGGTTCCCGTTCTTCTGATCAGTATCAAATGTAAAAATGTCTGGGTCTGGAAGAGTCATGCTGTTTTTGCATTACCCAGAAGGGCTGGCATGGAAGCTCTAGCATCACAGGTTTGGAGAACCTTCCGCAATGCCGAATCCGCATGACAAGTCCCCTATTTTTCTGACAAAAAGTGGGAGCTTTTGCTACGTATGCATGGTGTTCTGAAATACGCATTACAAGTTGCATTCTTCCAGACCCAGACATTTTTGCATTTGATAATCAGCGGCGTTGAGCAAATCCGGTTTTCCGCCCATGTCCTCTACCAAAAACGGCTCCAAATCCGCGATCGGCTTGCCCTATGCATTGCAAAAGTTAAAGTAGCGTGATAGGAGTAATGGCAACACAAATTTGCTCAGCATGACAAATGGAATTGGAACTTGTCGTGGTGCATTGCCTACAGAAACCAGCTTTGTCATGCAAGACTGCAAGGACTTCTACCAGCAAGATACGTTTGCAATGCATATGCCCCACCGCACGGCCGAGTGAAACTTGGTGACCTCTTCGGCAGCGACGCCTTCCGGTAGCTCAAAGTACGCATCTATCCTGAGTAAAAACTACGTCCCCGCGCCAGAATCAAGATGGGAAGGCTGCAACACAAATCTCCAAGTTTTGTGAGTTGTGCATCACAAATTTCCATCTGCAGTGTAGTGCTGGTTAGCAAGGGCAGCCGCATGAGAAACCCAGCTTCTCATCCTGTTTACAGCATTATATTTACAAAGTCCGAAACACGACTGGAAATGTCCCTCATGGAGATGCGCATTACAAATCTTCCTGTACATTGCACATATGCATGACAACTATGGGGTGGGGACGTTTTTACATAGGATAGCATCCTCGGTGAATTTCCCGGTCGGAATCGGGGCAGCGGGTTTGGACTCCTCACGGGGGATAGCGACGTCCGCGGAGTATGGAGAGGGAAAGGAATGTTTCACTGCAAGGATTTTTTTGCAGGTTTTGCATCACAAGTTCAGTACACATGACAGAGAAAACTTGCAATGCGTACTTCCTACGAGAAATAAACACGTTTCAAAACCCAATCACTGTCTTGCATGTGTAGCAAGCCAAACGCGTCTGTGTTCTTGCATTCTATGCCAATCACAAGTTTACTACAGTGAAACAGTTTTTCCTTTCCATACACTCTGCTGCGGTGTGATGGCGTTCGCGCTGCTCGGCTCGGGCGTGGGCACTGGGGGGTGTATTATTATTTTTGGAATGCTCTCATCGTTGAACTTCAACGGAGGTGGGGGAGTACTTTCGTTATCAGAATTATTGTTGTTACTACCATTTCTATCAAAGAAAAAAAGTTCGTCACGATCACTCATGCGCATTCCTGCAATACAAAATTGTTTGTCATGCGTAAAAATGCATCACAGCCAAACTTCATTAGGGATTTCCCTAGTGTTTCTGCAATACAAGGAAAGTTTGTGATGCTGAGAAAATTTGTAATGCAAAACCTGCAAGATAGTGACTGTGACAAACTTTTTTCTCTCCATAATTTCTCGTACCTTTCTCGGCTTTCGGAGCTGCCGCAGCGGGTTCCGCTGCTGCTACCGCTTGCTTCGATGCGCAAGCGCCTCCCATGTCGGACGAGTCTCGGTTAGATTCGTCGAATGCGAAGTTAGTATTTGTGACAAACCAACTCGCACCGGCAAATCGATCGAACAGTGACTCGAAACAAAGTCAAAAAAAAAGCTTGCTTGGTTTGCCTTATTTGACTCTGACTTTTGGGAGAGGAGGAGTAGCAGTTTTGATGTGGCTTTTCTTTTACGTTGTAAGGGGGATTTGTATTGCTAAAGCTCTAAAAATATGGGGGTGATAGTTCTTTTGTACACTCTACACGTACGTAAAAAGCTATGGGTCGTTGTAGTTGTGCGATGAGGGGGGCATGTGGAGTAAGCACTGTTGTTTTCAAGGTCGTGAAAGAAGATGAACTTAGGGCTCTATCCAACTTCATGAAAAGTACAAGGGAAAAGAAAAATGCTATATCGGTAGGACGAAGCGCTTTGTGAACGATGTGATAACAACAACCAGAATCTTCCGTTGTACGAAGGACAAATTTTCGACCGACCGGCTGTAGCTCCATAAATCATTTTACACGAAAACAAACAGTGCGGAAAAAAAACCGGATTTGGAATTGGACGACCGATTGGGTAGTTTATACGACACCTCGGACTACACTGCATTCCTGTAACTCAGAAGCACGACGAGCAATAGTTCATGCACGACACCAACGCGACGTGGAAGTCAGTCTCAGTGGCTCTTCTAAACGTGTTTAGCCTATTTAACCGCTGCGGCTTCTCTCGTGTTGACTCGTTGCCTTTTCCAGCACAGAAACAACTATTTGTACGTAATGCAACGAAAAAGGAACAACAAAGGGCGGCCCATCGACCAGATGACACAGAGTGATATATATCGACCTATCGAAATCGACATCTTATTCTTAAAAATCATCGCTACTACTGTACAGGTTTTCAGCGTACAATTCCAAATTTTTCAATTTCGGTGGTACCCAATCATCTGCATCTGCTTTTGAATTCATTGTGTACATGTCTCGAACGGACAAATCTTTGTTCCGAAAGCTGATCTTTTAAGCGGATTTTTGTACATTTTACTTAATTTGCGGGCTTCTCATCCCCGGCATATCAAAATCCGGTGTGAATTAATTTCAAGAGCAGTACTCTAGTTGAAGCTGAAACTTTAGGTAAGTACATATTTTCTGCGTTGAAACTAAAGGTCGATCATAACTGAAAGTTGTCAAAAGTTATTGTCAAAAGTCAATGAGAACGAAACTTCTTTGTTGTCTGTCATAAACTAGAAGAGGTTCCAGTTTGTCCCTGCCTCCTGGAACGTTGATAGTTTCTCTTCCTCTCTTCAAACTTGCTAGAACAGCAGTGGAAAACTGAAAAGAAGTTGATCTCCACTCCCCGCTTGAGATAGCCTGTGAAGAAATCAATAATTCCATTCACAGCACGACCCCAAGAAGATCTTCGAAGATACCAAGAAAAATTTACGTCCGCCAATCCTGAAACGGAGCCCACGTGTTCGCCGCGACTGGCCCCTTGCCCCCCATGCCCCAGCCTGCGCCTGGACTGCCAGCCGGGGACATGCCCTTCCCCTGCTTATCAAAAGGAAACATCCCCCCTCCCCATATCGAAGGGGTATGTTTCCGGAAATTTGCGTTGCTGATTTGAGACCACAAATCGCGTCTGTCTTGCAAGAAGACAACTCCACAAGCTCCGCAGCATTGTGCAGGCGGTTTGTGATGCTGATGGGCCTACAGTGTGGACGTTTCTCATGCTAGACGCCTAGGCCAAAACCTCTAGACTTAGGCTTAGTATGGGCCTGCATTCCTCTCCAGCAAGACAAATCTGATTTGTGTACGCAAATCCTGCATCAGAAACTTCGTTTTGATAGGGGGACGGGGGATTTCTCCTTTATTTGATACTGCTCCGGCGGTCCTTTCATCCGTTCTGGTCGGGGTGCTGTGCCACCACCGGCCGGAAACTTGATGTCGTCCAGTATGCATTGCAAATATGTCTGCGCTCTTTGGAAAGTTGTGATGCTACTCGCTCCATAAGAGACGAACCTCAGCATCTAGCTAAGCATCAAAAGGTTCTTGAAGCAAGTGGTGTACGCAATGCGGAGTTAGCATGACAAGTTTTGCTTTTGCATGGTAGACAGTCGCGCTGTGGTGCTCCCGATCCGGTTCATGCATCACAGATTTTCAAGTCAAGAAAAATGCGCAATACAGATTTGCAGACCGTCCAGACATATTTGCCGTTGATATCCAGGTTGTCGCCGCCGAAACCCTGCGTGTCGACGCCCTTGTGCGCGTTCGCTCGTGCCGCGGAGTTGTGCGCGTGCCCGGCCCCGCGCTCCGCGAGAAACTGTTGCCGCTTGTAGCTGTGCACGATAAAAGCGATCATGCCGCAGAGGAGGGTCAGGCAGAAAATGAGCAGGAGCGCGGAGGAGTTGGAGCAGCCACAGCTGTGCAGAAACTCATCGTCATCTTCCGCAAGATTGCCGGTCTTTCGGATTTTCTTGTCCGCTGCTTTGTGCATTTTCTCCGTCGCCGCGCCCGCACAGCAGGGTTCTTTTTTCTTCGGTTTATCATCCGCTGGCTCTTCTTCCGCTTGTTCCTCCTCCGGATTCTTCGCTGGGCCTTTTATGGATGTGTCAGAATTGAAATCGACAAAGTTGAAATGACTTGTAATGCATAAAATGGATGAAAGTTGTAAGTGTAACCCAGTTGCTAAGTGGCGCATGACAAATTTGGGCAGAGCCGAAAGTCAGTTTATCATGCTGTTTGCGTAAGGAAGACGCCTTTTGTCATGCTACTTTAGCATCTCAATGTCTACCCCTTCCCCTCAACAGGAAATTTACAATCTGCCTGACGTGCCTAATCTGCAAGACAGGCACTTTGTGGGCTGCATTTTATGCATGACAAACTATTTCAACTTTGACGATTTCGATTCTGACACCCCCATACCTTTGGGCTTTTTAGTACCCCCTTTTTTACCCCCCGCCGCGGCTTTCTTGTCTTTGCCTTTTTTCGGTTCAGCATCGTCACCGTCGCGATCTTCTTCTGCGTCATCGTCACCTCCCTCTTCGCCGGTATGGAGATTCAGAAAAGATTTAAACGTATCGATCCGTCAGTCGGCTCGTCGTCGTCCTCGTCTACAAGAAAAAATATAACAATCTTGTAGGGCTATGCTCCAAACATGTAGTTCTTTCCGCTCCCGACCATGAGAGGTGAAGTCATGCATCAATTGTGGGTGTGTGCGCGATGTTTCTACCGTGTGCTTTGACTGATGAAAACGATTCAACTTTCTTTTCCGCCAGATAATTCTCTTCCTCTTCACCCTCCTCCTCCTCCGGTTCCTCTTTTTTCGCTGCCGGTTTTGCCGCTTTCGCAGGAGGTGCAGCTGACTTCGCGCCTTTCTTGGCGGCGATAGCGGCGTCCTTTTTCGCTTTTTTGGGATCCTCCTCCTCCTCCTCGGTACCTTCGTCTTCCCCGCCCTCCTCGTGCTCGTCTTCTCCGCCGAGGGTATGGAAGGGGTAAAAACGAATTCTGAAATATCAACAAATTTCCTCTGTTCTTGTTATGGTGAAGTAGCTCCGTGCAGCGCAGGAGTTCGTTCACACAGTGCTTGTTCATGATCCTGGTGATAATTTGATGCAGCAATTATGCTTCGATTCACGCCTCAGAATTCGGTTGGAGCTTTCAATTTCCATACTCGTCCTCATCTCCGTGTCCGTCATCATCATCATCTCCGTCGCAAATATGGAAGCGCCCAGAGGACCGAGATTGACAAAGTTGGAATGGGATTTGCCATGCATGAAAAGCCATGCACAGAGTGCCTGTCTTGCAGGTCTAGCAAGTGGACAACTTTGTCGACTTCAAACCTGACTACACTCCCATAGTCGTCATCCCCGCCCTCATCGTCCTCGCTTTCCTCGTCTTTTTTCTTCGGCGCAGCAGCGGTAGCAGCGGAGAGTTGCTTAGCAGAAGTCTGTTCTTTCTTCTGCTCGTATTGGGAGGCCGTTCTTTCGGAGGATGTTTTTTCGACATTTTCTCGTCCCTCTTTGCTGCTCATTTTCTCCTCCTCGACGTTCAATTTAGTGTGTTTCGCCTCCACCTCGTTTTCCTTCTCCTTGTTCAACATCTTCACGCTGAAATTTATCTCCAGTGCGGAAAACGCGTTTTCATGCGCCTCGAGGTCGAAGGTCGTGCTAGTTGTACTATCATCATCCTCTCCCGTATTTATTTTGGGCTCCTGGAGGACACCCCCTCCTTCGTCGAGGTCGAGGAGACTTTTAGTTTCGGCGTGAAATGCTGATGGTGTAGTTTGTGTTTCCTCTTGCTGCGTCGTGAAAGGAGCGGCTGCGTGAAGATTCTTCTCTCCACTATTTTTCCCTCTACTTCGGCCACCACGACCTATCCTGCCGGTCACAAGGGCGATTTGGTGCTGGTGGGAGAGAAAGCCGAGCAACAATGATGCTTTTTTATTCCCGGTGTTGAGTCGCCTCATTTTGTTAATAAACTAGGTGGGGAATCTGGTAATAAAACTCTGGCTTTTCTTCTTTTTTCTTCACGGTGACCCTGAGGACAACTTATTGAAAGTATCTCTATTTTTCCCTCCACAGGAAAGTACTGTGCAGAACACGCCGCGTGGATCTTCGTGTAAAATTGTTAGTAAGCGTGGCTGAGAGGTGTTGTACTAACTAGTGCCGCCCTTGAGTATTTGATGCAGCGCGAACCGATACCATTTATCACCGAAGTAAAACGATATTGACGAGTGCGATACCAGCATCAGCCAACGACAACGACTGACCACGAAATGAAAACGATTTTCCTTTACGAGGACTCCTGGCTGAGACTGCTCTCCGAATAATATAACGATCACAGACGACAAACTTTACATGTTCGATGCCTCTCTTCTACAACCTCGTCGCTCAGCGATAAAAACGATTCTTCGTCCCCAACGAGTTCGGATTGTGTTTGTTCTTTCCATCACGATAAGGAGCGCTACACGACTTCCCTCTGGTTGAAAACGCAACAGGCGGAGTCCGTGTTCTTTCACACAAGCGAAATCATACCCGTGCCTGTTTCGCATAGTCTTTTTGCTGCTGCAAGAAATCGTTTACAGAAATGCCACGATCTGTCTAGTCCGGTAGAAATTCTTTTTCGAGAATCTGTAGTGCCTGTGGCCTTGCAACGATTTTTATTTTTGCAGGAATTGTTCTTTTGTGTGCAGCTCCTCTTTCTTCGAAACCAAATTTAGCTTCCTTCCTATGGTACAGTAGAAAATCTCGGAAGTGAATAGTAGAGCTAATTTCACAGATAATTCTGTTTTCTCAAATGGTACAAGAAGAAGTGCTGATTAATTATTGTAGTCACAAAACTGAGGTGAGACCAATTTTTCCGAATTTTCATGCAAACTAGTACGAAGCATGCATAAACTCTGTTCAATCTGTGTAGCAAGAAAACGAGTTTTTTGATACAGAATCAAGATAAATATTTGTTTAGTATACATCATCAACATCGACGTCAGGCACTGTGGTCCGCGAAACAAGTAAAAGGCACAAATGAGGTAAAAGTAAACTAGGTCAATGACTTCTCTTGTTGTAAAACTGTAAGAAATTTATCAAACGTAAAAGACAGCACGAGGTGAACAGTGTGGTTGTAGTAAAAATCTGATTCTTGCAAAAATTCAAACAGGTCTTTATTCAATTTCAACGTCATCGACGGGCTGGTTAGGATATTGTAAACTAATTTCTACTCCGATGAGTTCTGCCTTCATTTTTTTTGTGCTCGATTTTTCACTTCCTGGTCACCTATGGGAGTGTCAGGATTGAAATCGTCAAAGTTGAAATAGTTTGCCATGCATGAATTGGATGCCAGTCGGAACCCAGTTTCCAAGTGGCGCAAGACAAATTCCGGCGTTACCGCAATCCAGTTTGTCATGCTGTTTAGGCAAAGAGGACTGATTTTCTCATGCTACTTTAGCAGCTCAACCTCTAACCCCAAACAGGCTTACAATCGGTCTCACTTGGTTGCTCTGCAACACACGTAAGTCGCGTCATGCATTTTATGCATGACAAATCATTTCAACTTTGTCGATTTCAAACCTGACGCTTCCATATCACCACCAGGAACCGTCGTCGTAATACTCGTCCTCTTCCTTATTGAGAGGAAAAATCCCCCCTCCCCATATTGAAAAGGTATGTTTCCAAAAATTTGCGCTGCGGATTTGAGGTCACAAATCACACCTGTCTTGCAAGAAGACAAGGGCAGAAGCTTCCGCCCCATTATGGAAGCGATTTTTCATGCTGTTGGGCCTAAAGGGGGGCCGTTTGCCATGCTGAACTACTAGACCCATACGCCCCTACCTAGCCTGGGGATCTGGCCGCAGTGCCCTTGTGCAATACAAAGCTGATTTGTGCTCACAAATCAGCATCACAAATTTCCGTTTTGATATGGGGAGGGGAGATTTTTCATTTTGATATTCCTCGTAATAAGCATTGTACCCATCCCGCCCTTATCCACTGCAAATGTCTCTGGGTCTGGAAGCATGTAGCTTGTCATGCGAGGCCTCGACCAAAAAGAAATCTGTGTTGCATGAAGACAAAAGGCCTCCACCTCTTCCTAGGCAAAAGGACCTCTCATGCGGGAGAGGCATCAACAAGGTCTCGCAAAAACTGTGATGCTTGTGCACATTCCAAACCATGTGGATGGTCTTGGTCTGCGAGATGCATGACAAATATTGCATTCGTCCCGAATCAGACATATTTGCAATGGATAGCTCTTCCTTTAACCGGTCCGCTTCATCCTGCGCTAACCAAAACCCGCGCTCCTTCACCTTGTTTTTTTTAGTTGGGAAAACGCATGCGAAATTTCAATTTGCATCAAAGAAAATTATTCAGTTATGATGTGGTCGATGCATGACAGCAGCAAGCTGCATTCGTTTCTATGCATGACAAACACCAAAATAGTTACCTCGTCCAAATGCCGCTGGCTCTGATCTTGCTCGTACGCATCCAACGCGCGCTGCTCCGCTTGAGCTCTTATGCATTGCAAAAGCATTAGGTACTATCGCCGCCCTTCTAGAAATTGCATCACAAACTTTATTTTCAGAGGCACAAGGGGACTACAATTAAAAATCGTCGTGCAGATAATCATATATTAACTCGGAATCGGAAAAAAAAAACTGCATATCTGTCGTGCATTATTGCAATTGCAATTACAACGACCACCCGGCGAAGATACTATCACTTTTGCACCGAATCATACCCCTCGCTTGCACGTCCCCCCGCCGGTAGCCCGTCAGGGTGAAGCCGTCACTTTGCGTATCCTATGTAAAAACGTCCCCACCCCATAGTCAAGCTGGGGAATCGGCTAGACAAACACAAATCCACAAGTTTTGGCTGTTTTGCATGACAAATTCGGACTGCTCTTAGCGTAATGCTGTTTGAGCTAGCTCAGCAGTATCACAGATCTAGTACATCATGCAGATTGGAGCATGACAAATTGCAAAACACGACTAAAAAATGCTTCTCATGGGGCTCCGCATGAGAAACATTCTGAGCATGCAGATTTGCATTACAACTCTGGGGTGGGGACGTTTTTAAATACGATATTGCGCGCCTCCTGTCGCCGCCGCCTCCTGGGCGATTCGCTTGCGCAGCCTCGCCTGGCGCATTTTTTCCTGGCGCTCCTTCTCTTTCCAGACACACAGCCCGACCGCTATCAGCAGAAAGACGAAGAGCACTCCGGCACAGATGGCAACATTCTGTACCGTTTTGTCTTCCTTCTTTCCCCCGGAAGCTTTCTTCCTCCTATGCAAGGCAAAACTACTTTGGTCTTCGCACTTCTTGACTTACTTGTACTTCTAGGGGACATTGCATGACATTATGTTTTTCGAATGCATGGAAATTATTTTTTGTCATGCAGATTCAGAATGAACAAAGCAAATCTGTCATGCAGTATATCAGACCGAAGAAGAAGAAGAAGTACGAAGCACTATTGCACCAGTTCATCGAGGATACTTGCTCGAGTCACACAAGCCCAACAAACCGCAACTGTCGACCTTGCTCTTCTTCCCGCTCCCCGACGACGAGCCCGAGGACCCGCCGCTTTCACTGCTGTCTTCCACACTCGCACTGTTCCCACCGCCATCGTCATTGTCATCGTCACCGCCGTCTTCATCATTGTCACCGTCATCATCCTCGTCATCGCCCGAGTCCCGGTCGAGACGCCGTCGCGCGCGCAAGTTCCGCTTCCGTTGCACTTTTCTCCGCACCTGGAGGTTCTGTTTCGCCTTCGTTTTCCTCGCCTGACTAATTCGCGCCGCGAGCTTGCTCGCCTGTTCTTCGTTTTCCCGGGCTTTCATCGTAGAAGAAGTTAGAGCTTTGCGTCCGGTAGTTGTACTTCCTTCAGCCACTACCTCCCCGGTCCCCTGCACAACTCTCGTAGTCCTCACCTTGTCCAACCGCGCCAGCCGCATCCGTTTTTGCACCTGCTCCCGGTAAAACCGCTCCATTTGCTGTTGCGCGGTCGCCGTTTTCTGCTTCAGTTCCGAAATCTTCCTCGCAATCTGCTCTCGGCGGTGTTCTTTCTGCTGGAGGGTTTGTTTTTCAAGGGTGAACTTTTGCTCCTCACGACCTTCTTCCTGCTTTTCCGAGGTTCTCGTGTTTCTTTCTACTGCTGTCGAGAGCTGCTGGCCGAGACTGGTTTTTTCCTCACTGATTTTGCTCACTTTTTCCAAAGTCGAGAACGGAATTGATGTTGACTGCGTCGAATTTACTATTTCATCCGCCGGGATGAAAATTTGTTCTGATGTTTCCCGCCCGTGATTCGTCCCGACTGCTGGTTCTGGTCTCTCTGCCAGCACATCCTGCGCAGTTGTTTTCTGCTTGATTTCCAGGAGCGATTTCAGTCGCGCGCCATGCCGGAGATTGGGCCTAGAAGTAGTAGTGCTCGACAGAGTCGATGTTGGTTCTGCTGCACTGCTGCCCGCATCTCCTTCTTCACGACTCGTCCCGAAAAAGTTCTTCCTGCCCCCACGACGGCGCAAGTTGCTCCTTTGTGGCACTACGACCCCCGTGTCAATCTTCTTCTCTGCGTAGTTCCTATCAGAATCTTCGGCCGCTCCTGCCCCCAGTACAACTTGCTGCGAGAAGAAATAGGCCGCTCCTGTTGGACTAGCTACTCCCGAGTAAAGTGCACAGAGGCTTCCGCTCGCACGGAGCAGAAGCGGAAATTGTTTTTTGTTCTGCCGGTGCAACATCTTTTTTTGTTCTTGGGGAAATAGATGGTGGTGGTGGCCAATGCCGGATGAACAAGAAGCTGCACAAATAGAGGACGATGAGGAAGAAGAAGACGAGGAAGCGAAACGCTTCACGACATCGATTTCGTCACCATCGAAGTTGAGAGCACTGGACGTCGCCATCTCCATCTTTTCATTTAATACCGTATCAGTCTCGAGATAACTCTTGAAATAAATTGAGGTATGATTGAAACGCCTTCAGCTTCGAATATCTTCCCAAATAATTTTAGCTTTCGAGTTTCGAAGCCTTAATTTGGTCTACTTAAACCTAAAACAACATCCTACTATTTCATCGCGTTCTGCTAAAACCGGAGCCAGAGAAAAGAAAATTGGTGGAACCGTGAAGACTAAAATTGAAGGTATTGAGTTGTAGCGGCCCCACGAAAGGCTACTCGACGATTTATGGCACGACCACGAAAGTAATCGACGACTGTTCCGAGAGCTTTCGATGCCACTCTTCGATGAATTCTGCAATGCCCTCGTCCGTCGATGCAGGCGAACATAGAAGAATAATGATTCTTAGAAATACATCAATTCTTAGATCTTAGGTGACGATTTTACGACATAATCGCCAGCGAATCGACGAACTTGATCTGCTCTTCAGAAGCCCACGAACAAGACGTATGGATTCGAACGAAGACACCCCGATCGAGGCAAAGGATTGAATTCGAGAAGAAGAGAAAGCCGCTTTTTGTTTAATATTGTAAGTACCTTGTTCTTCCTCTCCTTTACCCCCTCGCTTTCCAGTGCGACGATGTGAACAAGACCGCGGAGGAGCACTGCCTCGACCATGATTGCGGTTCTGCCAAACTATAAAAAGGTGTCGAAGCGAGTAGCTGCCCCTAAAAATCCGCGATTTTTCCGGAAGCTGTTGCCGAAGTTCATGAAGTTGACACAAGTAAACTTCTGCAGCAAATAATTTGTTCAACCACCTGTGCGTAGTATACGTTTTCGGTCGTGTTCATCCAGCACGCAAGTCGTGCCAGTAGCGTTTAATTTTGCTTCGCAGTTGAAGACCGTGAACTCTATTTTACAGTACTTGCGCAGTAAAACTAAAAAGCTGTGTGGGCAGAACAAGTGTAAAACAATAACAAATTCAAATATCAAGCAACAATTTTTACAATTAATTTTGGTTTCATTCAAACTTAGTGGTGTAAAAGGTAACAGTAAAGGTAAAGTGACAACAAACTATTTGGCAGCGATCGATCACAACAACGGTCAGTATATTGATATTCTTCCACCCCGCAGGGTTAATTTCGGCGGTAATAGTACTTTTTGTTTTTTATACGGTAGTAGCGTTTTCCCCCTCTTTTAATAGCTCCACCGTATTTACTTGTCTTTTCCGTCAAAAATCTTCAAATCAAATCCTGATCTGCAAGTCAAATCCTTGCCTTTGCTTGTGATGTGAAAACGGTCTGGTCGTGACCTGATAGTTTTTTCGTTTTGTTTTTGATGAACAAGAGTACTCCTGCATTTATTGTAGTCAAGCTACCCCTACCGTAACGGAAATGCATGACAACAAACGAAAATTCAAAGTCTGTAAGAAACGAAGTACACCTTTTTCCTGGTTTTGTTCGAGAAAACCCTCCTCAGTTTTCGACCAGGTACCAGAGCGCGTAGACGTAGGCGGACACACCACAGCAGTGTGTATGCATTACAAACATCGATCTGAATCTGGAACAAATAACCTGTGATGCTGAACTTCTACCCTGGATGGCTCCATTACTTCAAAGTGCTGCCAAGCATCACAAGTTTTGGTGGAGCTTTTGTTTCCGTAGTACGCGGTACGCATTACAAACTGCGTTTCTGCATGGCGAACAAGCGCCGCATTTGCTCGTCATGCAACACAGATTTTGCAGGCATGCAAAATGAGCATCAGAAGTTCCTCCTTTCAATTAGGTCGATGTTTGCAATGCATAAATCAACACCGAGTACCAGAACCGCGCGACACCCGGACCCGAGCGACCACCGCCACCGCCGCCGCCGCCATCATCATCGTCGTCCTGATCATCTTCATATGCATTGCAAACACCGGTCGGGGTCTGGAAGACGATTGCCAAATTTGTCATGCTTGTCTGACATGATCACATGGCCACGAAAAGGCCCTCCTCTCGCCTGTCGAGCTAGAAGAACGCGGGCTGCCATGCCGCATAGGAATACGCAACACATAGCAGCCCAAAAATTTGTCATGCTTGGCTACGTAATATTGCAGTGCTTTCACTTTTCCTTTCCAGCATTACAAGGTTTTTCCGGACCCGGACATAAATGCAGTTGATACATCACCGTCACCGTCACCCTCGTCATCACCATCACCGTCGTCGTCATCACCATCACCGTCGTCTATCCTGTGTAAAAACGTCCCGCCCCCATTGTCAAGTTGGTAAATCTGCAACACAAATCTCCAAGTTTTGGGAGTTGTGCATGACAAATTTCCATCCGTAGTATAGTGTTGTTTAGCAAGGACAGCCGCATCACAAAAACGCATGCACATCCTGTTTAGAGCATTACAAATCTAATAATACGACTACAAAATCCTCTAATGCCGATGCGCATTACAGACGTTTCTGTGGATGCAAATCTGCATGACAGCTTTGGGGTGGGGACGTTTTTGCTCAGGATATCGTCGTCGTCATCGTCACCCTTCAGCTCGAGCAGAGAGCCGGTCGCGGTGACAACCATGGTTTGCTGCAGCTCCTGGAGGTCCTGCTTCTTCTGCACCTCCTCGACCAGGTGGTGCTTCTTTTTATTCTGCTTGGCCAGCGAGCGCGCCTTCTCGAATTTCTGGGCCAACTTTTTCTGCATGTTCCCGATCTTTTTCATGCTAACAGCCAACTTGTGCTCCGCCGTGTGGGTCGTATTGCAAGGAAAAATGCCCCCGCCACCCCCAAAGTTGCAATAATTTGTGATGCGAAGTTTCCAAATGAAAACTTTTTGTCATGCATGAAAGGAGTATGAATCTTTCTGCCGCACATGCAGAGTCTAGTCGTATATAGCATCGCTTGCATGACAACCGCCGCTTCTGCTGGGATCTTTTGCAATACAAATTTTCGCTATTCACGCTTGAAAACCTGTGATGCTGATAGATGCAAGAGGGCGAGTGTTTCATTTGGAAAGGTTTGCAATACAAATGCTCCCAAGTTCTGGGGTGGGGGCACTTTTCATTGTAATAGGTCGTAAGGGTGGTTTTCTTCGTCACTTGCTGGCCTTCCTATCCCGTGTGAAAACGTCCCCACCCCAGAGTTCTTGTCATGCAAATCTGCAGTACCTGAAATGCGTCTCATGCGCAGCCACATGGGAAAAATTTTTTGTAGTGCTATCCGGGACGAGTTTGTCATACTAGAATTAGGAGCACGCGCGCAATTTGTGATGCGGCTTCACTACCTAGGTAATCACGACTGGATTTTTCCTTGTCCAAACTTGTCATGCGCAACAACCAAAACTTGTTGGTTTGTGTAGCTAAGTCCCCATCGTGACTTTGGGGTGGGGACGTTTTTGCCCGGAATAATTCCTTGTTTTTCCACATGCGCTTCGCATCCACGGCGACGGTGCACGCGGTGGTGGCCAGGACGGCCTTGGCGAACAGCCGCATATCGAGAGGAAAAACTCCCCCTCCCCATATCAAAACGGAAATCTGTGATGCAGATTTGTTGTCACAAATCAGCTTTGTCATGCTACACGGGAAAAGATGCGGACTGTAGTGCAGGTTGACGTGGGGAAGCCTTGCATCTTCAGCATGACAAATTGCCTGCAAACGAGGCCACGACTGCGGCTCTTGGCCTTCTAGCATGACAAGTCGATTTGTGACCTCAAATACAGCATCACACATTTCGTTTTCGATATGGGGAGGGGGGATTTTTCCTTTCGATACCGCATCGCTTCGATCTACCACTTGGATTTGCTTTGTTTTCTCGTGATTTCTACTGGGTCTTTCTGAAGATGAAAACTCTATTGACGAAAAAAAAAGGATGCGATCTGCTAGTAAAAATGTTTGGAATTTTAACTGTTTGAAACGACGGCAGGGCGCGGTTGGTACTGCCACTTACTACCTAACCACAGTGGCTGCTTCTTCATCAAACGACAACGACCCGAGACAGCACCAATTTTGAGTCAGTTTTCAAGTTAGATTCTTGCACCGGCGGCCCAAGTGTACTGTGCAACGATCGAGTTGTTCGACGTGAATCCACTGACTTTGACAACGATAGAAGTACTCGTAGAGGGTGACATTCGATCTGTTATTCTTGTTCTATCACGAAGATTTTATTTGCTGTCATCCCATTCATTCTCCCCGAAACGAAACGACGATCACGACACGAAGATGATGCGAGATGAAAAGACACGATCTTCTGCGATGCTCTCTCACGAAGATTCGAGACAGATAAATGAGTATCCTCGATCTTTAGTGCTGAAACGACGAGAACGACCCTCATGATGAATACAAAGAACAGGGAAAAAAATGCGCATGATGGGAACCGCAAGTTCATTGTGCGCGGACACCGGCACAAAATGCTGGTAAGCGGCACTGGTACAGCTGTGCGAATTGATGATGCGTTTTATTCTTACAGCGGTTCTTGCAATCGACCCAGCATTGTGCAAATGCAGCATGAAGTATTCCATTGATTTGCGTGTAGTACTCAATCTCAATAACATCTCAACCCGAGCGAGCAGCCGCGGGTGAAAAAGCCTATCGAACCATGGACCTCTGCTATACGCACTGAAGATCCACAGCAGCTGCTCTCATGTCTATTGTCGAATGACGTACAGGTACTGAACTTATGTTCAACATCACGAAGGTCTTCACAAACACACCTTCATGTTAATTCTCCACCCTCCTCCGTCACACCCACAGCAGAAACGGCACATTCCCCTCCTCGATCGGCACCGGCGAATAGTAGGTGATGTTATCGTGAATGTGCATCAGGCCCTCGTGAATCTCCTCGTTGAACGCCCAACTCCGGACGTATCCTGAGCAAAAAAGTCTGCGCGCCAGAGTTGTCATGCAAATGCGCAATGACAGAAACATTCGTAATGCGTATCTCCATGCGAAGCATTTCCAGTCGCGTGTTGGCATTTGTAATGCTGTATAACAGGATGCGAAAATAGCTTTCTCATGCGGCTTTCCTTGCTAACCAGCGATTTCTCATACTTGGCGATTTCTGTTGCAGGTTTCCCATCTGGGGACGTTTTTGCTCAGGATAGCACGAAAAGCTGGTTCATCTGGTGCCACAAATGCGAGGACCGGTAGCACTGAAACTCGTCTAAGGGCAATGCATTGCAAATCTGTCTGGGTCTGGAAAGCGCCAGGTTTGTCATGCATGTTTTGCATGGCCTATATTGCCTCTAATGCATGGCCCAGCATCACAGATTTTTAGCAGGCTTCCTGATGCCGATTCAGCATGACAAATGCCCTCCCCGCGTAAGGCAAACAGGACTCCTCTTGCTGGTCATGCAATACAGATTTTTTTGGAAACCAAAGTTAGCATCACAAGTTCCAACTTTCCAGACCCAGACATATTTGCATTTGATAAGGGCAATTTGAAATCGATTCCAAACGCCTTATCCAAGTACGGTTTTAGGAGTTTGTGTACGAACACCGCGTCGGTTTTATCTGTCAAGTACAGTAGATAATGCGTCTCCTTCAACACCGATATTGCTGCGGACAGACTCATTCCGTACAGTGGGGAGAAGTACATGTCTTCGGCGTATTTCATGTGTTTCCGGTATTGTTTCACCTTCTCTGGGTGATAGAGCATCGCGTACTTATACGGGGGCGGGAAGTGCTGCGCTATCTCCAACCGGTAGATCAACACCGTCTGCCGGGTTTTTTGCAAGAATTCTAAAACCTGATACTCGTAGCTGTCTAAATCCAGAATCACGTACTCGATAATGGGGTGTTGAATTGGAAAGGTTTCTTCCAATTTGTTGTTCGTGTTAGAAGTCGTCCCTTGTTCGGCTTGCAGCTTCTCAATGTCTTTCTCACTGTGGTCATCGAAAAACTGTTCTAGTTTCTTTTCCTTCTTCCACATCTCTTCCCGACCGCCGTACGATTCTATCAGCTCCTCTAGTTCGTCCCTGGTTTCCAGCATTTTCGGACTCCTGTATGCATTGCAAATACGTTTGGGACTGGATTTGTCATGCGAAATTTGAAGGAAAGCAAGGAATTGTCATGCATAAAATACGTGTGAGCAACTTCTTTGTCATGTTGTGAAACTCCGACGTTTGTCATGCGTTTTACAAATGAATCTGCAAAAATAAACCTGAAAAGATTTCTCATGCTCGTATGCCGTACAAGGTGCTACGCTGCAATGCAAGCTTCAGCAATACAAGTTTCCAGACCAAGACACTCTTGCAATCGATATCCCGTCCACATTGTCGATGTTCAGCTTCTTCTTCGTGACCGTCTCGGACAATATGCATTGCAAATCTGTCTGGGTCTAGATTTGTGATGTCAGAGTTGAAGGACAACAAGATCTGTGATGCCAGAATACGATCGGCAAGTATTTTGATTTTCCCCATGGTGGAAGCCAGTTTGTCATGCGTTTTATGAATGAATCCGCTACAACAGGCCTGAAAAACTTCTGATGCTGTTCTGCCGTCCAAGCGGCCAGGCTGTAATGCGAGTATCAGCAAGACAAGCTTCCAGATCCAGACATGTAATTTGCACCATGGATAGAAAACGAAACATAACTATATTTCGTCTCCACCGCCGCAACTTCCGGCCTTGTGTAGCCGACCATTTTTTTCGCGCCCTGCGATTCGTGCACTTCCGCAGCTTCCACCAGAATCCGCATGTCTAGCGGCGGATTTTTCCGGAGCTGCGCCTCCGATTCCCGCTCTATTAGTAAGTTTGGGAAAAATTTCGTTTTTGCCAACAAAGTCGGTAAGTTGTCCAGAGTGACCGGCGCGAGGATTATGGTGGTATTGGGGTACCGGCACTGCTCTGCGACGGAACGGAACAGTTCAAATCCGAAACCGTAAAGCGGCGGCTCGTTCAAATCCTCTGCTCCGTCCTCGGACTGCCATTGCAGCGCTTTTTCCGAATCAAAACTTCCGTCTTTCCTGTTTAATTTTTCCAACCTTTTCGCCTTGTAGAAGTCCGTTCTTCTCTCATTTTCCCGGTTTTTAAAGAGGAAATACATCGGATCATTGGTGCTACACGTCCCCACCCCGAAGTTCAGAAACCGGCCCGTCTTCCACTTTTTCGGGATAGCGGCTCGCAGTTTGAGTAACGCTTTTTCCGCTAAATGGTTTTTCGACGTGAAGAGATACTGGGTCTTTTCCACTTTTTCTCTTGCTTCCTCCGTATCCGTACAGAAATTGATCGTGTCTTCATCGGCGTGTTTTCCTATTCTGTACCGAAACCGGTTCTTCCTATACTGCTTCTCGGAAATCTGCCGGGACCAGTGACAGAACGATCCGTCGTCGTTGTAGCAAATCCCGCCCATCACACCATGGTAGCTGAAGAACCGCATAGCGAACTTATCATTCTCCGCATCAGACTCGTCGGTTGTGTAAATCTTTTGCATCCACCGCATTCTAGCGCCGAGGACTTGGCGGTTGAAGTACGGAGCGACTTTCTTGCAGTGGGTGAACTCCGTTAGCTGTTCATTACTCGCCGTGGAGAGCTTCTGCTCAATCCACTTCGTATTGCAAGGAAAAATCCCCCCGCCCCATATAGAAAACGTATCCGTCCGAAAATTTGTGATGCGGATTTGTGGCCACAAATCCTGTCTGTCTTGCAGGAAGGCAAATTGAGAGAGAGCACCGCGCTATGCAGGTGATTTGTCACGCTGATAAGGCTACAGGGCAGACGCCTGCCATGCTAGGTGCCTACATCACCAAAACGCCCCTACTTCAGGCAGTGCGTCTGCCTGCGGTCCTCCACTGCAAGACAAATCCTATTTGTGTACACAAATTCCGCATCACAGATTTCAGTTTTGGTATGGGGAGGGGGGACTTTTCCTTTTGATACTTCGTCCTGGCTCTTTCATACCAGGACTGCTTTAACCGGGAGCGAGGTTTTTTCTTTTTAACAGTTGCGGTACTTCTTGGTTTTATTGGAGAAAGCTCTGCGTGTCTCTGTTCTGTTGTTCCACTAGAAGTTGTATCCTCTTCGTGGTGAAAATTTTGCTCTTGCTCTTCTGTCTGCTCGTCTTCATTACTTCCCGCAGTATCTTCGCCCGCCCCGTCGCTATCTTCGCTATCGTCTTCCTGTATCTTCACTTTCCCCTTTTTCTCCCTGTCTCGATTTAGCTCTGCGTCCATTATGTCCTCCCAGGAACTGGGTTTTATTGCTGTAGTACCATCTCGGTTCTTGTTGCCAGTTTTAATGTTCTCCAATCCCCTTACCACCTCATCTCCGAACACCTTTCCAAAGCAGTCGAACCATTCCCCTATGCCATCGCACTTCGCGAAATTTGTCGGGGTACCGAGGTAGCAACGGCCAACGGCTCCGGTGGAAGAGTCTGTAGTTCCTGCACTGGCTGTACTTCTAACCAGCGTACTCACGTTGAACATCTGCCAGGCTTCGCATTGCTGATTCACGTAACACCGCCACTCGCACTGGCGGATCTCCGTCCCGCCTGGATCAGTGTTGTCGTCCCACTCCAGGCCCTCGCACTTCTTTCCATCCAGATGGTAGATTATCGGAAGTTTTAAATTCCCCTTGGAATCCGTGTGCCGGTAGAGATTCACCGCGGACCTGAAGCTTTCCTCGGATTCCGTGAAGAACGAAATAGCAGTTGCTTGGTGGAAGAAGCAGGAGTAGAGAAAACTCACCGCGACGGTGGTGCGTTTTAGCAAGAAACAAGGCGCCATCCTATGATCCTCTTTCGTGTTTCATATTGTCCTGGATCTGCTTCTGTGATTTGGATTGCTTTTTCGTTTTCTGCACGGAAGTATCGAGGCATGCATCTTTTTTCTTTTGGGTGTGATTTTTATGTTGGGACGTAGTTCTACTTCGCACTTTACTTTTATTACTTTGTAAAAAAAAGGATCTTGGCTCCGTCGTTGCGGCAAGACGAGAGTCAACTTTTTATCTGAAGAAAAGCGGTCTCACCGTGCGAGTTTTTTTTGGGCACAACGACCGACCTGCGAGGCACGACACAGCTTGTGAAAAAAAAACAAAAACTGATCGCGCTCGAAGCGGAGCAAAAAACCCGAACTTCGGCTTCAGATCACACTAAAGAAAGGATCTTGTCAGGCCGTTCTCGCAGAGAAGATGATCGCCCACATTGGCAGTTCAACTTGGTGATCGTTGCGTGCTAGATTACGAAACAAAAAAGGAACTATCAACAATGCCAGACTGAAGAATGAACATTGCAGCGAAAAGACGATGAAACAAGCACGGGCTTCTCCCTTCCTTACCCGCCGCCGAAGAAAGTTTTGTTTTTTTCTTTTTTCGCATCACCAAGAAAGTCAATCGTGAAAAAGAAGCTTCTCGTTCGCCCTGTGAGGAGCATATCGCCAGGAAAGGACTATTTTTCTCACGTTTTGCACAGTACCCAGCATCCGCGATGGCTGCCTCTCGATTGCTTCTTCGTGTACCTCGGTTTGTTTTTGCTGGTGCTACTTAGTCTTAAATAAAAGTAGCCCCGAAGCTAGTCCTGGTTTGTGTACAATGGGGCTACTCTTTCTTCTAATTTTTCTCCTAATTTTTTCTGTACAGCGTACGTTTGATTGTACTTTTTTTGCAGCACACGACACTGATTCATTTTGATTTTTCTTCGAAACTATTCAATCTTACATTTTTGCCTGTCGCGTCTGATTTCGATTCGGTCGTAATTGTGACTGGTGGCTCAAGAACAAATTCAAGTGGTTGTAAAAAGTCTGTTAAAATTGTGAAACGGATCGAAAAGGTGCATATTCTATTTGGTTTTGGTACAATAGAAATTTGTTAGCGAAACTGCAATGCAATTTTTGATAAAATTCGTGGTTCAGGCGTCAAAGGTAAAACTGTTGTAAGTCTGTTCAAAAGTTGTCAACGGAGTTGCAAATGAAGCTATTTTTGTGTGAAACAATCTTTGACTCTGTAAAGCGAAACGGTTCGTTGTATTCTCAAAGTAAATGTGAGGATAAATTCAGCATCGTACAGTAAACTAGTTTTAATTTCGGTTCATCCGTGTGGCACGTTACAAATGATTTTTATTTTCTGTCGCGTTTATTTATCAGTCTACTGCGTATCATTCTTGCGTATCATTCTTTCGACGTAAGCTTTTCTAAAATCTGCTGAAAATTCTGCGCAATCATTGTTCGTGTGAGTTTGAGTAACTGGCAACTGCGGTGTCTGCTCGTGTTCAACTTCGTTTTACAGTAAAATTGATTCCGGGCGAGAGTTAATTTGGATATGCTGAGAGCTAGAAATTGAAGCGTAGCACCTTTTCCTCTTCAATACATGTGCCTGTACGCAGCTGAATCAGTTGCGATAGATGATTCTAATTCTTTTTCTCTCACCCTTCCAACAATCCGTTCCGCGAATCGCTGGCCCTGTATCGCGAGAAAAAAACTGTGTTAGTGTAACTTTCTTTGGTTGACAGCATCACAAATTTGCTCTACATGACAGAGAAAACCTATCATGCGTGGCTTGTAAGGGAAAACACACATGCAAAGTGGACTTCATGGCTGTCTGGCATGACAGGCGTAACTCTGTTGCATGTTCTGCATTACAAAGTTACACTTACACAGTTTTTTTCTTGCATACCCTGCTCGCCCTGGTCACTGTTTTTTGGTAGTCGTTCTCCGAGAGCTCGTCGACTTCCTCTTCCTCCTATGCATGGCAAATATGTTTGGGTCTGTAGAAGTGCGCAGTTGTGATGCGCATTTCACAACACATACAAATCTCTCATGCGTAGGCAGCAAGTGTTGCCCATTTTTTCCAGTCGCCACAGTGGGAATCTTGTCATGCAGGTTAGGCATTGCGGAACCTTCTCGAAACCTGTGATGCTAGGGCTTCCATGCCAGACCTTCCGCGTCATGCAAAAACAGCATGACAAAAATCTGCATTCTTCCAGACCCAGACATATTTGCATTTGATACCTCCTCTTCCGACGTACCGGGCTCCTCGTCCGGGACACCCTCCTCTCCCGGCCCGCCCATATGCATTGCAAATATATCTGGGTCTGGATAATTGCGAGATTTGTCATGCTAGTCTAGCATGACTCTGAACTTTGTATTGCGCGGCCGCAAAGCGCTCCTCTTGCCTTTCATGCAAAAACGCAGTTTCTCAAGCGGAGTACGCAACTCAGAACCACGGGAAAACTTGTCATGCTTGGCAGCGCATCAGAGTGTGCTCACTATTTCGTTTCTTGCATCGCAAGTTTATTCCAGACCCAGCCATATTTGCATTTGATAACCTTCCGGGATCGCCGAGGGCAGGTCCGAGGCCAACACTGCGCTCTTGTAGGCGTTCGACGCTTGGGACGGGCGCACGGAGCCGCGGCTGCTTCGTTGCGAACCGCGGCTGGACCTAGTTGCGCCGGACGCTGGTTGCGTCGACCCCGAGACGGACGATTCTGGGCCGCCACTGGACATGCGCACCGAGCTCAACCGGGCCCGGGCGCGCTCGCGCCGCACGTGCACGAAAGCGCCGATGATGCACAAGAGCACCACGCAGCCGCAGGGAATCAGGAAGTACCACTCGTCCAGAAAGCCCAGCGGCCCTTCTTGGTCTTCTTCTTCTGCTCCTTTTCCGTTTTTCTTGCCGTTTTCTCCCAGCTTCGCGTTCAGCTCGGATTTCTATGCAAGGGCACAAGCAGTGGTGATCCTCCTCCCGACCATTTGAACAAACCTGATGATGCGCTCCTGCAGCGGCACAACTGCCGTCAGAGACGTGTCATCGACAAAGCAAGTAGCGCTCACAGGCAGCATGTAGAGTAAAAGTAGATCTTGTATTTTTATTGGCAGACAAAAAAAGAATGCGCGGCAAGGGACACTTGACCTTGTGCTTTTTGATACTTCCATTTTTTCTTCGCGATCCTTGATCTGCTGCTTGAGCACGTCGTCGACCTTGTTCTTCGTGATCCTGGAAGATATTGATATTCATCGATTTGTCAGGCGAAAATCCTAAGAGTGCATACATTTGTCGTGTTCATGCGTCAAAACATCATTATGAAAAACAAAATACGGCCCAGCGCTCCCGGGTGTGTCAGGCCACATGCTCGGGTTCATCCTGCCACTATCCAGTGCAAAAATGTGTCTTGAGAGTTGGAATTTGTAATGCTGGTCTTCCATTCTTGTGAGATCTGCATTGCATGACCAACAAAAGTCGCAGCCTCTATTGCCATACAACAACGCCGTTTCTCATGCGGAGTGCGTATGAGGAGGCGCTCTGCAAACTTGTCTTTGTCATGCTCTCCTGCATGAGAGGCGCTTTCGTCACGGGCATTTTGGCATCACAAATTTCCAGACCCAGACATTTTTGCATTTGATAGCCACTGGACTCGTGCAACTTGGACCAGCTGTAGCTCGAGGATCCTTCCGCCTTCTGGAATTGGTAGTTGCCCCGGGTGCCCCGCAGCGCTGGCTTGGGCGTCGTCGTCGAGGAAGTTGAAATGGGCAGTTCCGCCACGCTATGCAGGAAAAGAACTATGTCGTGTAACAAGTCTGTAATGCAGAAATCAAAGCTACATAGTCAGTACACCTCTCATGCCGGGGCACAGCCATGAGGTCGCCCCTTTTCAGATGCGTAGTTTTCACGTGCTAGCTAGTACGCATGACAGGCTTTAACAAGATTTTCTGTCATGCGGAGCAAATTACATTTGGTCATGCAGTCCCTCCAAGACAGTTACACTATGTGTAAACACAGTTTTTTTTCCTGGATATGACGCTCCCAACATAGTAGGCAGCTGGGCCACGCTATCGTGAGAAAAAACTGTTTCGCTGAAAGGACTTTGTAAGTTTTGCATTACAAGTTCGTTACACATGACAAGGAAAACCTGCCATGCGTACTTCCTAAGGGAAAACACACTGAAAAAGACAATGTCTTGCATATGTAGCAAGACAAATGCGCCGTCTGTGTTGCATTCTATGCATCACAAGTTTACAGTGAAACAGTTTTTTCCTGCGATACACACCGCCCGTCTCATTCAAAATCACCTGTTTCTCCTCGTTGTCGACGACGTCCTTCGAGGCCTCATTCACGATATGCATTGCAAAAGTACATCTATCGCACTTGTTTCACTAAATGTTTGCGGTCATGCAACACAAATCTCTTTCTTACTGTCAATCCGCATTACAGATTCCATTCTTCATGCTGAGCAGAAATTTGTCATGCATATCCGACTGCACCACATCAAAAACCTTTGCACCGTCGCCATGCGATTTCTCCTACTAGTGCGATTTATTACTTTTGCAGAGGATACACGAGTTTGTCCAAGCCTGCGAAGTGCGTGTCAACCTGGGTGTCGTACCACTTGAAAAACTTCTCCTGAGATTGCTTCGAGCAGCAGCTGCAAACCGAGACCACGGTAGCTCCATCCAGCGTTTTCGACTTCTCTATGACAGTGCACAACTCCCCCTCCCCCTCCTTTGTGTTGCATGAACAGCAACACAAGCGCTGGCAAACATGCAGCTTTTGCATCACAAATTCCTAGGGGATTGCAGTGCTGTTTCGGATTCCGGAATCTGTCATGCAAGCAGTACTAACAGTATCCCTAACAGGCAAAGGGTGGGTTTGGAATTTTGCATGACAAATAAGGGGGAGGGGGAGTTGTGCACTTTCATATTCTCCGAATCCGGCACACAAACGCTGTCGCACCCCTCGTGCAACTCGAACAGCGTCAGCTTGCCGTCGCCGTCCCCAAAGGTTTTTTCAGCTTTCGGGACGTCGCACTTCTCGCCCACTTCGTCTTGGGTGATCTCGCCGTCGTTGTTGCTGTCGAGGTCGTCCGGATCCGGAAGTTCGATTTCGTCCGGCCCATCATCTCCCGGTTTCGACTTCTTGTCTTCGGCGGGTACGTAGGAAGCGAAAAACACGTCCTGCATGGACTTGGGACAGCAGTTGCAGATCTTCTTCACGCTGGCCTCCATGAGCAGCTTCGAGTCCGGCGAATCTGGCACGCAGACCTTGTTGCAGATACCCCGCAGTTCCTTCGTCGTCAGCGTTCCGTCGCCATCGCCCGATTCATCGACCATCTCAATGTCGCACTCTTCGTTCACTTCTATCCCACGAAAAAACTGCTTCACTGTGATGATTTTGCAAGATTTGCATCACAAGTTTGTTACACATGACAGAGAAAACTTGGCATGCGTGCTTCCTAAGGGAAAACACAGCTAAAAATCCAATGTCTTGCATGTGTAGCAAGACAAACACAGTTGCGTTCCGTTCTATGCATCACAAGTTTAATACAGGGAAGCAGTTTTTTCTTGCGATAGCCTCTTCCTTTGTGACGATTCCGTCCACGTCCAAGTCCATGAGGTCGAACATGTCCGTATCCTGTGTAAAAACGTCCCCACCCCAGAGTTGTCACGCAAATCTGCATGCCAAAAAAATTTACTTCTCATGCGGAGCCCCATGAGAAGCATTCTCTAAAGTCGTGCTTTTGATTTTGAATTTGTGATGCTATAATCAGCATGATGTGGTAGGTCTGTGATGCTGCGGAACTACCTAAACAGGAACACCATACGACGACACATCTGTCATGCGAAACAACCATCAAAGCTGGCTGATTTGTCTAGCAGATTCCCCATCTTGACTCTGGAGGTGTGGGGACGCTTTTACTCAGGATAATCCGGCTCCTCATCGAGTCCACCTCGCGTTTTCTTGTCTGCCGCCGGTGTGTACTGCGCAAAGAACTTCTCCTGCATTTCCGCGGGGCAGCAGTTATGAACTGCAAAAGTACTATCGCTTACTACGTATGAATTATCGCATGACAAATGTGCTCAACATGACAAATGGAATTTTTTGTCATGCTGAATTACCTATAGAAACCAAACTTGTCATGCAAGTTTGGCATTAATTATACGAGTACACGATAGTACTTTTGCAAGGCATAGCAGTGGCAGACCGCGACGACACTCGACTCCATCATGGACATGGACTGCTCCGAGCCGGTATCCTGTGTGAAAACGTCCCCACGACCCGGACCCCAGAGTCAAAATTATGGGGATCTCGCAACACAAATCCAGAAGTTTTGGGAATCACGCATGACAAGTTGCTCTCTGTACCTACTGCAGTCCAAATTAGCAAGGACGAGAGCCGCATCACAAAGCCATCCGCTTCTCTTCCCGGTTACAGCATTACAAATAATTTCGATGGCGATGCGCATTGCAACCGTTTCTGCATCAATTGCAAATCTGCATGAAAACAACTCTGGGGAGGTGGGGACCACGTTTTTGCTCAGGATAGCCAGGCACGCAGACATTGTTGCAGATTGTGTCTAGCTCTTTCTTGGTCAGCTTGCCGTCGCCATCCCCGTGCTCAGCGTCGGCTTTCTGGAGGTCGCACTTCTCGTGCACTTCGTGCTTCTCGACCACCGCGTCAAAGTCGACATCCGGCAGCTCAATGTCGTCCGGCTCCTCATCTCCTGGTCTGGATTTCTTGTCTGCGGCGGGTACGTATGGATTGCAAAAATGTCTGGGTCTCGAAGAATGCAACTTGTGATGCTATTTTTGGAATCTAAAAGAATCTGTATTGCATGAGCAGCAAGAGGCGTCCAGTTTTTGCTCCGCGGAGAGGGCATTTGTCATGCGGGATAGGCATCAAGATACCCGCAAACAATCTGTCATGCTAGGTCATGCATTACAGGCATCATAGCCCATGGGAAATATGCATGACAAACCTGGAAATCTTCCAGACCCAGACATTTTTACATTTGATAGCACGTACTGCGCAAAAAAGATCTCCTGCTGCTCCGCCGGGCAGCAGTGGCATATTGCAGTGAAAAGTGCCCCCCACCCCTGACATTGCAAAAATTTGTGATGCGAAGCTTCCAAATGAAAACTTTTTGTCATGCATGAAAGAAGTATGAATCTTTCTGATGCACAGTCTAGGCGTGTATCGCATCGCTTGCATGATAAGCGCCGCTTTTGCTGGGGTCTTTTGCAATACAAATTTTTGCTATTCATCACAATTGGAATAAACCTGTGATGCTAATAGATGCAAGCGGGCGAATGTTTCATTTGGAAAGGTTTGCAATACAAATGCTCCCAAGTTCGGGGGCGGGGGCATTTTTCATGGTAATATGGCACACCGCAACCACGCTCGATTCCATGAGATTCTTCGAATCCTCCGAGCCGGGGACGCAGACCTTGTCGCACATTGCCTTGAGTTCTGCCTTCGTCAAAGACCCGTCGCCATTGCCGTGATTCGCGTCGGCCATGTCGAGATCATATCCCACGAAAAAACTGTTTCACTGTGATGATTTTGCAAGATCTGCATCACAACTTTGTTACGCATGACAAAATTTGTCACGCGCACTTCCAAAGGGAAAACACGCTGGGAAATCCAATGCCTTGCATGTGTAGCAAGACAAATAGTTTTGTGTTCCATTTTCTGCATCACAGGTTCACAGTGAAACAGTTTTTTCTTGCGATAGATCACACTCCTCGTGCACTTCGTGTTTTTCCACCACTTTGTCAAAGTCGACGTCCGGCAGCTCAATGTCGTCCGGCCCCTCATCGTATGAGTTGCAAAAATGTCTGGGTCTGGAATATTGCAACTTGTCATGCCAAATCTGAATCATGCAGAAATCTGTGTTGCATGAGTGCCAAAAGCTGTCCACTTTCGACCAAGTTTGGAGGAAGTTTCTCATGCAGGATAGGCATGGCAGAGACATCGCAGACTCTGTCATGCTAGGTCCCGCATTCCAGACCTCACGGGTCATGGAAAACCTGCATGACAAGTTGCAATCTTCCAGACCCAGAAATTTTTGCAATCCATACATCGCCCGGTTTGGACCGCTTGCTCTCGGTGGGTACGTACGAGGCAAAAAAGACCTTCTGCTGCTCCGCCGGGCAGCAGTGGCAGACCGCGACCACGCTCGCTTCCACGAGGAGCTTGCTGTCTTTCGAGTCGGGGACGCAAACCTTGTCGCACATTTCCTTCAGTTCGCCCTTTGTCAGCGAGCCGTCACCATTGCCGTGGTCGGTGTCGGCCATCTCGAGGTCACACTCCTCGCTCACCTCGTGCTTCTCGACGATCGCGTCGAGGTCCACGTCCGGAAGGTCAATTTCGTCCGGCACTTCCTCTCCTGGTTTCGACCGCTTGCTCTCGGTGGGAATGTAGGAGGCAAAGATATCAAATGTAAAAATGTCTGGGTCTGGAAGATTCCGAGATTTGTCATGCAGTTTTTCCAAGCCTTGCCAAGTCTGGAATGCAGGCCCTAGCATCACAGGTTCTGCAGCCCCTTGGTGATGCCTATTCTGCATGAGAAATGCCCTCTCAACATGGCCAGAAGTGGGAACCTTTTGTGAGTCATGCAACACAGATTTTTGTATGCTCCACAACACGCATCACAAGTTCGCATCCTTCCAGACCCAGACATTTTTACATTTGATAAAAGAACACCTCCTGCATTTTCGCCGGACAGCAGTGGCAAATCGCCACCACATATGCATTGCAAATATTCCTGGATGTCTGGAATAAACTTGTGATGCGAGTAAGGTAATAGTCAGCACACTGTAATGCGCTCCCCAGCATGAGAAGTAGTTTTTCCGTGGTTCAGAGTTGCATACTCCGCATGAGACACCGCGTTTTTGCGTGACAGACAAGAGGACCTCTTCGTAGGTACGCAATACAGAGTTCAGCGTCATGCCAGACTAGCATGACAAATCTCGCAGTCTCCCAGACCCAGACATATTTGCAGTTCATACCACGTTTGCTTCCATCAGGTTCCGCGAGTCCGCCGAACCGGGGACGCACACTTTGTTGCAGATTTCCTTCAGCTATCCACTGCAAAAGAGTATCGCACTCGTATCAATTGCAGGTAGGCATGACAAATCTGGTTTCCTACATGAATCTGCATTACAAGTTCCAATTCCAATTTTCTTCTTAAAAAAATTTGTCATGCGACTTGTACTAGTACGATACTTTTGCAACGCATATCAGCTCCGCCGGCGTCAGCTTTCCGTCGCCATCGCCGTGCTCCGCGTCCGTCTTTTCGAGATCGCACTCCTCGTCCAGCTATGCAGTGCAAATATCTCGATCTGGGTCTGAATCTGGAAAGAGGCAGGGTTTGCTATACACATACTGCATGACCCGCGACGATTGTCATGTATGCACTAGCATCACAGATTTGTTTCGTGAGGGCCTCGTGATGCTTCTCCCGCATGAGAAATGCCTTTTCAAATGCCTTTTCGCGTAGCAAAAACAAAGTAGTAGATTCCCCTTGCTGCTAGTGCAATGCAGATTTTTTTAGAATCGAACGACAGCATTACAAGGTACGTCCTTCCAGAGCCAGACATAGATGTTTGCATCTGATACCACCTCGTGCTTTTCGATGTGACCATTTCCGTCCACGTCCATGGAGTCAAAAAAATCATCGGGCGTGATCTCTGCAGGCGGCTTGTAGCCCGCGAAAAACACCGTCCGCACCTTCTCCGTGCAGCAGTGGCAGATGCCGTGCACCACGGCTTCCTCGAGATGCTCCAGCTCCGGCGAACCCACCACGCAGATGGTTTTGCACACTGTGTGCAGTTCCCAGGGCGTGAGCTTGTCGTCGCTGTCGCCTTGTTTGTATCAAATAGAAATGCGTCTGGTTCTGGATTAAAGCACGCGAGGACCTCCCATGCTGAGTCTTGCATGACAGAGCAATGCTTTGTACGGCGTGAACGCATCACAAATCCTCCGGCTGTTAGCGCGATTTCTTTTTCTACCGTGTTTGGCATGACAAACTCTCTCCCAGCATGACAGAAAAAGTGGTCACTCCTATGCGTGCTGCATCACAGATCTTCTTGTCCTTCAATTCTCGCATCACAAATCCAGATCCCAACATATTTGCAATGCATAGTTTGTCGGCCAGGCCGATTTCACACTTTTCGTGCACCTCATTCGTGTTGATCTGACCGTCTCCGTCATATGCGAGCGCACAACTACCCCTCCACCTCATTTGTATGGCAAAAACAGCACTACAAGCGTCGGCAAGCATGCAGGTTTTGCATGACAAAATCACGACCCAGGAAGATTGTAGTGCTGTTTGAGCTTGTTCCAGAACTTGTCATGCGAAAAGTGCGAAGAGGTATTAAAGGGTGGATTTGGTATTTTGCATGACAAATCCGGAGGAAGGGAGTTCTGTACTCTCATACGTCGGTATCCATAGCCATGTACTCGGCCATCTCGTCCACCATAGCTTGCAAAGTATCATGTGCAAAAGTACTATGGCACTCGTAGTATTAATTGCAGTCATGCATTACAAATTTTTTTCTGAAGCTAAATCCGCATTACAAATTTCATTTCTCATGCTGAGGAAATTTGTAATGCATTTATACAACGAGTACGATACTTTTGCAATGGATATAGTGCCGCGACCGCTGTTTTCACCTTCTGCACGTTTTCGTCGCTGGCGTATGGATGTGTCAGAGTTGAAATCGACAAAGTTGAAATAATTTGTCATGCATAAAATGGATGCGAGTTGGAACCCAGTTTCCAAGTGGAGCATGACAAATCTAGGTGGTCCCTAAATCCAGTTTGTCATGCTCTTTAGGCAAAGAAGAGCGATTTTCTCATGCTACTTTAGCAGCTCGAGCTGTAACCCCAAACAGGCTTACAATCGGCCCCACTTGCCTGCTCTGCAACGCACGTGCCTCGGGTCATGCATTTTATGCATTACAAATTATTTCAACTTTGACGATTTCAAACCTGACGCTTCCATATGGCGGGCTGCATCAGTACCTGCAAGTCCACGTATATCCAAAGCAAAAAGTGTTACAGTTGGGCAATCAGCTACACAAATTTGTTCTGCCTGACAGAGGAAACTTGCAATGCAGAGATCATAAGGAAATAAAACACGCATGAAAAAAGGATGTCTATGCATATCTGGCATGACAGATCACGTCTGTCTTGCTTGGGCTGCAACACGATGTGCAACTGTAACGCTTTTTTCTCGCGATAACGTAGGCGGGCTGCAGGTCTTTATCCATTTCTTGCACCTCGTCCGCGACCTCCACGCCGGCGGCCGTCAGGCCCGAGGACACGGCGACCCAGATTTTTGACCAGTCCTCCGCCTCCGCCTCCTCCTCTTCCGCCGCGGAGACGCCGAACAAAGCCAGCACTTTGCTCCGCACCGCCCCTGGATCGTCGCCCCCCGCGGCGATGGCAGCGGTCATTTGCGCAGTCGTCACCGGAGCAGGCGCTTTGCCGGGCGGACCGTGGATCCGGACGGTGTGGTCGGCTTCATCGTCCCTGTGATGTTCAAAAATCATAGCCAGTAGTTGTACAACAAGTTCAACATTCTAAAAGCTTCGGTGTAGGACCTGCAAGGGGGATCTATCATTTTTTTCATTTTTCCCTTCCATACACTGTGAAACTTTTTCGCACAAGATGACCCACGTATAATACCCTACCCATAGTACAAAGGATGAAAAGCCAAATTTATTATACTCTGCGTCGTCGCTCTCATCTTCGTCATCCGTCCCCTTTCCCTCTCCTTTTGATGGTGCAGCACCTTCTCGCTTTGTTCCCGCGATCTCGAGGACGCTGGCGGTTGATTTCTTGGAGGTAGTCGTGATCTCGGCGTCTAGGTGAACAAGATCTGGGTCAGCACTATTCGCCCCTCCCTCATGCACGTCCACCTGCATGGCGCGGAGGTTAAACAGCGCATCGTCGCTCTGCGCTAGGAGGAGCAAACCCAAACGTGTCGCGGCCTTTTGCAGCAGAAGAGGATGATGACCTCTGCTTGAAGTAGACATTGCCGTACAATGACTCCCGGTGGACGACCGTCCTCTCATTCCGCCGGACGCTGATGTGCAGTCGTGTTTCGAAGATGTAGTTGGGATTAAGCTGGAAGACGTGGACGAGCCAGGTCGGTTCCGTTTACGCACATGAATTTTCCTATCTCCTCGTTCACCTCGTCGAGGGTTTGTTTCTTCTATGTTGGTTTATGGTTTATTTGGTCTTGTTATACATGCCGATGAAATACGTAAAACCATCGATCCGATGATATCGTTGACCTCGACCGATGGAAATCGCTCCCAAAGAAATCACTCGTGATAAACTTTTAAGTACTCTCACCAAAACAGGCTGCTGCTCTCATCCGATCCTCTCTGTCCGATCTCTCATCTCAAGCGGTCTGGCATATTTTCAATGCGACGAGCACGAGGAGGTGGCGAGTGATGATCATACGAGGTCGTTTGTAATTTGTTTCTTGATTCAACGCAGCTTCGTCTACTGTCATGACGAAGAGAGACGATTACAATTGCATGTCAAACAAATAATCCCCACGAGGAAGCAGTACCACTGCGCTTAGTTCTCGGATAGTCGACCACCTACATCGTCGACCACCTACTGGAAAAATTTTGCAAAAAGAACAACTATCTTGAAAAAACATGTACAACCAAGCTGCCCTGATACCAAGCTCAGTTGGGCTGGAGGCGCGATTGAAATGTTGTTTTCCCGTGTGAAACAACTAAAAGCATTACTACAACTTCGTTTCATCCTACAGCGCAGTTATTTTGCGTAAACCTTAGTACCTCCTAGATTCTAGGAAGTATCTCTTACCTAATAATAAATACTTCTAAGAAGTATTTATTACTAGGTAATCTCCTGCAACAGGTGCATTGCTTCGTCTGCTATTGTCATTTTATCACTTTTCCTGTCTTCCTGTTTTTTCTCCGCCGCCGCCACTTTCGCCGCTTGCTTTGCCGTTCCCCTCAATCTCGGCCTTTTCGTCGTTGTTGCTGCAGCACTGAGCGCCGCTGCTGCGGCTATTTCCGTGCTCGCGGCTTCTATGATATCGTTTCCGGGTCTCGTTGTTAGGGGAATTGTGTCCGTCGTCGTTGGTATTGTTGATTTTTCATACTGTTGCTGTTCTACTTCTACTTTCATCTCCGGCGGCCTGCTAGAAGTACTTCTACCCGCGCCCCGCAAGTTTCCTCTTTTCAAATTCCCGACAAAGTTATCTAATAACTCCAAACTGCTTTCCTGTTTGATTTCGTTCGCCAGCATCGTGTCTATGTCTGCCTCGTCCGAGGCATATGCATTGCAAAAGTATCGTACTCGTAGTAATCTATTCCAATACAAATTGTTAGCTCAGCACGACAAAAGGAATTCGTCATGCGGATTCAGCTTCAGAAAGAGATTTGTGATGCATAAACGCAATTACTACATAGTACGATACTTTTGCACAGGATAATGCATACCCAGCGGTGCCGTTGTCGTTTTTACCCTGCCTTTCCTGCTCAATCTCCTCGGCCAGGAGATTCAACTTCATCCGTTTTCCCTCCAACGTCTTCAACTCAAATTGCTCCGTGTCGTTCAGCGCCAGCAGTGAACCGGCATATCCTGTGGAAAAACGTCCCCGCCCCAGAGTTGTCATGCAGAGTTGCAATGGCACGAACATTTGTGATGCGCATCCTCACGACAAGCATTTTCAGTTGTGTTTTGGAATTTGTGATGCTGTGAGCAGGATGATGAGACGGATTTGTAATGCGGCTGTCCTTACTGACCTGCACTAGTACCCTACACACTGCAACTTGTCATGCGTGATTCCCAAAACGTGTGGATTTGTGTTGCAGGATTTCCATCTTGTTCTTGACTCTGGGGTGGGGACGTTTTTACACAGGATACGGCGAACTCGATCTTCATCAACAGGTCCCGCTCCCGCTTCTCATCGACATGCATGCAGCACTGCGCTTCGCACTCCGACTGCGACCGTTTCACGTCTTTTTCCCGGGTGGCGTTCACTTTTTTCGACAACTCTTCGCTGACCGCGGCAAAATCTTCGGGCTGGAAAAATTCTTGTTTGTCGCTCATAAACCCGTTGGAAGAGGAAACTTCGCACACCGCCGTATCGGATTTCACGATCGAGCGGTTGTCTTCGCAGCCGTACTCCCCGAACTCCCCGACTATTTCCGTGCACAGAAACGTCGTCCGGTCCTCCTTCCCATTAATCACTTCGGAGAGGGAAAAATCGTCCTTGCCGTCGCCGATAATCACCGGGGAGTCGTAATACTCGTCATCCGTTGGGTCCTTGTATGCATTGCAAAAGCATCGTACTAGTATAAATGCATTACAAATTTCGATTTCCTCAGCATGAAAAATAAAATTTGTAATGCGGATTTACGTTGAGAGTGAGATTTGTAATGCATGAATGCGATTACTACGAGTACGATACTTTTGCACAGGATACCTTGTCCGCTTCTCGCTTATCGATCGCAGACCAGTCCAGGTTGGGCGCGCTGTTGAATAAATTTTTTTTTCATCGAAATTTTGCATGACAAAGACATAAACGTATGCTATTTCTGCATGGCAAATTTCTATACCCCTCCACAATCGTCGGCTTGATGTCCTCCGTCCCAGCGGTATTATCGAATGTAAAAGTGTCTGGGTCTGGAAGAGTACAAACTTGTGATGCGCATTTCAGAACACAAAAAAATACTTCATGCAGAGGCAGCAAAAGTTCCCGCTTTCTGTCACCAAAGTCAAGATTTGTCATGCGGATTCGGCATTGCGGAAGCTTCGCGAAACCTGTGATGCTAGAGCTTCCATGCCAGACCTTCTGTGTCATGCGGAAACAGCATGACTCTTCCAGACCCAGACATTTTTACACTTGATAGGTATACCCGACCGGCAATGTCACCAGCTGCACTTTCTCCTCGTCGTTCAATTCCCGGATTTTTGATTTCACGTAATGCCACTGCCAGTTTGACGAAGTTGTACTTTCGCTTTCCGCTGCAGGATCATTATCCTTGTCTAATATTTCCTTGTTCATCTTCTCCGCGGCCGCAGTTGTTCTGGCTTGTTCAGCTAGTTCCTCTTCCCTCGCCGCATCTACGTCGTACTTCCTATACCGGTGGCACAAAGTGGTTTTGAAAACTTCGTTCGGTTTCTCCAAATTTCCGTCCCGATCCCCGGTGGTCATGAGGTTTGCGGTTTCTTTGACGAAAGAGTCTGGTAGTTGTTCCGGCAAGTGCGCGGCCGCTGCGAATTTCTCTCTCAAGTCTTTGAGGCAGATTTCCGATAAAACGCCACACTCGTATTGTATTTTGTCATGTTGTTTTGGTAAAACAGTTTGTGAAGAAGAAGATGCTGATCCTGTGTTTTCTATGACCTCCTGTCCGACAATTCTACAGCAACACGGGTACATCTCCGCATTCAACGGCACCTCCTCCTCGCTTTTTGAGAACGGATTCGCGCTGTTCATGAAGATTTTACTGTCTAATGGGACCGTTGGAGGACCACCGTCGGTTTTACCTTCTGTTGCTGCTGCGGGTCGCGAAGAACCACCTGCGTCGGTTTTTGTTGCTTTTCCGTTGGGAGAAGGGGAAGAAGAAGAGGATGCTCCAGCACCTCCTGTTTTATCTGTACTATCTGGGTCTTGCTGTTCATCTTCTATCTCGGAAATCTTTTTCCCGTCCTTTCCCACCGTATTTAGCTGCTTCAGCCGCTGCAGTCTCTTTCTCCCCTCCGGTGTTTTGAAGGACAGTGCCCTCGTGTTCCCCCGGATGTATTTCCCGTCGGATTTGTGGTACTCGCAGACAGAAGGCTCGAGGTGATCATGGTGCTTGTTTCCCTGCAGCTCTTTTGAAGATGTTGGTTTCGCTTTATTCGTCGTTTCGCTATGATTTTTCTCCTCATCTTCCAAGCACCCACCTTCCACAAGCGAGACGCACAGGTTGACTGTCAAATCCGCTGGGCAACAACAGGGGTATTCCAGCGGTGGCGCTATGTCGTTGTGGATGATTTCGTTCAAATAAATTTCCTCGATCTCTTGCTCGGCGGTGCTCGTTGTTTTCGAGGGTAGTTCTTTCGCGTTATTATTTGAAGAACTGTTGTCCTTTGTGCCAGCACCCGCTTGTTCTTTCTTTTTTCCCTTGTCTGCTATTGGTCCGATCTTCCGTTTGAAGTTGTGCCTATTCTCGAATTATCAAATGTAAAAATGTCTGGGTCTGGAAAGTTGGAACTTGTGATGCTAACTTTGGCGCTAAAAAAATCTGAATTGCATGACCAGCAAGAGGAGCCACATTTGTGCTACGCGAGGAGGGCATTTGTCATGCGGATAGGGCATCAGGAAGCTTTCCAAAAATCTGTGATGCTGGGTCATGCATTACAAGCATCATGGGTCATGCCAGACAAGCATGACAAGCCTTCCATTCTTCCAGACCCAGACATTTTTACACTTGATACGAGTTCGTTCGGATCGTCGTTGGCGTAAAACGCGCGTTGCTATCAACTGCAAATATGTCTGGGTCTGGACGAGTGCCAGACTTGTCATGCAGGTCTTCCATGACCCATAAAATCTCACAAGTAGGACATAGCATGACAGACTCTTTGACGAGAGTTCTATCATGCCTGTCCTGCATGAGAAACCGCCTCTCGGTTTTTAGGTCAAAAGTGTTAAACAGCATTTGGTAATCATGCAACACAGATTTTTGCATGATTCAGTGTTGGCATGACAAGTGGCAGAGTTCCAGAGCCAGACATATTTGCAATGCTTAGTTGCTGGACGAAGGCTTCTGGTGGAACAAGTGCATCATGATCTTCGAAGGGATCTTCACTGTGATCATCTTCTACTTCTCGGGGGTAGTTGGAATCCTCGTCCGGCGTGTAGGATGCACCGCTGGAGTAGTCCTCTTCATCTTCTTCTACTTCGTAGTGTCGCTGAGTTAGGACGACACCAGTATCGACGTCGTCTACACCCTCGTAGAAGTCCTCGCCGAGGTCCTCAACTCCTTCGTCTACAAGGACCTGCTCATTCCCGTCGACAGCATCGCTATGAGCCCCGCTTTGCTCTTCAAACCGGGCGAAAACCGAGGACACGAATAGCACCGCTGTTATCTGCAGGAGTTTTGCTGCTCGGCTGTTGTTTGTTCTAGGGGAAAACCGTCGTAGCAGGAAGAAAAACGAGGACAGAAACTGCGTTTGGAAAAACTGCCGCGCCATGGTGATACTTACCCTGGACGTCGAATGAAGAAACTTGGTTGCAGTCCGTCGTCTGCTCGCTATTCACTATTTTACAGTTCTTTACTTCCGTATACTGTACCTATCATTTTCTCCGTGAACAACAATGGTGGTGGTGTGCAGCCCGACTTGTTCTCTTTGATGAAATTTATTAGAGCGATCACGATTTCCTCTCGCTCTCCAGATAAGAAGAAGTCCGCGCTTATTCTGTTTCGCACCTGCAACGTCAGCTCTCCAGAAACGAAAGCCAAAACCTCAACTCAACTTTTCATACAAAACACGAGTACAACTACATGGGTCCTCTCTCACAACGATACAAGACGAGGTGGAGCACAATGACTTTGCATTTTCATTTAGGACGAAGACGATGACGATTTTTCCATCCACACGCGCAGGCAGCAGGAGCGATTCGCTTTTGCGCTAGGCAACTATTTTCCGGGAGTAAAAGATAATTCAGTAGACGAACAAAGTAGTGTCCTCGCGTTGTGCTTGTTATCCTTTCCTCAAACCATTTTCGTCCTTGCGTCACCATCGCGTTCGCGGCATTGTTCAATGAGATCAGTTGACTACTTTGTATGTTGTACTGTAAACGCAAAAATTTGATTTGAAGTCTGAGGGACCATACACGACTACTCGTAAATAAAATGGGCTACGTTGATAAGCTGTCGATGAAAACTTCTCGAATATTAAAAGTTGTGTGACACTCAACTAATTTCAGGAGATTCCATGTTATGCTATGAATGAAATAAAAGCGTGGCGACAGGCTGGGAAGCGCTGCGCGCAAAACGTACGGTGTGAGAAACGACGGACAAGAATGTACCGTCGGATAATGTATGCGTAGAAGGTAGTGCAAAATACAGAACGAATGAAACTACCATGTATTTCAGAGATTCGTACAAGTGGATGCGTGTACACACGCTTGTTTCGAAATTTAGAAAAAAAACAAATCGCTCGAAAAATGCGGACTAAAAACTTAACCAAACAATCCGCCAAAGAACCCAGTATCATCCTCGACCGGTGGCGGCGCGGCTCTCACGGCCTTTCCCTTCCCCTTCGGCGGTCCCATCATCTTCCCCTTCCCCTTCGCAGAAACATTTTGCCCTCTCGCTGCCGCTACCGCAGCCCTGGCTGCAATTTGGCTGCTCCCCTCGGATTTTAAAATCTTTGTGGGCATCACCGGCGCCGTGGTAGCAGCAGCTGTTCTGCTGCTGCGAACGGACTTTCGCAGGTTTGTATCGGGCAGGGTAGAGGCGGTTACTGGCACAGTTGTCTTCTTCGCCGAGTTTGCTGCAGCAGCAATGACAGCAGCTTCTTTTGATTCGGAACCCCTCACGAAGGTCTCGGTGGACGATTTTCGGAAAATTTTTCGCTGGTCTTGCTGTTCGGGCCCTCGTGAAGCGCTCTTTCGTGCCGGTGCGGAAGCTATCAAATGTAAAAATGTCTGGGTCTGGAAGGATGTAACTTGTGATGCTGCGTCTGCATTATCCTAAAATCTGTATTGCATGAACAGCAAAAGAGGTCTGGTTTTGGCCACGGCGAGAGGGCATTTCTCATGCGGTATAGGCATCAGAAAGCCCTCACAAGATCTGTGATGCTAGGGCATTCATCGCAGACATCAGGAGTCATGCAAAATGTGCATGACAAACCTTGCATCCTTCCAGACCCAGACATTTTTGCATTTGATAGAAGCAGCAGCTTCTCGAGGAGACCCGTCCACGACGATTTCAATGTCGTCGTTGTCATTCGGTTCTGGATATCAACTGTAAAAATGTCTGGGTCTGGAAGAATGCAACTTGTGATGCTGTGTTTCGATGCCTAAAAAATTTGTGTTGCATGAGCAGCAAACAGAGTCTAATTTTTGCTACGCGGAGAGGGCATTTGTCATGCGGAATGGGCATCAAGAATCCCTCAAAAAACCTGTGACGCTGGGGCATGCATTACAGGCATCGTGGGTCATGAGAAATATGCATGACAAATCTTGCATTCTTCCAGACCCAGACATTTTTGCAATCCATATCGGTTCTGGAACAACAGGTTGTTCCTGCTTCTTCACAGATTTCCGCGACAGAGACTTCCTCCCTTCTGGCGGATTTATTCCCGCCACATTGGACACCACCGCCGCACTACTAGTCGCGGGCACCGACGGCGCTTTTCGCGTCAAAGTCGGGCTGGGCGACCGGGGCGCTTTGACAATCTGGTTCTCCACGTGGGCAGCTTTGTTGAACATCGCCATCCGCTCCTTCAACGTCAAAGCGTGATCTAAAGAAGAGCTCTGCGTGATGACATCGGCGTCGGTTTTCTTACTCTTCCTGGTACTAGAGGTGGAAGCTCTTTCTTGCGTAGCGTTTGCCGCCACCGCGTTTGCTGCTTGCGCGGACTCGCCCCTTGACCCTATCAACTGTAAAAATGTCTGGGTCTGGAAGGTTGTGAGATTTCTCATGCTCATTTTGCATGATCCATGATGCCTGTGATGCATGCCCCAGCATCACAGATTTTGTGAGCGCTTCCTGATGCCTATACCGCATGAGAAATGCCCCCTCTGCGTGGCAAAAACTGAACTCCTCTTGCTGCTCACGCAATACAGATTTTTGTAGAATCCAAAGGCCGCATCACAATTTGCATCCTTCCAGACCCAGACATTTTTACATTTGATAGACCCCGCGGTGAACCCAAACCTCCGACCTGCAGAGAATCGCTGCGTCTCCGCGGCTGGCTGCGCAGGAATTTGCTCTTTCTCTTGCTTCCCAGTCGTACTACCCTGGCTCATCCTGCGAACGATCCCGTCCGACTTACTGACCCGTCTCTGCGGCGGCGGGGATGTCGTGCTGGATCTCTTCTTCGCAGGAGGTGCAGTGTATGCATTGCAAATATAATGTCTGGGTCTGGAAATAAGAACTTGTAATGCTAATTTGCGAATGGTGGGCGCACTGTAATATGCAGCCCAGCATGACAAGTTTTTCGTGCTGCTGTGTGTTTCGTTTTTCGCATGACAAGCTGCGTTTTTGCATGACAGGCAAGAGGCCCTTTTCCTGCTCACGCATCACAGATTTGAGAGTCATGCCAGACAAGCATGACAAACTTGCACTCTTGCAGACCCAGACATATTTGCATTTCATACAGTGCTGGCGGATAGTTGTACCATGTTACTCGTGTTCACATTCGCACCCATGCCCGCTCTGTCCATCAACTTCCGCTCCCCAGAACTCGACTTGCGAACTTGCGCCGCAACCCCCTCTTTATCCTCGGTCGTCGCCTTCAAGAACTTCGGCACTACGTTATTCCCAGCAACTTCCGGCTGCGGGCTCACGTTTTTATCCAAAACATCGCCTCTCGCCATGGATTTCCGCACGTTTTCCTTGATCTGCACGGCGTTTAAAGGGATGCCGTCGGATAGGTCAACGACAATACCCTTTTCCTTCTTCTTGGACAATTTGCTCGATTTAGCCGCGACCACCTGCTTCACCGCGGATTTCAGCAATTGTAGCGGCGGCCGTTTGAATTTAGGCTGGAAATCTTTCTCCACATCGACCCGTGGCATGTTGTCAGTGTGCGCGGAATATGAAATGCAAATATGTCTGGGTCTGGAAGAATGCGACATTTGTCATGCTAGTCTGGCATGTTGACACTAAGCTCTGTATTGCGTCGCTACGAAGAGCTCCTCTTTTGTGTCATGCAAAGTGGCTGCTTCTCATGCCGAATACGCAACACAGAGCTGCGGAGAAATCTGTCATGTTTGGCGGTGCATTACAGTGTGCTTATTTTTGACTGACATGCATCACAAGTTTCCGGACCCAGACATAGTTGCAGTTGATACGGAACCGGGTAGGAGTGTTTCTCCGTTGTCGAGGGAAGTGCGGATTTTCTCCAGCAAGTCCTCTTTCTTCGGGCGCTTGTAAACACCAGAAAGGGGCTCGTCGAGGACTGGGGTTTTCTTCTTTTCCATTTCTGATTGCCGTTCCTGTTTCCCTTCCAAGCTGTCCGCGATTTGCTGCTGCCGTTTCTTTTCCTTTTCCGACAGGGATTTGCGGTCCTTTTTCGAAGAAGATTCACGCTTCTTCTCACCAGAATCTCCCGATGTACTCGGCATGTCCTTGAACAAGACCGAGGTCGATTTGTATCCTGAGTAAAAACGTACCCACACCAGAGTCAAGTTGGGGAATCAGCTAGACAAATCCACAAGCTTTGGCTGTTTTGCATGACAAATTTGGATTCGTAGTGTAGTGCTGCTTGAGCTAGCTCGGCAGCATCACAGATCTAGCATACCATGCTGATTGGAGCATGACAAGTTGCAAAACACGATTGGAAAATGCTTCTCATGGGGCTCCGCATGAGAAACATTTTCAGCATGCAGATTTGCATTACAACTCTGGTGTGGGTACGTTTTTACTGAGGATAATTTGGATTTTTTCTTCACCAAAATCCCTGACGGAACCACACTCAAATCTTGCCCCATCTGCTCCTTCGTCAACCCGAGTCTTACCCTCGCGGTTTGCAAATCCCCGTTGAAAACCAATTCCAGTAATTCACGTAAGAACAAATAAACCCGTTTGTGCCGAGCATGTAAAAACAACAACGATTTCCCGACCATCACGTCCTTCATCGGTTTGATCCGGCTCGGCGCGTTCACCATGAGGTGATTCGCCACCGTCGGATCGTCAATCGCCGTGGACTCGTCGGATTCTTCGGAGGAGGAGGATTCGTCGGGGAATTCTGACGCGAAACTGTTCAGAAACTCCTTCCGGTGGTCTTTTAAAATCCGTTTCAACACCAGGTTCAACAGCAATTCCAAAAACTCCAACACGTTCGAACTGAACGCCTGCTGACCCGACGGTATATCGTTGATGCCAGTAGAACCACGAGATCCTTGACCAAGATTCAAACCGCCTGACGCTCGGTTCGAAGCTCCGATTTGATGCAGCACGTGTCCGTGGTGGGGTGAGTTGTTTTCCGTGTTTAAGAGCAGAAACCGCTGCTTGTACTCCAGAGCGTTCATCTCCAACAGAGACGACCGATTCGAGCTCTTCGACCCGGATCTCGCCTGCCCGGAAGAAGAGTTTTGCTTCTTTTTCAACTGCATCAGCTCCTGCATGAAAGCATTGCATAAGGGTTCATGCGGTAACACCCATTCGAACCCATGCGACAGTAATTGGTACAAATGGGTCGACTTCGTCGCGAGGAGTTGTTGCGCCAAGTATTTGTTGTCCACAATCTTCGACCAAGTCGCCTGATCCGGCAGCGCTTTACTCCCCGCCAAGCTGTTGATCCGCAAGCACCGGACGAACTTCGTTTTCCCGGCCACAGAGGTATCAATCGTGTTCAGCATGTCCTGGATTTTCTTCCGATAACACGATGCGAACGAACGGGTGTGCAAGGTCGGGTAGTTTTGCTGTTGTTCCTCCTCCGACAATTTACCACGCAAATTATTCGCGTTATTCGCACCGATCTTCAACACAGATTCCGCATCCTCGCCAGCTAACACAACCCGGACCATCGGTAAGCTCGACCCCTTCAGCAAATTCTCCCCGTTTAACGAAATAGACCGTTCGTTCCGCGACACCCAGTTGGTGAAGTCGTACTCGACGCGCGATTATCCATTGCAAATATGTCTGGGTCTGGCATGCTGCAACTTGTCATGGTAAATCTAAATCATACAAAAATCTGTGTTGCGTGGTCGCCAAAAGTTTCCCACTTTTGCCACAGGTTCTTAGAGGCAGTTTCTCATGCAGGATCGGCATGCCAGGCCTCATGGGTCATGGAAAACCTGCAAGACAAGTCTTGCCCTCTTCCAGAGACCCAGACATTTTTACACTTGATAGGGATTCCGTGTAGTGGATGAGTTGGAAGGAAACCACACGCCCGCCAGATTTGGATTTCGAAGAAATATCCAATCTTTTCTTCGCGGCAACAGTCTGGAAGGTTTTATTCGACGTTGTAGTAGGTTGTGCACTGGAAGTAGCACCGCCAGCGGCTCCCGCCTCGGTCGTATTGCTGCTGTTCAACCCGCTAGTTTCTAAAATCAGCTCCTCGTGAAATTTCGAATCCAAATTCCCCCCGGTTCTCGCCGTCTGCCGGTGCTCCTTTCCCTTCTCGGAGTTTTCGTGGAGAAAGTTGTCGAGAATGTTGATGATCAGGTTCATGTTATCCAGCAACCCAATCCGCTCCTCCTTACTCGGGCCCAGATCCGCGAGAATGTGTCCGGCGTGTTGGTGTTGACCAGTCTTATCCTTCGACATTGTCACCGCAGAGGATGAATTATCGGCGGACACGCCGGAGAAGTGGAGTTTCACCCCCTCTTTCCGGTACAAGGCTTGCTGCATCACGAGGTTTTCCTCGAACAAACCCTGGAACTTCTCGAACGCGTAGTTCTTGAAAAATTGCGTCCAGGAATCATTCAATTCGAAAGGTTCGACAACGTCGGAGAGACCATCGATGACAGACACAACCGACTTGCAGTTTTGGGTTAAAAAGGGCAAAGAGTTGCTGTTGTCCGAAATTTGCCCTTCCTCAATCTGCTTCCGGACCAAAGCCCTGGCGTGCATCAAACAACCCGGTCGGGCTTGACACGGGATAATCGCCGGGGAGTCGATCGGAAAATTGCTGGAATTAGCACTCGTCAAATTCTGTTGCCCGAACTGCTCGACTAACTCCAAGAACATCGGCGCGATTTTGTCGGAAAGACCCCGGTTGATCGAGCGGAGGATCACCCGGTAATACAAACGGTTGTACAACACCCGGACAAACCGCCGGAGTTCCAGTTTCAGAAAGGACAGTGAAGTTTTCCCGGCTAAATCCAGACTAGCCGGGTCGATGTCGGTGGCAAACCGGTTTTCGTCCAGGAAGCGACCGGTCTGGTTCGGATTGTTCACATTTTTACTTGTACCGTCCGCATTTGCAGCTGCTGGATTCGCCCCTTTGTACATCGAATTCCGCTGCAAAACCCCCTCCGGGACTTTCACCTTCGTCATGGTCAGAAACGCGATCAAATCGTCGGATTCCACCCCCAGATATTTCGCCGCGTCCTTGGCCCGCTGTTGGCTCGACTTCGTCAAAGTTGGAACTTCATTGTCGTGCGGTTCTTTCCCGGACTCTGGCGTGATCGGCGCATTGACCGCGGATTCTTGGCGGTTGGTGAATTCGATTTTGGACAAAATCGCGATTGCGGCGAGAATCGACGCAATTTGCGCAACGTTTTTGTCCGACACGTCCAGCATTTCAAACGCCTTGCGGAGCGATGGGTTTGCGAAAGTGATGTTCGCGTCGATGAAGGGTTGCTTCGTTTCGTTTTCATAAGTGAATTTTTGCTGCTGTTTGGACTGGTCCTCGCCGTCTTTGCTTGCTTTTTTCGTATTTCCGGGTTTCACCATCTGGAACCCGGGTAAACCGACGACGTCCTCGATAATGTCCTCCGTTTTGCCGAATTTGGAACTGTCGTCTTGCCCCGTCATCCCCCCCTGATCCACGTAGCTGTCCCGAATGCTCGCTATCAAATGTAAAGATGTCTGGGTCTGGAAGAATGCAACTTGTGATGCTAACTTTGGACTCTAAAAAAATCTGTATTGCATGACCAGCAAGAGGCGCCCAGTTTGTGCTACGCGGGGAGGGCATTTGTCATGCGGGATAGGCATCAGGAGCGCCTCTAGAAATATGTAATGCTAGATCATGCATTACAGACATCCTGAGTCATGCAAAATATGCATGACAAACCTGGCAACCTTCCAGACCCAGACATTTTTACATTTGATACTCGCTCGCGTCGGCGCATATCTTCCGTCGTTCGGGAAACACAACGCGTCGAAGATCCGGTATTCCGTGCACTGCTTTGTGTGGCACGGGCCGAGGGACGGTTCGATCAACAAGCCGAGGCAGTGGTCGTTGTGGTCAAAAACCAGCTCCGTCATGTGGGGGAACGCCATGCGGGAATTCGGCAGTTGCGCGAACTCGCGCAGAATGTAGCACCCGACGCGAAATTTATCGGCGAGCGGGATTCTCGGACGGAGGTGGTTTTTCAAAAAGGAATTTTCTTTCAGGATTTTGTCGTAAACAACCGTTTGGAGCTGAAATTCATCCGACTTCTTCAGCAAATTTGTGATCAAACTGTGGCCGATGACGCGTTTGCTATCTCCGAGACAGACAAAGCAGTTATCACTGTCCGTCAACTTCCGGAGAGACCGAGCGCCTAATTCCCCGCCGAGAGTAGCTCTGGCCAAGAAAGCCTGGTTCCCGCCCGGCTTATTAATTCCGAGTTGCTTCAAATTTTGCTGCTGCAACTCCACATGGTCGACATCCTGCCCGAGGAGAATTTTGATCCCCTCCTCGCAGTTCTGCTCATCCAGGACCAGTAAATGGTTGTCCCGGAGATTCCCGAGGAACGCCCACCCAAGCTCATCGTCCAGGCGGTCTTTGAGAAAAGCGATCGCGTTCTGGTCGTTCAGCTGGTCTTGCGGAAGGTCGGAAATGGAGTCCTTCCGTTGGAGGAGATTGAAAGGGAGGGCGGATTGACCGCTTTTGGAAGATTTACTTGTGGGGGCCATTTTTTTTTTTGCGTGATGGTGATCGTTTGTTGAGTTGTGCCGTTAAATATATTTGAATTGGAAAAACAATTTATGTGGTGGGCTACACCTAAACTTTCAATAGACTTGTTGTCAAGCGCTAGTGCAATTCGCAATATCGTCGAGAGACTTTTTGCGTTGGAGAGACCTGTAAGTTCTTGTTGTAATAGACTGGATGCTAATATTTAAAATGCACATCATCCTTTCTGTGACTGCTTACATTCATGGTGGACGACAAAACGGCACATCGTGGACGACGAGCTACTGGTACAGACCGAAGTCTTGTTTCAAGAACGATTTGTACGAAACAGATTTTTGAATTCTGCACGACAAAACCGAAACGGTTTTTTTGCAAAGGCAAGACCGATGGAATCAGAATGAAAGGCTGTCGTGGTATTTGTGCATAATTACTCCACTGCAAATCAGCTGGTAGTACCGAAGCGTGTTTTTTTCTGACCGACGTTGAGACAAAACCGGTGGCAAAACCACTTAAAAAGCAACAGGCAGCCACCACTTTCTTCGCAGCTACTAATCAACATGCGAAAGAGATGTGTTCAAAATTCTAAACTTGCACAGTGGATGTGGTACTTAAATCCGAGCTGTTGAAGATGCATGTCATGACAAAGGAATGGGAAACATGTACCGGGCTTGCGGTTGTGCTGTTCTCATGAAGATGGTCTCTACTTTAATATCGTTGTACAACTCTCTTGCATGCAAGGGGACTGCTATTTGAAGAACGATCTTTCCTCGTGTGTATCTGCAAAATCGAAAAGCAATGCGGCGCAGGGGTACTGCTAGTATGGGAATGTATGAGGATTCCAGAAGAAAAATTTGAGCTACAAAATCAAATTAGAAACATGCTTATGCGCAAAACGCCAAAATGAAAATAGCTTGAATTTCTTTTACAAAAATGCGATGAGCTGTGTATTGGTACAAGCGCAAACTCGCTCTCCGTAGTAACTTTCAACAGACGCTGGGGAGTAAATGCTGCTGTGAGCGCGAAAGTTCGTAGAACTTACAGTGCAAAAATGACGTACGCCATGTGATATTGATGAAACTGATCAGTTCACATGATCCATCCTTTTTTTACAAAACCTGCGCCGCGTCCTCGAAGACGTCCCCATCCTTCTTGTAGCCGTACATTTTCTTGCAGGCGAAGGATTCTTTCCCCTCCCGCATGCACGCCTCCGCCAGGGTGTAAAACGGATCCTCCATGACATCCTGTTTTCGGAGGAGTTCACCGGAAGGCGACTTTGTCACGACTCCGAAATTTGCTTTCACCGGACTTTTGCTCGCCAGAGAGGTTGTAGCCAGCTCCTCCGGGCCGCAGGACTCCTCGTTGTCGCCATGTTTTGCGTTCGACGTTCCAGCACCTGCGTACAGGGTCCGGTGCCACAGGCCCTGCAGGTAGCTGATGGGGGAAGTTGATGTGAGCCACGTGTTGGCAAACGCGCTGTTCCCGTATGATCCGTGTGGAAGCCGAGGACCACTCCTTGTGTAGTCGATGTTTTGGCGCTATCAAATGCAAATATGTCTGGGTCTGGAAGAAGTCAGACATTTGTCATGCATTTTTTACATCTACAAAAACGTCTGGAATGCACACAGAGCATGACAAACTCTGCGGCAGCTTCTCCATGCCTATTCCGCATGACCAATGCCCTCTTCTAGAGACAAAAATTGGGCACCTTTTGCTGACTACGCAATACAGATTTTTGGCCTGTTCCAGATCCAGAATCCGCATCACAAGTTGCAGTTTTCCAGACCCAGATGACATATTTGCAATGCATAGGCGCTCATTGTTCGCGAAAAACTCGTCCGTGTCAGAGTAGAGCATGTGGTCATAGGCTTCGCGGCCTTTCAGAGTTCCAGACGTGTAATAGAGCGGCTTGGTCTGAAGATGTTCGGGACCACCAGCTGCGGCGTTTGCAGTTTGTACTTGCTCCGGAGATGATCCGTTGTACTCCTGGACCACTTCTCCCTGCGAAACTTCCAACGCAGAGGAGGGGGAATCGGACGGAGTAGGAGAAGCCCGGCTGGCGGAGACCACGATTCCTGCAGTCGAAATCTTCGCGGCCGTGGCGAGGAGCCGAGCGGCGCGGGTCGCTGCCGGGGCAGACGAGTGGGTGTTCATCACTCGGCGAGACGGGTGGTCCATGGTTGTGAAGAAAATTTGAATGTAGTGATGAAGAGTGATGCTGTCACGTGGCGGATTCCGATTTCGTTGTCTACTGCAATAGGTTTTTGTGGCGCAGAGCAGAAATTTACTTCTTCTTGTGGCGTCTGTTTTATGTAGCTCTCGTGGTGGTAGAGCTTATGCTGAGTTGTTGGGGCTTACTACTAAAACAGGTAAAGTTCTATTTGCGATCGGATAGAACCTTCTTCAACTTCTCCTGCACATCAAATACATGTCCCAGCCTCCGTTATTGTGCAGAAGTCGCTTCGGATGTTGATGAAGAGAGCGATGGATCCCCTATCGAGCATGAAGAACCCAACTGCCGCTACTCCACGGCCTGCAAAGAAGGTGTCGAGCGCAGTGCAGCGACTCTCTTTGTCGCGCGTAGTAGTGCGCTTACTTGATTGGACGTAACAGAGAGAAAGCACAGCCAGGCAGCGGCCCCGGCTGCGCACGGGAAGCGACTGGCCTGGCGGTAGCTCCGCTCGCCGGCGAGGGCCAAAAAAGCCCGCCCCGGCGCGGTAGCTGTTGGCCGGGGCCCTCGGCAAGACAGCCGCCGAGGACGCCGCCCCGGCTGGGTGTCAATATGCTAGCGGACCGCGGCGGGCCACGCAAGACCAGGGCGGCGGGGTCGCGGGCGGCGCAATATAAGCCGCCGGGCCAGCCGGCCCGAGAGAATCGGGCGCGCCCTTGCGGGCGGGGGCCGCGCGAAATAGGTGGAAGGCCGGCGGCGGGCCGCAAGGCGGCGCCCTCTCCCGGGCCCCTGCGGGGGGGGGGAAGCGCGGCGCGCTGGGAGCACAAAAGGAAGCCGGGCGGCCCAGGTTCATCCTTCCACGCCTTGGCCCCTTTCGCGGGCGCCCGCCTAGATCCTCAGCCCCGGGCTCTTCATCTCGCAGCTCTTTCTCCTTTTTCGCCGCCCCCTGCTGCTGCCCCAGTCGGCCGAGCGGCGTCCGCCGAATAGGCGCGCCCCCGCAATGGCGCCCGCGACTGCCGCGGGGGCCCCCTTTCACTAATACGCCCCGCCCCGAATCGCTGCCGCAGGTCCGAAGTGCCGCCGCTTGTCGGAATGTTGCCGCGCAAGTGTTGAAATGCTCCCGACCCTTTCGGAGAAGTTTCCGCACCTGGGCCGCGCCCCCTGTCCCACTGACCCCAAAAACCGCCGGCAACCCAAAGGGGCCAAGGCGGTCGGGGCCGCGACGCGCCGCCGGCGCCGCCATCCGCCGACCGGCCACAATCTCCACGCCCGGGAGGGGCGTTCCGCGCCAGCCCTCCGGCCAACTCGTCGCACACGAAGGCAGGCGCCTGCTTCGTTTTTCAGCCAGTTGGCCCCAGTAGAACGGCCCGCCACACTGCGGCCGGCCGCCCCGAAGGCGCGCGCTGCCGGGCGCGCTACGCCCTGAAAGAACGGGCGCGGCCGCGGGCCCGCCGCCTGCTATTCTTTGGAAAGGGCCCGGGGGGCTATGGATGCGGCCCCGGTAAGGCTCAAAAGATATTCGCCGAGCTCCATCCTGCGAAGGCGTTCCGCGTCCCCGTTTCGCAGGAGACACGCGCCCAGGGTAGTGCTCTCGTTGGCGGGGGAAAGCGCGCCACTGCGAGCGACTCCAAGACCCTGACCGGAGGCCCTGCCTCGCTGCCGGTGGCGACGGCTTTACGCGAAACGACGACCCCGCTGCCGCGCTAGAAGTCAGAACGAAGACGAAATCACGAACCAGTTCTTGAACGAAACGAAAACAGGACGACGCGCCGAACAGTATTTTCGAAAAACATTTTGCGCGGCAGATTCCGGTGCTGTCAGTGCTGCCTGGTGGACGAATTATAGTACAAGGATTTTCTTTTGCTTTGGTATCTTTACGTCTACACAAAGGCTTCGACTCAGAGTGAATTATACTTGTCGTTCGTTCCCAAAAAAATTAGTGTGCGCGATTGACTTTCGTACGGTGACGGAGACGGTAAATTCACATTTGCTCAAACCGAAATCATTAATTGTTGAACGACTACTAGTACTACGTCGCTTTGAGTTCCGGCGCGTTTAAGACACTGACATAAACTTGGATCATATTCTGCCTACTTACTTTGGTTGTCGTGAATCTACTCCTGCTGAAAAAAAATAGGCGCAACTGTCGGCTACACTCGAGGGTAGTGACTATCGTTCACGTTCCCTGTGGCGCCGGCGCATTATAGTTGTTAAAGTTTTTACGGTGAAATCAAGTGTTGAAGATTTTTACCCAGTGTTTGCCTAAGTGGTTCTCATCAATTGGTTTGGAAATAGCGTTTTTAAATTCGTCGTAACTTCGTCTGCTGTTCTGCAGTTTTTTTTTGTTACTTTAGGTTTCTGCTGTAAACTGACACTTCTGCTGTAATGAAAATTTTCTGTTCTGTGATTGGAAATTTCTGTAACGAATAAACTGTGATTGGAAATCTGTAACGGATAAAAAGTTAGTATTTTTGAGGTATTTCGTGCGTAACGTGTTGTAATAAATGATATCAACTGGTTGTAAAGTAAGACATTCAGCAAAACTTCTCACGTCCTTTTCGTCGCGCTGACCGGACTCGGGCCGTCAAAAGTCTCCGGAGACGCGGCGGGCGGTGGAGAAATATTAACGCTTTTGTTCGCCTTGGTATTCATCTTCCGGCCGTTGTTGTTTTTAATTCCATTATCATTCGCCCCTGCTCCTCCTGCACCTCCTCCCTGCGGCGGCGTCTTCACAGGAGCCCCACCACCTTTAATATTCGGTTTACTTGCGGAGCTGCTACTCGACGCATTATTCCCGGAAAATAATGAAGTGTTTTTGCTATTGTTCCGGCTGGCACTTCCCCCGCCAAGACCCAATGCCGCGCCCAGGTTCTGCAACGAGGCTCCGGAGGAAGAGGGGTTGAGGAAAATGTTTTTCGATCCCTGACGGTTCAACGCCTTTTGAAAAATGTTCGGGGCGGAAGAGGAAGACGCAGCTGAAGAGGAAGCGGGCTGCTGCTGCTGCTGTCTCTGCTGTTGCTGCTGCCTTTGTTGCTGCTGTTGTCTTTGCTGCTGCTGTTGCTGCAGTTTTCGTTGCTCTACTTCCTGTTGCTTCAATAACTTCTCTTGCTCCAGTTCCCGCTTTTTCCTCTCCTCCGCCGCCCTCCGCTGCATGGCGTTGATTTGCGCGAACGCCTGCTGTGCCTCTATCCTAAGCAAAAACATCCCCACCCCATAGTCAAGTTGGGGATCTAGCAACACAAGTCTCCAAGTTTTGGGAGCTGTGCAAGACAAAATTCCCTCTGCAGTGTAGTGCTGGTTGGCAAGGAAAGCCGCATGACAAAGCCATTTTATGATCCTGTTTACAGCACTACAAATTCCAAAACACGATTGGAAATGCCTCTCATGGAGCTGCGCATTACAAATGTTCCTGTCATTGCACCGCTGCATGACAACTACTGTGGGATGGGGACGTTTTTACTCAGAATAGCCTCCGGCGTGTCCTCTTCGGGGCTCTCCGGCGTCTCCTCTGCTCGGAGTTCTTCCAAAATTTTGTCGGTCTGAAATCCCGGCAAATTCGGCTTCTTCTTCTTGTCCGGGGTGATCTTTTTTCCGGACTTATTTTTCTTCCCTGAAGCTCCATTTATTTCATCGTCCTCGTCATTCTCATTGCCCCCGCTACCCCGTTTGGAGGTCGTTGTTCCAGCTTTTGCTTTAGGCACAGCAGCAGCATTTGCAAGAGCTGGTTCCTGTTGTGCGTCTTTCCGTGGCCTCCCCCGACCGCGTTTCGCCGGAGCTGGCTCAACATCCTCGTCCTATCAAATGCAAAAGTGTCTGGGTCTGGAATGTTGCCGGGTTTGTGATGCATATTTTGTGTGACCTAGGATGTCTGTAATGCACGACCTAGCATCACGGATTTTTAGAGGGCTGCCTGATGCTACTCCGCATGACAAATGCCCTCTCCGCGTAGCACAAACTAGACTCCTCTTGCTGGTCATGCAATACAGATTTCTTTAGAGTCCAAAATTAGCATCACAAGTTCCAACCGTCTAGACCCAGACATTTTTGCATTTGATACGTCCTGTGCTGCGACCAATTGCCTTGCAGCACTGCCCGGAGATCTACTTGAAGTGTTATTGTTCGTACTGTTATTTTTGTTGTAATTGGTGTAAAACTGCCGTTGATTCAGACCAAAGAGACTGGAAGTTGTAGAGGAAGAAGCAGCAGCGGCCTTTGCTTTTGCTTTTGGCGCAGCACCAGCAGCCTTCGGATTTGCCTTGCTACTCGGGCTGCTTTGCATCCTACTTTTATCCAGCGCCTTCTTGTACGCGTCGACAGGTCCCATTTTTTGGTGTCCGACCTGCAGTGATGTGTGATAGAGACAATCAACATCGTGCCTTGTTATCGAGAAAAAAAAACACAGCTCTTCAACTTTGCATCATCGTCCCAAGGCATGAGTGACCCTCACCATTCAGACGACAAGAAACGCAAATGTAAAAATTTTAATTTAATCTAATACGTTCAGCCCGAGCTCTTTCGCGTCCCTTCTCGTATTGGCGGCTATTCTCCCCTGCTGTTGCTTCGACATTTGATAAAAATTCTTCAAAACGACTTTCTTCATCGCCTTTTTCCTCACGTTGATGTTTATTTTTCCCGCCCCGGCTACTGCTCCCGCTTTCCTCTCCTCACTGGCCCGCTTTTCCGCTGCTTTTTGCGCGCGGTTTAGTTGTTTCTGTGCGCCTTTGTTTTTTCTTCTGTTCAGCGTCTCTTCGAGCTCCAGCCGGTGTCTGCGGTCCTCGGAGTCCTCGGATTCTTCATCGTCGTCCGGTTTTAGAATTTATCAAATGTAAAAATCCCTGGATGTCTGGAAGAATGCAAGTTTGTCATGCTTGTCTGGCACGACTCTTAAATCTGTCATGCACATTAACAAAGAGCCCCACTTTTCTGTCATGCAGAAACGTAGTTTGTCATGCAGAATAGGCAACACCTAGAAGCTCAGAAACTTGTCATGCTGAGCCAGCAATTGTGGCCTCCTCATGATATGCCACACAGCATCACAAGTTTCCAGACATCCAGGGATTTTTACAGTTGATAGAATTTCCGCTGGGAAGTGCTGCTCGTCCAGCATGTCCTCCATGGGGAAATCTTCGTCAACATCTTGTTCAGCGGCTTTTTTACGGGTTTTTTGTCCTTCGAAATGCTCCGCGCTGCTTTCCTCATCTTCCTCGTCCCCCTCGAGAACCTGCTCCAGAACGGATGGTTTTCCCTTTTTCATCTGTTTCATTTTTGTCCTGATCTTCTCCAATTCGTCCTGACTCAACTGCGACCCAGCACTGCCCGGACTGGAGCTGACCTCTTTGCTGCCCTCCTTGATCTCGGATAACCGGGGTAACACGGCCCTCTTGTCAATCTTCACCCTGCCGGCCGGGGTGATGTGGATGTCGCGCACCGACACTTTCGGGTCCTTCCAGTAGGAATGGAGGTGTTGGGGTGAAGCTTCTGGTGGCGGAGCGGAAGAGGGCGGGGAAGTCTCTGGCGGATAATTACCGGTCGGTGGCGAGGCTTTGATGGCTGATAATTTGTAGAGAATTTGGTGGTGGTCGATGTTGTTGTGAAAATTCGTCAATATGAATGACAAAGTCGAGCGAAAAAGAAGACGAGGGATAACTGTAACTAACACTAACTGTTGTACTCTCTATGTGTCTGCAAATCAAATACACGAGCATCCTCTTACCTGCACCCCTTCCCGGCACCGCACTCGATGATGATGATCCACCAGTTTGGATTCTGCTACCCAGAACCGCAGATGAACTCCCAGCTATTCCGGCTTGTTGCGCCGCAAGAACCGCCGCGGCTTTCTTCTGCAGTTGCAGTTCCATTTCTCTTTGTTGCCGCTCCATTTCTTTCTGCTTTTTCAATTTTTCCGGGACGATGCCCTTGGCCGAATTTCTCTTGCCGGACGTGGATAAGTTTTTATCCTCCAAAACGTGAAAGTTCTTCTCCGGACTGTTCGACCTAGATATGGAGCCGCGGGACGAAGTATGCATTGCAAACATGTCTGGGTCGGGACTTGTAATGCTGAACTGGCATGCTCCTGAACTCTGTGATGCATGTGATGGAATAGCTCTGCTTCTTGTCATGCACAGGTGCATTTCTTAGACGCTGCAGAATTGCTCATAAATTTGTCATGCGGGACCGCGTACTGGAGTCAGTTTGCTATTAATGTATTAGCATCACAACTTTCCAGACCCAGACTAAAGTATTTGCAATGCATACGAGGCGGGACTCCCCTGCAAGTTTTTCCGCTTGTGCTCCTCCACGAGAAATTCTGCCGTGAGGTTATTATATTCATCATCGTGTTCAACATCATCTGGGTTAATATGATCTCCTCCACTCCCTCCCTGGTGTTCCTTCAGTTGTGCCACGGCGTCCAGAATCGCCTCGACCGTCACCGCCTCCCGGTTGAATTTGACGTCGCGCTGCAGATTTAAATGAGGCACGAGCACGGTGGTCTGCGCCGACCGGTTGCGCATGGCGAGTTCCCGCTCTTTTCGCCGTTATCAAATGTAAAAACGTCTGAGCCTGGAAGAGTGCAAGGTTTGCCATGCATGTTTTGCATGACCCATGACGCATGTGATGCATGGCCTAGCGTCAGACATCTTTCGAAGGCTTCCTGATGCCTATTCCGCATGACAAATGCCCTCCCTAAGTAGCACAAACTGGACTCCTCTTGCTGGTCATGCAATAGTACAAATCTCTTTAGAATCCAAATCCAGCATCACAAGTTCCATCCTTCCAGACCCAGACATATTTGCAATTCATAGCCGTTTCTCCTTCGCGATGGCATGCGCAGAATTCGGCTTCGACACATCATGCTTCGACTTCCCGAGTTCCATCTGGTCGTGCATAATCTCCCAGTCAGACCTTCGCGGTTTCTTATTCTTCGACTTGGATGAAAAATTGTTCTCCCCTCCTAGCAACAAATCCTCGTCGTCCTCATCCACGTCTTCGAGTAGCCCTTCGGTCACCATCGGGGGCAGGTTGGGGACGATCAAGCGGTTGTTGTTACTGTGGTTCAAGACCGGGATGAAAGATCTTTTGCTTCTTCTTGGATCGTTGATATCGTACTTCGGTCGCGCGTCTGTATTTCCGGTGATGCGGTGCTGTTTCGGAGGCTTAGAAATGTTTTGATGAAACTGTTGCTGTTGAAAATAACCGGTGCTGGTTCCACCAAAATTTGGCGTGCCCGGTTGATTATGCAGTGCAAATGTGTCTGGGTCTGGAAACTTGTAATGCTGGGTTGTGAACGACCGACAATGCACTGTAATGCACAGCAGAGCATGAGAAAGACGTGCTCCGCTATAGTGTTGCGCTTTCCGCATGACAAGCTGCATCTTCGCATGACGAGTAAAAGGGTCTCTTCGTCTTCTGGGACACGCATCACAAGTTTTTCTGTCATGCCAGACAAGCATGACAGCTCTGCATCCTTCCAGACCCAGACATCTTTGCAGTTGATATTGATCTGGCCGTCCGCCGAAGGAGAACGCCGATCCGGCGGAATTCTGGAGTCCATTTGATGCTCCGCCGAGGTCGTCTTCAAAACAAGTACCGACATCATGACCACCGTCGTCGTCGAAATTGTTGTGGTCGTGGTCGAAAGTATCGAGATTTTGATCGTTGTTGGAAGAAGTAGATGCTTCAGGAATCATTACACCAGGAGATCGAGATTGTTCTCCTACCGCATTATTATTTGACGAGGAACTACCTTTACTCGTTCCTTGCTGCGATGAAATAGTACCGCCCCGGTGGTCCTCTAGACGGGGAGGAGATGGTTGGGGGCAGGATTGTGCGGACTTCTGTCGTGGCAGATTTTGTGAAGAAGACGCAGAAGCTCCTGGCGCTGCTTGACTCCTTCCTGGCTGGTCATCGGGTTCCTCAACTTGTTTGTCACTGGAAGATTTACTCCCGCCCTGATTGCTCGATTTGCTCAGCTGCAATCTCCGCGTCTCCCGCTCGACATCCGGCGAGGGAGCAAGGTCGTCCTGCTCGAAAGAGTCAAGTTGGAGGTTGTCTCCATCCGGGGACTTCTCGCGGACGGACCTGATAATTGCCAAATTGTTCCGTATGTACTTTTGTTCTGTGCCTGCAGTCGCGTCTTGCATGACAACATCGATAATTCCCTATGCGCCAGGCATGAAACTTCTCATGCAAAATCTGAATCAGAAAAACACTCGAAACAATGAATTGTAAGTACCTCCGCTTTCCTGGCGCAGCGGAAATTTCCTCCCTTTCCTTTTCGTGGGAAAGACTCTGCTATCAAGTGCAAAAGTGTCTGGCTCTGAAAGAGGAGAAGTTTGTCATGCACATTTTCCATGATCCATGATGTCTGTGATGTATGCCATAGCATCACAGATTTTTGGAGCGCCTTGCCTATCGATGCGCATCCTGCATGACAAATGCCCTCTCTGCGTAGCCAAATTTGACTCCTCTTGCTGCTCATGCAATACAGATTGTTTTAGCATGCAAATGCAGCATCACAAGTTTGGCTCTTCCAGACCCAGACATATTTGCAATCCATATCTGCCTTTGGAGAGAAGACCTCTTCCGGGAAGTGGTCCGCTGATTTTCGTCCGCGTGGTCCTCCAACACTGGCACTTGCTGGTCCCCCGCACTCGCAGTCGTGACTGCGCTTCCTCTGCCTCGGCTCTGCATTTGCGCTTGCGGCTGTACCGAACTCGAGGAACTACTCGCAGCTGGTTTATTGTTCCCGACCGACTTCTTGTTCTTCCCTTGGTCTGGGCTGACACTGGCTTCGTCGATGCAACCGGAGGATTTCGAGCGGGACTCGGCACTGTCGTTCTTTTCAACCGGATCTTCGTCGTCTACGTCCTCCAGGGCGTGCGGCTCTTGAACCTGATGTCGTTTGCGAAGCATATTGTTGCTATTTCATGGATGATGGGTGACGGGGAAGAGGAACTGCACACCACACAGAGATGAAAAGCGACTGAATAGAAATTGTACTTATCAACCAAAAAACAAACTCACCTGTACCTGTTCCCCCCCTTCATCTCCTCCCCCGCGGCTGCTATTTCCGCCCGGCGCAACGTTCGGAAACACTTTCTGGCCCGAGGCCGTTCGGAAAAACATGGTGCCGGAATCGGTCTGCTCCAGAAACACCTGCTGACCAGATGCTACTGCATGCGAAGAAGATGATCTCTGCATATTCCCGCCCAGTCCCTGGGAAGCACTCGATCCTGCGGCAGACGCGGCGGAGGGCGCGGCACGGATGGAACTACTCGACGCAGCAGCACCAGCGCCTGCGGCCTGCTGTGCGGCAGCAGCCTGTCTCTGCCTTTCCAGGCTCTGCTCCCTGCGCAACTTCTCCCGCTCCCGCAATTCCTCCTGCTCCCGTTCCCATTCCGCCCGCCTTTCTCGTTCTAATTCCAGGCGTTCTTTCACTTTTTGCGCCTCTTCCCGTTTTTTCTCGTCTTCTAATTCCTGCTGCTTCAGCAAATCGTTGTCTCTCCTCACTGTCTCAAAATTCGGATCCACATCATCTACGTCGGCGATGAGACAAATGTTGTCCTTGATCTTGAACTGCTGATCGCCGGGAATGACAGCGCTGTTTGTTTGGGATAGTTGTAAACCAAAATTCATTCGGTCTAGAAGTTCTTCTTGATCTACTACTTCTACTACACTGACAATCGAATTATCGTAGGTTGGCGGCGGGCTTGTCGGTCTACTCGGTATAGGCGAGGGGTTTGGCTCTAGAAAATCCTTCTGGCTGTAGATGGTCTGCAGGCACAGATTTTGCTGCACTTGATGCAGCATAGTTTTACTACTATTTTGCTGTTGTTGTTCTGGTTGTAATGGAGGTGGGGGCAGCGCCTGTTGTTCTCCTACTACTGCTACTTCATTGCGGAGACGGGGTACTATCATCATCTTCACATTTTCGCCGTGGTCTTTAATTGCTTTCAGATCATGTTCACCTTCCTGGTTGAAAACATTCTCCTTCAGCAGCACCGGTGGTGGCGGCCGCTGGTGCTGGTGGTTAAGCGAAGATAAAGTCGCTGATGTGCTGACTGTGGCCGCCATACTAGAAGAAGTACCATCCCCAAGGAGATGATGATGAGCAATACGGTCGTCCGATTGTAAATTTATTGACGAAGGTTTGTTTGTTCTCAACTCCTTGAAATGCTTCGCCAAATTGAGCATGGCGCTCTTCCCCACAGGCTTTGGGTACAACTGTCTTGGTGGTCTACTTGTTTCTGCATGGCAAGTTTCGCTAGCGGAACTGCTACCGTAGGGAATTATAACGGGTGCTGCTGCTTTCGAGGACGAATATTGTGCCAGCTGCACCATGTTGTCTTCACCAGTACAACCTCCACCAGGTGCGCCGGCAAGAAGACCACCAGCCGTCACCTCCCCGGTTGTACTAGTTCTATGAGGCGGGCCCGAAAATGTTGATAATGTTGCTGTACTACTGCTACTAGGAAGCGACGGTACTACAACAACCTGGCGCACAGGTTCTACTGGCTGCACAACTGCTGCGGCTGTCACCAACACATCGGTGGAGGTCATGGGGGATTTCAGATTTCTAGGCCTGAGACTCTTGCTGAGCTGGAGGCTATCGATCAAATCGGACAGGAGATTCACATCAGTTGCTTTAATATTCGCAGCTGCGCAAGAACTGGCACAACTTGTCGTGTCAACAGTTCTTGCTGTTGCGCTCGTACTAGCGCTGTCAGCGATAGTACTAGCAGTGGCAGTAGTCCTGCCAATCACAGCAGCCTGCAGCTGCCCAGCGCTCGACAGGACTGCTGTCATGCGATCGTGGTGTCGCTGGGTAAAATTATGCTGTCTCCTCTTGATGTCGAAATAAAAAGAACCTGGTACGTAAAGCTTTACTACTGATCGTCTTTCACATACTTCCTCACAACTCACCCTACACATCAACCTCCACCAACTTAGTCACTGTTTCACTACTTCGAGACGAAAGGTTCTAACAGCAAATCAAGCTGAGGTATTGTTGAAATGGCAAAAGAAAGCGCGCTTAGAAGAAAACAGGTGCAGCGGCAAGGATCATCTGGCAGAATCAAAGCGACAAGGAGAGATCTTGGTTTGGCTACAAGGAAATCCGTCGTCCGGCGCCAAAGCAACGACAACTACATGATATATCGCTATCGCAATTTTTTCGTAGTTACAACAGGGGCTCAGCACAGCGCAGTAAAGAGGACCCATCATGCCTACTGCTACAGAAGTCTTGACATTTTCACCACGCCTATCGCTGCAAAAACGACCTTTTCGACTTTCATCGACAACAAAACTTCCTTTCTTTTGGTGCTACCATACTTCAGAAAAACATCGCACATCATTCACAATCAGGATTATACTACATGCTTGGCAAAAGTAAAAGATGAAACAAAATCACAATATTAAAACAAGTATACCCATCCCACTCGTCCGCAGTACTCGGCTTCACGATCTCCCACGATTTCACGGCCACTCCGTCTGGCGAGTAAACCGTCAGGTACCCACCGGGTGGGATCTCCGGGAACAAACCCGGAAGTGGCGAAGTAGTAGACCGCATCACGTTATGAAATGCAAATATGTCTCGGTCTGGATGACTGCCAGGTTTGTCATGCATATTTTGCATGACCTATGATGCCTGTAATGCGTGACCTAGCGTCACAGATTTTGTAAGGGCTTCCTGATGCCTATCCCGCATGACAAATGTCATCCCCACGTCGTACAAACTGCAATCCTCCTGCCGGTCATGCAACACAGATTTTTTTAGAATCCAGAGACAGCATCAGACCTTGCACCATTACAGACCCAGACATCATATTTGCAATGCATACACCTCACCTTTCCCAACGCCCGGCGAAGAGAACGACCGCAAGTGCGGTGTTATCGTAAGGAAAAATCCCCCCTCCCCATATTGAAAACTTATCCGTCTGAAAATTTACGATGCGCATTTGTGACCTCAAATCCTGTCTGTCTTGCAAGAAGGCAAGTCCAGAGAGCGCCCTGCATTTTGCAGGCGGTTTGTGATGCTGTTTAGATTAGAGCATACACGTTTGCCATGCTAGGCGCCTACGTCAAAACCTCTCGACTGAGGCTTGACATATGCCTGCAGTCCTCTACTGCACGACAAATCTGATTTGTGTACGGAAATCCAGCATCAGAAACTTCGTTTCGATATGGGGAGGGGGGATTTTTCCTTTTGATAGGTGTTGGAGAAAAGCCTTGAAGATCCTGTTGTTGTTGTTTCCCGAATCCTTTCCCTCTAGTACTTCCGGACATTGTGTTCATCAAATTCTTCCGCCCGCTGCCGCGCCCGCGGCCGGGTCCTGTGAGCGGCGACTTGCCGTTCGGCTTGGAAACGACAAATGACTTTTGGCCCGGAGTCGCGGACTTCGGACCTCCGTCGAGCCGCGGGGGGCGACGGTCGAGGGAGGCGCGGGGGTTGTTCATCCGGGTTGTTAAGGTAGACGTTGTCGTGTGGCTGCCAGCAACTGCTGTGTCCGTCGTGCCACCTTGGACGAGCGGTAGAAGATTCGCACTGGCGGCGGAGATCTGTGCGTTTTGAGGAAAAAGATTTTCGTTGCCATGTGGATGTGACCCAATAGAATGCACATGCTTTGATGCAGCCTGCAAAAGCAACTGACGCAACAACCATGGTATGTTCAATCAAGTTGAAAAACCACATCGCGCTGTAAGCAAAAAGATAAAATAAAGTCCATATATCAAGAAGAGTAATTCTACCGGCACGGAACTCGACCGCGGCGCGGCGGCACCAAGACTACTACTGCTGCTGCTGCCCACCACCAGCATTGGCGGTTTACTCCTGATAAATCCCTTTTCTTCCAGTTCATGCATTTCTCGCTCGTTCAAATCTTTTTTCCGGCGCTTCCTCTCGCTTATGCCCCGCAAAAGTATCGTACTCGTACAAATGCATTACAAATTTCCTCAGCGTGAGAAATAAAATTTGTAATGCGGAATTACCTTACGCAAAAGATTTGTAATGCATGATTGCAATACGAGTACGATACTTTTGCACAGGATATCGCTGTCCGGCTCTGGATTCAATACTTCTCCATCACCTCCCAACTGCAGTCTATTGCTCCCCGGCTCGTAGATGTGCGCCGGGCAGGCCTTGTTTTGGATTTCCGCCATTTCAATGGCAACCCGCCGCTCTTCTTCCCGGAGTCTTCTTTCATCCTCTGCGCGGATGGCCTGCTGGTACTGTAGGATGCGTTTTCGCTCTTCCTCGGTATCCAGCTGGGATTGGTAAATGTTCTGGACAGAAAAAGCTGGGGATGTTAAATTATAGCCGGCCGTCATTTTTTTCCCTGTCCCCTTGGAGGTCCAGCTTGATGGTTGTTGTAGGTTTAGTCCCTTCGTGGCTGCACTAGGGGAACAAGATGCAGAAGTTCCTAGGGTCGTATCAGTAGCCACGACTTGGCCGCCTTTGCCTCCCGTTGGTAGTTGTACACCTCCTAACGCAGGAGCGGCTGCGGCGAGGAGTAGTACAGCGGGATTTGCTGCTGTGGAAGATGCACCAGCAAAATTTGATGCCGCTGTGATAGGAAGTACAAGAGCTGTTGTATTTACTACACTCCGACTCTGCGGAGCTAACGCAAAACTGGGATGCTTCGAAACCGCGTTGCGGCTCAAAGGCGTTTCTTCTCTGATGTGGACGAGGTCTTCTTCGCCGCTCGTTGCGCTGCTCGATTGCTGCACCTGCTGTTGCGGGTCTAGTAGATTCCCAACGCGAGGATCATGCGCCGCGGCAGATGACGAAGATTGATTGGTCGGTGACGATGCTGCTGCTCGTGGTCCTGTGGCACTCGCAATTGGTTGAACGTTTTGGTTGATATGGTTCTTCGGAACGGCAGCAGCAGAGATTGTATTTGTAGTTGTCCTTTGATGTTGTAGTTGTCCTGCTTGATTTACTCCTGCACGAGAACCCGCAGTGATGGTGTTCGAGTAATCTTCTTCAGTGTCCAGAAATTCTGTTTCATCTTTCTGCAGTTTACTATGTGCGATATCGCCAGATGATTTGTCACAACTACTGTCACTGCTCTTACTGACACTCGTCTCCTTTGACTTCACAAACGGATTGAACCAGTCACCTGCCTCGTTATCCACAGCTTGGGCCGGTACGATAGCGTGCCGACTCCGGTTGTTCTCGGAAGAGCGGTCTGGTGATAGTGCTTGGGGTAGTTGTTGTGCGACTTCTGCTGCGGCCGAGCTAGAACTCGCTGCAACAGGACGGGCAGGTGGTAAGAACAATCGTCCCGTACGAGCGCCGCTGTGAAGGTCGTTTCTCACCAAGTTCTGGCTGTTAGTATTAGTTCTCGTCCCGAAGTTGTACAGCTCGTCTTCATTTTCGGTCGCAGTTGGAAAAGCCACAGAAGAACTTTGGTCCTCGTGTTGTTCTTGCGCTAGTCCATGCTGCGAATGCGTAGTTATTCCTACTGTTCCACTATTACCAGCTCCTTCCTGATCCTGACTAGAGGTTCTTGACCTCACAGTTTCTTTGCTATTTATCTCCCCAGCAAAAAGTCGCTTCATGCCGACCTCCGCCGCTATAGACGAACGCTTCGGCTCGATGCGACGATGGAGCGGCGAAGATATTTTCACGAGTCGAGGATTGATCGAATTGCTATCGAAGTTTCTACTGTTGTTCGAAGGTTGGACTACACCTACTTCTCCTCCATCGATGTTGTGCTGCGAAGGATCAATCGATTCGAAATTCGGTGGTGCTATTTTTTCAAACGAATAGTCACGATTTGTTTTATTTTCTCGTCCTTGGCGACTGTTGCGCGAAGACAACGAGCGCAAGTGTTGTTGACCACTTCGAAGCAGATTCTTGTCAACATTATTTTTCGCCGACGACGACGAGAGGAGCATTATACCCATTCGAATCATCGAGGACAGACGCATCTTTTCGCCGCTACTGCTACCCCTGTTCAAATCGCTGAGGCGACCAATATGCACTGCAAAAGTATGATCGCACTCGTAGAAATTATCCTTGCAGTCATGCATGATAAATCTCTTTCCAAACCTGGAACAGCATTACAAATTCCACTTTATGTTCTTGCAAAATTTTGTGATGCTATTCATACTAGTACGGTACTTTTGCAAGGCATAACCAATTGCACTCTCCGATTTCGAGCGCGGTAGACCACGTCGAGGTATCCAAGAAAAAAAGTGTGTAAGTATAACTTTCTTTGGGAAACAGCATCACAAATTTGCTCTACATGACAGAGAACACCTGTCATGCGTGGCTTGTAAGGGAAAACACACATGAAAAGAGGACTTCATGGCTGTCTGGCATGACAGGCGCAACTCTGTTGCATGTTCTGCAACACAAATTTACACTTACACAGTTTTTTTCTTGCATACGAGGGTTGGATAAATCAATAAACGGGTTCTCCATGGTGTCGAGGGGAGTGAGCCCGGCGGCGGTATCAAAATGAAAAAAGCCCCCACCCCATATCAAATGGGAAATCTGTGACGCAGGGTTTGTGTACACAAATGCGCGCTGTCTTGCAATACGGCATCGCAGCCAGATCCGCAGCCTAGGGAGGGACATTTGGGTCTAGGTGCTCAGCATTACAAACGGCTGTCCTCTAGGCCAAACAGCATGCCAAATCGTTTCTGTAATGGCGCGGAAGCCTCTGCATTTGTCCTCTTGCAAGACAGACGTGGTTTGTGGTTTCAAATCAGCAAGACAAATTTTCGAAAGCATGCCTGTTCGATATGGGGAGGGGGGATTTTTCCTCTCAATATGCGGCGGTGATATCGTAGGCGGAAACTTTTCGCTCGACGCTCAGCCTCCGACTCCGTGAACTTTTACTGCGGTTGACGGAATCAGGAACCACGACTGAAACGTCCTTGGAGGCTTGTTGGCCGAACCGTCCACGCGACGATTCTTGTTCGGGTGATGGGTTTGCTGGTTGAAGCTGGCCTTGTATTTGCTGCTGCTGCTGCTGCTGCTGCTGTTGTTGCAAGACACCAACACCCTGCTGAGCACCACCGGCCGCTCCGGAAGAGGAAGACTGAGCAGAAGACCGAACAGCATTTACTAATATTTTCTCGCTACTTCCAGGCTGCAAAATCGGGAGAGACACTTCTGCTATCGGAGAGGGACTCGTTACTCGATCATTACGCTCGTTGTTTGGTCGCGACGAGACCGGCGGCTGTTGCGGCTGCGGCTGCTGCTGTTGCAGGAGGAGGTCGTGCTGATGTCGTCGTATTACTTCCGGCCGAGGTCTGACAGGCTGTTGATTTTTCCCAACTTTTCCATAGCCCGGTGGCGGAGATTTATTTGGGGTGTAGTTTTTAGCGCCACCAGCAGCTCTGGTACTAGTCTGCGCAGATGAAAAAACCGGCGCGGACGCCGAACGGCGAGATTCCACGGGAGGAGGAGGTGGAGGAAATCTGTTGCCCGAATTCTGCAGTTGCAGTTGCGGTGGCGGGGGTGAGTAGAGTTGCTGCTGCTGCTGCTGCCGGTCGTGCAGGAGCTGCTGTTGTGACGACGCCAAAGGAACAACCGCATGTTGCTGCGAGGACATCAATTTCGGCACACAAGCTTCATCTTCCTCATTTCTTCTCCGCTTCAAACTACTTCCCCTCTCCTGTTCTTCTGACACCCTCCGCCCCTCTTGCTGGACTTCGGCCCTTCGTTTCGCGATCGCAGATTGGGTCTCGGGAGAGAAACCCCGGCGGGTTTCTGCGTGTTGTCTCATCTGGGCTTCGATCCGGGCTGCTCTTTGTTGATGCTCCTGCGCTGCAAGACGTTCTCGAGCCTTTTGTTGCAGCTCTTCTTCCTGCTTTCGTTTCATCTCTTCTTCTTGTTCCACCAGCCGCAATTTCTGCTGTAGTTCTTCTTCTTCTTTTTTCCTTCGATTTTCCTCCTCCTCTGCTGCCGCTCGCTGCTTCTCGAGCCGCTGTTGTTCCTGTTCCAGCTGCTTCTGGCGCTCCAAATTCTCACGTCGCTGCTGCTCCAGCTGCTTTTGATGTCGCTCCAAATTCTCACGCCGCTCCTGCTCGGCCAGCTGCTTTTGCCGCTCCAAGTGCTCACGCCGCTCCTGCTCGGCCAGCTGCTTTTGCCGCTCCAAGTGCTCAAGCTGCCGCTGCTGCTCCTTCTGTCTTTCTCCCGCCTCTTTTTCATTCCTTACTCGTTCTCGCTGTTCTTCATCTTCTTGCCGTCTTATTTCATCTTCCCGCATCCGTAACTGCCGCTGCTGGGCCTCGTCTGCAAGTTCTCTTCTCCGTCGCTGCTCCTCTACTTCTGCGGCGAGCTTTTCTCGTCGCTCGTCCTGTTCCACTTCTTCTTGGCTCCTTCTATTTCTCACCTCTTGATCGTTCGGCTGCAGCTGTACCTGAAGATCCTCATCATCTTCTTCCCGTTGATCGACTTGCTGATGCTGTTGCTGTGGAATAAAATCTTCGACATAATTTTGATTTTCGCTGCTACCAGCTCGTACTTCATCCGACTCACCAGTTTTCTTGACCTCCTCGGCAGGAGCTGCTTCTTCTTTTTCTAATGACAGCGCAATCGCTTGTCGCTCCAATTCTAGATCCTCCTGCGATTGCTGTTCTTGTTCCAGTAGTTTGTCATTTTCTTCTTCATCATTTTTCTCCCGAAGCTCCTTTTCCAGCATGTCATCTATCGAGCGCGCGATCGCCGTCTGTTCGTTTTCTAGGTTTTTTTGGTCTATTTCCTGTTCATTATTTCCTCCAAGCACCTCTACTTGCGCGACGAGTTCTGACGAAGATGAAAATGGGGCTGCTGGAGGCGCGTTTTGGTTTCCCGGCCCCTGCGAACTAGGAAAAAAACCCGGCCCCGCCCTAGAGGAAGAACTACTACTGCCTCCTGCCCCTCGAGATGCAGATGCTGGAAGAAGATTATTACTTTCACGACCTCCCTGCGGTAGCAATGCGTGGGGACCTCTAGCGGAAGACGAACTGCTACTGGCGCCGGGTACATGGGCAGCAGGTCGTCTAGCAGCCGACGAAGATGAACTGCTACTGGCGCTGGGTTGATGTTGTACGCGGCCTAAGGGACGGTCATGCTCTTTCTGACCCGCGGCCTTTGCAGCTGGAAGACGTGACAGCTCCATAGCCAATGCAATCTGCACCTCCTCCGTCGGCATTTCCATGCCGCCGACTTTGATCGTTTTTTCTTGCCTCGTGCCAGTAGGCGCTCCTTCCCGGCAATCGTCCTTGCCGATCGTGGATATGCAATGGTACAAATTTAACTGCCATCGTACACTGCACATTTCGTGTACAACAAGTACAAAATGTCAAGAATAAATTTCGGGTTTACAACAGTAATGGTGTTGAAGGATGATGATCTACAGAATCGTGCTCATCCGTTGATGTCTCCTGCAAGGCGAAAAGACCACAGTTTCATCCTGCTGTACAAAATGTGTGTCTAATGCGATGGGAAATCTAAAAGTTCACACGTAGATAACTTTTCTTCGAATCGAGACACCTTCCGACGGAGACGAGGACGACGAGCGTCCTGCTGGCAATACAACTACTTGTTCTGTGTAGTTCTTCGGATCCTCATCTTCAAGCTGATTTGTCCTACTGTTTGTTGTTCCACCCGCATTTGCTCCCTGCGCTGTTCTACCACTGGAAGAACTTGCCGAACCAGTACCCTGCGTAGGAAGGGTTCCTGATGTTCCTGCTGCTGCTGCTGCTGCTTCCACATCCACTGCCGCGCCGGTACTCTTGCTCGTCACATCTGCAGAACTACTTTCCTGACGACGAGAACTTTCCCCTGGCCGACGAGGACCCAAAACACCGCTGCCAACTTCGCCTTCCAGTTGTTGCCGCGGCTCCGCTTCTGACGTTGAACCTCCTGCAACTCCATTATCGAAGCCAGCAACCGGCCTCAAATCGGGTAAATTCGGTCCCGCGGAGGAGGAGCTGCGGTGCGCGGGGGAGCTGCGGCGCCCGGAGGAGCTCGACGAGGCTGGAGGAACATCAAGTACGCTGGGATTATTTCCTGCTGAAGCAGGAAAAACATCAACAAGTCCGGTGAGGTTCTCATTTCCTGACGTCGTCGCTTGGGTTTGGGTCGTTTGTACGACCTGATTACTGCTACTATTTTGTGCTGTCCCTCCTCGTCCAGCAGCGGCAAGAAGACCATTTTGTGCTGTCGGTCCAGCGGCATCTTTCAAATTCTGCGGTTGCGCAGGAGGTGGAGGTCGTCGAGATGGAGCACTATTAGCATTCGCGCGCAGCCCCAGCAGCGCGTTGAACGCCTGACTGCCACTCGTCGGCGGCTTACCGGCAGCTGTGTCAGCTGCATTCAACTGCGCTGCAAACTGTGTTGCGTCAAACGTCTTGCTGGATAGAGTAAGGGGGGGTGCTTTCGCTTTGGGATCGGGATTGAACCTAAAACCCCCCGCGACAGGCGGCGCTGGTGTAGCATTGTCGCCGTTGCTGTAGTGACTAGAGAAAAGCCCCACCGTTGGTACTAAGGGGTTGTTACTATTGCCGCCAGTTTCAATTCCCGATGTTCCCGGCGTTATACCGTTAAATTGCGAAGCCGGCTGAGATCCCGGCATGTTGGCAATAAATCCCCGTTTGAACAGATTACTCGATTCGGTCGGCACCCCAAACAGCTATCAACTGGCAAAATGTCTGGGTCTGGAAGATTCTGACACTTGTCATGCACGTTTTGCATGAGCCATGACGTCTGTGATGCATATCCTAGCAATACAGATTTTTTGATTCCTATTTCGCATGACAGATGCCTTCTCAGCGTAGCAAAAATTGCATTCCGTTTGCTAGTCATGCAATACACATTTTTTTTGAATCCAAATACAGCATCACAAGTTGCATTCTTCCAGACCCAGACATTTTTGCATTTGATAACAGCGTTGAAGTTCCTGTTCCTGCCACTGTCCCAGCAGCTCGGTGTGGGTCCTGCCGCTGCTGGAGAGCAGCCCCCGCACTGTTCAGCGATGAAGATGAAGACGACGTCGAGGCAATGTAGTTATTATTGTTTGCAGTGAGATCATTATTTACTCCTAAACCACTCGACGTCGCTGTAGTACCAGATAGTACTGAAGCACCAGCACTTGCAGGCACTCCACTTCTAAACGCGAGTTCCTGTTGTTCCTCCGGCTTCAGGAAGACGTTTCGACCTCTGTTTGCTTCTGATCGCAGCGAAAATGGTTTGATTTTTAAGCCCAGCAGGAAAGTATTTCCGCTGTTCTTACCATCACGCGGGGCGGCAGATGAAGGCTCCTCATCTCCTTGTCGATCCATTTGTTCGCCAACAGCACCGTGGTTGTTGGGGTTAATGTCATCTGCTTCCGACCCCTGCTCGTGCGGAACAAATAACGAGCCCTGCACTTGCCGTCCTTCCTGTCCTTCTCGTTCCCGCCCGTCGCTGCTTTCTTGCTCGTTGCTTTGGAAGCTTTGATGCCCCTCCTCATTTATTCCGTTCGGAATATCCACCAGCCAGTTCGTACGATTATTCTCCTCTTCCTATCCCGATCAAAAACGTCCCCACACCACCAGAGTCAATCTGCTAGACAAATCACACAGCTTTGGCTGTTTGGCATAACATCAAGTTTGTCCTCGTAGTGTGATCCTGTTTGAGGTAGTAAGTTCAGAAGCATCACAGATCTAGCACAGCATGCTGATCCTAGCATGACAAATCCCAAAACACGAACAGAAAATGCTTCTCATAGGGGTCGGCATGAGAAACTTTTTTGGCATGCAGAACTGCATGACAATCCTGGGGTAGGGATGTTTTTGCACGGGATACTTCCTCGTCCAACAACTCCACGCCAAACTCTTGCCCGTCCGACCGTTCCGGCAAGACAAACTCTGCGGGTGTGGTTATCGTATTTAAAAACGCCCCCAGCCCATAGTTGCAACGCAAAAACGCATGCTGAAAATGTCTCGCATGCGGAGCCCCATGAGAAGCGTTTTCTATTCGTGTTTTGTCATGCTTTAATCAGCATGATGTACTAGATCTGCGATGCTGCTGAACAGTACCTCAAACAGCCCTACACTACGGGTCCAAATTTGCCATGCCAAACAGCCAAAACTTGCGGATTTGTCTAGCCGACTCCCCATCTTGACTACGGGGTGGAGATGTTTTTACATCGGATAGTGGTTGGGCGCGGAGCCGGCGGCCCGGGGTAGGTGTCCATATCGGTTGCCTGCAACCCGCCTCCTGAGGGGGAACTCGCGGGTAAAGAGGAAGACGGCGGGGAACCTGCCGGTAGAAGTGGCTGGTGATGGTGGAAATTTTGCTGCTGGGAATTGTTGAACAAGGAACTGGTGTTCTGGAAGGAACTGGTGTTTTGGAAGGAATGGAACTCCACCTGACTCCGGTCCTGGTCACTCGGATATGCATTGCAAAAGTGTCTGGGACTGCACAGTTGGAACTTCTTGTAATGCTGGTCTTGTATTCCAGTGAAATCTGTATTGCATGACCAACAAAAGTGGCAGCCTCTCTTGTCATACAAGAACGCAGTTTCTCATGCAAAGTTCGTATGAGAAAGCGTTCTGCAAACTTGTCATGCTTTCCTGCATGAGGAAGTGCTTTCATCATGCACATTTTAGCATCACCAATTTCCAGACCCAAACATATTTGCATTTGATACCGGATGAAGGTCTTCTCGGTGGTCCTGCTGCTCCACAGGGGATTCCGGCTCGTCCTTTTGATTCCAGTGTTGAGACGAGCCAGCGCCACTCTGCAGATTGCTACTGCTGCGATAATTTTCGTCCTCACGGCTGTGGTCGGGGTGCCCCACGGCGGAAAGAAACGAAGGAGAGTCGTGTAACTCGTCTCGTTCCGGAGCTGCAAGTCTCTCGTTGTTCCCATCATTTCCGTTTGTTGTTCCACCACCTTGCAACACTTCTTGCCTTTCGGCCGCATCCCTCGCCCTCCTCATCCTTTCATCGACGTTGCGACCAACCTCAACTGGAAATTCGGGCCACAATTCCCTCTCCAAATCCTCGACGAGCTCGTCCCCAGCCGGCTGGCCTTGGCGCGGTTCCCGCATTCGCAACAGGGGATCCTCCTCTGCTCTTTTTTCATCCTCCAACAGGCGCGAACTTTCGTTGGACGACGCAGGCGGCGGCGGCGGAGGTTGCTGCGCCAAGGGCGCCTCCAGCGCCTCGTCATCCTCATCTTCGTGGTCCTTTGCTAAGCTGGTGGCTGGGATCGCCCCGAGGGGCGGGCTCGCAGCTGAAAAAGGATCATAATCGGCGTGGTCGTGGTTGTCGACATTACGATGCGATCGCTGTGCAGAGGCTGGTGGCGGTAGCACCAGCTGCGGACCAACATTTT